AATGTCGCACAACGTGTCTACTATTAAAAAATTAAAATGGGCCCCTAATATTTTTCGGGATAACGAAATATCACTTGAGATGTGCTTGACCTATTTAAACCACCAGGGCCGAATTACGAATAAGTCTAAGAGAGTAGAGGAGACCCTAGGGGTCTGCGACTGGACCTGTGCAAGACTCAGGCACGACTGAGCACCGTAGTCGCTGCGCGCTGCCCTTTTATACATGCAAAAAGTGGTGGGGGTCGCTGCTATGTGACCTGGCGCGCTACGATGATTAGTCACATCAAGAAGTAAAGGGGGGGGGGGATGACTGTTGGTAGATAGAATCATAGGCAACTGAATTTATCTCTTTTTTTAACTAAATATTTCCTTAATTTTTTAATTTAAAATTTGAAAATGGTAAAAATTAATCATCATAAGACATAAAATAAAAATAAATAATATCAGTGATTACATTAACGCAATAAAAACCAACGTCGGCTTCCCCTTTTTATTTTCTAAGAACTTAATATAATTAATGAATGAAGTTATTGTGTAAGGTAATGAATAGCCAGGGAAAGTTCATTAAGACAATGAATCGTCGGAAAAATCAATAGTGTCATCATCAAACTTGAACTCGTCCATGCTACGCCGATCGAATCATTCTTCACTCCGGCTTTTCATTCAGCATTTTTCTCCTTGCGGGAATTTCACTCGATAATGCGACTTTCTTCAACATTGATATGAATGCAAATCACAATAATATTATATTCATACATTTCTATAGAAAAATCCGTCTGGCTCTGACGTCTGAATGTCTTGCGCGTTGAATGAAAAGTAAAGCCAAATAAAACGTTAGCGTTAAATGTTCCGAGTTAACTGCTAAACGGTGAGTCTTACAGGCATAGAGAGACTTCTTTCTATTCACGCGACTATTCTTAGTTCTTGGTGAAGGCACGGATTCGACGCAATGAAAGTGCAACTCTTTTGCTTCGCCAGAATGGTACGCTCCGCGAGACGCCGCTTGGCTTGATAAATGTCACAAAGAGACCTTTTCGCGCGTCGTAAGTGGATGTAAGTGTCCGTGTCGCCTCGAATCACGCAGCGAGCGGCTAAATACGAAACAATATTTTTCATTCACAGCGGAATCTTAATTTATTACGCGGGAAACATGCAGAAACATAATGTGGAATGAAACAAATCAACTACTCGTAAATGCTGTTTTTATGAATTTATGTATGTTTGTTGCTCTTTCACGGGAAAACTAATGAATATTTTTTGATGAAATTTGGTAGTGTTATAGTTTATTTATCAGAATAAAACATAGGCTATTTTTTATTGCAAAAATCCCTTTGGAAAGGGGTGAAATAGGGGTTGAAAGTTGATATTTACTTAACACATAACACTAAATACCTACCAATTAAATTTATGCGATTTTCCGTTACTCTGATTATAAATTAAAATAATTGAAAGCAATAAATTATCAATTTACGTATATATTTACGCGTCGAAATCAATTTAATCGAGTGACATGAAAAATACAGTTAGAAAGTTGAATATTCATGAACAATCAGACTGCTGCAAACAAGACCAGTAGCCATTGATTGCCAACCGGGCCGGTTTATAGCCGTCAGCTTTGTGCGTCGTTTGAAAAACAAGAATAAGTAATCAATTCGCAACTAATTATCTAATTATCGATTCGTTTCCAGCACCTAGCGCGAATGCTGCGAGCTGCTGTAATGCTGTTTAAATGTTGCGTTAATGGCAGACTCACTCGTTCATTCCTCATTGGACTGTGGATAGTTCAAGCTGTATATTCTGTCAAGTTCAACACTCTATAATGATAATCTGTTTTTAGAGCGTATTGAGAGCGAGTCAATATGCTTCCGATTAATAAATATTTACAATTCTACTAATTAGGAATTAATATTGGTATTGATAGATGGAACGTTAAAGAAATTTAGTGAGAATTGTAATAATTTTGTATTTAAAGTGATTTTTAGGGTGGTTTTATACTTTTTGGAGGGTTAAAATTGATAGGAAATGAAAAAGGCATTATTTGGCCGTAAAATTATAAAAATTTGACTTAGATTGCGTTATTAGATCGTGAGATACAGAGTGTTTTTGATTATGTGTTTTTGAAAGTTTTAAAAATGCGTTTTTGCATTAATTTGTTTTAAGGGCAGTTCCGAGCCCTTTAGTGACTTATAATTTATCATAAACGAAAGGGCATTTCTTTCCCTATAACCTCCTAGGGATTAAATTAAAATTAAAGCCTTATTTGGCAAGATACAGGGCGTTTTTGACCGCGAATTTTGAAAATTTTAAATTTAAATTTATTAATTTGTCTTTTAAGGGCAGTTCTGAAGTTCTTAAGGGCATAAAATATACTTCAAACGAAAGGTCACGTCTTCAGCTATATCCTCCTGAAGATTAAATTGAAATTCCACTATTAGTTTCCAAGATACAGGGTGTTTTTTAATAAAATATTTCTTAATTTAATCAAAAATCTAAATTTCTACACCCAAATTCTAGAAAAATACAATGACGACATGTTTTGTTTATAAAAAAACGCCTTAAAAGTTGCTATCGTTGACCAACTTTACATAATTAACAAACAAATAACCCAGCCCCGTTAGATTAAACCAATTCGTCGTTTTTTGCCGGTTTTGCACATTCTAATCGGCTCAAATCCGCTAGTTTATTACAAAAATTACCTAATGCGATAAACAAACAAATAAATAAAACTTAAAACTAATGACCAAGCAATTTGTTAATGATCGCCAAAGCGATGGACGCCGAGTAGCCGATCGTTAATTGCTCGTGATTTCACGTCTTCGGCATCTTATTGGTAATTTATTAGCCGCGCTCGTCCGTTTCGCAACCGGCGATATGACGTGACGTCCAGTTAGATTCGCAGTTATTTCGAACTGAACTAAACACGCTCGTTTAGTTTCGAAATGCGTTTTAGACCCGTGATGGACATGTCAGACGGTTTAATGCTACCGGTTTAATAGGAGACTTATTTAATGGTGGATTTTAAGAAATGATCAATAACATTGTGTTCACGGATTGTGTGTTTTGGGTGGTCTATAACAGTATAAATCAATATTTGTATGTTTGTCCCTTGATAACTTTAAAACGGTTTAATAGATTTAGATAAAATTTTAGTAGAATCTTCAGGTTAGTCTACAGGGTGATCCTGTAAAGTTTTGTTAAAATCAAAACAAAATAAAGTTAATTAAGGCATGATTTTTGTGTTTATTTAGCTTGGTCATTGCTTCGAAGAGAAAAAGTACTATTAAAATACAAGGCTATGTTGGTTATGAACAAAGTATGCACCGAGTAATAATTAAGCAGTAAAAAGTGTCAAATTGATTTATTATGATTATCTGTTTGCCTGCAGATAAAAATATGTCATCGTAATATGTAAATGTGAGTAGTCTCTCTGCGCATATGATTAACCGTTAGCTTTCGTTTGTTTATCTTGTTTGCACGTTAAATTCGGACGTTCAGTTTGTCAATATTTAGGTAACGATCGCGGAAACAGTAAACGCATCATAAAAGTAAATTGTGTATGCGTAAGTAAGAGAAAATCAGAATTATTACAAAATAGTATTTTTCTTTGGCATAAAAATTAAAAACAAGAAAATTAGTTTTAGTTTTTAGTGTGTAATGAGAACGGAGATAGTTTATTTGTAGCAAGGAGCGAAAATAAAAGAGTGCGAGCGCAAATGATATTCCATTGTGTCATGGCGGCTGGCGCACGGCGAACCGGGTTTATTATACTAATACAATTATAATTGTAGCGTAATTAAGTAGGCCAAGCGTCAAGGTTGTTGTTTATCTAACGTTTTCGTACAATACTATTTTTGGGTGTTTAGAATTTACATTTTTGGGAAAATAGGAAATTTAATTGTTATTATTAACAAATTCTTTTATTTTTTAAATAAATTAGTAATTTTTTTTGATAATTATTTATCCCAGGAAGATTTTTCTTTGATTTTGTTTAAAATTACGATGAGAAAAATTAGATTTTAAGCAGATTTATAGGTTTATATAGATAAATGGATGTTTGTTGCTCTTTAACGTAAAAACTAATGAATATTTTTTTATAAAACTTTGTACTGCTATAGTTTATAGAACAAAATAAGACATAGGCTACTTTCTGTTGCATAAATACCACTTGAAGGGTGTAAAATTAGGGATGAAAGTTGTTATTTGCTGAATTTTTATGAAACTACCATTCAAAATTCAATTTTAAACATTAAACTATAAAAACATATCAAATTAAACGATTATTATCAATATATTTTATTTTTTAAATAACTTAATTATCCTACATTTGTCTAAAAATATTTTCTGATAATTTTTACGGTTTTTTTTGACGATTACGATTGGTAAAATTAGATTTTCGCGCTTACGCTCTGATACAAATACTTAATGAGTCAATAAACTGAGCACAAAAGATATAATTTATGCACGAAAAAAACGGTATCGTTCGATTACGGCCGAGACGATGAGAACGACCTTGGCTCCAACTCTGCGCGTCTTCGCGTCGCGGTCGCTTCCCATCGGTGTGAATTGTGAATCTTCTTTCACTGCGAGCGCACCGAACGGTAATTCAACCCGACGTTGCCCTCCCCGCGACGAAGTAAAAGTACATTGTGACATTTATTAAATGACAAAACAATCAAAACAATTAAATTTGCATTATTTTATTACTAAATATTATTTAAACTGATTACAAAATCAAACAATGTTTATACTTGTGTAAACGCACGAGTAATAATTGTCATTCACTGGTTGCGGTAATTTTTTCCGCGATTGTACGGATCGTAATGATATTTATTGCGCGCGACGCGTGGGTAACGATTATTACGAGCGCGCAAAGTGCAATAAAATTGTAACAGCCGCAATCTAATTGTGGCATCGCGCGAACCGCGGGCAATTCGTTTGTTTCGTCTCATTGAATTAACTAATTTTATTGTTATTGTTGCGCTGTGTATGTGAGTACTTACGATTTTGAGAAACCGCTCGGGCAAAACACACTACACATTTTAAATGAAACACTTTTAGATTAAAATTAAAATTCACACACAGAATAATTAAACTAAATTTATTTTTCGAAATTTTTGTTTTTGGATAAATACTGGAGTATTGTGAGTGACAATTGACAAAGTGACAATAAGTGTGGCGTTGAAATAACCCATTGTGGCTGGTGGATGAGCGTGTTCGATTTCGATTTTAGCTTATCACCTCGTTATCGCGATGTCATTGCCACGCATAGTATTGGCATACGCGTAAGGAGTAGAGTTATTGTTGCAGTTTTTTAGCTTAAACTAGAACTAGAAACCTAGATTTTTTACGCATCATAATTGGAACGAACGATTACAAACTGATTACAACTGTGTGCATTGTATAACTGAACCAATAAATGAGCGTGCGAGGAAAGTAGACATTTATTTATTTACATATTTATTGTTATTAAAATTGGTTTTGACTAGAAATCGGATGTGAATTTTTATTTGTTGTGGTTGATTGGTTGTGTAAAGCTATAATTTTATGAATTATTGTGAAAAATTTGTTTTAGTACCGTGTGACTAAAGCCCGTGACTAAAATATTTTTGTCCCTGTGTTTAAAGTACCACTTTTTGTGTTTCAAAACCGTGAAAAACTAGCGCTTTAAGGATGAAAGTAGAAAAATTAATTTTTTAGATTATAAATTTATAAAATTCGAGTATTAATACTAATTATTATATATTTAATCAAAGGCAATGACGGTTTAAAAAAAAATTGGTGAATAATCATTGGAATTGTACATTACCTACTAGCTTTAACCCTCGGCTTCGTTCGCGAATATCTAAAATAATGAAGTTGCTTCCGTACGCGTCTGTAGTCACAGAAGAAGTAACAATGAAGTAGAATGGCGGGAAGTTTAAAATGGCTGAAAGTATAGTCTATGGAAGTATAGTGTACAGTCTCCATAGTGTAGTCAATTGGATTTGATGTTGACGTAGCTGTCGGTAATACAGTGTGATAATACAGTGTGATGGTACTATAGTACTTAGGTTTGAGCTTCATTGCTGGAATGCTAGATGGCGTTAAAGTAGTCAAATAGCCAGATGCAGAGGTATTATAGGCTAAACATTTTCTTTATTTTATTTTAAAAATAATTTTTTTATTAAACAAAAAGTAGCCTATAACCATTCGGGGACCACTAAGAATATGTGTACAAATTTTCATGATGATCGGTTAAGTAGTTTTTGCGTGAAAGTGTAACAAACATCAGGACTTTCGCATTTATAATATTAGTAGGGATTTACAACGCACCGTAGGCAAATGCGCAGGCACAAGCTCCACCCCTCAACTAAAGTATTTTAGTCACGACCTTCCGTGTTTAAAATACCAATTTTGTGTCTCATATTTAAAAAAAACAAATATTAATATTATAACAATTCAAAACATTGCCAATACTGTAATATAATACCACATTGACATAATCTACAATAGAATCATTTAAAAAAACCCAGCCCACGCCTGCAATGGCTCGTATTGCACTTCGGCCTTGACGTAACCGATTTCATATAATCATTATCTCCCTTATCTACAAATGCTGCATGCTTCAACAGCTATATGGCCAAGCCAAGCCTATCCAGCTCAGTGAACAACTGAATAAATGTGTGTAACCACAACTATCATTGAATTCATCGCGCGTCAAAACGGATATTAGCTTATTAGCAATTATTCAAACTTTTACTCATCAACTACTACATTGTATATTGTGTTGGTGTGATGAAACTTTCACGGTCATTAATATTTGGGCCAGCGCGTCACTCGTCGCACGGTGCTAATTGATAGGAAGCGGGACACTTGCGCAATGTTGAAAAAATAAATGCGAACATTTAACGCACTCAAGAAATACACGAATAGCAACACGAACACTTACGTTTCGACATGATAATTATAACAATCAGCACTTCCGGTCGTCGGGGCGATAAGCAATAATTACCTGCAACAGAAATATGCTGTTATTAACCAATTGTTACATCATTTTGAATATTGGTCAAGATTTTTTCATATATTCCTAGCTGTATTTAATTTTTGTTGCATAAATTTGTAAACTATTTTTTACACCCTTCGAGTTAAATTTTAGCAACAAAAAGTAGTCTATGTCATTCTCCAAGGTCCAAACTATTTCCTAACCAAAATTTATCAAAATCTATTGAGTGGTTTTTCCGTAGCAGCGACACAAACATACATTTGTATATAAATTATTAGTAAGCATATGTAAAATGCATGCAAAACGTGGTTGAATATATTTTGAGACTCCCGAGCGTAATGTGCAATGTGCAATGAGTTCTTCGATTTGCAGCTCTGGCCGCGCACCGAACGTGTATGTAAAGTCGTCGGTTGAGGTCGGGTCGTTTTGGCCATATATGGCATATAAGTAGTAATATGATGAATACACTCCACCAACTGGTCAAACATCCCATCTCTCGCAATAATGCATCGAAAAATGCACCAATCTCAAATTCAAATATTACTCCACCTGAAATAGATTCAAGTACTCTCAGTCAGTTCACTAGCAAGAAAGAATGCTCTAAGTAATTGTTGACAAAGGGAGTGCATGCGGAGTGCTTCTGAATTCGACTGGATGCGAGTTAAGATGTGTCTGGACGTTGTGGACGTGGAAGAGTCGGAGGCCGGAGAGCGCGCACACCAGGCGTTGGCCAATAACCTCGACCTCGAGCTCAACTCGCGCGCGCACAGAGCGCAAGAGACGGATTCGAAGATGTTCTTTTACCCAACGGTACCACGCCGGCCAATACAATACAATACCGAACGGATAACAATACATAAATACAATAAAACCTTCAAAAATTAAAAAACATAATTTAACCTCAAATTTATTTGTAAATGCAATAGAAGTTGCCTATGTTTAAGTATAATGATGGCCGAACATGTCAGAGCAATTTGTTGCGATCCACAGCCATCAAGTTTCTAATGCAGGTTGATAGATAAAAGATTAGTTCGATTCGTGCCACGTTTTCTTCTCGATTTTCGTCTTTATGATGCGCGCGCTCGCTTGCGACGAGAAAGCAAAAACCGAAAGTACTCGGCCGGCGCGCGCAGCTTAACCTGCTTCCTCGACTGATATAACAATTACAGATGAAACAGTTAGACACACAATTATTACGTATATAAATAAAAAATATATAGAGAAATTTCGCAGATGTATGCATCACGACTTTTTTCTTGTTCGATTTCTATGAACAATACACGCTTAACGAGACAAACAATAAAATCGGATAAAAATCCAATGTGGCATTCACGTGTATCGTGCTAGGGACGAGTTATGCCGTAATAAGTTCGAATGTTAAAGGAGCTCGCGATCGAAACGAAAATTAACGATTACTTTCACCGGTCTATGTACGAGTACCTACTCTTAATATGTGCCATACTCGTTCATAATTTAAAACGCAAACAATCGCCCACTTTTATTGCTAAACATAAGGAAGTTATTCTATAGGTTAATCCTTAAAAATAACTATATTTAACTTGGCGGAATATAATTTATTCTTTATCCTTGATGATTGATGAAGTAATTTATTTGAAATCACATTAATTTGCACATAAAATTGCAGTGATCTGCAAACGAGCGAAACTGTGCGCAAAGTAGGAGCGTAAAATTTTAATACGAATATAATGAGCGCGTCGAATCGCCGCGAATGATTGCGATTTGTTTAAATAATCGCCCGGCGAGAATGTGTACCAGTACCACGCATGTGCGCCGAGGCAATATGGCGCGAGCGTGCGCACGCCGACAGTTTCGCTCTATTTCCCTGCGACGATGTCAGCGAGTTCAGTTGGTACGAACACGACCGACATGCAAATTATTTAATTTTTATATGTTGGTATTGCTGATTTTGACAGGTTTGACAGTTTTGACACTTCTAACCTCACTTTACGACTAGTAAAATGTCTGAAAAAGCAAAAGCACACACTTATACAGATACAGATACCGAATGTGCGAGTGTTGACTAGCAACACGCTGGCCGGGCTCTCTGCTCCTGCTGCTGCTGCTGCCGAAGAAGAAGAAGAAGCCGGTCGGTCGGGCGGACGGTCGGCCGCTGCGCGGTTCAACGAACTCCACCTGACTTACTGCTGTGTGCTGCACCGACACGCGTGCACCACGCGCTTGTTGCTAGCGCGCGTCCACCGAGAACTCAAGCTGAGCTTTCTGCATCATCATGCATTGTAAAGCGCCGCAATGAAGAGAAAAAAACTAGGTTTAGGTTGGTAGAGTCGCTGCGCAAACAGTTGGTAGCAATGGCAACGGGGTTATTTTTCACCGGAATAACACCTAACCTCAATTATGAACTGTTTTTTGTTAGTTTTGTAATGGATTGCGCATTGGGGTAATTAACGCCCTGGCGTGTCGTTGAGGACGATTCGGAATTGCGATTAGGTGAAAAGCGCTTCGGTTGGTACCACTGCGTCGCCTGGTACATCCTCCCGCTGAACTCAACTCAACTCGAAAGCTATTTACATTTACACGTCGCATAATTTTAAATCATACCAACTCGAAAATAATTACAATAACCTATTTCCAGCGAGTGTAGAATTTATATTTAAGATTTTATTTCTTGGGGTTTTCTTGCGATTTGTGCAGTTCTGTTGAGCGCGCATGTCGTGTGATTAAAATTCAAGGTTGTCGGAATCGCCAGCTCCCACTTGGAAAAGCAACCGGAGTGAAAAAACCCGAACCCACCACAACTCCTCGCTCTGCACACACAAGCATTGCAAGGAAGTCTTGCGAGCGCCATTGCGATAGCGCTCGCCCGCCACAGTGCTGCCAACCGCGCGGACGCGTTTTTGTCAGTATGTACTTTACACGCATCGCACGCATTACGCACGGTTTGCGATTGCTAATGAAGCAGAAGAGGAGCTAAAGCGGCGACAGCCGGAGAACCTGAGGCAGGTGATGTGCTGCACACCATTCACGCATGTAATCGAATCGTGTAATTATCTAGGGTGGCGCAGGCGCATATTCGATACAAACACAGCTTGAGGGTACTTGTCAAAAAACAGGAAATTGTTGGATAATTTAAAGCTTTTTAAAAAGACAGGTGGTGTATAATCGCGATAAAAACATTAAAAAATAAATAAAAATAACTAAATCTAGTGACTTTTGGTGTGAAACACTTCATAACCTATTATAATATATCACCAAATGAAGTAAATCATGTATATTTGTTTGCATACATTGAAAATGAGCTAATAATCAATTTATTATTACTACCTGAATAATATTAGCGCGAAATCATGCTCGAACGTGGTAATAAACAACGTTGTTATGATTATTACATAAATAATGCTTGACTGCACGCGCGAATTAATTAGACTTTGTGTAACGCGTGATAAATAACGCGAAATTAGACCAAGCGATTGGTTTTCGCCGCGGTTAATTAGAAATAATTGCCGCGGGTATTATTATCGTGATTATTTGATTTTCGCGGATTGATGTTGGAATGGTTTAACAACGTTTTAAATCCTGCACGCGATTTGTATGCTAGAGAAAAAATACTGAAAACAATATGGAAAAGTGAAAAGTTTGCCTGTGGGTGTCTCACGAACGTTTTTGACGTTTTGGGCTGGCGTGTTGGGGCGCTATTAACCGGCGAAATTCGACAAATAACGCAATCACTTTCGAGCACGATGACGACGCCAATTCGGGCGTCGCGTTGATTTTACTTTGTTTTCACGCAGAGATAATCGTAAAATGACGAAATATTACGTTTTTTTTTTTTTGGTTTTGGTTTGTGATGTTTATTGGATGCATATAGTTAATATGTAATTGTGTCTCGCATCCGCTTCGTAAATCTCATCCGCCCACGACGCCGGCGTCGAATTTATCGCGATTCGCGATTATTATCCGTGCCAACGTGTGATAAAAGTCCGCGCAACGGCTGAAAGTGGCACGTTAATGAGGCTGAGCGCCAGCGCCGGACTCTCTGCCTGCGTGTCAGTGTGTCAACTCTTCGACCGCAAGCAACGATCTTGAAATTCGTCGATTTCCGAAATCGAAAAAATTCGACTCGAAAAAAGTAGTTGGTTTCCGTGATTTGGTTTCGGTTAAGTATTACGCGAGGGACGTAATAAAGTTGTTGGGTTTATGGGTTTGGGAGAGTGGCTTTTTTGGGACGATCCGCTGCTTTGTTTATGGTAATTCGAATTCGCCAAAAAACCAAAATGGAAAACAAGGCAAGATCAAGTTTAATCGTTGCGACAACTGGCTGAGAATGTCTTCATGGATGCCTGTGTAACATTTACGACTTTTTGTTTTACGGATTTCGATTTGTTTCGTGATTAACACAAGCGATAAAACCAAAAAAGTTTGACCCAAAATATAAAAACATAAAAAGTTTTAAATTTTAGTAAAAAAAAATTATACAAACCTTTTGAATTGATTTAAATCCCTAAAAGTGTCTTTTAACTTTCAGGAGACTCAAAAAATCCACTTTTTCTTAATTCCTGCGAAGACTACTTCCAAAATTTGCTGATGACATTAATCCAAAGAAGTGAACACTACCCAACACTACAACACTTTGCCTCACAAGTTTTTGGTAATGTTCCATCCACTGGTTCGGTTTAAATAATCAAAATTTGTTATTTTTTTATGTTTTATCGTGTTTAGCACGGACGCGACGCTCTCCGCCGAGGTGCGTGTGCGCCGATGAGCCTCCGAAAGACAACTGGTAAGTCCAGCAACTAGCGAACTGCTGCCTGCTGGCCTGCTGGCCGCCGTGGCGTCGTCGAAGCGGGGCCACGCCGCGAACCGGAGGGAGACCCGCTAGAGCTTTAACCGAAGAATGTTTTTGGGCACCTCACTGACTCATCCAGGTATAAAAAATCGAATTTAAAATATTTATAAATTTTCGGAACAAAATTTTAACTTCTGAGTTGAATTTTGAATTTTTGTTTGTTTCTGGGACACTCTGTGTAATTTCACTTTCAACCCAACTCATTCTTGTTAAAACTTTTTATTCTATCCATCTTGTTAGGTCAAAACGTAGATAATACGACGTAGACATCGAAAAAACCAGCGATGATCTCATCCTGGCTGACCACCCCAACCACCCGAGCGTCACAATTCACAACCCTTTTCACCGCCCCTCAATAAACACGCTCCGTATACAATATATTCGCTTAACAAGCTCGCCGCAGCCAGATTTGTTGTTTCTTTACCCTATTGTGGACCTTTTTGTATCCTTTCGTATTCCTTATTGCAATTTCCATGCTCACTTCGGTCGTTAAGTAGTTTTTAGTGCGCGTTTTGTGTCTGTTTGACTATGGAGGCTGGCGAGGGTGTGAGGAGAAAGGGTGCGCCAATGTTGCTGCCCACGCGAGACGCAATATATAATTCGAAGCGCGCAGACGAGACACGCTTCGGTGTGGTGTGGAAAAAGTCGATTGTGCTTTTGCCCCCAAACAATCCCAACCCTCGTTTCCCAAGGTTTGCACGTGTGACCTAATGAAATCCTTCAACATGTAAATTTCGTTTTTGTTTTTCATTCAAAATGTGTTGGAAATAATTGGAACGGCGAGACAGTTTATGAGGTAGGTAAAAAGGTAAGTGAATTATTAATTATGCGCATGTTTCAATTGATTAACGAATAATGTCATGTGGCTAAAGTGGAGTTTTTGTCACGAGACTGATTAAGTTTAATCAATCGAGTGTTCAACAAAGTTTTTCTAGTTTTACTTTATGTAAAAGCACCGCAAGCTGCTCCTCGTGACTAAAACCCGTGACTAAAGTATTTTAGTCACGTCTTTAGCCATCTGTGTCTTAAAACCGTGAAAAAACTTGTGCTAATAGAAAAAATTTAAATGCACTTGTGATTTATGTGTTTTTAATTTGTTTCTTAAACGATTAAGAGTAATTAACAACTTGTTGTTTAAACAATAGAGTATAATAAACTTCAGCGCAGATCAAGGAAACGGTATTGCTCAAAAAAGCACGAACGTGATTGATTGCAATTAACTTTTTTTCGTAAACGCTGAAGGTTTTAAATTAAAGTCCGCGTGATTTTTCCGCTTGCTTTTTGTCAATGATTCTAATGATAATTAATGATTCGCGCTTAGCGAGTGTTTAACACGCGTGTAAATTACTACTACTATGATCAAATCATAGCCATCATCTCCGTTCGAGACGTTTTTCGTGACTAATCGATGAGCTAACTAATTCCGTTTTTGTAAACTGCGATTTAATTCAATAGCACACGAGTTGTGTGCGATTTCATTTGTTCTCATATCAAATCAACTCAAACGGATTTATTTTTATTACTTGTCTTTAATTGATTTGAGTTATTCATGTGCTATTTTTAGTTTTAATTTGTTTCTCGAATGTTTTCGTGCAGATTTTGTTTATGTTTTGTCGATTGTTTATTGTTTGTCGTGTCTTCTTTGGTGTTTCGTGATTATTCAATGTCGAAGAGCAAGGCGATTAGTTTAATTTGCGGTTATTGATGATTGCTGATTGCATATTACTTATTGCTAATTCTGGTTATTATTAGACGTGTTCAAGGCATCGGCGACGATGCGCAAATGTTGGATTACGATGATCGTTCGCAATTAAATTTACAAACAATTCCGTTATTATTATTGGCAGAGTTATAAATGCTTTTAGTGTTTACAAATACAATAAACATTATGAACAATTCCTATTCAATTTTACTAGGTGTAATTTGGGTTGCCTATAGTCTCGATATGGTTTTTGGCCGAACAACAGGGTCGAACTTAGTTTGTTAAAATATTTTCGGTCGAAAGGCAGGGTCGAACTATTTTGTTAAAATTATGTTCGTGCGAAAATTTTGGTTGAAAATTTTCAGGAAATATTTTTGGTCGAAAGACAGGGTCGAACTCATTCCGGTAAAATATTTTCGGTCGAAAGGCAGGGTCGAACTATTCAGTTAATTTTTTTCTTCCTCGAAATGTTGTGAAAAGATTTTGTCATAAAAAAGGCAAAAGATTTCTGTTTTTTATGTCGAATGCAGTTTTCAGTAAAAATGCCAATAGGGCCTAAACGGTTAACGTTATCAAAAAGTTACTTAAATAATCGATGTAGAAATAAATTGTCTATCAGAATCCGAAAACAGAATTTCAAAATTCCAACATTTAATTTTCAACATAAAAAAGAGAAATCTTTTGCCTTTTTTATAACAAAATCTTTTCTTTAAAAATTTTTTGTGCCATTTTTAAGATTTTTCAATAAGGATGCCATCTTGTAGGCAATTTTTCAAGGATCAAGAATATGTAGTTCTTTTTTTTCTAGTCATTTTAGTTGTGGAGATAATTACTATTTAATCTTTTCAATTAGGCTATTCCGACGGAATGTTAAAAATTAAAAATTGGAATTTTGAAATTCTGTTTTCGGATTCTGATAAACAATTTAATTCTACATCGATTATGTAAATAACTATTTTTGCTTACGTTAACCGTTTAGGCCCTATTGGCATTTTTATTGAAAACTGCATTCAACATAAAAAACAAAAATCTTTTGCCTTTTTTATGATGAAATGTTTTATTTCAGCAAATGCAACTTCTGTAATAATTGGAATTTTTTAATTCTGTTTTCAGATTCTGAAAGTAGATAAAATTTTGAACCGGAAACAACTAACACAATTCTAGATTAAGGCCCTATTGGCTTCAGAAATTATTTTTTTTTGTTAAAATTGCAAATTGGTAGGATAATAATTACTTCAATAATAGATATGCTATTCTGATTGATAATTTAATTCTACATCAATTTTTTAAGTAACTTTTTTTGCTAATATTAATTGTTTAATAATCAGCACTTTGTTGAATGCTATCTCTTTTAGTTTAAGAGATATTAATTATCAGAAATCGTCGAAAAAAACTATCAAGCACCCCTTCTTGGCAATTTTTTTCTTAAGAATTAAAATTTCATCTCTCCGATTTCCGTTTTAACTATCCTATCTGATAGAGATTGGTCCGTAGATTAAGACGCTGCGATCAGATCTTATTTATCTCTTTTAGTTTACGAGATATTTGCGATTGAATAAAATGGGCAAAAATTGAAAAATGTCACTTTTTAGCACTTTTAGTCGCGTGTTTTGACCTTTTACTGTAGGAAATATAATTATTTTATATTTTTATCTGATAGAGAATCTTCCCATCTTTCATAATCAGCGATTCGTTGGTAGCTATCCCTTTTAGTTTAAGAGATATGAATTTTCAAAATTCGTCGAAAAAAAGTATCAAGCACCCCCCCTTGGCAATTTTTTTCTTAAGAATTAAAATTTCATTTCTCAGATTTCGGTTTTAACTATACTGTCTGATAGAGATTGGTCCGTAGATTAAGACGCTGCGATCAGATCTTAAATATCTCTTTTAGTTTACGAGATATTCGCGATTGAATAAAATGGGCAAAAATTGATAAATGTCAATTTTTAGCACTTTTAGTCGCGTTTTTCGACCTTTTACTATTGGGAATAAAATTGTTTTATATTTTGATCTGTTAGAGAATCTTCTAGTCTTTCATAATCAGCAATTTGTTGGTTGCAGTCGCTTTTAGTTTAAGAGATATTAATTATCAAAAATCATCGAAAAAAATTATCAACCTAACGGTTAATCGGATTACATCAATACTCGATATAGAATTTAATTACCTTTCAGAATTCAAAAACAGAATTGAAAAGTTCCAATTACTTAGTTCAAATGCTGCAAAAAATTTTTTAAATATTTTGAAATGTCAAAATTTTTTATTTTGTCCTTCGTCCACGCATTAAATTCGAAATATTATCAAAATTTCAAAGTTATGAATATGTTTAATCCTTAGACAATTTCATGCATCATCGCTACAATAATTATGCCGCTCAGAATCTCCACAAAAATGCATAAAGTCCGATTTAATAAGCTATCAATGAATACATGAATAACTGATGAGATTAACAAAGAATTCGTGATTATTTTTATATTTACAACGAGAAATATTACTAGAATGCTTGAGGATGAGTAATGTGCGCATAATTTACACATAAATTACAATAAAATTAAAGATCCGACAACATTATTCGCATTATTAACGTATTTGGTTCAGAGTCGATGTGTTTATATCTTTCTGATTTTATTTAAACACAGATAATTGTCCGTTGATTTTTATTAAACAGGAACGTTATTGACAAGGTCGTTCGGTTGTGTTTAACTCCGATTTCGAGAGTTTTCTCTGTTTGGCGAAGAGCATTAGCTTACACCAATATGTTTGCGTTAACATTTTGCGTTGTTCGCGGACATTTCGCATCGGTGGCATGCTGCATAATTGTTGTTATTAATGAAATTGCGTCCTTTTGTGGAGGGCGCGCACGGTTGGGTGTGGGCTTGCGGTATTGGCCGTAATGAGCGTGATTGTAATTGTGATGGAAATTGAAGCGAACACGCCGCGATTAACATGCATTATTCTAATTACAATCGGCGATGGATGCGATGGTTTTGTACGTGCCGATTGCAATCGCGTCTGGTCGCACCTTTGTTAATTCAATCTAATCAAATCAATCGTTGTAATAATTTTTGGCTTTTTTTTGCTTTTTTAATGATTTTGAAAATCGCTTTGAATGAATTGCAATTAGCAGGCGCCGTTTGTAGTGCCTAAATTAATAATGCTGGCCAGTCATAGTAAAATAGACGTATATTTTTGTTTGTTTGTAAACAATTTTTTTATCAGCGTATCACACTGCGTATCACAGTGACCGTGTGCTGTTGTCGTTGGCTGTGTACAGTTCCATTCCGGTCACCGTAAGAATCGCGCGTGTTCATCACGACTAGTTTTGTTTTGTTTATAATAAAATTAACTAAATCGATTTATAATTAATAAACAATCCACGGTATACGGTCGTGAATCGAGTTTTGTTAGTGTGATTGCTCGCGTTAAACATTTATCAATCGTATCAATCGTTTTTTCATTGTGAATGTAAACTAAAAGAGATAGAAATGAACGGACTACAGATTCTTTATCTACGGATAATTTTTATAAAATAAAATACATAATTAGATGGGAAATCTAAGGCATGAAATTTTAATTCATAAGAAAAAAATGGGCTGTATAAGTTTTTTGAGCATTTTCGATAGTGAATATCTTTTAAACTAAAAGAGTTACCGACCAGCAGATTGAAGATTATGAAAGATTGGAAAATTCTCGATAAGGTAAGGATTTAAAATAATTAACTTTCAACGGGTAAAATGTCTAAAAACTTGACTAAAAGTGCTAAAAAGAGCAATTATTCATTTTTTATGTTTTTTTCATGTTTTTCAATTGCGAATATCTTAGAAACTAAAGCAGGTGGGAGAAAACAAATTGCAGATCCTTAATCTGTGGAAAATTTTCTATAAGATAAGATAATTACATTTAATTAATAACAAAATTTCGTGTGATAAAAGTCAAAAAAGAAAATAAGACGAATCGGTAGTAATTCATATCGAAAAACGTGAAAAACCTTATTTATAATATTTAGAATAATAATAAATATTTATGTATCAGTAAACTCAACCATACTATTTACAAAAAAAAAAGATACAAACATGAATCTAAATTAAATATTGAGTATTTAACATAGGCATCCCGTATTCACCTGTATTGATGTGCTTGCCTAGTATGACTTTCCTTGTATTTTGGGTTGCCTAAAGTGAAACTCTACAAGTATCCTTAATATCAACTCATATACGTTGATATTAATACCAACGTCTTGAAATCAAAAACATTTTTATCTTATTTTCTGCTTTATTTATTCTTTACATAAATATTTACATCTACATTATTTCTTTCTCTAATCAAATATAATGTATTTACATTTGATTTAGTAAATTTAAAATGCTTAATTCACATATCATTCGAAATAGTTGTTTACTTTCATGCTAGTAAGTATTTTATCTCTGAATCTGCTTAAAACATTCAAGGACACTCCTATAATTTGCATGAAGTCCTTCATTCTTCAATTCCTCTCTTTTGATTCCTGCTTTCTGTGGAGCTGGGAAGTAGAGTGAAATCCACTTCTCGCGCTTCCACCGCTTCCAGTCCGCGTGCGCCCTAAATATAACCCACCCCAACGTGAGCGATGATGCAACCGGGATCTCCGTCGGCAAGATGGGAATATCACGTTAATGTTCATTACTTCCTTCCATCTTTCGTTACTTGTGTTTACTTGTGTGCGAGCCCACCAGGCACGCTTCAATCTTTTTCAATCAGCGCGCTACAAATATAACAATGCCAGATAATCTATCAAATGTAATAAAATGCATTTATTTTCATTCACATGGAAGAAATATATTTGTAATGTTGTTAAAAATTACTAAAACACATTAAAAGAACGAATAAAAATTAGTTTCAAGTAAAAATGGTGAAGATTTTCAAGAAATCGACGAATTTTAGTCAAAAAAATGAAAAATAATGAAAAAAAAGATAAAATTGTGATTATTTAAGAAAAATTAATAATTTATTTGTCAAATCTCAATATTTCACTCAAAAAAGCAAATATTTTGTGATTTATTACTACAAAAATGAATTAATTATGTTTATCTTGTAATAGCATTGAAATTAGGTTATGTCACATGATGAAAAAATGGCCGAGTATACACTAACCTCAAAAAACATAACGTGAACACAATATGGAGTACAGAATGAAAGGGAAATGGTAAAACCTATTCTCCGAAAACCGACAGCACCCAAATCACCGCGAAATGTACGAGAGGCGTTGCCAAAACATAAATTATTGTTGTGTTTTCCCCTCATTCGCAAACATAAAGCAAGAAAAACACTTACATTAAGAACATTAAATTTCAATTTCCCTTCGGATAATTAAAATGTCAACAACTCCACAACAATATTTTATACGCACATCTAACTACTTTTTTCGTAGCAGTAGATTTACCGAATTTATTCCGCTGACATTTGTATTAAAGCCTGCGAAAAGTTAAAGTTGGCAATTTTTGGCGAGCGCGCGGTTTGCGGAACTGAAAGTTGTTTCGCATTGCTGGCGTGCTCGTTGAGACGATCAACCACTCCAACATCGCTTTTACATCACGCTCGAAGCTCGAAGCCTTCCGCTTCCGGCAGGCGGTGGTATTTCAATGATAGCCGCCTCTGCCGCCACCGCACCACGCTGTGTTTTCACTGCTTTCACTGTTTGTATTTCTGCTTAGTTTCGGGCGCGTTGAGAAGAAAGAGTTTATTGATATGTTGCGGTGTTTCATCAGTGATAAGCTTTCCGAGAAAAATAAATGCGATAAAATTGAATTTCTTTCGCTTTAAAACCCAAATAATTTACGTGGCTATAAAAGCAACAACTTGCGAGTACTTGCGGAGAGTGAGCACACTTGTATTGGAGTGTCTTTTAATTTAAAACGCATTTCAGTGGCGAGCGGTGCGCGCAATGAAATAAAATAATACGAAGCCGCAAATAAAACGCGAATGATAACCGGCTCTCGTGCGCTACTTACGCGCTATACGGAAGTAAAACGCGACTTAAAACATCTCGAGAGAATCATAACAAGCTTCAATGCTTGCACGAGTACTTTAACGTGCACTTAGAGCTGCTGGTACGCTTCGGAATGCTTCGTTTCATCAACTTATTCTGAAAGCCTTGTTGGCAATTGGGAAAAATATGCAAAGCTGTAACTTTGAATGTTAAAAAATAAAATTAAAAAATTTAAATAAATTTTCTTGTTTTTTTGCATTTTTCAGTGGAGCAATGTGTTTTTCAATGTCAACTCGTAATTACGAGCATGAAAACGAAAGCAAAAATTAAACGAAGACAAAATGCAGGTTTGTTGTAGTTGTCGTTGGATTTTTTGATTTGTTTTATTTTATATTTTTCTTTTTGTTTTCATGCTGAAGAGGAAAAGTTATAAAAACAAGAAAGTTTCCGAACAAGTTCAGTAGTCTTTTATTACAAGTAGTGATACGAAGAAGTGCTGGAACCAAGAAAATATGTCGTATAATTATTATTATTTTGAAGACAAAGACAAAAATGCTACAAGTACATCTCAAGAAGAATCTACAATCACCAACGAAATAAAATTAAACACCACAAAAGTAAGTAACAAAAAAAAGCAGTTAATCATGGAATTAAAGATTTTATATGAATCATAATCATTCTCTTGAAGATAACGTAAGTATGGAAAAAAGGGAATAACAAAAGAATCAGCACATACGCAAATAATGAGTATTGATGAGTAGTCTATGGGTTTGTTTGCGGTGATAAAAAATTGGATAAAATTTGCTATGAAAATAATGTAGGTCAGTTAAATTATGAAAATTATTAGGGTTATTGTGTCCCAACTAAAACGCAAGCAATAATGAACAATATGTTAACAATTGTTAAACTATTGTTAAATTACAGACATAACAATCATAATAATCAAACACAAAGCAGCGCAATTTTTATTGCAGCGGATTTGCTTATCAACAAATACATGAATAATGCGGTGAATAGTTCATGTTGTGGCGTGACTTAAGTAACCTACGTCAATAACAATTTAAACAAATTTCAGTAATTTATTTTCAAACAAAACCAAAAACTGAATTATTTTTGGTTCAATTTGACGTTAATTTAATAGATGACTCAAACGTCTTTCTTTCCTTCCATTTTCATTTTCATTTAGTTAATCAATTTTACTATTACTTCATCAGCTGCCTCCAACCCACGCATGAATCTTCTTGCCTCATGTTAAGTCAACTACACGAGAAGTAAAAGTGACGAGCATTGAGCACTTGTAACCATTAGCTGGTATCGCTAGCTTTGTCTTGTCGTATGCATGTGACTAAACATGAAGGCGGAATATTGAGTTTAACGATTTGACTTGACTTTACTTAAGCCAGTAGTCACAAGGCGGCCGTTGAGTACACACGGCGCCACGCGCATTAAACAAACCTGAATCAAAAATGACTCATAATTATTTAAACGGTAATTTACGTAAAACCGCGTAAAATTTTGCATAGTCAGTGCAATAAATTACAGTTAAATTACAAAATCATCGTGTTTGTGTTTTCATTCTCATTCTCATTTCTGTTTTGTGTTTTGTATTACGTCGGTGCTACTTATCTACGAGTAATACCTGGTGAACAATCGTCACAATTGTCGTCTAGTTTATGTTTACGTGTGTTTGGAGAGTTGATTCATTAATTATTCGAGCGAAAATCCGCTCTTACCGAGAACCATAAATTATCCACAGCAGGTAGAATGGCGAATTAAAAACTCTGCGCGGTGTATAAATTTTTACCTGTGTTCAACGCGCAGCATTTCAGTGCTGAGCGCGCGTTGCGCAGGTGAAGGTTGAATCGAAGAACAAGTTTTAGTATCATCCGGTTCATAAAGTGCAACACAACACAACGAAGTTTACCTTCAAATTCTGCAATATAAAAACAAATAATATTAAAAATTATCACAAAAATCTTTAAATATTTAAATGTTTTAATTTTATAAAGAGAAATTAAGTGAAACTTTCCGCGCAGGTAGAAATCGAGGTCAAATTCTTTCTCTTAATACCTCTAAAATTATTTCAATAAACTGATAAACAAGTGTACTTAACATGTGCGTAGAGTATGTTGGTTCAGCGATAATTTCGTGTGTGTTGCGTGAATATTAGCGTTTTCGTTGACAAATATCGCGCGCCACACGTTCTGGTTGTTTAATGAAAATTAATTGCACGTGAAAAGGACGGTAGCAGGGCTAAAGTTGACAAACGCAGAAACGTGCATTGTGAGCGCAAATATTTGTCATCTCTACACGGTAACGATGTACGAGTACAATCCGCACAGGCCGAATCCGCATCATGCGCATCACCATCACCAAAGACATGATATGCGTGATGTGTACACCATCAGTAATCCGATGATGTTTCATCATTCACATCCACATGTATGTATTAATTATAGTAGAAATATTTGTCATTATTTGGGTTTTATTGCTTTAAATTGAAAAATATGTAAAAAAAATGAGAAAAATATGAAAAATTTATTTATTTTAGTAATAAACAATTAAATATGGATAAAAAAGATGAGGTTAGGTTAGGTTAGGTGAGGTTAGGCAACGCGCGCGGAGGGTAGCAAGTAGATTAATTTTGAGGTTATGTAGTTTTATATAGTTTTAAAAGTTTCATGAAACTTCTTTTTGCTATAACTTTTGACTCAGAGCTGCTGCAATATTCATTGAGGTGTCAATCGATAGATAATATCAAGATCTATCAATAACACATCTCATATATTCTTGCTAAATTCTAATAGTAAAGATATTTGGACTTAAAGTCAAAATGTCAACAAAAAATAACTTAAAACCATCAAAAACCATGTTTTTAATCAATTTTGAGGTTAGAAATTCAAAACTATCTCGTTTTATCTTCTAATACAAAAATTCCTGTTGAAATATTATGTTATTAAACCTAATAACACACTTACAAGCACTAATTACACGTTAATTAAATTTGAAACGACTCTCTACTTCCAATTTGAAATTAAAATTCTTCGCAATTATCAATTCCATTTGTTGTTTGCATGTGTTTTGTTGACTATTATGCTCGTAGTCCAAGCATTCAACCACTGGCCGCCGATTCGATTAAATATATGCACGACTTGCAGCTGAAATTACTATTCAATTTCGCAATCGCGCGTTCGGCCGCAAGCGGAAATGATAAAGTCGCGCTTTAATTAACTTTAATTTGTTAATTCGGCTTCCTGTCGCGCTGGATGCTGCCGGGCGCTGATCGAAAACGATTTCATCCAGAGAATTAACTCGTCAAACTTAAACTTAATTTCATTTCAGTTCATTTCATCTGATTGAGTTTTAAAACTTTAAACTTTATGTTATGACTAAATTTATTTGAGGTTTAGTTTAGTTTGTACAAATATTTTGATGTTTTCTTTTTGCTTATCTGCAAAAATCAGATTAGAGTGAAGTACTCGTATGTTTGGATGCGTCGAAATTTTAAGTGTCTGCTTAGAATTTAAATAAATAAACATAATAATCGTCAATGTTGTAAGATATTCAAATGACCTTGACAAGGTTACCTAAAGAATTTAAAAAAAGAAGAAAAAGTGTGGTTTTTGATGTAATAATTAATAAATACAACTTTTCTGGCTTATTTTGAGGTTTAAAACATTTTTTTGTGCATTTTTGGCTTAAAAAAGAAGAAAAAACGAAGAAAAACGTTTTTTTACAGTCTTTTGACAACTGATTATTCAGGTATTCTACCTGAATACCACTAATTGTAATTCTATGAAGACAGGTATGAGACACGAGACAACAATTCGTTTAATTCACGCCTGACTCATATTCAATTGCGCAAACTCAACGCGTCTCGCCAGCCGAGTATTCCAAGCGTGAGTCAATCACAAGAAATTTGATTCCGTGTTCTTCGCGCCCCGGAAGTCTGTATTCTTTGTTGTACCTTGTGATATCTTGCAATATCAATGTTGCTGCATTGCGGAATTCATCCGATTGTGTTCGCATTTCTCATTTGGAGGCTTAGCAGCGCATTCCGCGAATGAAGCAATCAAAGAACCAAACAACGCGTAATTGAAGCTGCGGGGCTTGGCCCAGATACGCGGATTAATCAAAACGTAACTTGTACGTACAATGACGCCGAAATTGAAAGAACGTTATTATTTGGAATGGATTGAAATAATGAAAATGACGACTGATTAAAATGTTGATGAGTGGGGTAAATATTGAAATGTGCACTCGGATTAATTAAATTTCATATCGGAATTGAGTTATAACTGAATAATCGGAATCAATTTGATTTGTGAATTGAAAATTGAATTATCTATAATTGCACACGGTGAAATAAATAATCAGTGGTGAAATTGATATCGTTATAAATATTAAATAAATATTTAGCAAATATATTATTCACTAGACACAAAATAAATAACAGATTATTAAGTATCAAGTGGTTAAATGGGAGTTTTAGTCACGAGTTTAATCAATCAAGTATTTAACAAGGTTTGCCACGTGATGCTACTTTAGTCACGGCCTTGGTTGTCCATTTAAAATAAAACATTTTTTGTGTCTAAAAAACGTGTAAAAAGTGGTGCTTTAAAGGTGAAAGTAGAAAAAAAGTCATTTAATTCGAGTAGCTCTTGGTTTATAACCTAAAATATTATCAATTTATCAATTAATAATTGTAGTTCTTTGTATTGTTACTTATTGCTTGGATAATTTATCAAACTAGAATGATATATCAATAAATAAAGGCGGGAAGAACGATAGAAGGGAATTCGCAAAGAAATGGTAAGAAGAGTTGGTTGGAAAAGTGGGAATTTGACCGGTCAGTCGTTCCACTAACGGGTTTTTCCTTTTTTTCATGCCTGATAAACACAATGATAAGAAATGTACAACTAGGCGACGGGCTTGCTTTTACATCCTGAATTGCATTGCATTAGTAAGATTCGCGTCGGCAGTGTCACAAAACACTCGAAAAGTGCTTAAAGTGAAAAAGTTAGAAAAAGTTTCGCAGTTGTTTGTTCTAAAAGGTAAATAATTATAAATTAAAATAAAAAGTAGATAATTCTTTTCCTTTTTTTGATAGTTAAATAATTAAAAAATTAAAATTAATTTTTTTTAAATAAAATTATTGAATAAATGATAAATTATTATTCATTATAGTGATAGCTTAATAATCTATCTATATATAATATATAAAAATGAATTGCTGTTCGTTAGTCTCGCTAAAACTCGAGAACGGCTGAACGGATTTATCTTATCTTGGTCTTGAATTATTCGTGGAGGTCTAGGGATGGTTTAAAAGGTGAGAAAAATTCGAATAATTGCCGGGAAAATCCTCAAAACAGCTCTTTTCTATAGAATAAAATTTGACATTGAGATTCAATCATAGTTATAGTAAAATAGTTGAATTCGAGATGGCGCGCTGAAGTGCATTATTGACAAAACTTTATATGCATAATTTCTTTAAATTAAAATTGCTAATCTTATTGATAGAATTGACTCTTACTACGAGTATGTCTAGAACAAGAGAGTAAAAACGAATTACATTTTTATTAAACACTGCCGGAACGAAGTCGCGGGCAACAGCTAGTTCATAATAAATTATAATCCAAGTGGCATTCAATATTTAAAAAAATTTAAGTGCCCCTATCCTGTGTGCTCCGGCGTCATTACTTCATTAATGCACACATACGAGTACCAACTCGTAACTACCTACGCACACACATTACCGAAACTGAAACCCGAAGCTAAATCTGTCTCTTCAACGACCGCAACGCCTGACGCGAAACAAAAGGGCACACAACGCGCTTAATTTACGTATCCCTTCTTGCACACGCATCCAAACTACTTCAAACTGTCGGAAGTACATACCTACGAATATCTACTATGCATACACTTCTATCTACGCCATTATCTGGTGTTATCTTGCCTTTTATACGACTGGAATGTCTTGGAATAGGTACAAGTATACCGAGTGATTCAGAGAGTAGGTAATTCTGTGAAAATTATTACTAATATTACTAACAGGGTGAGGTTATGATAAAGAAAATAAATAATATGAGGCATTATTAGAAAACATTAATGTATCTACTGAAAATCCCTACTAATATTATAAATGCGAAAGTCCTGAAGTTTGTTACACTTTCACGCAAAAACTACTTAACCGATCATCATGAAAATTTGTACACATATTCTTAGTGGTCCCCGAATGGTTATAGGCTACTTTTTATTTAATAAAAAAAATTATTTTTTAAATAAAATAAAGAAATTGTTTAGCCAATAATACCTCTGCATCTGGCTATTTGACTACTTTAACGCCATCTAGCATTCCAGCAATGAAGCTCAAACCTAAGTACTATAGTACCATCACACTGTATTATCACACTGTATTACCGACAGCTACGTCAACATCAAATCCAATTGACTACACTATGGAGACTGTACACTATACTTCCATAGACTATACTTTCAGCCATTTTAAACTTCCCGCCATTCTACTTCATTGTTACTTCTTCTGTGACTACAGACGCGTACGGAAGCAACTTCATTATTTTAGATATTCGCGAGCGAAGCCAAGGGTTAAAGCTAGTTATTAATATTTGGTTTATCAAGTGATTAAAACTTTTTACATTGATAAAATAAATCAATATTAGTTTATATAATTAATTTTTATAATCAAATAAATTAAATAAATATTAAAAACGTGTTTCTACGTTTAAATATTTAATTTAATAGAACTCAAATGAGGTTATGTTCTTTTTGAGGTTAAATCAACACAAAATGACAGATACTTAATTTTACATGTTAATCTATGAATTTTGGAAGTTTTTTTTGGAATTTATGCGGAATTTTATATCAAAAACGTATTTTCAAAAAATATTCATGTTTTGTCATGAAATCGAGTGACATTAAAACTAGCCTGCATTGTATATTTAGTTCGAGTGTTTATATTGGGGGAATTAACCGCCATACCCAAAGTAGCGTGTATCGTGCACCGTGCACCGCGCTTATATTAATTGCGAGCCCTTTTTCATCGTGCATGCGAAATATTAACCACGGCGTCAATCCCCCCATAGTGCACACTTCTTGCTGCTCATTTATCCCATCCGGGCTGCGGGGACGACGAAATGATTCACTTCCAGTGTGGTTCAAACTTTGTTTCGCTTCGGCCTGCAGAAACAGACGCAAATTCACAAAATCAATCAAATCAATAAATAAAATATTAAAAAATTAATTTGATATAAATTTATATAGAAAGATATTTGAAATGTTTACCAAGTGATAAAGCAAACAATTACGACATGGATATCAGTGCTAGCAATGACGCAAAGGTAAAACTCGAGTTTTTTTTTAATTTTTCAATCTCTGTTGAGATACGAGTATGACGAGTGTAGAGTAGACATGTAGACATGTGAGCATTAGTAACGTTAGCAATGTGTAGATTACTAGAATAAGTCAATTTATGGCATTTTATTTGAGAAAAACGTCAAAATCTTAAAAATCAATCAAAATATTTGTCATTTTGTGCGTAAATCGTAAATATGAATAGTGATCATGATACAGACGGATATGAAAGTGAAATTGTAAGTAAAAAGTAAAAATCATAATTTAACCTCAAAAAAGTTATATTTATGTTCTGATAGACCAAACTGTCGCACTCATTCTTATCTCAATCGATAAAATATCACTCAGGGGTAGATAACGTGACAAATTTCACCTTTTCAAATCAAATTTTTATTTTTTTCACTAGTACTAACCTTAAACCAAATAAAACGTGTTGCCTACACCTACATCTACACTAAAAGTATGTATAACAAGTTGCCAATATTAAAATACGGATATGAAAGTGAAATAGTAAGTAAAAAGTAAAAATCATAATTTAACCTCAAAAAATTATATTTATGTTCTGATAGACACGACTATCGCATAGCTTCTTATCTCAATCGATAAAATATCACTCAGGGGTAGATAACGCGACAAATTTCACCTTTTCAAATCAAATTTTTATTTTTTTGAGTAGTAGTATTAAACCAAACAAAACGTGTTGCCTACACCTACACCTACACCTATACCAAAAGTATGTATAACAAGTTGCCTATATTAAAATACTTGTAATACTAAATATAAATCCCAAGAGATAACCTTGATTTGTAAACTAAATGTAAAAAGACAAGGTTACGGTATTTATTGCATGCATAATGAACTTGTTGTTGTCTTACTCTTGCTTCTCTCAATAAATCTCCATATGTGTTGGTTTACTGATAAGAAATAATAATACAGCGGCTTTGAACGTCCGTCAACCGATTGAGACGATCATTCAGTTACTCGTATTATTGTGTGCTGATCACCAGCGCGTCAATTAATCGAACGCCGGCGTTTCGCACGTGAATAATAATATTATAACAAGACAATAACTAGGAAAATGTCCAAAGTGAAATGGGAATTGTTACGCAGCGCAGACTATGGTTCAACATCGCATTTGTCGCTTGTTAGTCATGTTATGAACTGTGTCATATTATCTCTTATAAGTTGTTAAGATTAGAAACTGTGATTCATTTTATTTGTGAATTTTGTGATTGTAGAAATTTATGTCATCAGTTTGCTATCTATCTAATAATTTGTGTTTTTACAGGCGGATCCAATGGGAAATGCGCATGCAAAACGAACGCAAGTCGCTGCACTACAGCTCAATGATTCCAGTGCTTCGGAAAGGATCAATGGAGGCATGGACCACAAGGATATTCAACGCAATAGTGGATCCAGGCTATTCCGGCTTAAATATGTGATTAATTTGGTTTTGGGTTTATTAGGTGAGTGTTTTTATTGTTTTGGGAGTTTTATTACTATATAGGCAACCAATCATACGTAAAATAACCTAAAAATTTAAAAATTTAGCAAAAAATCAAATTTCAATGCTTTTTAGAGTAGAAAATACGTTGTTAAAACTTATTTTTAAAACTTATAAAAGAATATAAGTGATTATTTTGGTTTTGAGTTAATTTTGTAATAAAATTTAAGATTTAGCGCCACCTACGTATAAATATGAGTGTTATTGTTATATAGGCAACCAATCATACACAAATTTGGCTTAAAAACTTTAAAAAATCCAAAAATTATCAAATTTATAAGGTTTGAAGGATAGAAAACAATCAAAAATAAGTTTTTTAAAACTTATGAAAGAAAATATGTGATTAATTTGGTTTTGAGTTGATTTTGTAATAAAATTTAAAATTTAGCGCCACCTAGGTATAAATACAAGTATTATTACTACATAGGCAACCAGTAATACATGAAATTTTACCAAGGCAAAACTAAAACCTAATTTAACCAAACTTTTAAAGTTTTTAAACGATAAAAACAATCAATAACAACTTTTTCAAAACGTCTGAAAGAAGGTGTCACCACTGTCAGCGTTTCTGAAAAGATTTTTTGCGCTCGTTTACGGAGTGTTAAAATGTCCGCACGTGATTGTGTTTTATGTTTATGATGGATTTCGGCTGCGCTGCGTTGCGCTTATTGAGTGCCGCGCCGGATGGCGGAAGCCGCGAGTTAAAATTTAATTAATCTCGCCCTCGCCCTCGGCCGACGAGTGAGTGACGCGTTTCGAGAGCACGCAATATGTTGACGGCACTCCCTATCGCCTTCTTCACCCTGTCAGCCGGCCATTTTTCATAAATTCATAAATTATAAATACGCATTCATGTCACACACAAAAAAAAAACCGCCAGAAATAAATACTTAATACTTTCAAGAGCAAAGAAAATATTTTCGAAGATTTATTGTTAAAGTTTACATGAAATTGTTTAATCGCTCATGTCATTTAGTAAGCGCGTCGTGTCGTGTAATTGTTATGCTTTTAAAACGGCGTACTTTGCTTGGAATTGGTTTTCTTGCTTCCGGCGCGCCGCCATTTGCATTCGCCAAGTTTTAATTTATTCAAAATGTTCGTATTATTCAACTTTCACGCATAAACAGCTTAATGTCGTCTTAAAACGATGAACATGCAGTGATATGTTGAAAATTTTAAGCAAAAATAGTAAAAATCTTCATTTTTAATACAAAAAATGTATAACAAGTTGCCTATATTAAAATATTTCATCTAATAAAAGAATTAAACGACAGCTGAGGGCAAAATATAAAAGAATAAAACTAATTAACCATAATTATAATAAATGTCTTGAATTACACGCATTTAACAGCTTATAATTGTGGTTAATTAATTAATTACTGCATTATTACCATCACCAGACACGTGCTGCCATCTGCCGTAGCATTATTTAATTAATTTTTCTTCATTTTCAGTTACTGCTATTATTTCCGGCGTCGAGTTTGGCTTTCTACCTCATACAAAACAATCTTATATATGCAAAGATCCAAAACTTTCATACAAATACAACGGCGATACAATTCGCCCTTCAGTATTAGGAGTGGTTTGTGTCCTCCTGCCGCTTGTGACATTTTTCTGCGTGGAAGTACTACGCAATGGCCGCGAATGGAAAAAAGTCATACCTTTAATGTGGCGCTGGACACGCTTCCTCTTCATTGGTAACATTGTCATCAATCTGTTCATCACCGAAGTGTTGAAGTCGGTTTTTGGGGAACCACGGCCGCACTTTTTTGACACCTGCGCCCCTGATGCTACTGCTTGCACAGCCGGTGACATTGTCGAAAGTTATCGCTGTACAAACTCAATATATAGTTTCATGGTGATAAGAGACTCGTCAAGGTCATTCCCTAGTGGGCATGCGTCGTTGTCAGTATTTACATCTGTGTATTGTGCTGTAAGTTGCCTAACATGATTTTTTTTATTTTTTTTTATTTTTATTAATTTTATTATGATTTTTCAGGCTTATATTTATTATAGGTTTAAATCACCGTCGATAGACTTTGGTTCACTGTGTAAACCATTCACAATGGCGCTGGTTATGCTTTGGGGGCCTGCGTGTGGCCTGTCAAGGATTACAGATCACCGCCACCATTGGTGGGATGTGTTATCAGGGTCTATACTGGGTGTTATCACCGCTGTCTTTACTATTTATGCTTTGGCTAATAGATTCCGCGCTGGTGAGAAACACCGGGCTAGTTTATCTTCTACGAAATTATGCGATGAGAATAAGGATGAGTTAGTGTAATAACAAATTAAAAGAAAAAAAAAAAAAAAGAAGAAAAAAGTTGCTACACAAAATTACAGATTTCTGTAACTTTACTACTGCCTGAGTGGTTGAGATGAGAGATATGTAGTGAACATTGAAGACGTAACTGTTATTTATTTTTTATTTATATTTATGTGTAACTAATATACTCGTAAAAGTATTATTTATAGTTGATACGTACGTGTGTGAGTATTGAGTAAGTTTTGGTAAGTAGATAGTTAATTTGTAGTTGGAAATTTCATAGAATTGATTTTTGCAATTGTTATGAAATGTTCTTTGAAATTATTGACTGATGAGATTAGTTATGTATTGAGGTTAGATTGGTAAGAATATATTGTACATGACGAAGGGACAAATGGTTGCACTAATTTTTAATTTATTTTTGCTTCCAGCGGTGAATATGAAAATGTTTAAAATGAGGTTATTATAGTTTCCTTGACGGCGTGTTGCGCTTTGTATGCGCGAAAAGGAAGCGGAACGTGAGCGGAAAATTATAACAGGCGTCTAAACAGCGAGTCTTTCAAGTTACACGGGAGGAATATAAGGTATACAGTGTGTTGAAAGGATTTTAAAATATGTGCTAACATGTATAAATTTCGTGGGGTAAAAGTTCAGAAATCGTGACTAAAACAGCTAATTTTAATAAATTAATTGCGATTTTCTCACAAATTAAATGAAATATGAAGGAACGGATTGAAGATTCTTATTCTACGGTAAATTCTCTATAAGATAAGTTAGTTAAATTGGAAATTTAAATTAAATTGAAAAAATAATTAATAAGAAAAAATTGGCAAAAATTGCATCGACGTTTTTCGATAATGAATATCTTTTAAACTAAAAGTGATAGCAACCAGCGGATTATAGATTATGAAAGATTAGAAAATTCTCTATTAGACAAAAATTAAAAATAATTTAATTTCAAAGGGCAAAAGGTCCAAAAACGCGACTAAAATTGCTAAAAAGTGCAATTTTCTGATTTTTGACCATTTTTCAATTGCGAATATCTCGTAAACTAAACGAGATAGACAAGATCGGATTTCAAATTCTTAATCTACAGAAAATTCTCTATAAGATCAGCTATCAGTTAAATTATATATCTAAGAAATGATAAAATTAATTAATAAGAAACATGAGTGAAATGCAAGCGCCGTTGAAATATCAGTAAGCGTGCTTGTAGTGCCAAAAATTAGTAATACTGCCAAGTCATAGTAAAATAGACGTATATCTTTGTTTGTTTGTAAACAAGTTTTTTATCAGCGTATCACACTGCGTATCGCAGCGGCCGCGTGTTGTTGTCGTTGGCTGTGTGCAGTTCTATTCCGGTCACCGTAAGAATCGCGCGTGTTCATCCCGACTAGTTTTGTTTTGTTTATAATAAAATTAACTAAATCGATTTATAATTAATAAACAATCCACGGTATACGGTCGTGAACAGAGTTTTGCTAGTGTGATTGCACGCGTTAAACATTTATCAATCGTGGCGTAATTGTTAGTTCACCTGTGCGTGTTTCCTTTCCATGTTTTTCAATTGCGAATATCTCGTAAACCAAAAGAGATAGAGAGGAACGGATTGAAGATTCTTAATCTACAGGTAATTCTCTATAAGAAAAGTTATTCAAATTGGAAAAATGTGCAAATGTGGCAAAAATATTTAAAAAATAAGAATCCACGAACACATTGTATAATTCAAGCTCAGATAAGTGGTGCACTTGAGGGGTGCACTCACTCATGCACTTGTAATTCAGCTCATGCATATGAATCGAGTGCAGCGTTGGTGGAAGTGAAGAGGCCGCAGCCGGTGAGCAGGATAACGAAATTAAATACCATAACAGAATTTGCAAACACCACGTTCCGCGCCACGCCACAAGCACGCACGTACCAACGCCGCGCGAATAGAAAACTTTTATTGCACACGCCACCGAGTTGAATTCTTCCTCGCAACACAAGCAAGAGGAACGAAAATAGAATAAAAAACGATTACGAATTAGTCGCGGAGAAGTTTAGAGATTCCTTCGGACTTGGACTTTGAAAGGAGTCTTTATTCCCCGCTTTAGTTTTCCGGGTTTTCTCGTTTGAAGTGTGCGCGCCGGCAATTTATTCGGAATTTATTCGACACGTTCGGCAATAAAATATCGCTATTTTATGCTAGCAAATTTAAATTTTAAATTATTGCTACAGTTGACTAATCCCTACTAATATTATAAATGCGAATGTCCTGATGTTTGTTACACTTTCACGCAAAAACTACTTAACCGATCATCATGAAAATTTGTACACATATTCTTAGTGGTCCCCGAATGGTTATAGGCTACTTTTTATTTAATAAAAAAATTATTTTTTAAATAAAATAAAGAAATTGTTTAGCCAATAATACCTCTGCATCTGGCTATTTGACTACTTTAACGCCATCTAGCATTCCAGCAATGAAGCTCAAACCTAAGTACTATAGTACCATCACACTGTATTATCACACTGTATTACCGACAGCTACGTCAACATCAAATCCAATTGACTACACTATGGAGACTGTACACTATACTTCCATAGACTATACTTTCAGCCATTTTAAACTTCCCGCCATTCTACTTCATTGTTACTTCTTCTGTGACTACAGACGCGTACGGAAGCAACTTCATTATTAAAAAAAACAAAAATTTAAACGTTTTTATCATTTTTAAGCCCAAAAAAGTCAAAATTAATTTTTTATTCAAAGCACCGTAGTACTTCTACTCCTGACGTAGATCCGCAAAGAGAAATGTAAAATTAGCCCCGATTAGTCCAATTAAAATTGATCCATGAAATCAATTAGCGTGCGCAATGCGACGCCGCGCCAGTTGGCGGCAAAGTTTCGTAATTAACAAATGTACTAACAACTATTCCACCACCGCCACCGCACGCAGCGCAAACATTTAATCAACTTAATTAGCAAACATAATGCGACTTTTAATGAATATTACAACCTACAACCCTTTGCTCTCATTTTTTCCGTTTTTTTTCTTTGGGGCGCAAAATATCAATTTTATGTTAATGATTCTTTCTCGGGGGCCGGCAAGGTAAGCCGTTATTATCTTTGGCGGCCAACATCTGTTGCAGCCTGCTTTTTCCGTGGAATTCAATGACAAAAGAGGATCAAGCGGGCGAGGGGTGGGGGGAAATGAGGCAACGGTCGTAAAATATTACGTCCCATTACGCCATTACGTCCCGCCTGGACGCGAGCCGAAAATATAAAACGAAACTAATCAATGAATGCGACGTTTCATGCGCCAAAAATGTATGCAACTCAAATCTACGTATACACGCATATAGTAAAACATGTATATTGGGTTGCATACAGTGTTTTGCTTATATGTATTGCTTATTATGGCTACAATTGTTATTTTTGTTTAAATTTTCAAATTTAATACGGTCCTGTATCAAAGGGGCCAAATATCGCCGGCATGTCGCACGTTCCCCGCGTATATTAAACGACTTGACAGAGTTATTTCCAGTTTCCCTTCGCGTGCTTTCGCGTATTCTCGTCCCGCTCCTGCGTCTGACGTCCTTCACTCGCTGCTGATTCCGTAAGACTCAGTATTTAATATATTTTCCCTTGCAATTTTCGTCCTGTCGCAGCACGCGTGCTATCTGATAACGAGTGTGTCGCTTCGATTGGCAGTATTATTGCACGTGCGAGCCGAGCTGAAAATCGAGCAAGAGTTTTCCGGTTGTGTGCAATTGTTCGCAGCCGAAAAAAGTTGCTGTTCGCAGCTCGTCGTCGTCCGGGGCATTGTAAACCGGAAAGTTTTTAAGTGATTGAAATGCGCGCCGGGAAGCCGTTCGTCGTTCTGCATGCGTGCGTTTTCGGCGTGTAGTTTTATTTCGTCCGGAAAAACTTTCTACTTTGTACGCGATGCTGTTTTCTGATCCATCTCGGCTCGCGTCGAGTTTGCTTCAGTAAATTTTTCAGGAAATAATGGCGCGAACGTGACTACTGCACTTTTTGAGACGCTATCAAAGTGTTTTTGTTTTATGCTAAAACAGGAAAACCGGAAAAGTCATGTCGGCGTCATTAAAAATATAGTTTAAGAAAATGTACATGAAATACATTTTTATGTGTTATTTTATATAAAACTGCAAAACCGGAAAACCGGAAGTCATGTTGATAACAAAAAATGGTTTAAAATGTGAAAGATTTGTTTTAATTTAAAGAAAGTATTTTTGAGACGCTATCAAAATGTTTTTGTTTTATACTAAAACCGGAAAACCGGAAGTCATGTTGATAACATCACAAAATGGTTTAAAATGTGAAAGTTTTGTTTTAATTTTAAAGAAAGTATCGTAGATGTAGCGTAGATGAAACCGGAAAACCGGAAAACAAAGGCCGGAGTGAGTTAAAAAATAGTTTAAGATGAAATGCGGCACGCGCCACGTTCACATGCTCGGAACGTGACTGCAGAAAGAGAAGCAACACAATAATGAATTTGTTGGCACGGTCCGGACCGCAGGCGGGCGCGCGACTCACACCGAAAGGAAGCTGCCGCCGCCGCCGCCCCCCGCAAAAGCATAGTCTCCGCATCACATGATGTGGGTCGATACCGGCCGCCCCGCATCGCGCTCTCTTCCCAGCGGCACTGTGTCACGACGGCGGGCTGCGCGTCGGCCGCTGCGCCGCTGCCGCCGCCGCCGCCACCACCACCATGGACAGTGCACGTCGTGCCGTCGTCGCGGAGAGCACGCGCGCCGCGCCCGCCGAGGACACACACGCGCGAACACCACGCAGTGCCCGTCCACATCCCAATCCCAATCAATTATTTAAACAAACGGTGACAATAAACAACCAAAAATCAAAAAAATCTAATATGAATAAATAAATAATATGACGGTGGTCCTCTGGCGTTGCAGGCGCGTGATATTGCACACATGATACTTCCGCCACTTCCGGTCTGTGTGTTTGTGTTTTGCTGTGCCGAAAATAAATATTAAAACAAAACGTGTGGATGAAAATGTAGTAATGGCGCGTGAATTCTACACCCACACGGTAAGCATGTATATTTGGTTGCCTACCTCACCAACATCAACCACCTGGATATTCTCAGGTACCTGGACCTGGCGGCCGTCTCCTTGTAACCCGCCGACCGGAATACTTTGGTCAAGTAATGGCAGCCCTCGCCGTGTCCTTGGGTCCTTTTGCTGCTGGTCTAGGAAAAGGTTACAGCTCACCAGCAATCGCTTCCCTTCAACAACGTGACGCGGAAGCTTTTCCATTAAATGGTCAAGCAGCATCCTGGTTAGCAAGTCTTTCACTCCTCGGAGCACTTTTCGGAGCTCCCTTAGGAGGTGCAGCTATGCGTTGGGGCCGTAGACGTACCTTGATCCTAGCTGGTATACCTCTATCAGTGTGTTGGTTAATCACCGTGTTTGCATTCAACGTGCAAGTGATTTGCTTCTCGGCCTTCATGAGCGGCTTCCTCGTAGCTGTGGTGCAATTGGCCTCACAAGTCTACGTGAGTGAAATCGCAGCTCCCAATATCCGAGGAGGTCTATCCGCTTTGACCAAAGTCGCTGGTCATGCAGGAATGTTGATAGCCTTCGCCGCGGGTGCTTTCCTTGACTGGAGACAACTCGCCGGATTGATATCCCTAGCACCCACGGCAATGTGCGTCGCTATGTGGAAGGTCCCAGAAAGCCCCGGGTGGTTGGTCCTTCGGGGACGTGACAGGGAAGCAGAGGAAGCCCTGAGATGGTTACGTGGAGGAAATGCGGATCTAAGAATGGAATTAGGGGCTTTACATGCACACGTGCTGGCACGTGCCGTACCCGTGGACCCAAGGGTCTTATACCGTACATTGAGGAACCCAGCGATGATTGCTTGCGGATTGATGTTCTTCCAAAGATTCTCCGGGGCGAATGCGTTTAATTTTTACGTGGTGAGCGTATTCAGCGAGACCTTCGGCGGGACCAACCCGCATAGTGCTGCTGTGGCCGTAGCCCTAGTCCAACTCTTATCTTCTTTATTATCCGGTCTGCTGGTGGATAAAGCCGGACGTCTTCCGTTGTTGGTCGCATCCAGTGTGCTAATGATCCTCGCTTTGGCCTCGTTCGGTTCATTTGCTTACTATGAAGACGCCAATCCAAATGCGCAGCCGCAACTAGACTGGATCCCATTGTTATGTGTGTTGGTCTTCACAGTAGCCTTCTCTCTAGGCATCAGCCCAATATCCTGGCTGTTGGTTAGTGAATTATTTTCGCTGGAACACCGTGGTTTGGGTACGGCCCTAGCGACTGCGTTCAGTTATCTCTGCGCGTTTGTCGGCGTGAAAACCTTCATCGACTTCCAGGAGTTGCTGGGACTCTACGGGGCGTTCTGGTTGTACGCTGCTATCTCAATATGTGGTCTGGCGTTTGTTATCTGCTGCGTGCCTGAAACCAAGGGGCAGGACCTGCAGGCGATCACGGCGGTGAGGTGATGGACGTATGACCTGCCGGCGTCGCATGCTATCCAGTCGATCAGGAAGCTATCCGAGCAAAAATTCTGCAGTTTGGAGAAACGCGTCACCAACGACAACGGTATAGCTATCGTTTTAGTATAACCACACAAAAAACAGAAAACTGCAAAAATAGGTTAGAAAACTACGTTTCATGCTGAAAATGAAACTAGTTTGGAGCGACGTGGATAGATGGCAGGTTAAATGACAATAAAGTTGCATACAGTCGCGGGAAATTTCCTAACGTAATTTTTATCGAAGCTATTGCATAGCTCATAGGCACTAGAGCGGCTAGAAACGCTGTCAAAAATGTGTAAGTAACGAAAAAGCTTTTTACATTTATCTTTTTCAACTAATACGCAAAGATTTACACGAGGAATAATCACGTAAAACTTAACATTTACTGCGCTTAGATCCCGATTAGAATATATTAGAAAAAACACAAACGCTGGTCGTTTGTGGACATAAAAATACTCGTAGTCTCAAACCGCAACCTTCGCGATAAATAATTAAATAGGAAACAAATAAAACTAGACAAAGAGTACCTTCGGAATGTACAATCCTATTACTCGTATATCAAATCGAAGAGTAGAAGATGTTTTACGGATTCATCGCCACTAAATTAAATTTAGCATTGAATATTAACTTGAGACCAAAGCGAATGAAGATAATTCGATATCAAATCAAATTTATTTAAGTGCTCAATAGAAATATTTACGACAATAATGCAAATGCAAAGTCGAAGACAATAAAAATTCGCAAGAAATAAAAAAAAACGAAATTCTAACAAATACATTTCAATGAGAAGATTTTACTTAATCAAGACAATAAGATGTGTTGCGATGAAATTTATTAATGATAATGAACTAGACATGTAATCGTTTTCCAAGTAGTCAATTTTAGGTGCTAACAAAATGACATAGCTAACGTGTACTGTACATCTTTCGACCTCTCTTCGCATTCGTGACGATTTTAAGACGAAGACGTGTGTTTAACGAACGTATTTCTAAGGTATCTTATAAGAAACGCGAGTTTTGCGCGCCAGTGGAAACCTTGCACAGCTTTAGCAGAGATAATCAACTTGTTTTCTACGTATTACCACAACGCGTGTCCTAGTCTAGTGTATAGGTTAGGTTATCTTTTAGTAGAGACTAGCGGCGGGCAGATGGCGCTCCACGCAGTGACACAATATCAGCCATCGTGAGTTCTTCCAAACAAAATGAACAAAATCAAAGCGTATTTATTGAATTCTATTTTTTAAACACACATAACCTATAAATCTACGTGATATTTTGTGATTTGAAAAGTTTTATTTTGTTTACATCTAGTTGGAACGATGAAATATCAAGAGAAGAATATTTTTTGTTTTTGCTTGGAGTTTTATGCTCGAAAACAATAGAAATGTAGTAGTAAAGTTGTGAGAATGAATTTGTATGATGAAAACAAACTGTCCATTTCTATCATAACGACACGTGAACAATACCAACTTAATATGTGAATATGCTAGTACAAATTGATGATAACACCACAAATGCCGCGTCAGAACTAAAATTAATCCGTTTTTGGATGCGAGTATTATTTATGTGCCATTAAAGTTGCCTAGCTAAAAGTTTGGTTATGTTTTTTTGTTTTTCATATCTTAATATCGCGCATACTTTTAAAATGTCGTGAAATATATATGTGAACAATACGAGCGAAGGTTGGGCATTAAAAGCACCAAGAATGACGTCAATGGGCGGGTACGCATTAAGCCCGGATAATGAACACGACGCAAACGTATGAAAAAGGGATTCTATGCATTCATATACAGAGTGTTTCACTTTTTCACTTCATTCGCTTAATTTAAACATAAAATTTTGCTTCTTTTAGAAGTAAATTTAGTTTTGGGGTTTTTAGAAGTAAAATTAGTTTTTTAAAATGCTTGGGACACTTTGTATGTATACTTATATGCATTACGCCCACGGACGCCTACCAATAATGCATTGTTATTAAACAAAACGATTTCCGAATATAAAAATATCAAGATATTAAAGCGGACAATAAAAATGTGAGCATAAAAATGAAAAATGGGCAATCGATCAGTGAAAAGCTGTCAAAAATAAACATTCAACTCTATTTTTTAATAAATTGGACTCGGAATATATCATTCATTCATTTTTATAAGTATTTTTAAAGTATTTCTGCCTAAAATCTTTAAAAAATCAAAATTTAATGCAAGAAGAAAAAACCGTGACTAAAACTCGTGTCTTAAGTACTTTAGTCACGACCGTGTTTAAATTACCACTTTTTATGTCTCAAATTCAATTTCAACTCTATTTTTTAATAAAATGGACTCGGAATATATCATTGATTCATTTTTTATTGCATTTTTAAAGTATTTATGCCTAAAATCTTTAAAAAATCAAAATTCAAGTCAAAAAAAGTAACACGTGTCTAAAACTAGTGACTAAAGTACTTTAGTCACGACCGTGTTTAAATTACCACTTTTTATGTCTCAAAACCATGAAAAAACTTAAAATTTTTCAGTTTTCAGTTAAATTTACTCCAAAATGAATCAAAAATAAACCCAGTCTTTTTTAAAACTCGTAAAATATTAGAATTAACCAGTTTTGTGTCAGTTTACCAATGAATTATGACACTTTTGTGTACCACTGTCCAATATTTCAGCTTGTATTTTCGCCTGTTTCTCATGTACGCGTAGCAATTATGGCAATCGTGCGTGCATGATAATTAATGGCCACGAATGCGTCTGTCAATGATATAAATGGCTGCGCATCGATCATTTGCGAGCGCACGTTAATTAACAATTCGCTTCCGTTCGGCCCTTCGCAACAATTTCTGTGTTATTTTTTGATTTGTGACTCACTCACTCACAACAAGAAGATGAAATATACGACTACACCACTCAAATTGATATTGATGGCGTTCTACTAAATAAATAAACACACATTTCGATGCGCAGCTGTAATAACACGTTAAGGGTGACACAGGCTGACATAACAACATGACCACCAAGAAAACTCAGAGATAAAACTTGATTTGATAAAAATATGACAGCAAAAATAACAGACGGCGTTGATTTGGTTGCCTATGTTATGTTATGATTATCTAATCAAAGTGTACATATCTTACGTTATGGCTAATGTGAAACTATTGTACTGTTGAAATGTAACATGTAGATGCATTGGCTGCAATCTGAACTGTCAGAAGTTGCGGCATTGTTAATTACGCCGCTGATTAAACGCACCCGCCGTGCATGGGTTAATTATGCGCGATGACGCGCAGCCGGAATACACAATTCAACATTTGCATGAGATGAGATGTGCAGGCGTGGACGGCGGCGGCGGCGGCGGCTGCGAATTGTCATCATCGAACGATTCCGGCGAGCATCTGATAAAATAGTTGCCTATTCAGCGCGATGCCCAACTAATTGACGGCGCGCCAATCGATCGCCACTGAAACTAACCTCAAAAATCATACATTTGAGTGATGCGGCATTCTGTGATTCTCTATCAAACGTAATACTTACCAAAAACCCAACATAATCAAATAAATAACTTATCATGTTAAAAATGTATTTAACTTAAAGTTAGACAACTTTAACAACAATCGAAACTTCTGTACTTACAATTTTTCCAATGTTAAACTTTTCAAGTTCACCCCGTATAAAAGTTTCAAACTTTACTTACTTACTTACCCGCAGTTGAATTTGTTACCAATATAAAATATAACACTAGATGATAACGTGTAGATGATGTGCTTTGACAATAATCTGGTTCTTGATTGATGACGAATTTGAATTCGAAACGAAAACGACAATATCAATGACTCAAATTGTGCGAAACAAAAAGCTAACCTATAAAACCGTATCAAATGATTGTGCAAGCAGCGGAGATCGCCTCAATAATGAGTCAAATATGTATATCAATAAGATGTCTTTTTATAATAGTTTACTTTTTTATTAGAAAGTGAAAAATAAAATTTAATAAAAACATTACGATCTCATTCAGTTCGTGTGTTATTTTCCTGTGTAAATTACCCAATAAACACGCTATTACAATTTTCCAGCGTGTAATTATTTTGGGTCACGCAATATTTCAATTTTGAATCCTGCAGCGCCATCTGGTGGTCATCCACTCAGGTTTGTGTGGTTATTATGTAAATTTCTTATTATTATCGAATTTAACCGTAATTTCTGGTTGGAATACAAGTAATTTAATGAGAATTTAAATGATAAACATGGATTACATGTTTAATTGTCGATTGTACCTAATTTACGGTATTACGCAACTAAAAATAGTCATTACTTCATGCGATTGTCGTGAATATAAAGCCACATTCAGACTTTGATTGTTTTGTTTGTTACTAGGCGTCAAAAATGATTATTTTGCAAGTGTTTTGCTTTAAAATGCAAGACAATATAATAAAAATACAAATATACAGGTTTATTTATTGTATAATGCATTAAAATTATTGTTATTTGTTGGTTTTATTTGATGATAAATGACGGGTGTGTGAAATAGGCTTTATAATGTTTGTCACATGACAGGTTGCCAACGCGCGTGGACCAATCACGCAGCGCCAAATACATTCGTCCAGGCAGCCGTGTCGTGCGGGAGCAGCTCGCAAACTGGCTCGTCGATGATGATTGCAATCGCGGGCCTGCCAATTGTTGATAAATAATGCACGAGCCGTCGCGGCGTTGATCAGTTCCGAGCGAAAATTCCAGCGTGCACTTGAAACATTTCCGTTTGCGTTCCGAACCGTCGTGACGTCTACATGATTGTTCGAGGTGATTGTGTGATTGAAGCAGCAGGAAAATCAGTGCAGTACAACGCAGTGTGACCAGTGCGCATTAATTCGTGGATTAAAACGCGATTTCATATCAAGGCGCGCTGGTTCTGAATCTGAATCCACACACGACGTTTGTTTGTGTTTGTCAGCGGGTTTTGTTTACGATTCTGTGTGTGGTGTGTGTCGCCATTATTAAAAATTCGTTGCGGAAGTCGCAGGAAGAAGAAATTTTATCCGAAAATGGAATTGCCAGTCACGCTTATCGTCAAGGCCCCCAATCAGCAGATTGAGGATCAGACTGTACAGTGTGAATTGACTTGGACAATCAATATGTTGAAACAACACTTATCTGAGGTCTACCCAAGCAAACCAGTAAGTAAATCAACAAAAACAACGAAAAAACGCACAATCCACTAATAAAATTCCAATTTTTAGCCGAAAAACGAGCAGAAATTAATCTATTCGGGTAAATTATTGAATGACGGTGTGGTTCTCAAAGATATCTTGAGGCAGTATGAAGGACAAGACACACATACAGTTCATTTGGTCTGTACACCAAAATTCAGCCCGAAAACAACCAGAATTACGCCTGCGACAACTCCAGCTGAACAACCCGCCGTGGAGAATCTCGTCAACAATGCAAGACCCACGGTGGCGGATCATCGAGTGCCCAATATGCAGTGGTATGATAATATGCAGTTCAATAATGTGCAGCCGAATGTCCAGCCAGCGCCGAATATGGATCCGCAGATGATGCAGATGATGATGATGCAGCAGGCTTTCATGCAGGCGTACTACACGCAGTATCAGTACATGAATATGAATTTGTGAGTAGATTTTTGTTGTTTCTGTGATTGATTTCCGCTGTGTAATCGTAATTTGCGCGAGCGCAAAGAGGAAGTGAACCGGACGAGATGATTATTGCCGGATTGCAATAGATGCAAGACGCAAGACGCAAGACTTTCACTTTCCGACGCGGTGCATTTCGCATTTCTCTGCCGGTTGAGTAACGGAACCGAGTAACAACTTTCGATTCTGTGTTATTTATTTGTGAAATTGGTGTTGGTAGAGAGGAAAATTAATTTTTAGGGTTTTAGGTTATTTTGGGTTGTAAATGAGGTTATTGGCTTTGAAATTCGTGTTTATTTGGTGTAAAATGATAAAATTGCCATGGTTTTGAGGTTAAGTGAGGTTTTATAGGTTTTAATGGTTATTTGGGTTAAAAATTGAAAAAAACACTAAATAGTAATGTATTTTGGTAATTTTAGTAGTACCACAACTTTAAAAAGAACGAATTCCCCTAGTTTTGTTACTAGTTTTATTGTTTTTATGCATAACTTGCACATTTTAGTGTATTTTGTAGGTTAGGTTAGAACAGATGACATCAGCAGAGTTATAATTCGAAATTTTGGTAAAATTTTTGAAATTTAGTCTGTAAATAAGCAAAATTTAGTTACTTATAGCAAAACTACATGATTCTAACCTAAAAACTTGCAATTTCTAACATTTTACATGTGCTTTTCATCTTTTAGCAGACAAAATTACACAAATCAACCACAAGATGTCCCCGGTGAAGCCCCAGTAGCACAACCCCAGCCACCCGCCCCACCAGCCGCCGCCAACCTCCCGCGAGACAACCCCGAACTAAACCGCGACTGGCTGGATGTCTTCTACATGCTCAGCCGCACGATGATATTCATCAGCATCGTCTATTTCTACTCCAGCCCTGTGCGCTGTGTGGTAGTGGTAGCACTCGCCTTCTCCCTGTATCTCTACCAGATCGGATTCTTCCGCAACGTGAACATAAACAACAACAATATCGTCGCAGGTGATCCGGTAGCTGCAGCAGCTGGCGGAGGTGGCGCTGCTGATGCACAGCCTGCGCCAGCCGCGGCTGGCAACGATGCGCAAGATGTCCTCCAACCCACACGCCTAATGATCCTCTGGACCTTTTTCACGACGTTCTTCGCCTCACTCCTACCCGAGATACCCAACGTGGTTTAGAAGTAGCAGCATCACACACGCCCGCGATAGCGTTTACCAAAAATATTAAATTCACCAGCGTTCGACGACGACGACTTTATTATGTTCCATGTGTTGTAAGTTGTTTGGTGTATCTGTACATAATGATAAAACCGGGGAATGTTTGCAAGTATGAAATTCATAGTTGTATATAGAAATGTTTAGGCAGGCCGCGGCAATGATATGCTTTGGATTACATAGCGTGGTTTCATTTCGTGTGATCTGGAATGTGTTTTATCATCGCGCTTGTTTACACACACACACACACACTCTCTATTTAAAGATGTTGATATGTTGGAACAATCGCTGGTTTTGTTTCACAATTGACGAAATATGAATCTAGGTGAAGATGTGTGATCCGTACATATAATATAAACAGATATTTATAATATTAAAGAATACTATTATTAAAATATTTAGAAAAAATGTGAATTTGTCACAAATTCCTGTTAGTTTTGTTTTCGTGGTGTGTTTTACATGCCATTTGATATTTATTGCTTTTTTTTGCGCTGTGATACGTGGATGATGACGCATTTAGTGTTTTCAACGTGTTTCATTGTTTAATAAACACGCTTTTAGCGCGTTGTCGTTATCAACGGTTATATTTATCAACGCGATAATGATGTTTAGTATAAAACACAGACAGGTGATAATTTTTTATGTTTTAATTTGTATTGATGCATTTTATACTTGTGTGACCTTAATTTACAAGTTTAGATAATTGTTTAGTAATAACTGGATTTTATGGATGTTTTTAGAATGTGACTTGAAATTATTTAGAAAATGGCGGTTTTTGACAGTTATTGTGCGAAAACAAGTTTATTTTTTAATATTTTGAGTAATTCTAACCTAAAATATTAGGAAAAGTTGTAGAACATCAGTTAAAATGAGTTTTTCTGTAAAATCAAGTTTATTTTGCAAGATTTTTAGTAATTTTTAACTCAAAATGATACAAAAAGTTAAGAATATCTTTTAAATTGAGGTTATAAGCGCATTTAATCATGGTTTATCATTTAAATCATTTAACATGTCATCAATATTCATTTCTTCTGTATTTTCAGCAATTTCAACATCCATTTCACTTGTAACTTCTTCTGCAACGGTTTTCTGTGTTTCTGTATTAATCATTTCATTATTTTGCAGGTTATGCAACATTTCATCAAGACCAACTTCTTCTGTATCATCACCACCAACTTTTGATAATAATTCATCATTATTATCATCACAAACATCAACATTACCTCCATCAACTTGATTATCTATTATTTGAGTTGTTTTATCATGAATTTCTTGTTCTATTACACTGATACTAACAGATTCCTCATCTTGTTGCGATGGTAAAACACTGGACACTCCAAGTTTAGCCTCAGCTTGTTCCTGAATACGCCGCAGACGCTCCGCGCGCAACTTCATCGCGCGTTCTTTATTCTCACGAATAATCTGCTTCTGTTCCTCGGTGAGCTCTGGTTCTTTTTGCACCTGTGCAAAACTATCAAAGCGAGCTTCAACACTTTCAATGTGTTGTTGTTGTTGGGGTGTAGCTGTGGTTTCATTTTCATCGTCACTAACAGCAGCCACACGAGGTTCCGCTGGTTCTTCATCTAATAAACCCATTCGGATTCGTTTTATGTAAGTCTAGAATAGAAAAATCATAAAAACATTGATTGGTGTTTAAATTTGTTGAAAAACTTACCATAACAGGCTTTTTATTGCCCAAACTCTCAATTTTCTCAATGCATTGATCAAATCTCATCTTGGGATACAGCCTGTGACACCAATACTCATAGGTTTTAGCATAACATTCAAATCAGCTTCTTCATGTCCTTTCCCTTTGAATTTTTGTTTTGCAAAAAGTGTTGGTAATGCTGTCAAACCTCTAGGTCCTCGCAAAGTATCTGCGTTTAGTTTTGGTTGAGGATTACGCACGACTCTCTTCGGTTTTATAACTCTTCTTGCTGCATTATCATCTTCATTGCCATCAGCTTCAACTTCCTCAACGTCATCTTCGTTAACCTCGCGTTGAACTTCTTGATTTTCATCGTTTTCTTCATCTCCTGCGTCATTTTCTGCATCTTCTTGAAGTGCTGTACGTTCAGCTAACTCTACAATATCTAATTCCCCATCTGAATCCATAATTATGCTTTTAAATTGTTTATTATTTGTTTTGGCGGCAAATGTTTTTATTATAACCACTAATTCAAAAGATACATTAAATTAACTAGTATAATAAGTATATTAGGATGGTTATTCAAATTCGTCGTCGTTTTGTTGATTTACTTGCTCGTTTGCAAAGTTGGTGCTGTTTATATGCGTGAGAAACGAAGTTAAAAGTTTCTTGTTGATGTGATCGGTTTGCGTTGTTTCGCGCACTTGCTGCGGTTCCTGCTGCACATGCGCGTTGGTACCGTTGGTGACATCAGCTGAGTTGGGCGGTGTGGAATTTAATAAGTAATTCTCACGGTTCTCGGAGTGTGCTTCACCATTTGTAGGTGTTTCTCCGTTTTCTGTTGCGTCGTTTATTAAACTCGGCATGGTGATAACTACAAAGATGTGTGCTGATTGTTTTGTAAGATATAACTGGAAATTTCGATTGAAGTTTGTGAGAATGAGGAATAAACCAAAACAAGAAGTATGCAAACTTTCATACATCTACGGCCCGCAGGAACGACCACAGCGCCCCCTGTAAAAACTCAAACAAGTAAAAACGTGTTGGTTCGAGGTTACTTGTCTGTTTTGTGAATTTTCTATAAAATAATACTTTAAAATGGTTGCAGTAAGTTTTAATTTATTAATAAATATCTAAATGTTAATAAAATTTGTTTAAAATTCTTATAGAAAAGTAAATTGGCTAACAAACAGCGATTTAAAAAGGTTGCGAAAAAATCAGCTAAAACAAATGCAAATGCCAAGAAACCCAAGAGACTTCCAAAAACCACAAAAACTAAAGATAAATCTAATAAAACATCAACGCCAGTTATTCAAAAACAACCAGAAATTGACAATGGTGAAGATATGTTGGATATGGTTGATGAAGATGATCTGCAATTCTTGAAATCAGCAATAAACAACAAACAATATTCAATGTTCAATAATGTCAGGGTTCCTGGGTAAGTTAATAGTAATTACAACATTATATAACTATATTTTTATTAATTATTATAAATTAATAGTGGTAAAGGTAAAAAGAAAAAGATTCAGAAAGATGATGACACTTTGGAAAACAATTATGAGAATGAAATTGATGAGCAACCAAAAATCAAAGTCAAAGCACTTTTACCAATTAAAACTAAACAAGGCATAGTTAAAAGAGAAGTAGAACATGAAGATAACAGTGAAGAAGAAGAAGAAGATGCAGGAGTAGAAGAAAATGAAGAAAATATTCAAAAAACTTCGAAAACGGTAAAAAATGCTTATTTATCAAATTTTAACCAAAAATATCTTTTATTTAATAATTTAAAGGTGATGATGATGTATCATCCGACGAAGAAGATTCCCCTGCAGAAAATACCGATGTAGACGTCTCACAACCAATCACACCAGCACAACTTCTTCTCCAACGCGCTGAAATCCTTCAAAAGAAAAAACTCCACATCGGAACATTAAGCTCCGGATTATTAGAAAACCCCGAAGAAAAAATAACAAATTTCCGCACACTAATCAAACTACTCGATGATGAAACACCTGAAGTGTACATAACAATCAGAAAACTAGGAATTGTTGCACTCCTAGAGGTTTTCAAAGACTTATTACCTTCGTATCAAATCAAAGCGCAGGAAACCGACGGAGTTAAACTCAAAAAAGACACATTGAAACTCCAGAAATACGAAACTTCTCTGCTGCAATATTATAAGAAGTATCTGCAGAAACTAGAAAAGTTTGCTGGGGTTTTATATAAAAAACGCGGTGATAATCGAGTGCGCACACAAGGCGAGAAAAACGTTGGGGAAGTCGCCGTGCATGCAATGTGCGATTTATTAATCACACATCCGTATTTTAACTTTGCGCCTAATTTAGTACAAGCAATTGTTCCATTCTTAAATAATGTGAATCGTAATGTGCGGATTTTGGTCGCCACGGCGTTGAAAACAGTTTTCAAAGAGGATAAAAAGGAAGAAATTACTTTAAAGGTAAAAAATTATTAATTTTCACATAAAAAAAACTTAATTTTCTTAATTTAAGATTATTAGAGTGATTAATCACTATCTAAAGTCGCATTCACACAACGTAAATCCGGAAATGTTGGAAATCCTCCTCTCTCTGCGTATAAAAGACGTGAATCTCGATCAGGACAAAGAGATTGAGATCAAAGGTAAGAAATTAAACGCGCACAAAGCTAATATTCTTGCAAAACTATCAAAAAAGGAGAAAAAACGCAAGAAGCGTTTACAGGCTTTAGAACACGAGTTATTAGAAACCAAAGCGGAGGAAAACAAGCAGACAAAGTTGAAAAACCTCACTGAAATAACCAAATTCTTGTTTGGTATTTATTTCCGTATTTTAAAGAGTTCCACAAACACGAAAGTTCTGAGTGTTACTTTAGAAGGTTTAGCAAAGTTTGCACATTGTATTAACCTAGAATTCTACGTGGATATTGTTAACGTCTTGGATAAGCTCCTCGCTGAAGACTGGCTGGGATACAAAGAGAAGTTGCATTGCATACAGACTGTGTTCGCCATTTTGAGCGGACAGGGCGAAGCATTGAATCTGGACCCGACTAGATTTTATGTGAATTTGTACGCTGGGATGTTGGATATACATGCGGGGCGTAATGAGAAAGATTTCGCTGTTTTACTGCGTACGATTATGATTGGTATAATACAACGCAGGAAGAAAATCACCAATAAGAGGATTATTGGTTTTGCAAAGCGTTTGGTTATGTTAAGTTTACAATCGCTGCATGGTGGCGCTGTTGGCAGTCTGGGAGTTGTGAAGAATATTTTACAATTGTGTAAAGCAGCGGATGTTTTACTGGATGTTGATAATGAGTGTGGTGATGGCAAATTCAACGCAGAATTAGATGATCCAGAGTATTGTAATGCTTCCAGTACAGCGTTGTATGAATTATCGTTGTTATCCAGGCATTATCATCCGATTGTTGGTAAATATGCGGTGAATATTGCGAAAGGCGTGCCTGCGACAGGGGAAGGTAGTTTATTACCTATATATGGAAAATGGTAATGTTTTGTTTATATTTTGTGTTTGTGGTATTAATTTTATTGGTTTATAGTACGCCTGAAGAACTTTATTCCATGTTTGACATGTCTGAGATGGCGTTTAATCCGTCGATTCCTGTGCCGAAAAAAGTACAGGTTTCTAATAAAGTGAAGCGTCATGCTTTTGTTGATTGTGAGTTTAGACAGAAGTGTTTTAAGCGCTTGAAGTGTACGAATGGGACATATTTTATGCATATTTAAAGTGCTAAATTAAAATTTATTAAAATTTCAATGGTTTTTGTTGTTTCCAGTATTGCCAACAATTTGTTTTCTAGTGACTTTTAGTTACTTTTATGTTGGTGCTATTTTTTAACTTCAAATAATTTTATTTCTCTTTTCATATAAAAATTGCTTTGTAAAAGTTAATTTTTAATTATTATGAAGGTATTTATTCATATTTATAAGTGAAATTGTTGCAAATACTATGATTTTCTTTAAAATGTGAAATTATTTTGCGGTTTTAGTAATAAACGACAATACACGATTTGTTGATTCGTGTGTTTTCGGGTGCGACGCGCCGCGCGCTTTCCGTTACACAAAGCGGCAGTGATGACGCAGATGGCGTTGGGAATGGTCTCGTGCGGCCCGTACCGCACGATGCGCGCAGCTTTCGTGTGTGCGCCTCCAAGATGGCGACGCTCGACAGCAAGGCTCCGCTTCGGACCGTCAAAAGAGTGCAGTTCGGCATCCTCAGTCCAGATGATATTGTGAGTATCGCATTCCTTACCATCTCCTCTATCTACCGGTATATAATTTATAACGCCGCGATTAAAATTCCGCTCGTAATCAACAAAATAAAATCGCGCCATACAATGCTGTGTTTACAAACACAAGCGCACGCGCAATTGCACATAATTGCAACACACCGAATTCTAAATGCGTTGCCTTCGATTTCAGCGGCGTATGTCGGTCACCGAGGGCGGCCTCCGCTTCCCGGAGACCATGGAGGCCGGCCGGCCCAAGTTGGGCGGGCTGATGGACCCGCGACAGGGTGTTATTGATAGAAACTCCAGATGCCTCACTTGCGCAGGCAACATGACTGAATGCCCCGGACACTTTGGTCACATCGATTTATCAAAACCGGTGTTTCACGTCGGATTCGTCACGAAAACGATTAAAATCCTGCGATGCGTCTGCTTCTACTGCAGCAAACTACTTGTAAGCCCAAATAATCCTAAAATTAAAGAGGTTGTCATTAAAACCAAAGGCCAACCACGAAAACGTTTGGCATTTGTTTATGATTTATGCAAAGGCAAAAACATTTGCGAGGGTGGTGATGAAATGGACGTAGGTAAAGAAGGCGAAGACCTAAACCAGGCTGGGAAGAAACCCGGACATGGCGGTTGCGGTCGTTATCAGCCAAATATCCGCCGTTCTGGCTTAGATCTCACAGCCGAATGGAAACACGTGAATGAAGATTCCCAAGAGAAAAAAATCGCGTTTTCTGCGGAGCGTGTGTATGAAATTCTAAAACACATCATCGATGAGGAATGCTTCATTTTGGGCATGGATCCGAAATTCGCGCGTCCTGATTGGATGATTGTCACAGTTTTACCTGTGCCACCACTTCCGGTGCGTCCTGCTGTTGTTATGTATGGTTCCGCGAAGAATCAGGATGATTTGACGCATAAACTCGCTGATATCATCAAATCCAACAATGAGTTGCAGCGTAATGAGGCTGCCGGTGCTGCAGCGCATGTAATCAGCGAGAATATCAAGATGTTGCAGTTTCACGTTGCGACACTGGTTGATAATGACATGCCAGGTATGCCGCGGGCGATGCAGAAGTCTGGTAAACCTTTGAAAGCGCTCAAGGCGCGTCTCAAGGGCAAGGAAGGTCGGATTCGTGGTAATCTTATGGGCAAACGTGTGGATTTCTCCGCGCGTACTGTCATCACACCAGATCCCAATCTACGGATTGATCAAGTTGGTGTTCCGAGGTCAATTGCGCAAAATTTGACCTTTCCCGAAATAGTTACACCGTTTAATTTTGACAAGTAAGTGATTTTACATACAAATTTCCCAAACAATTAAAATTTTATTTGTTTTTATTAAAAGAATGTTGGAGTTGGTTCAAAGAGGTAATTCACAATACCCCGGAGCGAAATACATCGTCCGTGATAATGGCGAGCGTATTGATCTGCGTTTCCATCCGAAACCCTCGGATTTGCACTTGCAGTGCGGGTATAAAGTGGAGCGGCACATTCGTGATGGCGATTTGGTCATTTTCAACCGCCAGCCCACCCTGCACAAGATGAGTATGATGGGGCACAGGGTGAAGGTGCTGCCTTGGTCTACGTTTCGCATGAATCTCAGTTGTACATCGCCGTACAATGCGGATTTCGACGGGGATGAGATGAATCTGCATGTGCCACAGAGCATGGAGACGCGTGCAGAGGTGGAAAATCTACATATTACACCCAGACAGGTATGAACATTGAAAATTTGAGGTTATTTGTGTGTTTGTGACGCTTTCAAAGGAAAACTACCCAATGTATCATCATGAAATTTTGTAGAGTTATTTTCCAGGGTATTTGGAAGAACATAGGACATTTTTTATCAAGAAAATGTCAATATTTTAGTTAAAAAAGAGAATTTTTAAGCATTTTTCATGTTTTTCAATAGTAATTTTACTTTTTATAACTTATTTTTGTGTCTTGTAGATTATTACACCCCAGGCCAATCAACCTGTCATGGGTATCGTCCAAGATACCCTCACAGCCATCAGAAAAATGACCAAACGTGACGTATTCATCACCAAAGAACAAATGATGAACATCCTCATGTTCCTACCAATCTGGGACGGTAAAATGCCACGTCCAGCCATCCTGAAACCAACAGCTCTATGGACAGGCAAGCAGATCTTCTCTTTAATCATCCCTGGTAATGTAAACCTCATCCGTACACATTCCACACACCCCGACGATGAAGACGAAGGTCCCTACAAGTGGATCTCACCGGGAGACACACGCGTAATGGTCGAGCACGGCGAACTTGTCATGGGCATCCTCTGTAAGAAAACCCTAGGTACATCCGCAGGATCCCTGCTGCATATTTGTATGCTGGAGTTGGGGCATGAGGTGTGCGGGCGGTTCTACGGCAATATTCAAACCGTAGTCAACAATTGGTTGCTCTTGGAGGGTCATAGCATTGGTATTGGTGACACCATTGCCGATCCGCAGACGTACATCGAGATCCAGAAGGCTATTCATAAAGCTAAGGAGGATGTAATAGAAGTCATCCAAAAGGCACACAACATGGAACTGGAACCCACACCAGGTAACACTTTACGACAAACATTTGAAAATCAAGTAAATCGTATCCTGAATGACGCTCGTGATAAAACCGGTGGTTCTGCAAAGAAATCACTCACAGAATATAATAACCTAAAGGCTATGGTGGTGTCAGGATCAAAAGGATCCAATATTAATATATCACAGGTTATTGCCTGTGTAGGACAACAGAACGTTGAAGGAAAGCGAATTCCCTTCGGGTTTCGTAAACGTACATTACCACATTTCATCAAAGATGATTACGGTCCTGAATCGCGTGGTTTCGTTGAGAATTCATATCTCGCCGGGTTGACACCTTCGGAGTTTTATTTCCACGCTATGGGTGGTCGTGAAGGTCTCATTGATACCGCTGTCAAGACCGCTGAGACTGGTTACATCCAGCGTCGTCTCATCAAGGCTATGGAGTCTGTCATGGTCAACTATGATGGCACCGTGCGTAACTCTGTCGGGCAGCTGATTCAATTGCGTTATGGTGAGGATGGGCTATGTGGAGAGATGGTAGAATTCCAATCTCTACCCACAGTGAAACTAAGTAATAAAGCTTTCGAGAAAAAGTACAGATTTGAACCGGGTAATGAAAAATACTTACGACGCGTATTCAATGAAGATGTTATTAAGGTTATGATGGGTTCCGGTGATGTAATATCCGAGTTGGAGTTGGAGTGGGAGCAGCTGCAGAAAGATCGTGAAGCTCTCCGGCAGATTTTCCCCAGCGGGGAATCCAAGGTGGTACTACCATGTAATCTCCAGCGCATGATTTGGAACGTGCAGAAGATTTTCCATATTAATAAACGTGCGCCAACTGATTTGTCGCCGTTGCGCGTGATTCAAGGCGTGAGGGAGTTGCTGGTTCGCTGTGTGATCGTCGCTGGCTCGGATAGGCTGTCGGTGCAAGCCAATGAGAACGCGACGTTGTTGTTTCAGTGCCTTGTGCGCTCCACGCTCTGCACGAAATACGTCTCAGAGGAGTACAGGTTGAGCACCGAGGCGTTCGAATGGTTGATTGGTGAAATAGAAACTCGTTTCCAGCAAGCACAGGCTAATCCCGGGGAAATGGTGGGGGCCCTGGCTGCGCAGTCGCTTGGTGAGCCTGCAACCCAGATGACACTCAACACCTTTCATTTTGCTGGTGTGTCTTCAAAGAACGTAACACTTGGTGTGCCGCGTTTGAAGGAAATTATTAATATTTCGAAGAAACCCAAGGCGCCGTCACTCACGGTGTTTTTGACTGGTGCAGCTGCGCGTGATGCGGAAAAAGCGAAGAATGTCCTTTGTAGGTTGGAACACACAACGCTACGCAAAGTGACAGCTAACACAGCGATTTACTATGATCCAGATCCACAGAATACGGTGATTCCAGAGGATCAAGAGTTTGTTAATGTTTATTATGAAATGCCTGATTTTGACCCGACGAGGATCTCCCCGTGGTTGCTGCGTATTGAATTGGATCGCAAACGCATGACTGATAAGAAATTGACCATGGAACAAATCGCCGAGAAGATTAATCTTGGTTTCGGCGATGATCTCAACTGTATCTTCAACGATGATAACGCTGAGAAGTTGGTGCTGCGCATACGCATCATGAATTCAGATGATAGTAAGTTTGGAGAGGGCGCTGATGAGGAGATAGACAAAATGGAGGATGATATGTTCCTGCGTTGTATTGAATCCAACATGCTTTCGGATATGACACTGCAGGGTATTGAAGCCATTAGTAAAGTGTACATGCATCTACCACAAACCGATGCTAAGAAACGTATTGTTATCACCGAAACAGGTGAATTTAAAGCGCTGGCTGAATGGTTGTTGGAAACGGACGGTACCAGCATGATGAAAGTCCTTTCCGAACGTGATGTTGATCCAGTCCGTACGTATTCCAACGATATCTGTGAGATTTTCGCTGTGTTGGGCATTGAAGCCGTGCGAAAATCCGTGGAGAAGGAAATGAACGCCGTGCTGCAGTTCTACGGTCTGTACGTAAACTACCGCCATCTGGCGTTGTTGTGTGATGTTATGACGGCCAAAGGTCATCTTATGGCAATTACACGTCACGGTATCAACAGGCAGGATACCGGCGCGCTTATGAGGTGTTCTTTTGAGGAAACCGTCGATGTGCTTATGGATGCCGCTGCGCATGCGGAGGTGGATCCAATGCGTGGTGTATCTGAGAATATTATCATGGGTCAGCTACCGCGCATGGGCACTGGTTGTTTTGATTTACTCCTGGATGCTGAGAAGTGTAAGATGGGTATTGCTATACCGCAAACAGCTGCCGGTGATTTGATGTCAAGCGGTATGTTCTTCGGGTCTGCAGCGACACCTAGCATGAGTCCGGGTACTACAATGACACCTTGGAATCAAGGCGCAACGCCATTTGCAGCTGGTGGAAGTGTTTGGTCACCGCAAAGTAAGTTTATCATAAAAATAATAAAATTTAATGTGTTTTATTAAATTTATTTTGTGTTTAGATTACTTGGGCAGTGGTATGACACCAGGTGGCCCTGCTTTCTCACCATCAGCTGCTTCGGATGCTTCTGGAATGTCTCCTGGGTACCCTGGTCACCCACACCGCAATCCCCGCTATGTCACCGATGATGGCGTCCCCTCGCGGAGCTTCCCCATCGTACAGCCCTGCATCACCCTCGTATCAACCACATTCACCGTCGATTACACCGGTTTCACCTAGTTACTCACCAAGCAGTCCTGGGTATTCTCCCTCCTCACCGAATTACAGCCCAACGAGTCCTAGTTACTCGCCAACATCGCCCGGGTATTCTCCGACTTCCCGAGCTATTCACCAACTTCCCCTAACTATTCCCCCACCTCCCCTGGGTATTCACCGGCTTCTCCTAGTTATTCACCCACGTCTCCTAATTATTCTCCAACTAGTCCTGGTTATTCTCCATCCAGTCCTAGTTACTCACCTACATCTCCGAGTTATTCACCAACTTCGCCAGGGTATTCTCCTACATCCCCGGGGTATTCCCCTACTTCCCCTGGTTATTCCCCAACATCTCCGAATTATTCACCTGCTGCCTCACCGGGTTATTCTCCAACTTCGTTGAGTTATTCCCCCACTTCTCCAAGTTACTCTCCGAATTCACATAACTATTCGCCATCTCCTAGATATACACCTGCATCCCCGAGTTATTCGCCCACTTCACCGAGTTATTCGCCATCCTCTCCGAATTACTCCCCTACTTCACCTAGTTTCTCACCTTCATCGCCGAATTATTCGCCAACATCTCCGGGTTATTCTCCGACTTCCCCGAGCTTTGCCGGTGGAAGCCCGCAGTATTCCCCCACCTCTCCGAATTATTCTCCATCCTCACCGCAGCATACCCCGGCGGCTAGTTCACGGTATTCGCCGTCCTCGCCGAACTATTCCCCCACTAGTCCGGGTTATTCACCTACGTCACCGCAGTACTCTCCGCAAAGCACTAAGTACTCGCCCACGTCGCCGACGTACACTCCGATGAGTCCCACGTTTTCGCCGGCTAGCCCTACGTACTCACCGCAGCCGCCGCGATATTCACCATCGAGCCCGAACTATTCGCCGACAAGTCCTAATCCTGACCAGGACTAAGCGTTTTATGTATATAACATACCCGCGTGAGTTAGCATTTAGTTTTATTTTAATTAAGACAAGTTTGTTATATGAATAATCTAGGAGACGCTGATTGTGTGTTGGGGGAGGAAGAAGATCAGTGCTTTTGATAATAATTATTTTGTTATGTACTGAAAAACAATGAAAATATATTGGATATCTTACAACAATTTGGGTAATGTAAAGTATTGTCACGTGAACATATAGGAACTGCATGGCCACAAGCGACAATACTAATTCTTTTCAAATATATAGTACAAAATCTCAGAATTGTTATAGGTATTGTCGCATGCGCCTATTGAAATTAAATGGCCACGAGCGACAGTACTAATTCTATGCAAATATATAATAATACATAAACACAGAATTGTTATAGGTATTGTCGCATACGCTTATTGAAATTATATGGTCATGAGTGACACTACTAATTATAAGCAAATGTGTTGTAATACAAATTCACAGAATTGTCATAGGTATTGTCGCACACGCCTATAGAATTTATACGGCTACGAGCGACACTACTAATTATAAACAAATGTGTTGTAATACAAATTCACAGAATTGTCATAGGTATTGTCGCATGCGCCTATTGTAATTATATTGCCTCAAGCGACATTACTAATTATGTGCAACTATATTATAATATACGACACGAGAGGCGCTGTGACACAATCAGCTCCACAAATTTACGCGCGAAAACAAGTAACCGGTAACCTCGTGCTATAGTTGCGTATAGTTTTGTCTTTCGTTCAGTGCTTGCCATCCATTGAACAGGTAATATTTAGTATCTAGTTGATAAAAGCTTAGTCTTGTTAATTCGTATTTACAAAATTAACCATTTCTACGCAGAATCAGAATGCCGCGTCGAAAATATTCGAATGATTCAAACTCATCAAAAGAAAATGATGTTGCCGAAGAAGAACCGGCAGATTACGCAACAACTATGAATCGACCGTTCAAGAGAAAGATCATAAGTCAAGCCGAGCGCAAAATCAACAACGCAAAGCCCTGGTTTCCTTATCCAAGATTCTCAATGTCAGTGACAAATATGCCAAGGCATGGGAGAAACAAAAGGAGAAGCGAATAGTGCAGAACACAAACCAACCAGTACCTGATAGTAATAATTCATATTTTACGGGTAGTTTAAGAGAGTATCAATTGATTGGTGTGAAATGGCTAGAGGTAAACTAAACCACCTCATTTTTATTAACATTTTACATAAAAATAACAAAAATTATTGTTTCAGACACTGTTCTTCAGTGGAATTAATGGAATCCTAGCTGATGAAATGGGTTTGGGTAAAACCATTCAAATAATCGCGTTTCTCAGCCGACTCCAGTCACAGAAAGTGAAAGGCATGCATATTATAAGTGTTCCACTCTCAACAGTACCAAATTGGATGGCAGAATTCAAAAGATTCGCACCGAAATTTCCTGTGGTTAAATTCCATGGCACCCTTGAAGAGAGAGAAGTACTTTGGAAGAATTTAGTCAAAGCATCATTACAACCTACAAGTGAAACTGAAGTATATCCTATCGTCATAGTTCCTCATAATTATATGGCTGGAAACATGCCATATTTATTAGATTTAAAGTTTGTCTATTTGATCATTGATGAAGGCCACCGTATTAAAAACTACGAATCACAGATGTCGCAGTATGTATACTTTGATGTCAAAAATCCGAAAATACATTAATTTCATATTTTTCAGATTTGTACGCAAGATTCAGTGCCGAAACAAAATACTCCTCACAGGTACACCACTCCAGAACGACATGAAAGAACTCTGGTCATTGTTCAACTTCATAATGCCAGCGATTTTCACCAAAGTTGGCGTATTCAACGAATTGATCCAAGCTGAAGATCTGGCCACTGAAACAATCATCTCGTCGAACTTGAAAGAAAGCACAACTGTAGTTCAAACAATTCAACGCCTCATCGAACCATTCATGCTGCGCAGATTAAAAAAAGACGTGCTGAAAGAAAATTTACCACTGAAAAGTGTACGTGTGTATTGTACGATGACTCCCACACAGATAGAGATGTACACAGCTGCCTTAGAGAAAAATCTCGCTAAACTAAAATATGAAAATGAAGTAAAAGAAGTGCTTGACAAATCAAGTCGTAAGTTACGAGCAGCACGCAAAGTAGAATACATTGATGCAGATGATGATCAACCAGTTATGCAAAAGAAGTTGCCTACCTCAATGATACATGCTAACTTCTGCAACCCCATAATGCTCTATCGTCGAATCGTCAACCATCCGTACCTTATAAACGCACCTTTACAACCCGGCACACCTTACATCTCCATTGATGAAAAAGTTGTCACTGAAAGTGGTAAAATGCGCGTGTTGGACGCGCTGTTAACCAGATTACTCGAACGTGGACATAAAGTACTCATTTACAGCACATTGGTTATTATGATAGATTTAATACAGGATTATTTACAAATGCGTGACATTCCGCATGCGCGGCTCACAGGCAGCGATTCGCTGGAAGCTCGTTGGGAACAGATCGAAGCTTTTAATAATGATCCATCTGTTGGAGTATTTTTGGTGTCTACAAGAGCTGGCGGGCAGGGTATTAACTTAACAGCTGCGGATACTGTGATATTTTATGACAGCGACTGGAATCCGCATGCCGATAATCAGGCGCAGGCGCGTTGCCATCGTATCGGTCAGACTAAACCAGTGATGGTTTATACGTTGATCAGTAGTAATTCTATTGATGAGTATATTTTACAGACGTCTGATTTGAAGCTGCGATTGGAGAAGGCTGTCATGTTGGATGAAGCGCGTGCGCGTCAGAATGTGGAGACTATTCATGAATTGCTGGCGTTTCTGAAGAGTGCTGGTGACAAAGCGTTGCATCCGAATGGATTGACACTGTCTGATGCAGAGTTGGATGCTTTGCTTGATAGATCTGAGTTGTTGAAAGAGATGGAGGGGAAGTAGTTACCCAGGAGATAAAATCTCATTCATTTTACTGTTTTTAATGTTTTCAATGTTTTGTGTTTATTTTAATTTTTTACTTGATATTATTTATGTAAAATGACTGTCATCCATGCAGATTTCCAGTGATTTCAAATTACAATTTTTATTAAAAATATATCGATCCAACCCTTATATATCTGCGGATAATTCATAAAAAGTATTGGAAAGTGGTTTAATAAAAGGTTTTTACTACATATAAACATTAAAATGTCCTACAGATGAGTTTCCTGCAGTTGGAACCACGCGCGGTCATTATTTCGCTTTGTTTCCCCCTCCACTATCCATGGGTTACCCGTAGGTATAAAAGGCAGCGCGTCGAGGTCAGCGCTCAGTCATGCCTGAGTCGTGCTGTCGTTCGGTCGTAGTTCTCGCGGTATACGGTTCGGTTCACGTCGGTTTAGTTCGGTTAAGGGAATATCAATACCGCCCTCACATTGCGCAAACTCGTGTGTACTAAATTCCTTCGTGTTTGTTTGCTAAAACGTGGTTTACCCTTTGCTTTGCAAGTGACTCTACTAAGACGTGCTGTCTATTTATAGCCGCCCCCTACTTCTATGCAACTTCTGCTGCATAGGCACTTTTGTAAGGTACGTTCATGCGATGAAGTTGTGGTGTGGTTCGTTGTTATCGTGATATTTGGTATGCAGCGTTGTTTATTTGTGTGTATAGTTTGTCCAAGCGACTCGAAGAGATCGGATATATTCGCAATGATGTGATAACGCCCCATTCTACTGTTGCGCGGCAACATACACGTCATAACCTCCAATTTCACAGCAGTTACGCACCACTTCGCTGAAAATCAGCAAAGTTTTGTGTTTATGACTCAAAGAACCTACGACAATGGACGCCGATTTGTTCGCATGTCGGCTGTGCAGCAACACGGAGGAATTGGTGGACGTCGGCGATAAAAAAACACAATTCGCTGCTGAATATCGGAATATTGTTAAAATAATGACTGGAATTAAGGTGAGTTTGATATTTATACACCCATCAATCAATCAATCAATCAATCAATCAAATCAATAAATTGAGTAAATTTTTAGATTAAACCAAATGACAAACTTTCCTCAATCTGCCGTTCGTGTTTAAAACGTGCGATTGAAAACTACGACTATCGCAGAAGTGCGATTCAACGCAATGCAGAACTGACAAAGAAACGTGAAGAACTAGAGAATAGAATCAAAGAAGATGAAGAAGCAGTGAAAATATTGACTGGAGAAGTTTCCTCAACAGATAACAAGACCAATTCAAATGTATTTGATGAAAATACAGAGGATGAAAGTGATGAGGTTGAATTTGTTTCAATTTCATTGGACATCACGTCGAAGGAAACTGCAACAACATCCAGCGCATGCGCGAGCGCAACACAAACAAAACCTGAACAAATCGTATCTCCTGACGCGAACCAAAACTGTGATAATAATCAACGCGTAGAAGACTCTCACACTGAAACTGAAACAGTGAATGAAGAAATGACTGCTTCTCCTGCAGTTGATGGTAATATTCTCCTTATACATAACACAAACACAGAGAATGTAGCAACAAAAACTGTCAAACATGTTGATTTTCCGCCGACTGATGGTAATATAGGTCTCTGTAATAATGACAACACTGAAACAGAGTTTGTTGTAAGGAAGAGTGTAAAACGGGCTGCATCCCTTGCGGCTGACGATAATATAGTTCTCTGTAAAGAAGACGAAGCATTCGATGATGACACTTCAAGTTCCGAAAGTATTACAACAGAAAAACAACTGCATCCTTCTCTAAAAAGGATAATTAACCAATATCCGAATATTCGCCTACCTGCTTCGGTTTACAAAACAACATTTCCTGAAGTACGCGTGGAATTAACTCACGACGCCGTAAAACGTCAGATTGTTAAACTAAAACGACGTTTCCGAAGAGGATACAAGAAGAAAGTCAAGATACCGACTTCTCCACGAGACCTTCCTATACAAAGACTTGAAATACCCGATGTAATGCCCACAACATCAAAGGAACTGAAAGAATTGGTCACTTCTTCGCTGGGTTTACAACGCACCGGGCCAGAAACCCCACAGAAAACTCCTGCGATAAGTATATCTTTACCTACATTAACAATTTCACATGTAGATGTCATCCGTAATCCTGAATCGATTGAGAAAACACCTGAGAAGTCATGGAATAATCGTTTAGGATTCACCACGCCCATTGACACCGAATATTCTCAACTGCGTTTATCTCCGACTGAATTCCTTGATACCATTGACGATGAGAATGAAGATGTGGATATGACTGCTGCGGGTGCTGAGGAGGAATGCAATCCGGGTGATTATAGTCTGATTAAGGTAGCGGATGAGGAAACGATTTATATTTGTGACCAGTGTCACAAGGTGTTTCAAAAAAAGAGCAATTTCAATCGGCATAAGTTGATACACTTACGATGCGTGTTTTGTGGGGTTAGGTGTCTGTCAAAGGAAAATCTACAGGCGCATGTGCGTACAAAATGCCCGAAGAGGACACGCAAGGTTAGTGTACGACTTGTACCTATGGAACGCGATGCAAAAGTTAAACATTTATTGCCTTCGACGTTTTTCAAAGAAATAAACAAAGAAAAAGATGCTGAAGTTGCGGAATTGCCGGTTGTAAATGATAATTATTCAGCGTTTGATGTTGCGTTGCAATATTTTCGGAATGATAATAATGATGAGTTGTCTGATGTGGAGAGTATACATCTTTTGAAGGAGGATGACGCGGAAAGTGGTGAGGTTAGGTTAGAATCAATTGAAGAAGATGAAGAAGCTGAAACAACGCCTGTAATAGAAGAAAATTCAACTGATGTAGACACAGTGGAGGCTGAAACTGCAGTAATAAAACATGATGTTAGTTATGGTGTTGATTTTGAGGAAACAGCGACCTCTGTTATCTTCGGTGATGCGCAGGATTATGAGGCTGAAGCTGCGCCTGCGCTACGAGTGACAGATGGCAGTAATGTCAATCAATTGCAAATGGATGAAGCTTTTCATATTCAAAGACTGTCGCAAGGCTGCAAACAATCTGACACGCACACAACTGCGCAGGTGCAAGTAACTCCGAAGGATTTCATCGCTATTGAGAATTCTGGGCAAGCGCTGTTCATTAAAGGCTTGGCGAATGTTCCTGGCAGCGGATGAAATCATCCCGATTGAGTTGTGTTATCAACCTAAGAAGTTCAAGGTGAGGATTGCGGATTATTTGCCGCCGGTTCCCGAGGAGAAGTTTTATGATTTCAGTCGTGCTATGCCTGTCTCATTGCAATCGTATCAGCATATGACACAGAAACGGACGATTTATAATTTTATGTCGCAGAATGCTACAAATGTTGATTCTTCAAAGGAAAAGGAAAAGCAGAAAACTGCTATAAAGCCTAATAATGATGTTTGTGGAGTCAATAACAAGTCTATTCTGTCAACTTTTTCTGGTGTAAATTTATCGAATTTCACTGGGAAAAATGAAATGTTTGGCTGTGCAACATCAACGCCATCTACAATTACAGGCAGAGGTGGGAGATATAATAAAAAAGCAAATTGTGGCGATACAACACCGACTAACATACGAATAATAGCGACTGGAAATGGTGTCATTCTAAAGTCTGTTTTACAAAAACCCACCGATTCCAAACGCACTTCAGTTAGTACCAACAATAACATGAATCAGCTTCCAAAAGTACACCCAGTTGTTGTTGTCATAGACGATGATGCAGCAGAAACACCAAAAACTTCAGAAATGTCAAAAATCACGCCATCTTCCAGCTCTGCAAGCAATACAACATCAAATAATGTGAAATTAACCATGGATACAACAGTAAACGTTGTTAAACCCGCAGTACGACCAGTTATCAAGGTTCTAACACCGCAGGATATCAACAATAAGAAAATAGTAAGAAAAACTACATGAATACCAAAACAAAACAATCGCCGAAATCACCAGCGACAACAGCGACATCTATACAACCTACACCTGTACCTTATAATATCCCTGTCACTGTAACCCCTCCAATAGTTACATTGACAAGCACTACGCCTGCAGCAAATCAAATATCACCACTGAAAAGTCCAACATCGTTAAATTTCTCCACAATTTCACAACCTCCATCAGATAATCCTAATAATACAACTAATACAAACAAGAAGAAGAAGCCAAATCCACCAAAATCAGCTCCCCAGACGAAATTACCAAAGAAAAGAACACTCGAGAGTGCTGAGGTGAAGGCAGCGAGAAATCAACGAAGGAAACTAGCTCGAATGAAACAAAAACAACTAAAACAGCAGGAAGCGGAGAAGTTGCGCGAGGTAACCGCGCAGATTCCTATTGCTCCGATGCCAGTGGCGCCACCACTAAATGTCACTTTAGACAGCTTAACACCGAAGACTTATATATGTTCGTTCAGTCGGCCTGTGCCGCCGGTTGCCACCGCGAATTATGCGAATAATAGATTCACGCCGGAGATACCCGGCCTTGGATTCTATGTCAACTATTCATAATCGAGGACGTTCATTGTTTATTATCATTACAAAGTAATATTAATGATTATCTCTTATTATTATTAGTCATTACAAATACATTTTCTAAGATATCTTCGAAATTTTGGTTTATTCACGCATAAAGTGCATAAAATGTCAATTTGTCGCTTAGGTTATGTTATTTATAACTTTTATAACCTCAAAATGCAAAACAAACAATTTACTATGTATTTTTCAAGATGTGGTCTATTTTTGGCACTTGAAATGATGTAAAACACTTTTGTTCTCTTCCATGACTGTTATTTTTGCTCATATTCAAATTGTATAACCTAACATATGTTCTACACGATTCAAAATCAATTTATTATTGCTTATTAGTTGGTTCGCATGATGATTTCACGTATTTGTTGTGTTAACCATTCGACGCCTTCTTGTAGACCTTCACCGGTGATGGCGTTGCTTGCAGAAATATGCCACGGTTTGTCCATGATCTTATCCAGGCCTAAACCAGCGGCGATCTTCACACTACTCAACGCATCTTTACAATCCATCTTATTCGCATAGAATAAAATAGGCAGCTTACGATTACACACGTCTGGATGTTGTAAAAGTGTGTCTAATTCATCCTTGACGACTACCAGCCGCAAACGGTCACTGCTGTCGATCACAAAGATGATTCCATGACAATCTTTATAGTAGTGCTCCCAAAGGTCTCTGTAGCGACCATGCCCGGACATGTCAAACGCCGTAAAGGATAAGTTTTGATCTGGAAATGAAGATAATTGTACTTGAAATGTTTCAGTGTTGATACAATGACTTACTCTGAAACTTTTCGACGTTAAAGCCAACTGTCGGCACGATTTCTTCAGTTTTATCATCTTCGGCTTTGAAATGATTCACTACGGTTGATTTGCCGCTGTTGTTGAGACCTATCACCAGAACATTTACTTCTTTCTTGCGAATGCCTAATATCAGTGCCAACTTTCCAAACAAACCCATCGTTCATGTTTGTTTGTATTCAGCGCGTGTGCTTGACGATGATCCAAAATGCCTGCAAGTTAAATCGATATATTATATTAACATGTGTGTAAACGGACAATATCTACATGTTTGTATACTGAAATTAATTGATTTGTGATTTTTTTCTTTTAGATTACAAGTTTTCTAAGGAAATTAACTTGTTTGAAGTGTAAAACGGTAATAATACTATAGTAAAAGACTGAAATAATGCAAAACAACTCAAATTATATCTGTTTTTAGTTTATTTACGGAATAAGTTATAAATGTTTGTAGTTTTAGTTTGAATTTTTGAATGTTGCGCATCACAATAATGGCGCTCCGAGTGGCGGTGCCGCTTCTAACCTCAAAATTATCCAACATCCACGGGTGTCGTACGGCTCCACGCCTTAGCTCGCACACGTAACCACATCGTGTGTCTTTTTCCAACGCATGGCGAGTGCGGCAAGTTGTGTCGTGCATTGAATGGAACGTGCGTTGACTTTGCGATCGACTTGTTCCCTCCACCCGAAGAAACGTTCACCGTGGGCCAACACTTCGTTTCAAAGCCAATTAACAACTATCAGACGTAAATAATGGCCGATAGCGATGATAAACCAAGCGCTGAGGTCCCACCAAAGGCGCAGGCGACCGACGCGGAGGACCCGGCCGGCAGTCGAGAGGTAACGATTTCTAAATCTAATTATTAACAAACTTGCTTTCCAATTCTTCACCCAGTTTCAAAGGGGCCGAAAAAGCGGGTCACAGTTTGTAGTTTTACTTAGTCTAGTTAATCTTCAACCGGCGCGATGGTTGCATCGCTTAAATTACACATAAATGTGCATAGTTTATGATAAAAATAAAATCATAAAATTATTTGTGATTTTTTTAGGAGGCGATAGAAACTGTCGAGTCAGAAAGCACCAAGAAAACGTCGACGAATCCGTCGGAGTATGACAGTGCCGACAGCTTTAGTGATGCTGAGGGTGACAATGGGCAACCACAGGATCAGGATCATGAGTCAGCTGAAGGCAGTGAAGGTTCTGGTAGTGTGACTCTGGAGCGAGAGGAAGGTGATGGCCAGGAGAGTGTACAATCAAAGAAAGTTGATGATGATGAAGACAAAAAGAATCCACAGTATATTCCGAAACGCGGAACGTTTTATGAACATGACGACAGGACAGCTGAGGATAAGTAAGTTGTAAATATAAATTTAAGTAAATTTATATTAATTGAAATGATTTTAAAGTGAGGAAACTGCAGAAGATCCAGAAAAAGATAAGGATAAAGAGGGTAAGAAGAAAATCTGGACGGATAAGAAAGAAAAGTGGAGTCATGATAAGTTTAACGACAACGATCAAGCACCGAAAAGTAAACAGGAACTCGTGGCTATCTATGGGTATGATATAAGGAATGAGGATGGGCCTCCACGTGCCAGGAGGAGGAGGCGTTATGGGTAATTTATTTAGTTTTTTTAAAGTTTTATTCATTTCTTTGGGTTATGAGCAGTTTGACATTTGACATTCTTGGAGTTATGCAACCCAACATACATACAAATTGCAATGCAAACTTTTATAATTTAAGCATGATTTTTTAGCTAATTTGTTGAGGTGTACAAGCAGTTATTACAAAATCATTTAAACATAACACAAGTGAATTCATATTTAGACTTCAGGAAATATTTACCGACATTTTTACTTTTTTACTAGTAATTGAGTTTATTACCAGCTTACAAAATATTACACAGATGGCGCTGCGCGTTAAATTTGCATTGTTCCTAACTGAAGTTTTTCTTTTGACAGTCGTGGTCCTAATAAATACACTCGCAATTGGGAGGATGAAGACGCCTATACTAAAGCGCCACCATTGACGAAAAAACCAATCGTCAAGAAGAATCGACCCAAACACGACGAACAAGAACAAGAAGAAACTGAAACTGTAGAGTTAGAAAGGCATAATCGAACGAATTCAGAGGAGGCGAACAGTAGTGGTCGACAATCGACAGAGAATAGCATCGAATCGTATGTATACCATTTTAAAATTACTATTTTTTCTTTACTTCTAATATTTTCTGCAGTAAAAATGAGCAATATTCACATCAAACAAAACAACCACGCGAGTTTACGCCGAGGGCGAATCATTCGAACACCGAACGTGATCGGGAGCGTTCGGATAGGTATAATAGTAACAAAAATCAACGCGTTGGCACCGGCCGGATTGTAAAACCCAATCGGGAGATCCGCGATTCAGATTATCAAGGTTTCACTAAACCGAGACAATTTACAAAATCTCATGCGCATGCGCCACAGAATCAGAATGTCAACGATGACAGTTTACAATCCCGAAACTACACGAATCGAAGACATGTCGATTTAGAAAAAGATATGAATCGTATGTCATTGAATGAACCAGCGCATAAGTCAAAACAACTACCGCCGCATGCGAATCGTCACCATCAAAATCCGCAACAGCAGCAAAGACAACAACCACAGCAACAGGAACAGCAGGGACCTGTTCCACCAAGGTTGCAAACCGAACAGAAAGGTTCCTCGAAACGATACAGTTCGATAAGGCAACGCTCGTTGCCCGAATCTTCGAATTCGAATTATAATCAACAAGGACATGGGTATTATAATGACTATCAGCAGCAGTCGGGTAGTCAACCGAGTGCGCCACCACCGCAGGCTCCGCAACCAATTATACAACCGATGCAGTCGCAAATGCCGGCGATTCCCCCGCCACCTTTGCCTACGATTCCTGCGCAGGTGCCGGTGACTACAACGCCGTTACCGCCGCAGTTTGCGAATCCTTTCCCGCAGCCACCGCCACCGTTTCTACAACCGGCACCGCCGCCGTTTATTCCACAACCCAGTGGACCACCGATGCTTAATTATGTGCAAGGGCAGCCGCCTTATGCACCTCCACAGGGAGCATTTCCAGGTTATCAACAGCAGTTTAATCCTGTTGTAAGTATAGGCAACCACAATTACACATATTTAAAATATACACACTGGTAAAGTAGGCAACCATATTAACACATGTAAAACATAAAACTTATTTGGTTAATTTAGAGTCAACCAACTGAAATATTTCAACCTCCCGGTGGTATAACGTATTACTCTACACAAGAGCAACAAGCAGCTCAACAGCGTGCGGCGATTCAAAACGTCCGAAAGCAGCTATTCCTATAGTCCCACCACCGCCGCATGAACCACGCGGGCGTGGCAGGATCATCAAGAAAACTCACAGCAACATGAGGCCGGCGATGCGCAGATATCAGCGCATATCGAAAGCAACGCGGTGATGTATGAAGATGTGCCGGTGCAGCCTTGATTCTAAACACAGAAAAACAGAAAACTATTTGGTATGTATCCTTCCTACATACGTTTTTAATTCGCTAGCAGTAAGTAACAACCCCTCTCTCACGGCAAAGTATTCACACGATCCGAATCCGAATTGTTTTAGGAACAGAGTTATGATTTTGAACATTTTGATTGGTTGATCAACCATTATATTTATTATTTATTGGATATGCACTTTTTATTTATTGGTTCGGATTTTATTGGACGGATATTACATATGTTTAAGCTAGTGCAGAATGAATTTTTTTATTATTCGTCGTAAATTTTATATAAATTGAATGAATGTTTATATATTATATATTTAATATGAAATAATATACTCATTAAGTAAAACTGATTATTTAGCGCTGGTTTGCATACTCACTGGATAATATAAAGCATCAACAGATATATATGATCTTACAAGATGGCCGACATCAAATGACAACTGATTCTAAGCCAATCAGAAGCCGTCTGCTGTCAAATGTCAAGATGCATGACAACTTTTCACATCACTACTACAATCCAGTGAATATTCAAATCAGCGTTATTTAGACATTTAGCAAGTGAGATGTTGCTACGAATCAAAATTTATAACGCAAAACTGAATTAAAACGTCTTTATTTATTACAATTACAAAACGCAGATGATATTCACTTATTCAGCGGTGATATACCTGCTAATTTACACGATTCAATGTATAATTCCTCCAAAAATTCATTATCTTTAGTCAATTCGTTAGGTTTATCCGGTTCACAATCACTAATATATTCCCCGGTGATTTTTATAAATTTTCGATCAGTTGCAACGTATACAACGCTCTGGGAGCCTTGTTTCGGTGATTTTAGGAACAGCCATGTCCATGGCAACGTCGACACGCGCACCATCCATGAATCCCCTAGCGGCGACATTTTTAAATGGTTTGTCCCACGTACCAAACCGGGATTCACCGCGTTTACGGTTATATTCTTCCCGGCATTCTTCAGCAACTTGCTGAAATACGTCGTGAATAACATCAGAGCTAGTTTGGTTTGTCCGAAAGCAGTTCTATAGATGAATTCTTCAGAGAAATTGAGATTATCCAAGGATAATGTTGCTAGTTTGTGTGCGGTTGCGCACAAATTGATGATTCTGCCATTTTGTGACTTGTTTAATCCTGGCAGGAGTAAATGTGAGAGTAGAAATGGTCCCAAATAGTTTGTAACGAATGTTCTCTCCAGGTTTTCTTCAGTGATTTGATGCTGGTGGAAAATTATGCCTGCGTTGTTGATGAGAATGTCTACTTTTCATATTCTGTTAAAATATTTTTACTGAATTTTTTGATTGATGCTAAACTAGCGACATCTAGGTGTTTCACGTCAACTTTAGCGGTTATTACATCGAATTTTATGTTTTTGATGGCTTCACAGCCTTTTTTCTCGTCTCTACAGGCGATTATTACATGTGCACCACGTCTGGCTAGTTCTTTGGCTGTGTTTAAACCGATTCCGGATGATGCGCCGGTGATTATTGCTAGTTTACCGTCGAGGCGTGTTTCATTTGGACATTTTGTTCCACCAGCGTACATTCTACACAGAAATAGGTGAGAAAATGGTTAGAATGTTTTGTTTTCGTGTGGTGGTGGTTTTACCTCATTGCTACGATGATGCTGATGAAGAATGATATCGATATGGGCCACCAACTGTTTGTAAAATCTTCCAATCCTTTGAAATCCATCTTGAATTTAATGTTGGCGTATGTGTGGTTGCCTGTGAACTAACTGGTTGTTATTAATCAGTGCATCAGCAAGTGGCCAACGCATAAATTGGGGATAATTAAATAAATATGCGCGTTTAAATTTATTTAATTGGGGATATCCTTTCTGTGGGTACATCTCAGGTCTATGATATAATTTTTAAACTAAAATTGAATCAAACATGGTTGCATTTTAGTAAAATTCATTCAAATTTTAAGTAAATTGTTTTAAAATCATAGCTAATACTACTAGTATATTAATTTAAAGTAATTTCTACTTTATTTGTCATATTTTATTGTTTATAATGTGAAAAACAAAAATTACTTCATAAATCTACATTTTTTGTTTTAAGTTTACAAATTCACCGCCAGATGTCGCTCGTATGCACTTGTTGGAATAAACTAGATGACGGCTCATGTGCTGGCGACAGCCGAGTTGTTGTGAAAGAGTAAAAATGGCCGCTCGCACAATGCGTGCGCTCGCGAACAGTCGGTGCGCATAACTCGGCATACGTGCGTTTCTCATCAACCGCGTGCATTTTTTCAATCTGCGTGTGTGCATCTGCATCGTCTCGCGGTCCGTCGCCGTGCTCAACCCGGAAGATACGGATAGCCGCACGCCGCCACACAGGACATAAGGTAATCGGCGTGTGCGCAATTTGCACGCATATCCCCCCTGGCCACGCACTCGATTCGTGTGTTGTCCATGGTCATCACCAGACATCGTTGCAATTTTTTCCCAATCACACGTGTTTGATATACATTCGAATTTCAATTTGCTTATGATTTTGATAAGAATTAGTCGTGGTATAGATGTACGAGTTGAGTGTGTTTGAGGCCAACGCGAATGTGATGTGTGCTGCATAACCTCACAAACGCAATATAAACAAGCATTTGTTTTCTCTGTGTGTTGATTATGAAACAAATGAATGTTATACAACGTTATGAGTTGCGGTTTTCGATTCGATTGTAATTCAGACGACACAACGTCAACAAAAACGGAAGGCGCGCGCATTGTTGTCGAAAATAAATGGGACACCTAGTTGGCAAATTAACAAGTCTATCGCTCGATAAGAAAACAAAGCCGCGCTCGGATAGAATGCAATAAGCGCATTATTTGCGGCCATTGCACATACTTACGTAAAGCAACCTTCACACTCGTGCCATTTGATGATATTTATTTCGGGAGTGCAAAACACCTCATTGTGTTATTTAATCGTTGAATTTAAAAGTTGCAAACTGCCGCAGATTATTGCTGTTGTTATATATATTAGTTCAATGCCAAGGTTGAATTTGCGGCGGCGGTTTGGAATTGATCGCGTCATTTCGGCGAGATCCTGAAACCGCCACACATGTGTTTCATTGCCACTTGGTTGTGTAATTAATTAAAATAGGCAAAATAAAAATAGAAATCTGTAACCAATTTAATAATTGTTTCTGGATTGGTTCGTTTCTTAGCTTAGGTTAGGATGACGTCACTCTGCTTGCAGCTTGTGTCAACTTTCGGTTTTTTTCGGTCTTTTTCGGCTTTTTTTCTATATTATTTGATATTATTTTGATATAGTTGCAATTTTCAATGTATTTTCATATAGAGGGCGCTGACGTTGATTTTCCTCTTCGTGTAAACTCGTTTTTTTCTTCAGCAGGAATATTTGCATGACATTAGCATGGAAACGACGCCATAATGAATATGATATAATGACGTCGCATATTGTATCAGTTTCATAGCGCGTAAGGTCATGGTTGACCCCATTCGTGATATGCTTTTATAAGCACACAAACTGCGATGCTTTTGTATTATTCAGCTGGGAACACTCGTGTGGCAATTCGTAATGAAAGTAAGTGTGGAATGTTTTATTTCTGCCAAGATTTTATTTCGAGATTAATAGGGTTTAAAATAAGCGTTTGCACAATGGGAAACTTTTGTTTTATTCCCATGGAAACAAAACAATAATCAAATATTAATTTTTACAAATTCACGACCTACGCATTAAATGCAACATTTCTGTATATTGTACATTGCGTGTTGTGCGCATCTCCAATGTCAAATCTTGTTGTCGTCGGTTTTATTCGATTCGCGATGCGCTGATTTGCGTGTCGTATTCGGCTCGCAGCACGCCAGTGCGGTGCGCGCACGCCGCGCCGAGTCATACCGTAGGTAACGCGCGCGCGGATCGCCCGACGACGACGGCGACGGCGAAACAAATCGCTAACAGACCACAGCACCACACCAACACACAGTGCGCATCGCGGCGAAACTCAACACGGTCTATCTCTCCACCGTCCGGGAACCATCTTCCGCTCGACAATGTTGTCTCACCTGTGGTGCACGTGGCGCGAGGTGAAAAACTACATCCACACACCGTAATTAATTAAACATTAAACATATTCGCTGGATTCGTGTGAGATTATTACTACTTCTATTGGATTAGTGATTATACAACGCGCAGTGCCATAAATAAATCCAATTCAGGGATTAGTTTTGATAAGATGGAGACGTGGATGCAAGAAGTGGTGAGTGTGCAAAATCCAGTGTTAATTTTCGTTGTTTTGTGAGTGTGGCCAATGTCAAGGACGCGTAATACAATTTTTATTCGTATTCTTTCTCGCGCGACCTTGGAGATTCTAACGTTTGAAACCGGAGCGGTTTACACAGCGCACCGCTGTGTGCGACGCGCTTTGTTTACACACTTTGGTGTCTCTGTGTGCGCCCGGATGGCGTTGTTTTGTTTATTTTCTCAAATAAACGTAAAAAATTATTTCGGGTTTTAGTTTTTGCGCAAGTCAGGCAGGAAGTCATCTGTCTGATGATTACTAGGTACAGGCACCGCCCAAGGAAAATATCAGAAAATTATGCTATAAAACAAAATATTTTGGTTTTTTTCTTGTGTTTTTTGAAGTAGGAAAAGACAGGATGGGAAACCTTGGCATTGAAATCGCATCTCGTCGGCGCCCACGCGCGGCGCGGTTTATTTCGATCGCGAAATGAATAAATCGAGAATACAGAGTGTCGGTAAACTCAGCCAAATGTTAGGTAGATATTTTGATAATATAATTGTGTAAGAATGGAATGTTAATGCACGCAGCAAGTAAGAGTTGCGGCGTATGCGCAATAATGGCGGCATAAATTTCGAGGTCGCTTTAAATAGAAACAAAATAGATACATAAAAGAGTTATTTGCGAGCCGGTTGAAACGAGCACTTAGTTTAAATCTACGCTTGAAACACAAAATACCACAATAAATAAAGGTTCTAGATTTCATTCGTTTTTGTAATATAATATTATTAATGTTTGAATATTTGAAATATGTTGCGTTTTGTGTTGCGGCGTAGTGTGGCGCTCTCGAAGTCGAAACCTACCTCAATCTGCGCCGCGTTGATCGCGTTCGCGGGCGTTCGAGTTTGGTGTAATGCGAATTTCAAGTTCAAACGTTCACATCGAAATCTACCTCAACATTATCAGCATTATGTATGTACATATACGGATCGAAATACATGCATATGATGTTATGGTGGATATTAATGCATCAACACATCTTTTTTGTGCTGTCATCGAGCAATCAAACAGTTTACTGATTAAAATTTAAGATTTTTGTGTTTTACGAATAATTTTAATCTTTTTATAACATTTTTCCATGGGTTTTAGACATAAAAAAGTTGTACTTTAAACACGGAGGGGTAAAACCGTGTCTAAAGTACTTTAGTCACGGGTTTTAGTCACGAGGTTGAGTTTTTGCATTTGTACAGGGTAAAAGTAGAATAAATAGCGTATGTTTCACGTGGATAAACGTGGTTAAAGTGCCACTTAACGCACTACTGTGATGTTATACCGAGTGATGTTTCATCGAGGATAAAAAAAATAAAAAAAATAATGTTATCATCGATGCCATGTCTTTTAGCATCGTATTCTAGCTCATAATTGCTTGAAATGAAAATATTTTTCATCGAGGAAATTAATACAAAGCGACAAAGTTGTATTCATTTCGGCGTTATGCGGAGTTTGACGTTAAGTAAAATAAAATATACTCGCGAGTTAAGTATACTTATGTATACTTATGTATGTGCGACAGATAGAGTTGTCCGAAATATGTGCTTCACGTTTGTAAATACAATCATTTATAATTTGGCGGGTTTGTTATCTGTTTCTGACGTTATCGCTGTCTGTATACCGTAACAGACACGAAAATACATACCATTATAGAAGTATGTTGTATTAGTGCTTAATATTGCCTAATATTTGCGTGTCGTCGTTTTTTTCTCGAGAGGGGAATCTTGAAAGTGCCAAAATTGATTAACGTAATGTGTATTACCTCCCAAATAAATTTTGGGAGATATTTATAGAGATACGTAATTATTTCATCATTATAGATGATTATCATCAATAGTAATTTGGAAAAAATATATTTTATGAATGAAACTATTATTACACGCGTGTATTCTATAAGTTTTTAGGTATTTAGAGTAAATATCGAATTTTTTTAAATTTAAATTTCTATTTTATTTGCGTTTGTTTAAAATCCCCAAAAAGTACCTCATTCGCACATCCGTTGAGGCAGGCTGTGTTGATGCTAAATACCAAACACTACCTCAACGTCCAAACGCGCAAAAACACTAACTGCATCGAACGACGCATTAAAATCGGATTAACATTACACCCACAACATCACAAATCACACCCTTTTTTCTTTTTTTGTGTGCCCTTATAAATATATATGAAAAAAATACATGTTTATATTCATATATTTCAATTGTAATTGCTGGGTGTGTATGTACGCCTGCGCTATCGGAAAATGGGAAAATCGCGTTTGGCGGCGAGATGGCCTTGGCGCGGCAGTATGGCCGGCCCCCTCTCCACCGCCAACACCACACTCTGGCGTTTGTGCGTCGCTTTTTTTCGCATGTCGCCGGCCTTGATCTTGAATTATAATCAAGTTGCCAGGCGGTTTTATTTGCACATACACACACAGCCGAGCATTCAGCGCACGCGTAAAGACGCAAAACATTCGCATCACATGTCTGCGGTTATACTTTATGCGGTGTATAAATAAATCTACACACACACTCACCATATTCAAACAGATCCGCAGAAAAAAGGAAAAAATAACGCATTTACATAATTATTATGACGAATTTACTAAGTGTAAACTTAAAAAATAGAATTAGAAGTAAATAATCAACAAAACACCGCAAAACAAAAACCCGTTTGTTTTATTCTTTCTTTTGTGCACAATTTTTTTAATTTTTTGTTTGATTTTATGCGCGAATTGATCAATGAATACAATTTTTTTATTCGGCGTCCTTGACCTCCAGCTTGTAAGCTCCAGTTGCGACGTTAATTAATTAACGATAAATACAACGTACGCAAATCACTACGCTTGCAATATTATTGAATTTTTATTAAAGTTTTAAAGACTACCGCGGCGATTCAGGTGCATTCGTAGACTTTTAATTATTGGTCTTTTATGCAAATGTGCCAGATCCGATTGATGGCACGCTTTGGCCTTCCGTGGACTTGAAACGCGCGGACGTCAAGGCCAACTGGATTTTTGTTTTAGGATTTCAGCCAAGTGCATCAGCGTGCCGCCGGTGATGATGACGATCACATAATCGCATAATGAATTCAGACACGAATTGCATTGTGCAAATTCGTCAATTATGATTCATACTCAATGAAACAAAACAACAAGTTGAATAATAATAACAAAAGCGCTATATTGGTGTTGAAAATGCAGGCAAATTGCTTGTATTTAATAACTTTGTGTGATTATGTGAGACAATTAGAGAATATCTTCTAGGTCATAGGAGATTGGGACCCCTGCAAGTCGAGAAGTGATTTGCGCAATTACAGAAAGCATTATTTTCTGTTGTGACTTCACAAGTTATTAGTAATAGAAATTTTTAAAGGCTATAAATTAATTTCTTTTGTGTAACGACGTAAAATATTTTTATTTCAAGCAATTATGAGCTACAATGTCAAAAATTCACAAAATTAGAGTCCGCTGAGTCACACATGAATTTGCATCTTTTTTTTAAACTAGATTTTGAATTAAAAAGGCGGTGACTTAAAACTCCATGAAATTTTATAAAATGACTAGCTTTAACCCTTGGCTTCGTTCGCGAATATCTAAAATAATGAAGTTGATTCCGTACGCGTCTGTAGTCACAGAAGAAGTAACAATGAAGTAGAATGGCGGGAAGTTTATAATGGCTGAAAGTATAGTCTATGGAAGTACAGTGTACAGTCTCCATAGTGAAGTCAATTGGATTTGATGTTGACGTAGCTGTCGGTAATACAGTGTGATAATACAGTGTGATGGTACTATAGTACTTTGGTTTGAGCTTCATTGCTGGAATGCTAGATGGCGTTAAAGTAGTCAAATAGCCAGATGCAGAGGTATTATTGGCTAAACTATTTCTTTATTTTAATTAAAAAATAATTTTTTTATTAAATAAAAAGTAGCCTATAACCATTCGGGGACCACTAAGAATATGTGTACAAATTTTCATGATGATCGGTTAAGTAGTTTTTGCGTGAAAGTGTAACAAACATCGGGACATTCGCATTTATAATATTAGTAGGGATTTGAAACAAAAGTTTTTAACTTTCATTTATTTCATCAAAATATAATTACAACAATTTCATCAGCACGGTGACATAATAGTTTAAAAATTAGTTTTATTGGTTTATAATTGTAGCAATATCCTCCTATACCTATCTCAAATTTGTTTGTTTGTTTGTTTGCCAACGGAAATACGTCAAGTACCTCTAATTTAAAGCTAGATTTCCTAATTTTTATCAGTTTATTTAGTTTCGGCCCGCCTAACCCATTCGCAAGCCTTGCGAAAATCGATTTCGAACGCCGAGGGTCAAAGGCGACGTCCGAAATACTTGTGATGATCAGGGTAAAGCGAGCGAACGGAACCCCTAATGTTCGCCAAAGCGGTCTAGACGTCGGCCGCGCGCTCGCTTCCCAGTTGGTTCCACTCTCATAAAGTCAAGGTCGCCGGTGATTACGTCGGGAATATTATTATTCCGATGGAAATTGCGTAGTCTAAACATTTTGGGCGAATTATTTTTGGAACATGCGCTAATACCTCGATATAATCGATAAAATAATTACACGTTAGTTATATATTTTTTCTTTTTGTTTATAGGTGTCCATGATGTCGGGTGGCGGCATAGTCGGCAACAACGATGTGGTGCAGATCAAGAAGGAGGCATTCGATAGTTATGTTGAGTGCTCACAGTCCAACAGCGACATGTACTCCCCAACGACTACCACGCATATTATTCAAGAAACTAGCAAAAAAGTAAATCAAATTATTTCTAAAAAAACTTCTAAAACCAATTTTATCATATTTTCTCTTCCAGTGTACTTCTTTCAGTGAACCCGAAGCAGAACTCCGCTCTCCCGAATCACCCGAACGACAGTACTGCTCCTCCACCACACAACCCCACATTGAAGGCGGAATGATGGCGAAAGAAGACGCCAAAGACCTAGATCTCCCCCGTAGATTATGCCTGGTATGCGGTGATGTCGCCTCGGGTTTCCACTACGGCGTCGCCTCCTGCGAGGCATGCAAAGCGTTCTTCAAGCGCACGATACAGGGTAACATCGAGTACACATGTCCCGCATCAGGCGACTGTGAAATCAACAAGCGCCGGAGGAAAGCGTGCCAGGCGTGCCGCTTCCGCAAGTGCCTCAATTCCGGCATGATGAAGGAAGGCGTGCGGCTGGATCGTGTACGTGGCGGTCGACAGAAGTACCGCCGTAATCCAGAGAGCCCTTATCAGGTGCATGTTTTGTCCACGCCGCGACCCGCGCTGGTTTTAGAAGATATTAAAATACTGGACGCGTTGGTAACGTGCGAGCCGGACATCTTGGAGATGAATTCGGCGCTGGATAGTCAAACGAAGCATCGGTCGTTGAGTATTCTCAGTGACTTGTACGACCGCGAGCTGGTGGGCATCATCGGCTGGGCGAAGCAGATTCCCGGATTTACTGATCTCTCACTCAACGACCAGATGCGACTGCTGCAGAGCACGTGGGCGGAGATTTTGACGCTCACGCTGGCGTATCGGAGTTTGTCGACGGCGAGTTTAGGGCGGCTACAGTTCGCTGCGGATTTCACGCTGGATGAGAAGCAGTCGCGGGAGTTTGGTGGATTGGAATTGTATCAAACTGTAAGTTTATTTATTTATTATAGGAAATATTTGAATTTTTGTCTTAATTTTTGTTTTGTAGTGTTGCCATGTTGTCGAACGTCTCGACTCGATATCAATTTTAAAGGAAGAATATTTCCTGCTTAAAGCACTCATCCTCTCGAATTCCGACGTGCGATCGGAGCACTTTCCTTCGTTGAAGAAGTTTCGGGATGGGATTCTCACCGCGCTTTCAGATACCATATATATTTTAAGGTATAAACCCAAAATCTAATTTATTTTTCATCTAATTTATGTTGATTTGTAGGCCATCTGGTGGTTTTTCACAAGTGCAGCAATTGCTCCTATGCTTGCCTGCATTGCGACAGGCCGACGCAGTGGTACGGCGCTTCTGGGCCGATGTGCACCAGCAGGATTCGGTGCCGATGAACAAATTGTTCCTCGAAATGCTAGAGGCGTACAGCCGGTAGTACGGCGCGAAACGTAACCACAAACGCCAGCGCGCCACGTAGCGTTGGTTGCCTAGCTTACACATCACCTCCGTGTTTAATAATCATTTTGTTTACACGCAGAAATCAAACCGGTGTGGTCATACAAAACACGAAAGTACAAGCAGAGCAAACAAGTTGATTTCCCATTCGACGTGGAGATTTGATAGTCGAAACGCATGCGGTTCGAATCGAGGTGCCTATACATTATATTCTAGGAGCTAAATTATGTAGTTAGAGGATAAGATTGCGGCGGGGTGCGAGTTCTCGGATGATGTGAGTGTTGTGCGTTTTATACGATGTGGGTTTTTGGAGGTACGACATTACGAGTGCCAGTTTATAAAAGATTGACTAATTTTTGAAATTCATTTAGAGTACAGTGAGATTTTATGTCGTTATCAAATGAGGGAGCCATGTATATTTTCATAAATACTATTTGAATCAACAATTCCTGTCGACACACATCAATATCATCTGTTTGTGTACTGGACGAACCATGAATCCCCCAACCCCAAGTGATAGATTAGCGTTACTTCTAGTAGATCGATAAGAATTTATCTATTTTGTATAACTAATTTTGTACATACGATGCCTTTCCGACAATTGCATTGCGGGAGGGAGTGCTTTTCATTCATTACGAACGTGAACTGTGCGAACGCTAGAAAAGAATATTAACTTTATTACCTTTTTATTACGAAACTTATTGTGATTGATTTCATTTATCGTTTAATAATTCGATTTGGATTGACTTTTGTTTTTTTGAAACAAGACATACACTGAATTCACCGCCTCATTCGACTGTAACACACATTTGCCATCTGCCATTAACCTTAACGAGTTGTTCAGTAATTATTCTAAGCATATGCTAATTGTAAGAAATTCATTAAATATGAAGAGATATATTTAGAGCACAAATCTATGAGTATGTAAACATAATGAATTCTTGTCTACTGTACTTATAAATTTCTAATACAATGATGATTGTATGATACTTTGCAAATTCAGGTTCTAGTTGATAACTTTGTTTTCAATTTATTATGTAATAATTGTTTCGAAAATATAATGCAGATTATTTCATTTTTCTGTTTCTTTAGCAATGAATTGTGTTTTGCTGCGCAGTCATTCGTCGCGGTCCAATTGGCTGTGGGTTAAGTCGAATTATTTTAGTTTTTTATGCGCATGCGTCTCAGCCATCGCCATGTTCTGCTTCAGTTGGTTGCGTGCTTCTAACGTGGTCGGTCGGTTCGCGAACGGTTCCTGCAAGTTTATTGCCGTATTGTGTTTGATCAACATGCGACATTGTTTGGACATCAATACAAGTGTAGTGCCGATGGACAACCACCATTGATACACTGGTAAAGACTTTAATCTTTTATTTTGAAAAATATAGGGACAATGCAGATTCTTTAAATCCTCATTTCCTATTGTTTTTATTATGTCATACTTCGTTTCTGGAGGAATTAATTGTATAATCGCGTTTTAATCGATGAAGTATTGATATGAATTTTGTCACGGTGTTGTCGTTCTTTTTAAATAATTGTCGCAAATAGCGCGCTGAAGGTTACACGCATTCTTATCACTTGTTGTCGCGTGCCTTGCCTCGACTTACGCTGTGTTCTGTGTATCAGCGTTTGTGTATAAACCACTTTCTTATCGCATTCGCCGTGCGAGATGTTACGCGTAAGATTCTCGTCGCGCTGTCGCATGCAGCACATTTTAGTTTAGTTCTTATCACAGGTACCGTGTCTATTGCAATTCGTGCGCAAGGTCGCGTGGCATCGACGCACTGGCTTTGCGCATCTATTGCTTTTACCTGCCGGGTTGATGCAGCAGGCACAGAGTCTTATTGTGAATTGTCGCCATCCTTGCGTGCGCAGTTTCGACTCTATTGATGGATTGCAGCTAGTTTCGTGCCGGTCTCTGGCGTGTGCAGACGTATATCGCGCAACGCGTTTCGTTTGATCAGACTTCTATTTTCAAAGTTTACATTATATTCGGTCATCAATCGACTTAATCGTAATATGCATCTGCAGTGTTTTCTTAATAAGTAATTGTGCGTTTAATGTGCATAAATATTTCCGTTATTGTGGGACGTGGTCGGTCGCTAGATTAATCGGAAACCTATTCGTGCTTGAGTAAGTTCCTTTTATCTGACCATTGCGATACTCAGCACAGAAAGTTTGTTTTCTCCCATGTGTGAATATAATATTATCATATTGTATGAAATGTTTTTGTTTTAACTTATGTTTTCTTTTAATTACAGTACTTGCCGTACCCTTGCAATCCCATGAGCGCTGCATTGGTAAGATTATAATTAAGTTATATTATTCGGTTAAATGTTTTATTTCGCCTGCGTGTTGCAATAGAATAGAATGTATATAGCTGTATAGCTGACTATCAGTCGCCCATTTTTAAAATTAAAAGTTTATCTTTTAGATTTCCAATTTATTTACCGTATTTTATAGAAAATCCGTAGATTAAGATGCTGCGATCGGATCTTAATTATCTCTTTTAGTTTACGAGATATTCGCGATTGAATAAAATGGGCAAAAATTGATAAATGTTACTTTTTAGTACTTTTAGTCGCGTTTTTCGACCTTTTACTTTGAGAAATATAATTATTTTATATTTTTATCTGATAGGGAATTTTCCAATCTTTCATAATCAACAATTCGTTGGTAGCTATCTTTTTTAGTTTAAGAGATATGAATTTTTGAAAATCGTCGAAAAAAAGTATCAAGCACCCCCCCTTGGCAATTTTTTCTTAAGACTTAAAATTTTATCTCTCAGATTTCCGTTTTAACTATCCTATCTGATAGAGAATAGCCCGTAGATTAAGACGCTGCGATCAGATCTTATTTATCTCTTTTAGTTTACGAGATATTCGCGATTGAATAAAATGGGCAAAAATTTGCAAAATGTCACTTTTTTTACTGTAGGAAATAAAATTATTTTATATTTATATCTGATAGAGAATTTTCCAATCTTTCATAATCAACAATTCGTTGGCAGCTATCTCGTTTAGTTTAAGAGATATGAATTTTTGAAAATCGTCGAAAAAAAGTATCAAGCACCCCCTTGGCAATTTTTCTTAAGACTTAAAATTTCATCTCTCAGATTTCCCTTTTAACTATCCTATCTGATAGAGATTGGTCCGTAGATTAAGACGCTGCGATCAGATCTTATTTATCTCTTTTAGTTTACGAGATATTCGCGATTGAATAAAATGGGCAAAAATTGCAAAATGTCACTTTTTAGCACTTTTAGTCGCGTTTTTCGACCTTTTACTCTAGGAAATATAATTATTTTATATTTTTATCTGATAGAGAATTTTCCAATCTTTCATAATCAACAATTTGTTGGTAGCTATCTCTTTTAGTTTAAGAGATATTAATTTTTGAAAATCGTCGAAAAAAAGTATCAAGCACCCCCCCTTGGCAATTTTTTTCTTAAGACTTAAAATTTCATCTCTCATATTTCCCTTTTAACTATCCTATCTGATAGAAAATAGTCCGTAGATTAAGACGCTGCGATCAGATCTTATTTATCTCTTTTAGTTTACGAGATATTCGCGATTGAATAAAATGGACAAAAATTGCAAAATGTCACTTTTTAGCACTTTTAGTCGCATTTTTCGACTTTTTACTCTAGGAAATATAATTATTTTATATTTTTATCTGATAGGGAATTTTCCAATCTTTCATAATCAACAATTTGTTGGTAGGTATCTCTTTTAGTTTAAGAGATATTAATTATTGAAAATCGTCGAAAAAAAGTATCAAGCACCCCCCCTTGGCAATTTTTTTCTTAAGAATTAAAATTTCATCTCTTAGATTTCCGTTTTAACTAGCCTATCTTATAGAGAATAGCCCGTAGATTAAGACGCTGCGATCAGATCTTATTTATCTCTTTTAGTTTACGAGATATTCGCGATTGAATAAAATGGGCAAAAATTGAAAAATGTCACGTTTTAGTACTTTTAGTGACGATTTTTGACCTTTTACTCTTAGAAATATAATCATTTTATATTTTTATCTGATAGACAATTTAGTTGTGTGTGTGCACCGTAGTACTCGTTGCGCTAGGAATTGTTGTTTTTTTATTATTTTACGCGAACGCGGTTTCACAATAAGTTCGGAATAATTTCCTCTCGTGCAAAATTTATATCTGAATCTCCCTGTATAGAAATATATTGCGAGAAAGTTCCGTAACGCGAGTTATATTGAAAGTTGTGTGTGTGCGGCGTAGTACTCGTTGCGTTAGGTATTGTAGTTTTTTCCGAATAACACGCGAACGGGGTGCCATAATAACTTCGAAATAATTTTCCCTGATGCGGAATTTAATTCTGTATCTCCCTGTATTAAACATTATTGCGAGAAAATTCCGTAACGCGAGTTATGTTGAAAGTTGTGTGTGTGCGGCGTAGTACTCGTTGCGCTTGGAACTGTAGTTTTTTATTATTACACGCGAACGCGGTGTCACAATAACTTCGGAATAATTTTGCCAGATGCGGAATTTAATTCTGTATCTCCCTGTATTAAATTTTATTGCGAGAGAATTTCGTAACGCGAGTTATATTGAAAGTTGTGTGTGTGCCCCGAAGTATTCGTTGCGTTAGGTATTGTAGTTTTTTCCAAATAACACGCGAACGCGGTGTCACAATAAGTTGGAAATCATTTTCCATGATGCGGAATTTAATTCTGTATCTCCCTGTATTAAACATTATTGAAAGTTGTGTGTGTGCGGCGTAGTACTCGTTGCGCTTGGGACTGTAGTTTTTATTATTACACGCGAACGCGGTGTCACAATAAGTTCGGAATAATTTTGCCTGATGCGGAATTTAATTCTGTATCTCCCTGTATTAAAATTTATTTCGAGAAAATTCCGTAACTCGAATTATATTGAAAGTTGTGTGTGTGTGTGCCATATTACTCGTTGCGTTAGGTAAGTGTTGTAGTTTTTTTTTAGTATAACACGCGAAAGCGGTCTAACAGTAAGTTCGGAAGAATTTTCTCCGATGCAGAAATTTTGATAATTCCAAATATGATTGAATGAATTTACAACATTTTGAAGCTGTTATTGATATCATTTTTGTTTATTTTGTTAAAAGGTATTAAATGAGCATTATATCGCATATCATTATCTTGTTTTCTTGTTTGTATGTAGCTTTTAATGTTGCTAATAAAACATTATGTAATATTATATACTTCTTGATATTTTTTTTTTTGGTTTCCCCTTTGCCGTTTGCAGGATTGATGTCTTGAATCATATGCCATATAAATCTTAAGTGCGTCGAGCGTGTACAATATAAAGCTGTTTGTGTTGTGTTGTTGTTTTTAAAAATATGATAAAAGTAGAAACATAAATAGAAGAATCAAATAACAACAATAAAAACACTTGGTGGTCGAGTGGAGACGTGCACCTGCTGGCATGCTAGCAGACACGGATCGAATCTCAGGTATGGAAGGCATTTTTCTCAAATATAAAAATAACAGGTGTAATTTGGGTTGCATATGTGAATTGCAACGAAATATAAGAGAAGTTGCAATTCAAGTGAAGGCAATAAGAGAAGTAAGAAAGTAGTAAGTGGAGAAACGGAGAACAGTGAGAAATAGGAGAAGTAGAAAAAGGAATAGCAGAGAAGAGTAGAAGACAGAAGGAAGAGAACAGAGAGTAGAGAAGAGGAGGAGATAGAAGAAAGAGAGATAGGGGTGACAGAATTTTTAAATTTTTTGGCACGTGTCGTTATAAGACAGTCACAGGTCAATCTCCCAGAGCGCCTCCGGCGCTCTGGTCGATCGCCCACTGCTTCGATGCGTCCATTGCTCCCGGCCCAACCTACAGCTACGATGTCTCTGCGCTTCATCCCCGAAATTATCAGGCATATCAACAATTTTTATGGTGGGGGATCACCCCCAGAGAGAGGGAACTCCTTATAAGGACAATCCAGGTTTTGTAAAAATATTTCTAAGTATTAAGTCGCATCAAGAGAGGTGACACTTAAAAATATTCTTACAAGTTCTGACCTGTAGCTGAAATGAAAGAAGGAGCACACAACTCACACAGGATACCTTAACAATTTTTATAGTGGGGGATCATCCCCTGAGAGAGGGAACTCTCTTAGAGACCTGTTCCTGAAATGATAGAAGAGGTACACAAATCAAAGAAGTCAATATATTTTACTATTTCTTTATTAACAATAGAATACAAGTTTATATTTTACAAGTCAACAGAATACATGTCGCCATATTGAAACAGAACTTACGACCTGCATAGCCGGGATAATGAAATTAGGAAATAGACCATTTTCTACGTGAGTGAAAATGGGAACAAATATACAGGGTGTTACAAATAGAAAATTCAAGGTGCAAAGAAGAAAAACCTCAAACCACAACTAAAGCTAAATTTTCACGGACAACAAGAAAAACAAATATACAGGGTGCTACAAAAAGGAAATTACTACATCACAAAAAGAAAATCAATAGTACAAGAAAGAAAATAGTTGGGAATACAAATTTAGAAAACTTATAATAGGAAATCAAGAAAAACAAACATACAGGGTGATACAAACAGGAAATTCCTAAATTTAAAAATAAAATACAAAGTTTAAGTAGAAAACGACCCAGAAACGACAAATTTAGTTAGTTTTACACTAGAACGCAAGGTAAAGTAGAACATAGGGTGATACAAGAAGAAAATTGCTACATTTTACAAATAGGTATATTACAAATATTTTACATATATATTATTTTCAATAATTAATTGCCAAACTACGAAATTACGTTAAAGAGCCGGCAGATTTATGAAATAAAATTAAAAATGCGAGCAAGGAAAATTTCACGTTATTAAACCGATGATTGACATGACCATACTCTGCGGGTAGATCCAAGTCGCATCCGGCGGCACGCATCAATTTTGTGTTGTCACGGTATTCACGTTACATGCAATTTTAGATAAATATGAAAGTATAATGTAATAACGTTTGCAAACTTACCAGTTCATCAGGTAATCATAAAAAGTACTGAAACAAAAAAACAACACGTGTGTGTTTTGAGGGATAATGAACCTGTACTATTTCAACACACAATTTTCCCGGAATATCGCGTTACGGAATTTTCTCGCACTATATTCCTATACAGGGAGATTAAGAATTAAATTCTGCTTCTGGGAGAATTAATCCAAACCTAGTTTAAGACCGCGTTCGCGTGTTATAATATTAAGAAAGTACAATTCCTAGCGCAACGAGTACTATTGCGTATATGCGTATACACACAAATATCATTATAACTCGCGTTACGGAATTTTCTCGCACTATATTTCTATACAGGGAGATTAAGAATTAAATTCTGCTTTTGGGAGAATCAATCCCAACCTAGTTTAAGACCGCGTTCGCGTGTTATAATATTAAGAAAGTACAATTCCTAGCGCTACGAGTACTATTGCGTATATGCGTATACACACAAATATCATTATAACTCGCGTTACGGAATTTTCTCGACTATATTTCTATACAGGGAGATTAAGAATTAAATTCTGCTTCTGGGAGAATTAATCCAAACCTAGTTTAAGACCGCGTTCGCGTGTTATAATATTAAGAAAGTACAATTCCTAGCGCAACGAGTACTATTGCGTATATGCGTATACACACAAATATCATTATAACTCGCGTTACGGAATTTTCTCGCACTATATTTCTATACAGGGAGATTAAGAATTAAATTCTGCTTCTGGGAGAATTAATCCCAACCTAGTTTAAGACCGCGTTCGCGTGTTATAATATTAAGAAAGTACAATTCCTAGCGCTACGAGTACTATTGCGTATATGCGTATACACACAAATATCATTATAACTCGCGTTACGGAATTTTCTCGCACTATATTTCTATACAGGGAGATTAAGAATTAAATTCTGCTTCTGGGAGAATTAATCCAAACCTAGTTTAAGACCGCGTTCGCGTGTTATAATATTAAGAAAGTACAATTCCTAGCGCAACGAGTACTATTGCGTATATGCGTATACACACAAATATCATTATAACTCGCGTTACGGAATTTTCTCGCACTATATTTCTATACAGGGAGATTAAGAATTAAATTCTGCTTCTGGGAGAATTAATCCAAACCTAGTTTAAGACCGCGTTCGCGTGTTATAATATTAAGAAAGTACAATTCCTAGCGCAACGAGTACTATTGCGTATATGCGTATACACACAAATATCATTATAACTCGCGTTACGGAATTTTCTCGCACTATATTTCTATACAGGTGATTAAGAATAAAATTCTGCTTCTGGGAGAATCAATCCCAACCTAGTTTAAGACCGCGTTCGCGTGTTATAATATTAAGAAAGTACAATTCCTAGCGCTACGAGTACTATTGCGTATATGCGTATACACACAAATATCATTATAACTCGCGTTACGGAATTTTCTCGCAATATATTTCTATACAGGAGATTAAGAATAAAATTCTGCTTCTGGGAGAATTAATCCAAACCTAGTTTAAGACCGCGTTCGCGTGTTATAATATTAAGAAAGTACAATTCCTAGCACAGCGAGTACTATTGCGTATATGCGTATACACACAAATATCATTATAACTCGCGTTACGGAATTTTCTCGCACTATATTTCTATACAGGGAGATTAAGAATTAAATTCTGCTTCTGGGAGAATTAATCCGAACCTAGTTTAAGACCGCGTTCGCGTGTTATAATATTAAGAAAGTACAATTCCTAGCGCTACGAGTACTATTGCGTATATGCGTATACACACAACTATCATTATAACTCGCGTTACGGAATTTTCTCGCACTATATTTCTATACAGGGAGATTAAGAATAAAATTCTGCTTCTGGGAGAATTAATCCAAACCTAGTTTAAGACCGCGTTCGCGTGTTATAATATTAAGAAAGTACAATTCCTAGCACAGCGAGTACTATTGCGTATATGCGTATACACACAACTATCATGATAACTCGCGTTACGGAATTTTCTCGCAATATATTTCGATACAGGGAGATTAAGAATTAAATTCTGCTTCTGGGAGAATTAATCCAAACCTAGTTTAAGACCGCGTTCGCGTGTTATAATATTAAGAAAGTACAATTCCTAGCGCAACGAGTACTATTGCGTATATGCGTATACACACAAATATCATTATAACTCGCGTTACGGAATTTTCTCGCACTATATTTCTATACAGGGAGATTAAGAATTAAATTCTGCTTCTGGGAGAATTAATCCGAACCTAGTTTAAGACCGCGTTCGCGTGTTATAATATTAAGAAAGTACAATTCCTAGCGCTACGAGTACTATTGCGTATATGCGTATACACACAAATATCATTATAACTCGCGTTACGGAATTTTCTCGCACTATATTTCTATACAGGGAGATTAAGAATTAAATTCTGCTTCTGGGAGAATTAATCCAAACCTAGTTTAAGACCGCGTTCGCGTGTTATAATATTAAGAAAGTACAATTCCTAGCGCAACGAGTACTATTGCGTATATGCGTATACACACAAATATCATTATAACTCGCGTTACGGAATTTTCTCGCAATAAATTTCGATACAGGGAGATTAAGAATTAAATTCTGCTTCTGGGAGAATTAATCCAAACCTAGTTTAAGACCGCGTTCGCGTGTTATAATATTAAGAAAGTACAATTCCTAGCGCTACGAGTACTATTGCGTATATGCGTATACACACAAATATCATTATAACTCGCGTTACGGAATTTTCTCGCAATAAATTTCTATACAGGGAGATTAAGAATTAAATTCTGCTTCTGGGAGAATTAATCCAAACCTAGTTTAAGACCGCGTTCGCGTGTTATAATATTAAGAAAGTACAATTCCTAGCGCAACGAGTACTATTGCGTATATGCGTATACACACAAATATCATTATAACTCGCGTTACGGAATTTTCTCGCAATAAATTTCGATACAGGGAGATTAAGAATTAAATTCTGCTTCTGGGAGAATTAATCCGAACCTAGTTTAAGACCGCGTTCGCGTGTTATAATATTAAGAAAGTACAATTCCTAGCGCTACGAGTACTATTGCGTATATGCGTATACACACAAATATCATTATAACTCGCGTTACGGAATTTTCTCGCACTATATTTCTATACAGGGAGATTAAGAATAAAATTCTGCTTCTGGGAGAATTAATCCAAACCTAGTTTAAGACCGCGTTCGCGTGTTATAATATTAAGAAAGTACAATTCCTAGCGCTACGAGTACTATTGCGTATATGCGTATACACACAAATATCATTATAACTCGCGTTACGGAATTTTCTCGCAATAAATTTCGATACAGGGAGATTAAGAATTAAATTCTGCTTCTGGGAGAATTAATCCGAACCTAGTTTAAGACCGCGTTCGCGTGTTATAATATTAAGAAAGTACAATTCCTAGCGCAACGAGTACTATTGCGTATATGCGTATACACACAACTATCATTATAACTCGCGTTACGGAATTTTCTCGCAATAAATTTCGATACAGGGAGATTAAGAATTAAATTCTGCTTCTGGGAGAATTAATCCGAACCTAGTTTAAGACCGCGTTCGCGTGTTATAATATTAAGAAAGTACAATTCCTAGCGCTACGAGTACTATTGCGTATATGCGTATACACACAAATATCATTATAACTCGCGTTACGGAATTTTCTCGCACTAAATTTCGATAGAGGGAGATTAAGAATTAAATTCTGCTTCTGGGAGAATTAATCCGAACCTAGTTTAAGACCGCGTTCGCGTGTTATAATATTAAGAAAGTACAATTCCTAGCGCAACGAGTACTATTGCGTATATGCGTATACACACAAATATCATTATAACTCGCGTTACGGAATTTTCTCGCAATAAATTTCGATACAGGGAGATTAAGAATTAAATTCTGCTTCTGGGAGAATTAATCCAAACCTAGTTTAAGACCGCGTTCGCGTGTTATAATATTAAGAAAGTACAATTCCTAGCGCAACGAGTACTATTGCGTATATGCGTATACACACAAATATCATTATAACTCGCGTTACGGAATTTTCTCGCAATAAATTTCTATACAGGGAGATTAAGAATTAAATTCCGCTTCTGGGAGAATTAATCCAAACCTAGTTTAAGACCGCGTTCGCGTGTTATAATATTAAGAAAGTACAATTCCTAGCGCAACGAGTACTATTGCGTATATGCGTATACACACAAATATCATTATAACTCGCGTTACGGAATTTTCTCGCAATATATTTCGATACAGGAGATTAAGAATTAAATTCCGCTTCTGGGAGAATTAATCCAAACCTAGTTTAAGACCGCGTTCGCGTGTTATAATATTAAGAAAGTACAATTCCTAGCGCTACGAGTACTATTGCGTATATGCGTATACACACAAATATCATTATAACTCGCGTTACGGAATTTTCTCGCAATATATTTCGATACAGGGAGATTAAGAATTAAATTCTGCTTCTGGGAGAATTAATCCAAACCTAGTTTAAGACCGCGTTTGCGTGTTATAATATTAAGAAAGTACAATTCCTAGCGCAACGAGTACTATTGCGTATATGCGTATACACACAAATATCATTATAACTCGCGTTACGGAATTTTCTCGCACTATATTTCTATACAGGGAGATTAAGAATAAAATTCTGCTTCTGGGAGAATTAATCCAAACCTAGTTTAAGACCGCGTTCGCGTGTTATAATATTAAGAAAGTACAATTCCTAGCGCTACGAGTACTATTGCGTATATGCGTATACACACAAATATCATTATAACTCGCGTTACGGAATTTTCTCGCAATAAATTTCGATACAGGGAGATTAAGAATTAAATTCTGCTTCTGGGAGAATTAATCCAAACCTAGTTTAAGACCGCGTTCGCGTGTTATAATATTAAGAAAGTACAATTCCTAGCGCAACGAGTACTATTGCGTATATGCGTATACACACAAATACCATTATAACTCGCGTTACGGAATTTTCTCGCAATAAATTTCGATACAGGAGATTAAGAATAAAATTCTGCTTCTGGGAGAATTAATCCAAACCTAGTTTAAGACCGCGTTCGCGTGTTATAATATTAAGAAAGTACAATTCCTAGCGCAACGAGTACTCTTGCCTATACGAGTATAGCATGAATCAGTGAAACACACGTCGCCGTGTGTTGCAGCGCGATATATACGAATCATCAAAGTCGACGGAACAGTTTTCGAGCGCAAGCATGTACCTACTATCACACCGACGGTACAAGGTTGAAGCACGGGATGTGATATCGAACGCGACACAGTGAAGATACAAACAATTCCAATATTTTAAATATTAATTATTGTTGATTAAGGTGATTGAGAGAAGACAATTAATAAGACAATAAGACAATTTCAATCGCAAAACACTAAAAGTGAGCGAAATATTGCTGAAATAATGCTTTGGTGGTGTTTTTCGAGTACATAGTTTATCGTAGTATTTTTTATGTACAACCCCAAAGGCTCACTTAACACAAACATTTTTGTAAAAATTACTTCACACTTTACATAGCTGAAGGACATTAAACTATTGCTTATTTCTATTTCAGTACAACAGTGACACAATTATAACACTATACACTAAAATATTGAAGTAAATAATTATATATGTTATTATACTAATATATTAACAACAAAATTCAAAATTGTATATACTTATGTTTTATATATTCTATGTTAGGTTTAGTTGTGTCAGCATGTCAAGGCTTAGTTAACGCATTCGTGGTTTGTAAAGCGCACTTTACACTTTATAAAATACGTTTAAATGTTAGTAAAGTTACATTTATTCGCATTTTAGTTTTACAGTGCTATAATTGTAACTGTATATCATTTAAAATAGAAATAAACAATTGTATAATTAATTTTGCTAAACTTTCTAAGAACAAAAATAAAATTTTACTAATTATAATACTTTTATCTTATAATTTTTAACTACCAAAGCTTAGTTAACACAAACGTACTTGGTAAAGAGTACTTTTCACATTATAACACACGTTTATGTCGGTAAACTTATATTTATTTATATTTCAGTATTACAGTGTTATATTTGAACCACTGCACCTCGAAAAATACAAATAAATAATTATTTAAGGAATTTCGTTACCCTAATAAAAATTAAGTAAATTGTAATGATTATATTTTTTATGAACCTACAAGTTCTAATGCTCACTTAACACTGAAATTTTTGTAAAGGTTACTTTACACTTGATACGGATGTAGGACAGTAAAATATTACTGATTTTTATTTCAGTGCTACAGTGATACATTTATAGCACGACATATCGTCAAATTGAAATAAAGACGTGACAACGTGCAGCGTGAGGAGATGACAACGACGACGACACACGAGAATGTGATAAGAAAATATAAATTGTGTTCAAAACAAGCACAATTCTTGTGTCGAATGCCCACGTGTGCTGATAAATATAGAAATAAATAATACAATTCTATTTTATGATTTTTAGTTTATGCTAGTGCCATATTTGAATGATACAGATGCGAATGAAGTGGTGTTTTGTTATATTTTCTTATATTGTTACTCTTCTATTGTTATTGTAGTCAGACGTAATTTACAGAAGTCCAAAATTGATTACAAATTCATGTAACAATTCGTATTAATCGCAAAATGTGCAGAGAGCAGCAATAATCAACAAAAAATTAATTACCTATTTCATTGAATTACAATATTTCTTTCTTGAGCTCGCTTAAGTTACCATTAATTAATACGTAAATGACAAAGATCAATATTAAAGACTAAAATTAATTTATTTCACAAACTAAAAGAGATAGACAAGAATGGATTTCAAATTCTTAATCAACGAAAAATTCTTAAAATAATAAGCTAGTTATAATTAAAATTTAAGAGATGAAACAAAACAGAAATCAATTATAAGATGCTTCAGCAGGGCTCGCGACTATTTTGAGTCATTGTACGCATTGAAACGCGATTAAAAAAACTACGTAAATAACTGTTCGACGCAGAAATTGAAACGAAAAATATAATTCAAATATAAACTTACCAATGCATAACTAATAGGACTCCAGAATACGGCAAATACTGCAAATAAAAAAAGAAAACATTAGTTAAAACAAACATATTTCGAACGATTTAGTAATATTATAATACTATATTCACACAACGAAGAAAAACAAACAACATGTGATGTTTAGTTACTTACACCAGCACGATGGGTCATCCTAATGTCGAATATCAAATCAACATGGAAATGATATGTACCCGATTCACACTCGCGATCACAATAAACAATAAACACCCCAATAAAATAAGATTACTATAGTCGCAATTCAAAATAAAATAATCGATTGATGATGAAATATAACGTTAATTTAGAAAGTAGAAGACCGAACATACGATACGAGTCGCGAGAAACACGTCTGGACCAACCAGACATCGGCACGAAACTGGCCGTGAACTGCACAAACAAGGACGCAACAGTTTATGATAAGAAAGTAAGAGGTACGCAAAACCGGTGCGTCGATGTCACGCGATCTTCTGCGCGAATTGCAATTGGCAGGGTACCTGCGACCAAAACTAAACTACGATGCAGCATCATGTGGCGTGAGCGGACGGCAACGACACACGGGCATGCGATAAGAAAGTGTAAATTGTGTTCAAAACAAACACAATTCTCGTCTCGAATGCTCACCTTTGCCGATAAATACAGAAATAAATAATACAAGTCTGTTTTAGGATTTTTCGTTTATGCTAGTGTCATCTATGAATGATACAGATAATAGTCCCGGAATTTAAAGTACAAAAATTAATGAAAATTAAAATTCAATTTACTCAATTCTGATTTCTTATGGTGACAGATTCTTAGATTTTACATCAAATATTTAAGTAATATTTAATTCGAACATTTCTCGTTGGTAAACTATGGGCTCTAAAGCAAACTTATACCAAGATAAGAAGATGAGAATGATGATTGAAACATCTCCAAATAAAACTTCAAATTTTCACTCTGAATTCTCATTTACATTGCCGATAAACAATAATACGTAGAACTAAACTTGAAATCGAGGTACACTTTAAATAAATGTTTAAATTATTTTACCTACCACTTTATCAAACAGAGCAAATCGACGGTAAATTGATAGATATTTAATTAAAAAAGAAACAAAACAATTGGTTATTTACTTCATTGGTACGTAGCATGTTGAAATGAATCTGAGTTCCGTCGGAACCCAAATTTAAATTAAAATTCTTGTTAATCGCAATAATTATAGAAATGACAATATTTACCTGATAGCACATTAATCCTTGATCATCTCCAGATGATAAAAATCTTTTGCACAAGTCAATTATTTCTTAGCGTTCACAAAATATCGCCGGCCGTCGCCCGACGGCAACAGTCTCACAACAAACACGTGAATAAATTAAACACGCAAAATTTAGAAACACAAAGATTAATAATTAACTAATAACACACGCGATAAAGAACTATTCCAAGTCTAAACACGTTTATTTATTAAATATATCGCGATTTAGCGAACTTATATCACAGAATATCGCAAGCCGAAAACGTGGAATGTGTGCTAGTCGTTATCGCACCGATGAAATAAACAATATTCACTCTCAGGAATATTTCAAGTTAAACTTGCATCGTCGCGCCATCTGCGGACACATTATAGTACCTCACAAAGCAACAAAGTGTTTCAAAAAGTGTGGCGCGCATGTGAGTCAGTGCGGAATTATCTATGAGGTAGTGAGTGGTCACGCACTTAAATGGCAGCGTCCGTGTGACACACGTACACAAAAGTGTGTATACAACACACTATATAAATGAATAGCAGTTTTATACAGAAATGCAATAAGTCAAACCTAGAGGGGTCCAGATATTCAAATTTAAGTTATGTTTATGTATTAATATTTTTGGTTTGTGAAAAAGTATCACACACTGCGGAAAAACAAATATTAATTTATTTATAATCTTGCTTGCCATATATATCTGATTATTTAACGTAACGTTCTCATCCCACAAACAAAACTTCTTTTTTTCATTTTCTACTAATTACATTACACATTATCTTGAGACAATAAATTATATTTTACAATAGATATATTTATATATGTATATATATACTATTAGAGATTAGTTTCTTACATACTCTTGTTTTTTTCTTGTTTCGAACTCATCGAAATTGCGTTCTTCTTGTTTTGTGAATGTTAGTTATATATCTATTACCCCCAAAAATTAACGCAATTGTGCAATTATATCAAATCGTATCAATATTTATCTCATGGTTCATTTGTGTCCCCCGCTTGCATTTACATCGTCGAATAATTTAATAATAAAATAATTGTTTTTGGTACCTTTTTGCATCTTAGATTAGTTTTAAGTTATATCCTACGTACGAAGAATGTTAATTACGTTTAAATATATCATTTATATAGAATATTTCTGGTTTGCGTTTTGTATAGACCTTGCTTACACATGATTACAGTTCCTTTTTGTGTACATACATTGTGTTTGCAAAGAGAAACAAAGGAAAATCGTAACGAAATCACTCTTAGATTAAAGCTTTTCATTTGTTTCTTGCTTTGTGTTGTAGTCGTAGTTAGATTGTTTTGGCTAATGCGTTTTTGTGCAAATTCTCTAGTCAATTGTTTACGTGTCATCCTCACAGCTTAGCTATTCTTACTTAAACATTAATTTTTTGCTGGCTATTTGTATGGAATCAATTTCTCTGTTAGTTATCAGCCGGTTGAAATGTTGTTCGTATAATAGAGTCAATTTAATTTTGAAATTAGCTGTTTGAGATGTGCTGGGCTTACATTTTCATGCGGCCTTCATGCGCTTTCTTCACAATCGCCAACTTCGAGTGTGGATCCAACACATTGAGATCAGTATACGGCGATTCTTTGGTGCCATGCAACATCAGTGACCATTCCTTGAGGAAACCCGTTTGCGGAGTGTCCGAATTAAATTTCGCCTGCAAATAAACCCAAATTACATTCAATACATCAAAAAATAACAAAATAACTCACTTCAAGCAACCATGTTCCTTGCGGATATTCACCCCACGTGTGCGTGGTCATGAACGGCCATTTTGTGAACCCATCACGAGCGTCATCATCATTCACACGCTTTGAGAGTATCATCGATCGTGTGCCCATCGGCGAGGTGAGGAACAATTCCAAATCACCACGGCGTGATGCATTCACAGTGAGCACGGCTTGCACATGCTCTAAATATTTCACTTCGGTGTCGGTTCCCTCACAAGCGTTTGTTATTATTTTGATGATAATAGACTTCCTCGATGGAATACGCCTGCACAAAACTTTAATGAAACAAAAAGATTCCAACTCTGTTGGGCAACTCACTGTAATTCTTTGACAATTCCACCCTCACAATGATAACGCGGCGGGACAGTTTTCCATTGTTTCGACAGCGCCACCATTGCCCCAGCATCCAATACTCCGAAACCAAACAAATGATTGAATTCCAATCCCACTCCGTTCATTGTCCAATGAAAACGCCCCTTGGCATCAAACAGAGAGTTTCTCTTCGATGTCAATACAGTTAGATGTTGAATATCACGCCATGTTAAATTACGACTGGCAAACAAACAATAAAAATTAATTTTTATATAAAATTTTATATTATAATAAATTTACATACTTGGCTTCCAGGGCGAGAGCAAACACACCGGCAGCTTCCGGAGCAGCAGCGGATGTACCAGAATGCGTTGTTGTGCATTTACCATACAAATCGGTCGTCGCCTGAATAAAAATTGAAATAATTTTTTAATTTTTTTTAATTGAAATAAGTTTTTGCATACCACTCCAGTATTGGGATCCTTTGCACCATTACTAAACGTACTCGCCAATGTACTTGAACAACTCTCATCATAATGCGCATTCTGACCATCATTGATAGCACTATTGATGCTGATTGTCCACATACTCGCCGCGTAACCATCACAGTTGCAATCATCATCCTCGCCGCCATCACCACTCGCCCAGACGTAAATATTTCCCAAACCACCGCGGCCATCGTTCACGCCACGCACAATCGCGCGCATTGTTGCATTCCGGGGACCATCAACGGTTTTACCATCATCTGTAGGACCCCAGGACGCGCTGTAGATGTCGATTAGGTTTGGTTCATGACCCATGCTGTTGGCTTCAATTAAATCCGTCATGTAAGGTTGGTCCAACATGCGTATACCTATCACAAACATAAAAATTAAATTTTTGATTTTTTAAGGAAAATTTTATATTTACCAGCAATTTTGGAATCATACGCCACTCCAACACCACAAATACCATTATCTCTTGCAGCGGCAACCTCTCCAGCACATCTGGTACCATGACTGTGGAAATAAAACAAAAAACAAATTGAAATTACTTTTACTTTTGTACTTTTTGCGTTTTGCGGTTGCAGTTTTCAATACTGTCAAGTACTCAATTCATGTAAACACAAAAACTTTATACTCTTAAGCAAGTAAAAGTCATTTTGTCAATCATGCAGGCATTCTTCTGCAAACGCGCACACAGTCTGATATGTAGAGCGTGTAAATACTTGTCCTTTTTCTATTCCAACATATCATCATATTCATATTAATATTCTTATTCATTGGATGGAATTGACGGAATAATTGCGCCCGAAAATTCGGATTTCTACTTTTACTTAATCCAACCAGACCGCAATTCGTCAGACATTGTAATTTAACGCCTTCGAAAGCTCGCGCCGGTAATTCTAACAATTCACCATGTAATCGTTTCGTTAATTAATCGTTTAATTCCATAAACGCACCAATTGAAATCCACTAGCCATGCTGGACTAGCGACAATGAACACGCGCGCGTATTTCTTGTTAATTTCTTCGCCTCCTCGAAATTTCACTCGAATTAAATCGAAATCATGTTTGTGCAAAAAGCACATCATGTTTGGTGAGTTTTTAAGCAAAAGAAACACTCGGTAGATATTCATGTATGTATAATGCATGTTTATGCGGTTTACAAGCACTTCTTGCGCGCTGCTCCAAATTTCTTTCGGCTTTGGCGGGATTGAGTATAAAAGCAACAGCGGTTGTTCGAAAAAACGTATTCAGAACACAAGCAGCGTATGAGAAACATCCAAAATGATTTATACGAGGTATTTTGCAGTAAGTTTTCACATATTACCAACAAAACAAATGAATTAATCCAATTGTTTGTGTTTTTGTGTTTTGTGTAGATTTTCATATTGTGTTTGCGCGGTAGCAACCAACAGGACACCGAATCGCTGCAACCCAATCAGCACACAGTGTCCAAACCGGTTCAACCTCTCGCGATTAATGTGCAAAGTGACGATTTGGAAGCAGTGGAATCAAATATTCAGGAATCACCGCCGATTGCGCTGAAGCAAGTGCAGTTCAAAGACGCGGAACATTACCGGGTGCATGACGATGAAGTGCAAAGTGAGACAAAATCAACTGGTATTACTCCGAGGATTTCCGTGGCCGTGGTACCAACTGTTGTAAGTCCGGTCGCATCTACAGGGTCTTCCGTAAAACAAACTTTTCTGAAACCAGCATCTGTGATAAAACCTAAACCTAGGATGACTTTAAAAGAATTAAGTCCACCAATGTATTACAAAATCATCAAAAAAGTTGAATATGGACATGGACATGGTCCAAAGAAGATTCAAAGACGACAGGGTTTTGTAAACGTGAACGGGAATGACCATCGATTTATTATGCGTCCTCCTATGCATTACCATGCACCTCATACAGTCAAGTTCTTCATCCAGCCAACTCATATCAAAGGTGGTCCCAAAGGAGCCAAAGTATTCGTACCTGTTATGCCCAAACCAGCGGATAAGATACCCAAGTGGGCTGTCCATAAACAACCCGGATTTATTCTCGCGCGTCCATCTGGTTCCGGTCCAGGAAAACCACCAAGTTCCTACGTGCAATTCCATGCAACCATTCCGAAGAAACCCAAAACCTATGGTCATCAATTCACACCCGCACATATCCCAATTAATAATGGTCCACATCGTCATCCTACTTTTCCCCATTATCCTCAACCCCAAGCTCCACCAGTAAACAATTATGCTCACCAAGTGGAAGCTGAACCAGAGGAACACTACGAATCTGAACCGGGTCACGTGTTGCCTGGATGGTCTCAAGGAGGAGCTCGTCCCATGCATCCCCGTCAGTAATTCCAGAATTACCCGAATGGGCCCAGCAGGAATCCCCGTATGAGATAGAAAGTGATGGGTTTAATCCTGTTGCATTACCGCATGTGTACCCAGCTAAGTTTGGACATACAGCAGCTGGGAGTGCGTATGAAGGGTATGACCCAAGCATCTTCGCCGGATTCCCGCAAGGTAATCAAGCTTACGCCCAGATGCAAATGGGTCACCCTCCACAGATACCACAAGTGCAGGGACCGCAATATGCGGTAGAGGAACAAACTTTCGATGTGCCTCCACCAAGAGGACCAGCAAGGAGACCTCCAGGAGCACCTATACCTGTACCCCCCAAAAATCAAGGTTTATCCGCAACTCCACCTCAAGTCATGACCCAAGCCCAACTCCAAATGCAATATGATCACATCAGTCAGTATCCCGGGTTTGATCAAGGTTCCCAACCAAGCCCACCGGTAGGTGATATTGATTACAGCGCTTATCAACCCAAACCTGCACAGATTGCATCCAACACTGCTCAAACGCAACATGGACCTCCATCTCACCTGGCACCTGAACACCCTAAACATTACCCAGCATTGTCTTCCATACAAGACTACTCACCAAATTACCTAAGAGAATCTCCGGAACAATACAAATATTCTGAGGAAACTGCTCAGGAACAACCAGGACCAGGCCCCTGGGCGTATCAACCTTCACAAGCTGACCACTCACAATGGGCGCAAGCAAAACCCAACCTGCAGGCGGCCTACGCCTGGACACAGAAAACCCAAGATGGAAAATTGATTCACGTCACGCAGGACGTCGAAGAATCCCGGACGGAAATCACCAAAGTGAAACCATTCGCCAAACAAGTGATTAATCATTCGCCTACGCATCATGAAGTTGTTAAGAAACAAGTGTCTTCATCGCCTGTTATCTCCGAGAAAGAAGATCATTCTAGTCAGGAGACGCAGGAAATTGAACCGACGAAAGAAGCGCAGGTTTCTAAAGAACAAGCAGCGCCTGCGTCCCCACAGAAAGAAAGTATGATTTCAAATGGGTGGACACCAATCATCAATAATTAAAATATTAAATTTTTTGATTCCTAAATTTTCAAATTCAACCAAAACCGACCTCACTTTATACTCGCAGTTGGTAAACTAGTTTATGATGCAGATAATGATGTCGAGCATTCACTTGAATGCGATTTTGTTTTTGTTCTGTTTTTGATGCTCAATTATTTATTAATTTATTTTTTATACCTTTTTACTTATGCATAATTCATTGTTGCTCGCTATATCTGTTACTTTTCATGCGTATTGTTGTGCGGTATTAATTTATTTGTGTTATGTATTTTAACCGCAATAAATTATGTTAATTTTGTTTAATTAAACTTGTAAATTATTCGTGAAGCCGCTAAGAATTGTGTGAATGCTAGCGTTTTGTTCTAGTTACATGAAAAATTCATTTCATTATAAATTTACGCGTAAAATGAATTTTTATATTTAGGTTCATTATCAGACGACTCGATGGTAACAAAAACGAGTCTGATTTTCATGTTGATGTTGACAACAATCTGAATTTAATTGAGTTTACGTTCGATCCGTTTTGTAAACAGCAAACATTTTAAATTGAGCGTGAATTGAAATAAAATCAATTTAAGTTTTTAATAAAATACCGGCATTTTTCAGATGATACCGGTATTTCTAAAGTTAATAACTTATTCAATGATTAACTTAACTTATGTTTATTGTCATTGCAATTAAAAATACCGGTATTTCAAAAAAATAACCGGTATACCGTTATTAATACCGATGTTTCACTTTTTTTAAGATAAATGCAGTTTTCACCAGTTGCGCACGCGATAAATAATGATCCGATGATAATTCATGCAAATTAAAGTTGATAACTTGATAACTAACTCACCTGTTGAACCAATCGTCCGTGTACCGCGGGTATGGAAACGGATCGTTGCTGCTGAAATCGTAGCTCGCCTCCGCGTTCTGCAAAAAGCCATCAGAGTGAATTAGCGTAATTCGACGAAACGAAACGAGCTTTTGTATTTCTAGTGCGCCAGCAGGTACAGCACGTAATTAAATAAAAGAATAAAACGTCAAAACAAATATTTATTCGTCCTTCGACCATTCGCATCTATTGCATTGGCTTAGCTTTCAGCGCGCGACGAACGACAGTAATTGCGCGCACAGAGAGCGAATTTCCCGTAATTCTCATCTCTCGGACTCGCCGGGGATTTGTAAATGATGGAATTCGAGAAAAACGCCTACATTCGCTCACCTACATGACTTGTCAATCGTTAAAATCAACAAATGTATCATTTTTTTCTATTTTAACCAAGAAATTTAATATAAATTTTAATAAAAACTACGAAAAATAAGTTTAGTGATAAAAGAACGTGGGTGAAAATACAATAAATATAAAATAGCACAAATAACACAAAGCGAGAGGCGAAAATAGGATCCAGAAACGTGAAACTAAGGACGCACAAGTGCTTGACAAATTGTTTGTAAGGTACTCACGTAATTGAACTTCAAATCCGGATGCATGTAGTCGACGCCTATCCGAACATAGTATAAGAGAAAATCATTCGTCAATGTCAAGCAGTTACAAGATTATACAGTGTGATACTCCACTGAATATAACCAAAGATGTTGGTTAAGTAGGCAACACATTATACTCTTTAGTATTTTGTAATACATTAAGTAATTTAAGGTTATTTTTTAATAAATATGTGTTTTTAACTTTAAATTAAGTGTTTTTTGAATACTATGTTGCATAACCCAGTATTATATGATACAAAACTATTTCCAGACACGTGTTGCCACGTTATGCAGGAAACTGCGGTTTTATAACCATAGAAATGCACCGCGTGAGCAATAAACCGATTAATAACGAGATAATAAAACGCACGATTCGTTATAGATAAACGATTAATTATACGCTGATATGTTATAAGATAAAATAAAATGAAATAAATTACCATCATCCATAATGGCGGTGGTGACGTTCTTCCCAGTGACCCCTTGAGCCCATGCAGCCTCGACGTTCAGATCCAGCTTTGCTTTTCCGCCATTCTGACCGGTGTTCTTCAGATACCATTGAAAGGAGAAGTACGGATCCGTCGGATCCTTGTGTGGTTCGATATTCTTCACCAGATTCTCAACGCGCAGAGGTTTGTAGCCGCGTTTCACACGTGTGAAGCCAGGTTGTTGGATTGCCGAATGAATCTGATAACCGAAACATGTTTTCGTGTATTTTGGGTTGCATATATTAAACATATTAAATGCTGTTTTATAATAAATTTCAAAACTTACCAATGGATCTACTTTTAGTTTACGCATATGCGAAATGGAACGCTTGGTTCTCGCCGTCGGTAACCCATGATTCACGAAGTGATACTCCATACGGGACCCCAACAGCTGCAATATTAACAAAATGAATCAAAATTCAGGTCTCTGACCCGCACAATTTGTTAAATGTGTGTTAAAGAAGTTAGAAGTTGATAAAACGTGCACAATATGTTACTGACCGGACCCATGTTGACGAAACCATTCCTGGCGGCGACGCGATGCGCCTCCTCCGGATGGACGTCGCGCCGAAACCGCACCAGGAAGGAGTTGCTGAAGACATCGCCGGCGCGCGCCTCGCTGACGACGGCGGCGAGCACGACGGCGACGAGGGTGACGAGGCGGCCCACCAAATGCAGGCTGCGACGCACGGGCATCGTCGCACTACGAATGGCAGCGGTTGTGGCGGCGGCAGCAAGCGCCCGCCGTCCCCCACAGCCGGCGAGCGGCGCAGGCGCCCCTCGTGCGCAACCACCGACGTCATTGCCGCATCGATTTTCCACATTTCTCGCATTTACGTGCGAATACACTTGTCGCGAGCATGATGCTACGATTACGCACCACGGTGTGTTTGCGCTGCGTATTAATGAGCGTTTGACGACCGAGAGCCACTCTCGGCGTGCGGCGTGATGCTGGCGACGACTTTATTTGCACATTGTTATCGATTCATAAATAATGGATGTTTCATGGCGCCGGGCGCCCACGCTTTCTAATCATCTTGTCGAGTTTTTACTTTTTGTGATTTATGTCCGCCGGGCAGCATATCAAAAACAACTTTTGAAACTTTTGAACGCTTTAAGTATTTTACAAAGTTTTCTCACATTGTTTTAAGGGATTTAAATACCAAACAACGCCGCGATTATACTTTAACTTCATAAAAACATTATAAACAATCACATTTAAATTAAATCCTTGCACCTAACACCTTTGCAAAATAACAATAACAATGAATAAACCTGTGATTTGTGAATGATTTGAATGATTTAACATACAGCGCCCTCATTCGCAGTTTCCTGAACTAAACCATATGCCAAATAAAAAATAAACCAATTTCTATTGTTTTGCAACAAATCAACTTGAATTCCAAACTTATAAATTTCTATTAATTTATGACGTTCCACCTCACCATAGATAAATTATGTCTTAATTTTCTCAAGTTTTAGTTGTAAACGGACGCCATTCCATTCCTAATCCGAAATGTCAACCTAATTCTTGCTCAATCTTCGTGAGCTCGTTGATTACAATTATTTTCAAAATATCCAGCTATCCATCATCTGTATCGGTGTAATTTTAAGCAGAAAAGACAATCATGGGCAGTTATCGGCGGGCAATCATGACGGGCTTCCTCTGTCGCCTGTGTTCACTGTACAAACATGTTGTTATCCATTTGTACAGTCGACGTGCCCGAGATCTTTCCCTGCTGGAGAAAATCAAAATTCTTCCTGTTAGTGTAAGTAATCCATCATAAAACCACAAGAAACTGCTTGTATATTACTTCTTTCAGATTAAAAAGTACGATAAACTGCCGAAAACAGTCTGTGAGTCTTGTGTTGAGAAGTTATGTAGTCAGTATGAATATATACAACAAATCAGGAAGAATCTGGAGATACAAGTGAAGCATCAAACCACACATGTAAGAAAACAAGATATACTTGTATACAATTAAAAGTATTTCTGTGTTTGTAGGCAAATGGTTGTCCACCAGGGTGTTTATTAAGTGTTGTAAGCAATGCAGGTGCTTCAACTTCCACCAGTTCTTCAGCAGAAGCACGATTAGCGTCGTCTTCATCGCGTTTGCATGTGAATGAAAACGGCGAGCAGATATCGCATCCCATACGCGTTGTTATCGTGGATCATAATGGTGAGAATAATGGTGAAGGCTCAAACAGCTGATGATTTTCCAGCACAAACAGAAATCAATTCTGTGGTTGTAACAATTCAAGTGTTTTAAATGTTCAGTTCCTATCCAGAGATGTGAACTCGTGAAACGTGGTGAAAAGCTCAAGCTATGTACAAGCAATTTCCTTGATAATTTAACGTTGTGTTGTTGAATGACTGGTATTTCTGAATTCTGAACAAAAGAATCTTTTTTATATTATATTGTTATTAAAACTAGGATTATTTTAGCGTTTAGGATTTATGTTGATTGTGCAGGTGATGTTCACGATGTTGAAATAAAGTGATATTTGTACCCATAATCTACGATTTTTGTTGTTGTTTTCTTATTATTTTAAACAAAAGTGGGACAAATTAGAATTTCTTGAAACTCTTCTTGGAGCCAGTGCCCTTGGTGACCTTCAGGACATTGAATCGGACCGTCTTGGAAAGCGGCCGGCATTCGCCGATGGTTACAACATCACCATTTTCCACATCCCTAAATAAAAATAGAAATAAACATAATAAATTATATGTAATTATTAAAATAAGATTTAAAAATACCTGAAAGCCGGTGACAAATGCACAGACATATTACGATGCCTCTTCTCGAAACGGTTGTACTTCCTAATGTAATGCAGATAATCGCGACGAATGACGATTGTGCGCTGCATCTTCATCTTCTGCACGACGCCGGTGAGAATGCGGCCGCGGATGGACACATTACCAGTGAACGGACACTTCTTGTCGATGTAATGTCCCTCAATCGCCTATTACCATAAAAAGTTATTAATAAACATAAAAATAACATGTTTTAATGCGAAATATACAACAAAGCACGTGTAATAAACAAGCTACATTATAATAACCACCACCAATATTAAATAAAAGCTTAAAATTAAGTGTAAAGTGTAATAAAATGTTAGATTTCCCAAGTGTATCACCATTAACCAAGTACATGTCCACCAAGCCACCAATAACATAACAATAACCGATTCCCATATGTCAATATGCCAAATGCCCATAAATAGCTTTATTTTTTGCTTAAATTTTGTGGTTTTTGTTACCTCGCGCGGGGTCTTGAAACCAAGCCCAACGTTCCTGTGGTGGCGCAAATTTTTCCGCTTGGCCGCTGTCTTATGATTGAGGAATACAACGGGTTGTTTTTGGAAAGCTTTCTCTGTCTAAATGTGTGCGGGGAAAAAACACAAACGTATTAGTACACAGCTGAGACTAACCTCTCTCGGAGTCTTGAAGCCCAAGCCGACTTCGCGGTGGTAACGCATCGACTTGCGACGCTTACCGCCCAAACCTTTCTTGCGATTTAAGAAAATCGTCGGCTGTTTTTGGAATGATCGCTCATTCTACAAAACAAATGACGTTCATTTATCCAACAGAGACAAATACATGTTATATCATATTCCACTGTAGGATGATAATAAATAAAAATTTACAGTTTAAATTACAATAAAATAACGTCCGTATATGAAATTTATTAACTTTGTAACCACGTGTATTATGCTGCATCCAGAATAACCCCAAAACGTGAAATGTTTTATTTGATGTGTTACAGAGCAAAATTGAGTGAAATTTGATTAGAAATGGAACGGACTTACTGCGTGGACGTTATTTTATTGTTATTTCTCGGTTTGTATCCAGTTTTTCCATGTTTTTGGCCAGAATTCACAGCAACTTACTTGATCCGCCATGTTGACAGCTTAAAAAGACTGACTAAAAAGAAACAATCTGCCAGGAAATGGTGGCCATGTTCGTTTGACAACGGAAGTGGTAGGGGCTTCTGGGTAACAGCCGAATTCAAAACTAAATAACAAAAAGTATTAAAATTTAAATATTAATAGCAAACAAATATAATTTAAACATATATTGTTTATTTTACTTAATTATCTAATTTTATTTTAAACCGAAACCAAAAAGAACTACGAGACAAAATGAAAACAATCTCAGTTAGAAGTTGGCAACCACACTTACTCTAATCTATGCTGTAACCTCAGAATAATTTACTAATGATAACAAACGTTTAAAACGTTCGAAATTATTGATAACACCATTCAAAATGCAGTGTTATCAAATAAGTGCAAAGAAGGCATGTCTAATTCTACTCATGTTTGTTATAAATGGTGCACAACACTCGCAATTCGGTCAGTATTCCAATAACTACTGATTTACATAAAATTAATTCAATTATTTATGCAAAACAGGTGATAACAACATGGATCTAAGCAGAAAGAGTCAAAACTTTAAAGAAGTATCACTAAAAACAACCCTGAGGTATAAATTTGTCTAAAACTTGTTTAAATCAATTAAAAATCAACAATTTTAGATTATGCTAAGCCATGGTTATTGTTCTGCACATCATGAAAACTGTGAGCAAGTGAGTGGCTTCTGCCTCAGTTGTGACATGAACAGCACTTGTATTTATGGCCAGAAACTGAATGCCACTTGTAATGTACCCAATGGTATAATCTGCATGACAGTAAGTTGAAAAATCAAGTTTTTTTAACCAAAAACTTAAGATTTTTGTTTCACAGGGTAAAAAAACGTTTGAAAAGGAATACATCTGCAGATACTGCTATCAAACTGAACCATGGGAGCATACTTGTGACTGGAAAGCAAGCTGCAACTCTGTAGCAATAAACAGATCACAATATACAACAAATTGTACAGTTAATGACAACATTATATGTTTAGGTAAATATTTAAGCATCTTACCAACTGAAATTAAAACTGATTTTAATTCCAGGCTCAAGAACATTCAATAAAAATGTTTATTGTAACTGGACAGGCGGATATCGCTGGTCCACCGCGCTTGTTCTAAGCATAACTTTAGGAGGCTTCGGAGCTGATCGATTTTATCTGGGGCATTGGCAGGAAGGCATCGGTAAACTGTTTAGTTTTGGTGGTCTAGGCGTTTGGACATTAATAGACGTAATTTTGATTTCCCTGCATTATTTGGGACCTGCTGATGGGTCACTATACATTTAATTTGGTACATAAATATTTATTTCTTTGACTGAATCACGATTTTTCTGTAAACTTGTATTAAAATATTCATGACACGATGGACATTTCTCTCCTGACGTATTCCTTCAACTCTAAATCGTTTAAATCTTCAAAATCTGCAGAGTTTAACTAAAAATCAACAAAAATCAATATTTTTATGATTATTTTATAGGAATCTTACTAGGACAACTGTCAAATCCATTTTGTACATTAGCCTCGTCTTGACTTGCAGCCTACCAGACATTTTTTCATCCACATTCTTCACTCGGTTGCTCTCATCGAGAACTTCAACCACAAAAGCCTTGTAAACATTCTTCCTGTATCCAGTTATACCCAAAACATTAAAATGTGGCACTTGATACTCGAATTCCAGCCGATTCACATCCAAATCACTCATAAACACTTTCAAAACATTATAAATCTTCATTAAATTCGGCCGTTTCTCCAACTCTAGCTTTATATCCGCCTTAAACACTTCAGCTTTCACACCAAAACGTTTATAAAGTTGCATATCTTCAACCTGCATACAAATCAACAACATATTCAACCGAATTTTTGTTTTTGTTTGCATCTTTCGAATCACACCGATTTTATCCTTGCATAAATTTAATAACTTTTCAGAGTGGAACTCTAACATCCACAAATAAAACACTGAATCCAGTAGTGTTTCCGGTTCGTCATCATAATAACCACTCACAGACCGTGCATAAATTTCTTCTTCGAATAATTTCAAATGTGTTTGATTTAAACGATGCCCAACGAAGCTGCATGACCACAGAAAACGTTTAATGTCTTTCCCACGAATATTATCAATAAAATACGCGCGTTTTTCGCGAATATTTGTCGTTATAAGTTGATTAATCGCACGCTGCGTGAATAATTCAAACAATTTCTCATCGTAATATAAATAATCAGCAAACAAAGGTAGGATATGACTGATTGCTGTGAATGTATAGTGTTTATATGTTTGATTAAAAAATATCACTGCTGATATAGTGGCTAACAGCTCCTCATTTTGGCACTCATTGTGTCTTAATGATTTAATTAATGTTACTAGCATGCCAGGATCATCAAACAAGTGCAGATTGTTCAGTAAACACTGCTGTAAGATACTCAATAGTTCCTTATTGTATATTCTAGTACTGGTTTTGAATGTTGCATTGCACAACACTAGTAAATCAGTCAGTGAGAATGCTCTCAACATTTCTGGATTAGTATTCAGGTGAAACATGCATTTTTTCATGTGTCTTGATGCTTCATAACTGTTTTTCTTTAGGGCAACCATGTACATAAACTGTACAAACTCCTGGGCTGTTAATTCTTCTATTCTATGCGCTAAAATCGAGTTTGAAATCGTGTAGAAGTCAAAATTTGTGATTTTTCTTGGTGAATTCAGTAAATAAATTGTGAGGTATTGAAGGATTTCACTGTTGGTCATCTCGGATGCTTTACTGCATAGAGTTTTGTCCATTTCAAGCAGTGCACGTACTCCTTTGATGTTTTGCGTGTTTGTGATGAGTGTTTTTTCGGTGTTGTTTGCTTGAAAATATTCGAGAAAACGATGTGTAAGTTTGATATTTTCTGGCACTGAAGGTTTAGGCGCTTGCTGAACGTTACTTATGTATAAATACTGCAGTTTTCTGAGGAGATTTACGCGATTCCACATTGTTCATGATCACTTTTATTTAACTTATGTTTAAAAGAAATTAATTAGGATAAATGTTGAGGATGGTGTAATGTTTATTTTTAAATTTGTATGGTTAGGTTACCATTCTGCAAACAAGTAAAGTTAGATATAAAACTCTAGAGCTTAAAATATTAATTCTGCTAGGAAGTAATTTTGTATACGTAAAAAAAGACTAATAAATAAAAAATATCAATATTACTACTTGTTATTTTAATGCTTTCCTATGCAAATACTAATTATTTATTAAATGTTTTATAAGAATCATGCGCTACCTTTACCATGATCAAATTGTCAACAAAATTTAGGTTATTTCATCATATCCAGATGAAAACATGATCATGATTTCCAATTTCTAAATATAAAATTATAATCAAATAGGATTTTTACCATCCAGATTTAAATATGGCTTTATCTATAGAACAATGCGATGTTTTGCTCAAGTATGTTGCCTAAAATAGCTAAACAATCTATTTTTAAATAAATTTATTCATTTGCAGAATTATTGATGAACCGAACATTGCAACACAAACACTGGAAGCAATTGTTAATGATGTTATCAAAAAGTTTGAAACAACCGATTATTTCAAAGGTATTTCTAATTCTATAAACATTTTAACTATTAACTAATCAACTATGAATTGTGATTTTAGTTGGAATGTGTTTGATCATGTTATTACAGCAAGATTTGATCAAATCACATGAACAAAGATTAGTTGTGATAACTATTCTGCATGAAATGTACAGGGATGAATCCATAGGCAAAACACCATTTGCCAATGCATTTGTGCAACTACTGGTATAAAACTGCTTTAAAACTAATTAAAAACCAATGATTGAGTTATTATTTTGGTTTTAGTCACCAACTGAACAGCAAGGAAGCCCTATAGGTGCACCCAAACTGCAATATCCTGGACATTTGCCAAAATTAACCACACAGGAGCGAAATTTCTTAGAACAATTGATTTCAAATGTTTCCAAAGATGTAGTAAGTATTTTTCATCATATTTGATGAAATAAATCATTAATTAATGATTTTTTAGTTGTTGAAGAGGACAGCAACACAAATATTGAATGCAGACACAATTCCAAGCCTAAACATTGATCTTTCCGCCCTGCAACTGAGCCTGGCTGATAGAAAACTGGAGTTTTCATACATGTCAAAGAGTGGTATTCCTGTTACATTGAGTTTTCCAGAGAAAAACATAAACAAGTAAGTTTTTCTTTAATTATTTACAATTTTTATGTTAAATTTATGTTTAATTTAGTTATGCGCCTAAAGAAGACCACACAAATGCACTAATCAAAAGCCTCATGTGTGGAAATGACGCTCCTGTGAACAAAGTCTACAAACCGGAGTTTGTTACGCTTGCTCCACCGTTATACAACTGCCAGGATGAGGTTTGTTACATACTTGTAACATTTTTGCATATTTTTACATTAAACTAAAATATTTCAGCCTGTGTGGTTTAACATGACTCACCCAACCCGTCATCAAATCATCTACGACGCTACAATGTGTGTACCCAACATGGCCGGCCAGGAAGCGCGCCATCTACTCACAAAAGCCTACAAATCCGCGTTATCTCTCCAGCAACAAACACGACTCGTAAAAGAACTTGACAATGATCCCAAGTTGGTGTATCACATTGGTCTAACACCAGCCAAACTACCCGAATTAGTCGAAAACAATCCGATAATCGCCATTGAGATGTTACTAAAACTAATGCAGTCGAAACAAATCACTGAATACTTCAGTGTGTTGGTCAACATGGAGATGTCGCTGCACTCAATGGAAGTTGTCAATAGGCTAACCACAACTGTGGATCTACCAACTGCGTTCGTACATCTTTATATTTCGAACTGCATCTCAACTTGTGAGACCATCAAAGACAGATACATGCAGAATCGACTCGTGCGATTAGTCTGCGTGTTTCTACAGAGTCTTATACGAAACAAGATTATAAACGTCCAGGTAAATATCCTATTCTTAAATAAAATTTAAAAAATAGTTTTTGTTTGTTTTCTAGGAGTTATTCATTGAAGTGCAGGCATTTTGTATTGAATTCAGCCGAATACGCGAAGCAGCCGCCTTGTTCCGCTTACTTAAACAACTAGAAAGTGGCGAAATTGGCTTACCATCACCTCCATCCTCCTCATCCACATCTAAACTGAAACTAGATGGATAAACACTGCTAATAAACTATAAATAAATATTTAATGGTACATTTATGCTGCTGTTACATTACAATTGGGTAGAGCTGCCTTCAACTGTGCTCCTACACCTTGAATATCCTTAACACCTGAGAGTGCTCCCAGATTTAAATACTGCAGGCTTTTCATTGCTGTCAGATGCAATAAGCCTGCATCACTGATGTTGTGACATCCAGTTACTTGTAGTATTTTCAACTGGCCACCTATGGGCTGTAGTTCTTTCAATGCATCATCATAGACATAATTACATTTGTTGAGTATGATTTTATCCAGTTGTGTGCAGCCAACAAAATGGTCAAAACCATAGTGCATGATGGAAGAATCTGTTGCATCTACAGCAGTTAATGTAATTTTTTCACCTTCCGGTGGGATAAGATTATAATCATTTAGAAATTCAGGACAGCAGGTTAATTTGACAGCGCCGCCATTACGAAGGATCCATTCGGCGCATGTTCGATCAGGACCAAATTTTTTCCATCTGTGTTGATCTTTTCGATTGAAGATTATATTCAGATATTGCCAGAGATTACGTTTTCTATACAGTTGTGTGACTTGTGAGAGTATCGGCGTTTTGGTGACTGTAAACATTACAATGAATTTTTAATACAAACACTTTAAATTTTGAGGAATTATTGTCGGTGAATTTATATTTACACTTGATTTTAACAGCTGTGAATTTATACGCCAGCGCCCTCTACATAATGTCTGACAGTTTAATATAAACTATACGCAGCACTTCAAATTTTAAAATCTTAAGAGATATTTCAGTATTGGTAAAAGTTTACAATGAAATTATCACTATTTAAACATTAAACTTAGCGTAATAATAAATAACTAACAGTAATTCGTGGAAAACATCAACATTTATAGGTTATCTTAAATATGTTGGTATCATAGAAGTGAAAATCTTGTTTTTTTCGTTAATTTTAGCCTAAACTACGCCAATTTCTGCTCGCTGAGATTCTAATAATACTGAACCACCTCACAATCAAATGTACAAACAGTAAGTTACAGAGTTACGCCACTAACACACAATTTTACAAATAAATAACGCTTTGCAGGTGAGATTCGCTATAACACAGTTTAAACACTTATTAACTACTTATATTAACAGCTTGAAATGAATCCGAAACCTGCGCACGCAGCGTTGGAACCAATTAAGTTCCTGCTGGGCACATGGCGTTCAATTTCCGCACATGGTAAATTCGCCGAGCGCGTCGCACCTTTCGTCTACTGCGAGCAGCTGGAGTTCACCACATGCGGCCAGCCAATGTTAAACTACACCTCAACTTCATGGCATGCAGTAGATAAATACCCAATGCACATGGAGACGGGTTTCATGCGCATTATTCCCAACACAAACAACGTGAATCTCTTCCTCGCGCATAATTTCGGTCTTACCACAATCGAGGAAGGTTTCGTAGCTGAAACCAGCTTGAAATTAAAAAGCACCAGTGTAAGCCGCTCGCCAAATGTGAAAACACCGAAAGTTCTCGGCATCGAACGCAATCTCACCCTCTTAGATGACGGGAAGTTACAGCTGGTGCTTTACATGTCCACGAATGAGGTGCCGGAGATGACGCAGCATTTAGCTGTAATCTACGAGAAAGTAATTGAATAAATAAGTGTAGAATCTGTCTTATAGTGAATCTCGAATCGCATCCTATCGCACCAGCATGCGCCTGCGCTGTGAGCGCGCGAAGCACTGCAGCGAGCAGAAGTATAAATCCACCGGAACAAACCCGCCGGTTTCACGCGATGAGCGCAACTCGCGCGTGATATTCTCCAGCCACATGATGTCTTTATGCGCGACGTATTTGTCAAAGCAAGCTTTACCACACACGCAATACCTGGCTGTTTCTAGATAATTAATAATAATCTGCGGGAGTGTTTTTACAATATGGCAACCTGTCAAATAAGACTTTTCTGCCAGCGTATTCTTTAAGAGTTAACACTGGTAATGCTTTCGGGAACTGCGCAGCGAATATATTCCGCTGCACGTCGTTCATTTCAACATTAGACGCATTGGAACTCACGTCTAATTCATCAAGAATTAGTTTTTTTATGCTTCCCGGGAAGCTTACAAGTTGATTATTACTAGCGGTGAATATGCGTAGATTACGAAGGTTGCCGATGCCGCTCGGAAGGAACCGAAGCTGATTATCATCGATATTCAGAGTGACAAGTGCGTGTAAACGCAATAACTGATTCGGGAGATATTTTAATTCGTTTTTCGACACGTTGAGGGCGCGTAGTGTTCGTGAGAGATTACCACCCATCCAATCCCACTTGCGTGGCGCACTTTTACCGAATAGGTTACCCTTCAGGTTAATCTCGACCAGGTTAGGCAACTTGTTCAACTCCTCCGGCAGGAATTCGATCAGATTGTTTGACAGATCAAGGACACGAAGGTTGAGCAACTTGAGAATGCCTCTGTCAAAACCAAGTCTTCTTACATCATTGATGTGTAGTACTTCCAGAGTGACTGGGAATCCTTTAACGGGATATTCCGACCGGTTTTTGATGGTTAACTTTGTCGGTGCGACTGTTTTGTGATCCAGAGCAGTCACACCAATGCCTGACACTCCTGATGACTTCATATCAGCTGCAGTCAGTTTATTCTGCAGGATTTTCTTTAAAAGTGTTAGGAACTGTTTCAGTTGTGGAACTGTTGCTTGAATGAACAGATCATGTGCTGGTTGCTTGAATTGCAGAGTTGCTTTGCCTTCATGGATGAATCTGATTAGTATTTGACTCACATTTTCCTTCACTGGATACTTGACGCCGGTTTTGTTCGTTGATGTAAAGAGGATAATGCAGAATTCCGGCTGTTTGTCCTTGGAACTGCACGGTTGTTTGCATAAAGCAAGCGTGGATTTGAGATATTTACGTTTTTGTTGTTGTTGGTTGATGCCCAGGGGTTGGTTGACGAGTTGTCGGTTGATCACGCAAACTGAGCACAGAATTCGCATTTTAATTCAATTTATAACAAGCCTCGCGTGACGACTTAGGTTAGGAACGTAAACTAGGTAAACTAATCGAAGTAATGATAATTCACTCATCAAACAAGTTGATCAGCTGAGTGTCGGCGAGCAGAGTGAAAACAAACAAGATGGCGGTCGGTTGTGCGCAGATGGGAATAGTGCGACACTAGCGCCACTCTTAAACTTTGAAAGATAATTTATATTTTGTTTACTGTTCTGTTAAATATTGATAGCAAATATTAGAAGACAATAAATTAAACCAATGAGTAGATTTATGGCGATTAATTGTGGTAAATAGGAATTAATTATTAATTTTTGTCAATTTATAATCAACGGCCATTAAACGAACTACGTTTTAGGTTTTTATAATATACAGCTTGGATAGTAGTATTTGTAGTAATTACAACAATGTAAATATTAAACAACCAAACGTAATTTACCCTCAAATGTTAATTAATTGAGTGTTATATTCGACTATTTGTTATTTAAAATATACATACATGGCTTTATTTCGATAATATGCATTTACTAATTTTATTTATCTTCAACCACGATGTATAAATATTCAATGTCAACTGAAGGACATTTAACCTATGCTACTATACGTCAGATTAGATTTTGTGATTGTTGTTGTTTTCATATTCGTATTTTGGACACAAAATAACAAAATCATGGCACAATCCTCCATAGAATGGTAATTTCAAACGAAAAAAATCGTTATTATTCTCACTACTGATGATTTTAGGGTAACACGAAGCCCATACATAAAACATTTAGTCCACAACATGCAAAAAACTCAAGTTGAAGATCATCCACTCAAAGCAATCACTGTAAGAAGTAATAATATCTAATTTACATTCAATTTCTACATAGAAAATAAATTCTCAGGTAACCGAACGCATTCCACGTCGAGTTTTAAGCTCACAATCAAGCACAGGCAGAACAACACCCATTATATCAACACCAACAGCATTAATTGATATTAGTGCTGCTCTGGAGGGCATTGATCCATTGACAAAGTTTGCCATTGAAGAAATGGATCCTCTGACAGCATTCGCGAATGAAAACGTAAGAAACTTCATAAATTTAAATAAATTTTGATGATTTTTGTAATTTTTTAAAAATATTCTAGGCAAAAACTGTTGTTTCCACTAAGCCTACATCAGATAAACCCGAAGTAGACTCATGGGACGCTCGCAAAGTCTCCATTCTAAACCAATTCACCACATCAGAGAAGATATCAATTGTTACAAGTTTCCTAAACGATGATGAGCAAGTCGTCGTTAAAACCCAAACATCATCAATTGATAAAGTGCAAAGCAAGTTGGAGCAGTTGGATTACTTTGAGGAAGGCTCTCAGCAAAAGTTTGACCTCTCACAAGTAGAATACATGAAACGCATTGATTATTTAAACCGCGAGTTGGTTTCTGCATGGACTTCGGAGCAAAGAGTGAAATCTTTGAAGATTGCCATTCAATGCGCCAAGATGTTATCGGATACCGAAGTCCTGCAGTTCTATCCGAGTAAATTCGTATTGATCACAGAGATTTTAGACGTTTTCGGTGTGTTGGTCTATGAAAGATTGCGAAGAAAAGCATTTTATATCCGACCAGGGACAAAAACACCAACTGCATTACCGCATAATTTCACACCGGACATGGTGCATGAAACAGCGAAGGAAACATGTCGAAATTGGTTTTATAAAATCGCATCCATACGCGAATTAGTACCGCGGATTTACGTCGAAATGGCGATTTTAAAATCGTACAGTTTTCTAACCTCAAGCGAATATTCAGCGGCTTTGATGCGATTAACGCATATGATTCGTGGGATTGGTAATCCGTTGGTTTCGCTGTATGCGCGGTGTTATTTATGCCGTGTGGGGCTTACAGTCACAACACCAGGCAAAGATAATAGCTTTCTGATGGAGAATTTTTATGACTTTTTGAATTTGCATCAACATGTAAGTAGGCAACCAGTTAACCACATTATATCCATCATTATACATGTTGTTTAAATCTATTTCTTTAGTTATTACCACCGAATGTTATCAAAAAATGCCGATTGCGTCTTATCTCACCCTGTACACTCCTGCATTGGATTTTATTCTTTCACAAGTTGCAACACAGGCGGTGAGGCTCTCCTACAGGATATTCTTGAAAAGTGTAAGAATATCACTAATAGGTAACTGTCAAATTTATTTATTTTTATATATATATTGATTTGTGTTTGTTTTATTTATAGTTCTTTGATGTTAAACACGATAATGTCTGTGTTTAAACCTTCGTTTATCTCGCATCGTTGTCTGAGTTTCCTCGACACAATTATCAAAAGCAACGATGAACGCGGGTTCCCTCTACATGTACTTTTGCGAACCTTGGGACTTTGTGTGACTGTATGTCCACCACCTGCTGAGGACAGGAAAAAAGTCCTGGCGATTGTTTGGAGTCATTTATCGCATATTCGCAAAGCCGATGAATATTTAAACAGTATAGAACCATGGGTGCAATATGCAGTCCAACATTTTATGGTAAAAAGCTAAAATAATGAGTTGTTTCATCTTAAAGTACAAAATAATCATGTTTTAGGGTCTTGATAGTCAAGTAAATCAAATACTTGGAAATATTGTCCAACATATGAGCGTTGAACGCACTGAAAAACCCTACAATCAATTAAAACTCGTTGTGGAACGGATTGTTAATCATGTGCCTGATATTGAAGCACTTGTTGCAATGGTAACTATACTTTTTTAATATTTAACCTTTAAATCTAAAAAATTATCTTCTAGGATTATTTCCTACCCTTAATCGACTTATTCCAACACGAACAACATAAAGTTGAAGTATGTAAAATCATCCTCACGGCATGGAACGCCCCGAATCAATCACAGCCAATCACAGATCCGATAATCATCAACACTGTGACGCATATATGTTCCGCCATGCATGATTCAGTCAGCGCCCTCACTGTTGAAGACGAAGTGCGGCAAATCAGCGAACTAATCAGCGCTACAATCCGAAAAGTTGATTATGGCCGCGATTTCGAGCAACAATTAACATTCTACGTGGAAAGTCGTGGCGCATACAGTAATTTATACGCTGTATTAGTCCAACTGGTACACTGCGTTAATCTACTATCGATTAAAACAAGATCGATTGTAAATGGCCACCATACAAGAAAAACAGGCGCGTTTGTACGCGCATGCGCAGCATATTGCTTCATAACAATTCCATCAATAGCATCAGCAAAGACAAGATTAGAGTTGTATCTACACAGTGGACAAGTAGCACTGTTTAACGCATGTCTTGGTCAAGCAGATGCATTCTTCAAAGCAGCATTAGCGATTCTACATGAGATTAACGCTGTGAATGTTACTGAACAAATGCTGCCGAAGAATTCGGATGAATTTCTATTATCATACATTAGGAAGTTCCTGAGTGTATTGATTGTTGTACCGGATGCGCCGGATAAAGGCGTCTTGCATTCCACGCGGATTTTATTGAATTTCGTGCAGAATTATGACTGGCACTCGGCGCAGATGCTCGCGGATGTTTACATCAACGTTTTGGATATGTTGGCAGCCATGGGGCAGGATACATATCCATATTATATTGATAAAGGTAATAATCTTCCATGATTTGATGATTTGACGATGATTTACAATAAATTGTGTAATTTTTATGTTTTTAGTTGAAAGTAATGATGCTCTTTATGGCAGTGATCCGAAATTCCTCGCTGAGTTGAATAAAATCGCCACAATTGTTTTAAATGAATTGCTAGTGAAGCTAAAAGAGATCGGCGCGGGTCGAACACAATCGTTACTCGCACAAAAACTGCTGAATGTTGTTTTAAGCCGAACTGATCTTGCAACAGCGCCATCTCTGGCTACTTTAGTGGTGAATTTATGGAATATTTCGTTGAAACATGGAAATATCGATAAGAGACGCATGGGCATTGTGAGTTTTACAACATTAAGCTTAATTTTGAGGTTAATACTTGTTTTTAGTTACCCAGTGGAAAATACTTCGCCAAAAAGTATTCGCATAGTGAAGATGTGATTTATGATCAAGTCCTATCAAAACTAAATCTATAATGCATGTTTTTTTAATTATTATTTCAATGTGAAAGGTAAAAATAAAATTGAGATACATTTTGGAGATTTTGAATGAGTAAAAACAGAGACTTACTTTACTTTGGTCTGCCTCGTCCAGCGCCTGTCTTAGCGCGTTTATTAGGCGTTGCTTTCTTGGGTTCAGCTTTACGTTTCGCTGGAGTCGTGCTCAACACTTTGAAGAATCCATCCAAACGTCCTTGCGTTGTAACTCCGCGTGCTTTCGCTAATTTCTTCGCCCCATTGCGCACGCGTTCCTCGCTGAACTGTTTATCACCACAGAGATACTTAACCAAACCTTCTTCATCTGGATCATTCCATTTTAACTACAAATTATTTAAATATAAATATTTAAAATCGTTTTTTAATTAAATTAATTTTTAATTGTTTATACTTCGATTGTTTCAGGATCAGCTACTTCTGGTTCGACAAAAAGCTGTCTTGCACCTTCGTAATTCCAGTCAGCTGGAGGAGTATACTTTTTCGTGTCGATATTCTTCAGAATCTCTTCAATACACTTGTGTTGTTTGATTAATTCAATCGCACGCTTCGGGCCTATGCCACGAATGCTGTCTGTGTAATCACAACCAAGCAAAATGCACAAATCTATAAACTAAAATAAGAATTACAGTTTAAACTTAACACTAAACATAACTTATAAAAGAATTTACTTCGTTTCTAGTCAATCCAAGTCCTTCAATGACTTTATCATAATAAAACTCTTGAATGGGCATCTTCCTTGCTTCGCTGAACGTCATATGCCGCAGGAGAACATTTGTACCGAATGTTAACGCGTCCATATCCTCGGTGGCTGTTCCGAAGACTTTGCCAGCTTTGACTAAAGCAGCGCATTGTGCTTCTGCTTCACAAGGTGCTTCAACGTAGGGAATCCCCATGAGTTTTAGTAATGTTTTGCAGTCTTCTGCATGTTGTTTGGTTACTTTTACTAATCGACGATTGAATTTCTCAACGTCAGCGGCGTCGCCTGCTTCTGTTGCTTTATCCAAGGCTTTTTGTGCTTCTTCACGGCGTTCTGCACGTTTGCTGAGCTCGCCGCTCTTCATCTGCGGTGGTTTACCGTCGAAAACGTAGACAGGTTTTATGCCGTTGTCTATCAAGCGTATTGTTCGGTAGAAAGTGCCCATTAGATGTGAGGTGGTTTCGCCGTCTACTGAGGTTAACTGGGCACCTTCTGACCGAACTGCTATGAGAAACTGGTAGAGACACATAGAAGCATCCACAGCGATTTTACGACCTTGAATTTAACATGTTTATTATTGATAGAAATACATTTTTGGTGTAGAAAGATTAAAGATTACTTAAATAGGGTTTGCTTTGGAGAATTTATTGCACAAAACTCTGAGGTAATCTCTTTTTATGAGTGAAAACAAATGTGACTCACCGAAATAATTCTTCATTTCATTTTCTTTGATCGCTTGAGGAACAAGATCGGCAATGAGTTTCGAAAGGCCTAGAATTCCCATGGCGCACTTTGTTTTATCAATAAATAACAATAAATACTAGATAATGCGTTATAATCGCGTATAGAATGAAGAATAGTCTAGCTTCTTCACGTAACGCGTTGAAATTGAAGGTTGCGTGAGATTTTGGCGGGTAAGCAGGTTACACATGTGTTTTGTTTATTGCGCATGCGCAGCTGCGCTGGAGTTACTTTTGACCGTTATACGCTAGTAAAATTGTGAATTGTGAATTGCGAATATACATCAAATTTTACTAATTGTGCTCTTCAATTCAACAAACTACTGCATTTCTGTATTGCATAATAATAAATTATGGACTCCTTAAGGCGAGATCCTTCAAAATTGTATAAAAGTTACAAGAACTGCATATTGAGACTGGAAAGTTAGGACCGAATGAGATTGCAGCTTGGTACGACACATTTGATACACAAACATTGGAGTTTCTGGATTGGTTTCAAGATAATATAAGTTCTGATAATTGCTTAGAATATTCTGAAACATTGGCGTAAGTATATATTATCATTTGGTATAAATTTAGTCATTTAAAAACATCACAATTGCTTTCATAATAATAATTACTGTTGCTTTGTAGTTATGATGAATTAATCAACAAGGAACTATTCCTTGAAGGCACAGCTTATGATCAAGCCCTGGAACAATGTGAATCTGATCATCCAGGGATATTCAATCAGGAAGCAAATGAATTGGAATGTGAATTATTAGAAGCAGAGCTTTCATATCATCAAGAAGAACTTGAATATTTAACCAAATCATTATGCATCACAAATGACAAAAACAAAGACTTGAAAAAGAAGCATTCTGGACAAATGTTAGAGATTTCCAATGTAGATTTACATAAAGATAAAGCTGCTTCAACATGTTTGCAGCTGGCTTGTGTACTGGATCAACTAAACACAAATTTAGGAGAAAAATTGCTCGCTTGTTTCAATATCATCAACAACACACATGATTATGATACAACAACACTGTCTACCACATTTAATCATGAAGGAAACAATGAATTTGTACCACAATTAGAGCTTATCTTAACAGAGGTTTTAGCCTCACTTGATATCTCAAACAATTCATTAAATATTTCAAAATCTGTGAATAGATCAGTGCAAAGCCATGAAGAAAGCCTCATATCATCTGTTTTTGTCGATATGGAAAAGAGTTTGTATAATAATCCAGAGTATATCACTACTTTTCGGGTAATAGCTGACCGATTAACACATGTGTTGTATCAATACCATGAATCCGCTGGTAAAGTTGAAGTTTTGAATGCCAAAATGAAACAATTACAGAATTTAAGCAGGTTTGGCTTGGGTTATGATTCAATCCGGTATAACACACCTTCAAAACTGAGAAATATTCGACAAAAACCACCAAACATTCAACAATTTGTTAAATATTTAATTAATCAACCTAATATGAGTTTAAAATCAACAGAAGAAGCTGGTATTAAGTAAATATTGACTAGTTTTGTATATATTTGTACAAATATTTAATTACTATTATGTTTTAGTGCGAAAATTAAGTGTTTTATAGATCTGGAAAGCAAACTTGATGATTTATTGCAATTTCAACACTTAACTTTAGAATTATTTGCATGTGAAGTGGAAACATTTGATCAACTGGATCATTTTGTACTAGAAATCAAGGAATATGTATTAAAGGAGTTGAAACATTGTGAAACACGGATGGAAGACATGCAGTTGATTGTTGATGATTACAAGCTGTATCAGCAGAAACCAATTGAAGAAAAGTGGCATACGCTTGGATTAATCTTGAAATTAATCGAAGCAGAGACAGATATTGATCTTACAGAGGCGTTACTGGTGATTAGAGCCTTTGAGGATAAGTGTGTTGATATAAAAGGAAGATGTTCATTGTAGATGTTGATTTCATGGCTAAAGAATTACAAAAAGTGTTAGTATTTGTATCTGCTAGCAATTTTTCGTGTTTTACTAGTGTTTTACTGTTTTTGTTCTTTTAGGGAGACGAATAACAAGGTATTGCATACATTCCTAAGCAACAAAGCAACTGGTAAACCTACAGTGATTCCAAGTAATGTTTACGGCGCATTGCGGCAGGTTTCAGACTTTATTGCATTTCAATGCAAGATTATCAGACATGATCGAGAAAAACCAAGAGAAACCAAGGTAAATCATGTTTATCATTATAATTTTCATCTTTTTAATACTATTATATCTATTGTAGCGTAAATTGGAAGCCAACAAATGGTTGAAGCTCCGCCGTCAACTCTGGATGTATTTCCTCCGCAAACCGGAAAAGATGGAACAAATCCTCGATGAAATTGAGCGTTACGTCCACGTAAAACGTTCTGCCTTCCTCACATCATAAAAATCTGATGATTTTATTGTTATATTATACAATTCGTGGCGATTGTTTATTTATAATGTTGCATAAATTATTTACATCAAATTACGAATTATGTGACGTCCGCACAAATTTATTAAATATATTAGATGCTTTATATTAGATTATGTTCATTTTAATGTTAATTGGCAGTATATATTTACTTACTTGCTCTACTTACTGAAAGTTATGTATAGTTGGTTGTATAATAGTCGTAGACTGGATAATTATCGCGATTTTCGTATTTTGCATCCGTGGAGGACCCAGACACCTCTGGATCTAGATTTATATGTATTGGGTTGTTGTAGTCGACTTGGAAATGACTGCCGGGGTTTTGCGGGACTTGACCGAGAATTGTTTTGTTTAGTTTCTCCACCAGATCGTCTAACTCGGTTTGGAATAGGGTAGCTGTGACTTTGGTTGCGTTCTTATACAAAGAACGTTTATTACGTGAGAGTAAAGGGAGTGTGAACTCTGATTGGGATTCCGGAGTGTCATCATTGCCAAATTCCTGAAAAGGAGAAAAGTTTGGTTAGAATTTTTGACACCAGAGGGCGTACAGTAACCTATAAATGTTAGGAAGATCCACTGAAAGCTTACCAAACACTTTCCGCTAATACAATAAGCCTTCTTATCCGCCAAACCCCTGGAACAGTCCGTACCAAATGGAAACCACCCCTCCTCACCATTGACTAAGTAAAACCTGTGCGCAATAGATTCGTCCTGACAAGCGACGCGACAAGGCCGATCCGGGTCCTCCAAAGCCGGTGATATTTGCATGCCAAGACCGGAAAGTCGCCGCACACGCTCCTTGTACTTGGAGCACACAACCGACGCGTGTTGAAATGGCGTCTTCATTCGATTACAGCCATATTGTTCAGGTTGGCAAAGCTGGATGCTAGACTTGTGTTGATTGGCTTTGTTTACAACCAATCGGATACCGCTGCCTGGAGCAATACAGTTGAAATGGCACGCACTGGCGCTATTCCATTGAATCGGAGGATTGTCCCTGCGACGTAAACCAGTGCGGTAACCCACTTCGTTATCATCGCGTTCACCAGGACACAGTTCGGGCATCTGTGCATGCTGTGCCTCGTCGTACGGATCACAGCCAAAGTCCTCACAGCGGCCGTTGATACAATAACTGGCTGTGGAGTATTTATTACGGCGGGTTTGACATACAGTGCCATCTGGGAAGGTCCAGCCGCGGCTTTTTGTGCCGCCATTTCGTTTTTGACACCAGACCACACAAGCTTCTTCAGCTGAGAAAGAAAAACAACTTAAAATTTGTTTAATACTTTATAAAATAACTTAAACTTACGATCTGAACTTATACGTTGGACACCTCCTCCTGTAAGATCTTTATCCACTTCTTTTGCGCGTGAACAGATCTGGTCTGCGAACTCTCTCACAGTTAATCTGGGTACATTCAGACATTGCTGAGCGTGACATGCTTGATATCGTCTCTCAATACCATCACATCCGGATCCGCCGCCTTGTGGATGCGGATTATTACACATTCGGCTGGTTTCCATGATTCCGGTACTTCCGGAACGCAAGCGTCCTTCTTCCCCGAATAGGCAACCAGATGCACAGTCTGTGAACGCACGCCAATTGCTCCACCCGCCATCTATGCTTTCCAAACGCGCTGAGGAGGCTGCTTGAATTGTATTGTAAACTGAATTTGCTGATGTTCCCTTCAGGACACATCTACCACCTCTACACCACTAATAATATTAATAATATTAATATTTATTTAAATGTTTGTGTTTTGTAATACTTTGAAACTTACTAGGTTATGTCCACAGCGTGTACCTTCCAGCGCCGGATGTGATGTCCACGTGTATCGCTCGCGTTCACAATGCAGATCCCTGCAGACGTCGTCCAGTGGCTGCTGTGACGAATGACGACTTCCTCGGCCGTACTTCAACATACCTGCAATGCAATCAAAGAAGTGTTTGAGCAACTGTGGAATCAATCGTGCGAAAAACCGTTTGCGACATAAAGGAAACCGGAAGTTGGGCAAATATTGGAAACTCACACTGCTGATCGGAATCGAAGCGTTCGCCAGGAAGTGCACCTTCGGCCCGATGGTCCAATTGCCCAGCGGAACTTCCGTGATCGAGCAAACAGCGTGACTGAGGCGTGCTACATTATTTTTAAAACAAAAATATAAGTCAAAGTGTAAAATTGCATATTTGGTTGCCTACTCTAGGAATTTCTGTAGATATCGTCGACTACAAGATGACCAGGTAATCTTTCCACTTCCCAGCGTCGGAGACATTATATAACTACTTGGATCACAATCGTTATCAGCCAGGGGACCATCATGACGCATTCCTAAACTAAAAATCAAAAAATTCATAGTTTCCAACGCTCCAAAGTGATTTTTAATACTTACTTGTGTCCTATTTCATGAGCTACAACATAAACGCTCTCAAAATGTCTGCCTTCGTTCACTGTACAGCTACTCGTCGCTGTGCACATACCAGCAACAGGCGCTAAACCTAAACATCACACCAAATCAATACCTAACCTCAAATTTATGCTATAAATGCATACCGACAACTTGACTGGATATCTTCCCATGTTTTCCCTCACATATAAATCTAATCCGGTGAGTATCAAAGCATGGTCCCAATGTTGTGGTTCCCTATCCCCAGCGGGATTCTTCGTCCTTTGCCAATTACAAAAATTTGACAGATATCTGTCAATATCCGGCGGTCTTGACAACCCTGGTGTTTCTTCTTTGAGTATCTCAAGTCTTTTCAGTAGAAAATTCACAGGTCTGCCTAAACTAGGATCATGATACAATAATTGCACAGCGTTGATCATTGCCAATACAAATCGAATCAATTCCCGTTCGGTATCAATCGGAAAATTGCTTTTCATATGCTCGAAAAGATCCCGGTCGACAAACACGGCTGTTTCTACAAACACAGGACTATCCGGTGGGAATAAATCACGTTTGCTTCGTGAATGTAATGTAAACTTTTTTCGTTTACGCTTCTTGTGTGCGTAATCTGTGTCGCTGGTGTGCAAGCACGCCTGGTCGCCATTTTGTGCGACTCCATCTTGTTTGCTTCTTACTATCACATGAGTATGATACAATTTTGTGTATTTAGCTGGGATTGGTTGAATGTGGTAGAAATCTTCGTCGATATTTATTACTCCACGCTGGAAATGTATTCATCATTAGGAGTGAAACTTTTAATTGCAAACAGAAAATGGGAAAAGATCTTCAGGTGCTTTTATAATTGATTTGAAGATTTATTGCGCTTAAACAAAAGAAAGTTGCGCACAATTGAATCTAAGCAGTGCTAATTGAGACAATTGATTCGTTATTACGATAGCAACTTTCTAAGCGTATAAATAAAAGATGTGTGCGAATACTTACGACGCCATCACAGATGCTCAACGCGGCGTTTTCATTCCGAAAATGACACTCGCCATCTTGTGCGGTGTGTTGCATAACTCTGGAGCCATTACTAAAGGTTTCTATGAGTCGAAAATCGCTGGAGAATAAATTCGGGCTGGGTTTTAATAAGATTGTGAATGTTTTATTCCATTTCGGTGCGTGGAAATCCAAGCGATGATCGATGTTTGATAGTTTCGTAAATTTAGGGTGGATTATATCATAAACTATATCTGAAATAAAAAAATAAAAATTTTACTAAAGTTTTACTAAAATTGGTTTGTCATTTAAGCGGAAGTACCGTTACCACCGGAGAAACGAAGGTTAATTATTTTTATTTCGCGTATTTGAGAAGCCATCAAAATGTATTACACTTTAGTAGAAATGTTGAATTTAGAAAATTTTGGTAGTCACTGGCGTAGCCCATCGACCGGCAAGATCCGGTGAGACGGATGCGGGATGCGCGAAAGAGTTTTCAATGTTAGTTTTAGTTACGGTTTTGTTGCGCGGATACGCCGCACGCGTTTCGCGCTTTTGTTCCGAAAAAGTTGCCGTTGCTTTCAATTTGCATACGAGTACTGTACACGCGAATTCGGAAATAAAATTTAATTAGGTCTTAAATTAATAGAAATACCATGGAAACATGGAATGTATGTTTGCTTTTATACTTTTAGTGACAATTATGTCAATAGTTTTATAAGGTTCGTTAAGTAATGCAATTTTCCATTTGGTTTAATTTCTAGCTGTGCCAATGCACCGTGTGACAACTTAAACAGTTATCTTCTTCATTTTTTTTTCTTATTTTCTGCGTAATTGTGACAATTTTACGCTATTATTACGTACTAGCTTTAACCCGCGGCTTCGCTCGCGAATATCTAAAATATTGAAGTTGCTTCCGTACGCGTCTGTAGTCACAGAAGAAGTAACAATGAAGTAGAATGGCGGGAAGTTTAAAATGGCTGAAAGTATAGTCTATGGAAGTATAGTGTACAGTCTCCATAGTGTAGTCAATTGGATTTGATGTTGACGTAGCTGTCGGTAATACAGTGTGATAATACAGTGTGATGGTACTATAGAACTTAGGTTTGAGCTTCATTGCTGGAATGCTAGATGTCGTTAAAGTTGTCAAATAGCCAGATGCAGAGGTATTATTGGCTAAACTATTTCTTTATTTTATTTCAAAAATAATTCTTTTTATTAAATAAAAAGTAGCCTATAACCATTCGGGGACCACTAAGAATATGTGTACAAATTTACATGATGATCGGTTAAGTAGTTTTTGCGTGAAAGTGTAACAAACATCAGGACTTTTGCATTTATAATATTAGTAGGGACTATTACGAGTAGCACACAAGTTTTTGAATGAAATAGAATAGAAATGATGGATTTATTTCCTTTAATATAGAATTGTTTATATAAAGTAAATAAAAGTGCATTTGCAAATGAATAGTATCTCTACTTCCGCGTTAACCGGCAATGGCAATGAGAGCAATGGAGGTGTAATTAGTAAAAATGAAACGCCGAAAATATTGTTACTTTTATACTCGTACAGTTAGTTCTGCTCCAAAAAGTGGAGAAGCAAAACAATGAAAGAGTAAATAAGTTTGGTTAAACACAATAAAAAATAAACTGAAATAAATCTAATGTTTTGAGCTTAAATTGATGTTTAAACATTTTTGTAATTAATTACAAGCATTGTACTTTCATACGAGAACATTAAAATGCAAATGAAGTGGAGGATGTGACACATATAAATTTTATTATTTAAGTAAACCAACATTACGCGAATAAACGATAAACTAAATTTAGTTGATTAAGTCTGTGTAATGACGAAAAATATTTTCATTTTTACAAGTAAAGAGTAACTGGTTACATCATCGTTATACTTTTTATGTAAGACATAATTTTGATCCGACTCAACACCTCAACAAAATACACATGTAAATTATAATCTTGTGAATTACGCATTCTGATTGTGAGTTATTTATTTCAATGTAGAGTCACGAGAAGAACAACTAGGAAGACACGAGAATTCGTAATAATAAAACATTCTATTTCTTATAGAATTATAATTGCGATACAATCGAATTTCACGCGGAACTTTAATTATAATAAAACAATATATTATTAACAACAGATGAAAGGAAAATGTAAGCATATTGTTGCATCAACTGCATACTACAACTAGAAAATTTCTTATAAGTTTAGGTTTTATTATGTTTTTCTACTTCCACTTTTAAAGCGGTTTTGAGACATAAAAAGTGGTACTTTATACACGGATAGGCAAGGTCGTGACTAAAGTACTTTAATCACCGGCTTTAGTCACGGGGTGGAGCTTGCGCCTGCGCATTTGCCTACGGTGCAATAGAAGACCATAACAAACCGAGCGAATTTCAAAGATTAAAAATAAAAAAATTCAAATTAATTGAGATTAAATTTTATTCGTTGTTATTTTTATTCCTTAGCGTGCGTTGAACCTGTGTGCAATTTTCGTGTGTGTGCAATTTGCTACTCGCTGATTTCTTCTACTCAAAGTAATGTTATTTCACGAGTCTTAATTAAACATATTACCAACATTATTCTATGAGTATGAGTTAACGTGGTTAATTCGACATGAACGCACACGACGAGACATTGAACTTTAAACCATCAAATTAATTATTAAATAAAATCTTAAAACATTTTCGATGTACGAGTAATTTCAGTGTAATATTGTAGATTTCTGTACGAAAGACAAACAATACCTTATTAAAATTATATAAAAATTGCACATTGCCACACGCTGGATGTGAGTTTTTATTTTCGTGAGCGCGTTCGGTACAATTTTAGCACCTTTGAGGCTTTGAATGAGAACATTTGCGTTTTGCAACAGCAATTGTTCATAAGCATGAAATTTTCAAATGAGACTTGCACATATGTACCACATTTTTTTATTTGGATACTAGCTTTTGCCCGCGGTAGTGTTTAATAAAAATGTAATTTGTTGCTACTCTCTTGTTCTAGACATAGTATGTGTCAATTCTATCAATAAGATTCACAATTTTATTTTATCAAAATTAATTATATAAAGAATAGCTCATAATGCACTTCAGCGCGCCATCTATGATTCAACTATTTAACTATAACTATGATTGAATCTCAATGAATCTTATATCCTATATAAAAACGCTGTTTTTTCGAATTTTTCTCGCTGTAAAAACCATCCTTGGACTTTAACAAACATTTTGAAACAAGAATTACCCAAAATGGTGAAAGCGTTCTTGAGTTATGCGCTTACCAACAGACTTTTACGATTTAATTTTATATTATAGACTAGCTGTAGCCCGCGACTTCGTTCCGGCAGTGTTTAATAAAAATGTAATTCGTTTTTACTCTCTTGTTCTAGACATACACGTTGTGAGAGTCAATTCTATCAATAAGATTAGCAATTTTAATTTAAAGAAATTATGCATATAAAGTTTTGTCAATAATGCACTTCAGCGCGCCATCTCGAATTCAACTATTTAACTATAACTATAATTGAATCTCAATGTCAAATTTTATTCTATAGAAAAGAGCTGTTTTGAAGATTTTCCCGGCAATTATTCGAATTTTTCTCACCTTTTAAACCTTCCCTAGACCTCCACGAATAATTCAAGACCAAGATAAGATAAATCCGTTCAGCCGTTCTCGAGTTTTAGCGAGACTAACGAACAGCAATTCATTTTTATATATATATATAGATTAATAGAATAATAATAAAAATTAAATTCTTACCTTTCTGTCCCCCAGGAATATCACTCATGAACTGTCGCCATTCTTCGTCCGAAAATATCTGTAAATCAAGGAAACATATGTTAGTAATGTCACACATGTCACACCACATTACCCGCTGGCATTTTCCGACAATGCAACAACAAACAGCTTGCAATTAGGTTTTCATCATCAACTTATTGTTTTCATCATCCACGCTTTTCTAAAAACTCATTTCCGCTGTTTGCAAATAAAATAAAATTAGAATAAACTATGTGGGCGTACGATAATCTATGCATCATAAATATTAATCGCGAAAGAAAGTCTTTACGTCTTCACATCTTAAACTTGAGATTCCGAAGACCTATTAACCTTTTTTCGCCGACGCTGGAAAATAGTCCAAAACAGAAAACGAAGTTAAAATAAGTATATCGCACTCGAAGAATGCGCGCAGATCGAATCGAGCAGATAAAAGCGAACAATGCAAGATGATGAGCCACTGGTGAAACCGGCGCACAAAGAAACGCCAACTTTCTTAAATTCATTAATATTTTTATGCACGTTAAATTAATTTATTTTCGTTTTGAGTTCATTTCTGGTGTCATTGATGGCGTGCGTATTCAGGCATCAGGCAGTGAGCGAATGATTGCGCTTTTATGGGACAGTGTCATAAACATACGTTGCGCGACGCATCGATGCAGAACACGCCGGCGATTATTTTATTTCGAATGTGATGCGCTACGCTTGCTTTTGAATTTGTAGTATGCTGGCATCATGATATCTACGCCCGTGTGCGTGCGCACGCAAATTGTAATTTTCGCGCCTGAAGGAGTCGCACGACATTGTTAATCATATGCAATCAAAAAACCAACTGTATGTGATACGCACAAAATGAATATTTTAGGCTTTAAAAAAGTTGTTTTTGGTGGTTTTCATTTTTAGATGGGGTTAATGTAAGGTTATGTTCATTTTGTAGCGTTGTAACTCTTGTTCCACGGCCGCCATCTTGTAAAAAGTGATGTGTATGGTTTTTAGGTTATATTGGACGAAGTATTAGTCCTAGAGAAATTTTTTAAAGACATTATTTATAGGAAATTAAATTCTCTATGTGTTTTCGTTTTATTTTTAGTCGTACAACCAAAACTGATGAAGTTATTTAACTTTTTCTTTTCACAAACTTCAAAACTATTTTCCACACCCTTCAAGTTAAATTTTAACAACAAAAACTACCCTATGTTATTCTCCTAGGTCCAAACCATCCCCTCACCAAAATTTATTAAAATTGTTTGAGTAGTTCTCATGTAGCAGTGACACTAACATACATACGAGTACAACACATCCACAGTTATAATATACGAGTATTATAACATAGGATTATGATATTATAGTTAAATCAATTTAATTGCCGACGTACACCGCTCAATTAGCAATAAACTGCAACACGCTCCGTTTTGTAATTAATTATTTGCGCCCGCATGCAAACAGCGTGCACTATCACTAATTGAATAATTTATGAGTGTGGAACTCGCTCGATGTTCGCGCGCGTTAAAATTTCATCGCCAGCTGATGCGTTCGATTTTCAATGGTTTGAACTTCGTGATAGATTAACCCAAATCGCTCCTTTCTCTTAAATTCTCCGACGCTCTGACTCTGACTAAATTCGTGAACAGTGTTCGACATTCTCGTTAATCATTCAATCACGGGCATCTCTCGACTCGTGCCATCCGATTAACACCAGAACATCACACGCTGTGGGCCTGTAGCAGCACAGCACAGATTGAGTGCGTGTTGGGTCACGTATTTTGATTGGACTAATTAGACTCATTTGGTGTCATCATAAAAAGAAGTTTTATTTGAGTATTGAGTATTGAATTGGTAACAAATTGTATTCATAACGGTTTGTAATTTTTTTTCTACTGAAAAATTGTACTTTAGACACGGGTGTGACTAAAGTACTTTAGTCACGGGGTGGAGTATGCGCATGCGCAGTTGCCTACGGTATTAAAGTGGAAATAAAGTGAAAGTAAAAGAATAGCGTAAGTTTTACGTGGCTAAACGTGGTTAAAGTGCCACTTAGCACACTGGATCCTTAATATACTATTATTTCCATATTTTAAAGCAAAATTCTTCTTCAATCCTAATTTTTTATATGTGATTCATGTTCCCTAGTTGATTTTCCAGCATTTTATCCAACCACTCCTCTAAATGTTCATTTTCTCGACGATTCTTTGGGATTTGCGCATCCTGCGATGCTGTAACCGTGTAACACCGTAACGGCTTGACGAGTTTGCGAAACACAACTTCCATGCAAGGCAAACCGAACCAAACCAAACCACATCCCAGCCGCATGCAGTTCTCAAAACACACGCAAACGGAATTAAAAGAAGCGTTAAGAAACGAATTTCGTTCAGAAACAAGAACAGGACGCGCGCGCTGTGTTCTTCTTGTGGTTGTTGTCGATGGTGAGCACGTGCGCGCTATAATTCCGTAACTTAACAGCACCGCGACGACCGGGTCGCGACTAATTGCTGTGGAGTTCTTCACGCTCCGCACGGAAATGCGCTAACTAACGAACAATGAGTTATGAGATGTCGCGCTTTTGCGCATGCAAATTACGCGCCTGTTCTTAATTTAGAAACATTTTTTCTGCCGAAAAATTTGGTAAAAAGCGTGACTGAGGAAAAACTTTCAATTTTAAGTTTCACATTCTTTTAATTTAAAAATAGAAAATAATCGTGTATTTAAATGATGATGGCGTAATAATCTTATACTTTGTGTGTCCTTTAACGTTCGATTAAACCGAATAACACAAAATTACAAGTTTCGTAAAAAATTCTCGTTTTTTCTTTGCATATTGTTTGTTTTATTCGTTCAACAATAGAAATTCAATTCTCAAGTTCTTAAAATATCATAGCTATTGCGTAATGTTGTTCTTCATCTCAAAAGAGCGATTTGGCGAGATATAATTATCTCGTTTTTCACATTTGTTATTAATTGCGGTGGCGAACCTTCGTTTCGGCTCGGTAATGGCAATTAGATAAATGGATAAATGCACGGTACGAAAATTATTATTTCATTTATTTCCAGCATCATCCGGCGCGGCGGACGCTCGGATGGACGTGGACGACCATCATGGCCGAATCATTGTCAATTCAGGGAGCTGTAGTTTATTTTAATGGAACATTTATTTATTGTAGCAGGTAATAATGTAAAAAATAAAAATATAATTTAAGTTGCGAGTTGTGCGATGTTTAGAAATAATTTTTAGGATTTTTTGAAGAATTTTTATGTTTTTTGCGTTTTTAAAATGTTGTTTTGATGGAATTTTAGTTGATTTTTAAATAAAACTAAGAATTTTATAAGTTTTCTTCAGAAAATTATATTTTTTGTGTTTTAACATGTTTTTTCGTTGATTTTTAAGTAAAAAACAGAATTTTCGGTAATTTTTCACTAAAAAATTCAATTTTTTACGTGTTTAAACAATTATTTCATTGAAAAATTAAATAATTATTAAGTAAAACAATAATTTTATAAATTTATCTCTCAAAAATATTTTTTTCGTGTTTTTAAAATGTTTTTTCTTTGATTTTTCAGTAAAAAAAACTAGGTTTTCTTTAATTTTTCACCAAAAACTTATATTTTCCAGGTGTCTAAACAATTATTTCATTAAAATATTAATTAATTATTAAGTAAAACAATAATTTCATAAATTTTCATCTAAAAAATATTTTTGTCGGGTTTTTAAAGTGTTTTTTCTTTGATTTTTTAAGCAAAAAAACATAATTTTTACTTTTTTTAGACACAAATATATTTTCCGCATATTTTTCCATCAAAATATCAATTAATCTCTCAATAAAAACGAGAATAAAATTTACAAAATTAACGGAAACGATTTGTGTGTGCAGCGAATTCAAGTATTGTTCGCATCTGGTTATGTATCGCACAGAAAAATTAGAAACCGAGCTCATTTTTATGCCCGCTACACTGATGATGACAATAAAAAATAAAAACTAAAATAGAATCCAAGCGAGTTCATAAATCTTCTCAAATTAAAAACACTTTGAACACTCTCGAGGACACGAAACATTGTTATTCGTTACACGCCAGTGGCAACAAAAATTAATCGCTTATTAATTACCAGAAGTAATTAGCGCGAATTTACCTGCTCTTTAAATCTCGACGCAGGTTCGGTATCATCATCAACCTCAACGGCATAAACGCCGAAATAGAAACTGATTGCGGTGACTATCGTGAGCCACCTAGATGGCGCCCGCATCGCAGCTGATAACACGCGCACACGTGGCCGAACAACGATGATACTTTGTGATGTGAACGATGATGATGAACAGATTGCACCACGGACATAATTAGAACATTACAAAATTAGACTTGGAATTTTTATCAACTTTGTTTGCATTTTTTGTTTTGGATTTGGTTTTGGTTTACACTTTAGTTTAGTTTAGTTTAATAATATTGTAATAATTTATTGATGTCTGTTTGAGTTTTATTTTGCGTTGGTGTGGAGCGTGCACATCGCGAGTTACTGTTAACTTAGTTGTTGTTAACAACAAGAGCGACTATCACCGACACCGGCGGATTGCGACTGGCGCGGTTGGGTACCATCGCCGCATCACGGTGCAAGAAGCGACCTCAGCCACCACTAGACTTCTTTTGCGGTCCATCACCATCACCATTAATTAATTTAAAAAATTTTCAATATTGGAATATATTTTGAATAAATTTAATTGTATTTTCTTTTTTATTTAATTTTTAGTTTAATAATCATTTTTAGGTGATGGATAGGTCAGACATTTACTGATTAACTCGTTATTGTCTTCATCAATCAATCAATCAATCAATCAATCAACTAATCTCACTATTAAAATAATCTGCACGTATATTCAGTTTAAAAATATTTAAAAAAAACTAAATACTTCAAAATTAATAGTATACTAAGTAACAAGTAACTAAACAGGAGTTTAGCAAGCTCCACCCCGTGACTAAAGTACTTTAGTCATGGCCGTGTATAAAATACCACTTTTTGTGTCTCAAAACCGTGGAAAATCAATCATTTTAATGATAAAAATGAAAAAATATTATAAAAAATCTAAAAACAACAAAAGTTAACCTATTTTTAAATATTTTACGTTAAAAAATATAATATAAGCACTATTTATTTATTATCTTAATAAAAATATATGTAACTATTTAATTAACTAATGTTTTGTAACATTTTGTTGTGTTTTTAATTTTGATTCATTAGTAAACCGACTCAAAAGGTCATAAAAATTAAAGACTTACTAAGAAATTAATTAATTAATAATTATAATATGCATTACTTTGTGCATTCATTAATTATACCAAAACTGTAGCTCCTACTGTTTATTTAAGTAAAGTATTGTTTCATATTTATTTTTTATCGAATTATGAAAAATAACCTTCACGAATTTCTCGCTAATATTTCCAATCTTCGACACAATGATATTTATTTCATTTTATATATGAGTATATACGAATTTAAAAACTTATAATTGCGTTTTTATTATTATCTCGCATGAATCGCGTATTATGAGTGTTTCGCTGCGTTTCGATCCGAACAATTTATTATGTTTTATTGTGCGCGATTCACATTCATTCTCATTCACGATTCGCATACGCGGCATTTCATTTTGCAACTATTTCGCGGCTCTCAGCCACCTCAGCTGTTGGCAGGCTGCGCTTTCGTAACGCGTTCAAATTGGCTGTTTGTGTGTTTTGAGACTGGAAAAAATCCCACATCATCAAGCTTCACACAAAATTTAGAAAATTTATGAGTAAGTTTAGAGGACTTGCATCTTGTAGTTAAACTTAAATATAAACAAATTTAATCTTTTCAGATTTATGATAAATTTGGTATTAACCAGAATAAATATTGATATATTTCAGTTTATAAATAAAAAATTTAATTCTTCAGTTAATATTCTCACACTTATCTTGCGTGCTACAATTGCATCAACTAATTATGTGATTTTATGTGATAATAATACCCCGGAATTGAACTTTATTTATTTATGCAGTGCTTTCACATTCTTACTTCCAATATTCAAATAAAAAAATAAATAAAAATATTAATATAAACCCATATTAGTCGTGCTGCGCATGCGCGAGTTTAAATTTTCCGACTTTAAAGTGTATTTGGTTGCGAATGAATAGCTAAAAGAGAAACCCCGCTTGTTCGACCTCAAACAGTTCAAGTTTTTCCCTGAACACACCAACATTACGCAATACACAATGGCGGTAGATTATCGCATCGTTCTTTCGGTCATTTTCTGATCGACCTCGCCCCATATTTTCACGTATCCACATACATCAAACAATATTTAATATTTTCGTTTCGCATTTTTGCATACAATACGGTTTACACATTTTCCATGCGCACGAACACGCCGTGGGCAATAAAATGCGCGAGCTACACGCACAGATTACGAAATACGCGCCAAGGCCTCTTCGAAAGTCAAACAATACAAACATTTAATGGGCCAATAAGTCACATGAAATAATAAATCCAATTCAAATACTTTTAATTGTATAATCACGCTATGCAACCACATATACACTGTGGTACAAAATGCACAATATATTTATTACTAGCTGTTGCCCGCGACTTCGTTCCGGCAGTGTTTAATAAAAATGTAATTCGTTTTTACTCTCTTGTTCTAGACATACTCGTAGTAAGAGTCAATTCTATCAATAAGATTAGCAATTTTAATTTAAAGAAATTATGCATATAAACTTTTGTTAATAATGCACTTCAGCGCGCCATCTCGAATTCAACTATTTAACTATAACTATGATTGAATCTCAATGTCAAATTTTATTCTATAGAAAAGAGCTGTTTTGAGGATTTTCCCAGCAATTATTCTAATTTTTCTCACCTTTTAAACCTTCCCTAGACCTCCACGAATAATTCAAGACCAAGATAAGATAAATCCGTTCAGCCGTTCTCGAGTTTTAGCGAGACTAACGAACAGCAATTCATATATATATATATATATATTAAAATAAAAAGGAAAACGTAAAAAATACCCAAGATAAATACGCGTGAACGTGAATGATGGATAAGATAATAACAAAACAATTTAATTCCTTGATGCATTTATGAAGAAAACAAGCCGATCATATTGCAATCATTCATCTGCGCAATTGATTTTTCTTATAATAAATGGAAGTGCACGACATTTATACTCGCGCAAGGATATCTCAAATTAATATTAATGTCGTGACATTGAAATTAAGTTACACGCATGTTGTTATTATTGGCATTCGGGGAATACTCATCAAACTTTTTCTTTTGTCCATTAAGTCGTTTCGTGGCTGGTTTCGTTTGGACGTCATCAAGGGAACAATTACATTACTACGTCGACGCAGTGGTACTATCATCGGTAATATCAGTAATATCCATTATGAGTTTATCTTTATGGGGCATCAATTGGAAAATTATTCGCCCACGCCTTTCATTTAATGCATGCGTTTAAATTTATTGTTTAAATTGGCGTAAAAAGTTAATATTCGATAAAGATTGATGTTGGGATTAATTTGTCGCGTAATTATTGTTTATAATCTTTGCAGAATGTAAAATTAATTATAGGCAACACAACCTACGTGATTCACTGTTTAATTAATTTATGTCTTTATTGAAGTACACGTCAAGCTTTGTAAACTCATTATAGTTTAATAAACTTTACTTAAATCAGAGAAAACTTTCTGTGGGCAAAAATCAGAGCAGAATTTTTTGTTTTAATTTTGTTTCAGTCGAAAAACAGGGTTAAACTATTTTTTTACATATTTTTCTTCGGAAAACAGTGTCGTATAACTCCAGAAATTATTTCTGGTTAAAAATCAGGGTGAAACTATTTTAAAAATGTTTTTCAATAAATATTTTGGCTTTTTATTCGACCGAAAATGAATTTATTTTAAAAAATGTTGAGATTTTGTATGTTTGGTTGCCAATAGTGAATCTTAAACTCAGAATTTAAATCACGATTTAAATTTAAAGTTACAGTAGCAATAAATAAATTTAAACAATAGCATACTTGCATTAGTAATGCTCCGAGTATTTATATTTTCGTTATCAGTAGAAAAACAAGCACAATACAAAACAAGGGCAAGTTTTCAACGGTTTTTCCTGCAACTGTAATAACAAAACGCAATCATTACTTTTCCGTTCGCTTTGAAGCTTGAATTTCACATTTGCAATTCAATTTAAGCCGGCTTTTTCTAAGCTTCTATAACTTGCAAATAAAACACGACTTCTCCATCGGAATAATTTAATAATTAAATGCGCTTTGAGTGTTTTCACACATTTTTCAAACTAAAACATAAATATTTACACAATTTTGATTGTTCTCGACTGGAAATACATTCGTAAATTCCTAAAAATATACGATTATATTGATTTGAGCTTTTATTACGCTTTTAATGATTCGAAACTTCTAAACTCTTTTAGTTTTCAGAAAAACCGTATGCAAACAGATTGTTTAGCTTTCAGTTTCTGTATATCCATTCTTTACCACGGAACAATAAATATTTAAGACGCAGTCGAATCGATATTTCATTCGGTTCAAAAGTTACATCAGCCGCGAAATAAAATCGATAGCACACATGTGAGAGCCAACCGAAAAAGTCCAATCTGAACCAAATTGCTGGTTCAGTCGGTCAGCCGAATCAGTTAAAACAAACAAACAAAAAATCGCCAGGTATCCTCTCTCAATTAGTTTCATTGTGTGCCAGACAAAATCGAAACAGACAAAAACAATAAATCTAATTACCAGGATAGTAGAAGCGTAGAATTCGTGTTAATTATGCATGAATCTTACCGCCGTGTGTGTGTTCTACGTGATTCATATTAAACATAATAAAACAAAACACGCTTTTCGGAAATATGTGATTGTGGGCTTGCGGATTATTTTATAATCTAGTTTATTGCTGGGGGCCGCAATGTGTGAATTTTAACGTTTTGGGAATTGGGTTGGAGATGAAGTGAATCAGTTTTGGAATGTGATTGTTTATACAAAAACATTTTAAATGGAAGCAGCAGAAAAATATGTCAAAAGTCAAGTTCATAAATATCTCAAGCAATAAATCAGATGGAAAGCTTTTAAATTATTTCAATAAAATGCTTTTAAAGCAAAAAAAACATTCATTTTTCTATTTCCACCTTTAAAGTGTTAGTTTTTCCATGGTTTTGATGTACAAAAAGAGACAATTTACTCACCGGTGGCTAAAGGTCGTGACTAAAGTACTTTTATGAACAAATTTCAAAGATTTAAAATAAAAAAAAGTTGAAAATCCAAAACTCAACGTAAAAATAGAAAAAAATTGCGTAAATCACGTGGCTAAACATTATTAAACACTTGATGGATTAAACACTCGTGACTAAAACTCCGTTTAGCCACTAGATGCTTAATATCAACTAATTAAAGCAAAAAACATGCATTTAACAAAGTATTACATATTTAACTAGTAAAATGCTTTTAAAGCAAAAAAACATTCATTTTTCCACTTCCACCTTTAAAACGACAGTTTTTCCACGATTTTGTGACACAAAAAGAGACAATTTACTCACGGATGGCTAAAGGTCGTGACTAAAGTACTTTTACGCACGAATTTCAAAGATTTAATCTAAAAAAAGTTCAAAATTCAAAACTCAACGTGAAATAGAAAGAAAAAATGCGTAAGTCACGTGACTAAACATTATTATACACTCGATTGATTAAACACTCGTGACTAAAACTCCCATTTAGTCACTACATGCTTAATATCAACTAATTAAAGCAAAAAACATGTATTTAACAAAGTAGTACATATTTAACTAGTAACTTGTCATTCCTTATCAGAAGTTATTTTGTTTTCCGTTAGTTTGTTATTTTGTGACACATTACAATCCTGATTGTCTGAAGTTTTCGCATAAATATAACAAACTTCGATTTATGAATCTCGCACGACATCCGCCCATTGAAATCCAACAACACCTTCAAGGATTTCTTTTATCCCGCGTGTATTCTTTTATCCACCCACATTGAGGTGGATACGTGGTACCGCTTAATTTGTTCCGAAACTATCAGCGAAACATCATCAATCAGCCGCAATGAATAGTTTCAATCAACTCGCACATAGCGCGCGATTAATTTATTTATTCCAGCCGGCGTGCCATCATATTTCGGCGCACAATGCGCGCGGAAAATCGATACGGCCGGGGTATTTCGGATGAGAATGCATGCACCCCTCGGCGGCCGTGAGGGAAATTGTTCGAGTCACAATTTCGAATAGAAAAAAAAACGAGAGAAGCGCAAGCAAAGAGTTGGGAAAAGGCTTGTTGAGAGTACTGACTCACTGGAGGCGACGGAAGCCGACCCTTATGTAAACTCCACTTTGCTGTGCAAATCTCAAGCATGAAGATATACAGGGTGTATGCGAAAATGCAAAAAATATGAAATATCACCTATTTTACTCTAAAAAACCAAAATAAATTAAAAAATTATTTTTTGTTTGAAAATATTTTGATTTTAATATTTTTGAAAGTGGTTTAATTGATATTTGATTATGAAAACATCCATTGGAAGATTTAGGCGAAGCATTGTCGCTGGGAATTTATATTTCACATTGTGACCGCGCGCTTGGAATCTTGCCAAGGTTAAGGACGAAAGAAGCTCGCAGCTCGAACCAGGAAAGCGCGCAAAGCTCTCCGAACTGAAACTGAAAAGGGGGGCACTGGGTGAACCACCCCCGGGTTTTACCCTTAGTCTCATCCTCGTTTTCATTGCGTCTGCAAATGTAAAATGCTACGCTTTTCAACCGAAAAAAAGCAAAAAACATCTGGAAAGTCTACGAAAATTAAATATTAAATCTGCATATATTTTTGCAAATTATTTCTACTTATTTAAACTAAAAAAAAAATACTAAAATCTTATTGGTTCAAATAAAAAGTGATATTGTAACATTTTGCGGTTTTTTTCTTCACTTTTTCTTTTTTTTTACTTTTCCTGTTGCTTCTAATATTAATAATTATTACAACAAACAATTTGTGTGTTTGTAGTAAAAATTAACATTTCGTTAACAATTTTGCGCAGTAAATGTAAATTCGCCACGAGCGAAACCACGAACACGAAACACACGAACGTGAATACATTTAAGTATTTATAACGTTTACAACATGAGCACGAGCTGGAAATTCGGCGCAATTGGAATCGAAAGCAGTGAAATGTCATACAACTTATCAATTATCACCGTATCAATAATTTATGCACTGTTTATGTGCCCGCTGTGAGTGATAACAGTTAAATCGCTTTGTTTTTGACCCAAATGGCAACCAAATGAAACAATTTCAACACCTTGATTACACCGACAATTAAAACGCATCGAATTAGAATCATTATGAGCCTATTTGTTGAGCTAAGTATGCATAATGACATAATGTGTATAAACTTGAGACAACATTGAATTATAAATTATTTGCTGCGCGTCCTTACGTACATCCGAGCAGTCGCCGCGTGCGAGTCGTAAAAAAGCGCACGTCGCCGTTCAATTTTTAAGTTTCGTAGCGATTGAAGCACCCACCAGTAGCAGGTTTTTGATTCGATAATCACGTCGAGATAAACAAACTCCGCTCGGCTCCGGAACACAATGCATCATAATCTGTGTCGGTGTGCGTGCGACTTCGTTTACCGTTCTGGCCGAATGTGTTGTAAACTCAGAGTTTAAAGCGTTAAAATGCGTTCAGTTAAACTCTAAGAGAAGGTAATTTCCAGTGGCGTAGCAAACATTTTCAAATAATAAGAAATCCATTGAAATAGTTTATGAGGTGATGAAGAATGTAGATGATTATTTTATCATTTTATTTATTTTTTATGATATTTTTTAAAGAATTCAAAATAAGTGAATTTATTTTGAATTTTGGTTTGGTAGAAATATTGCTACGCCACTGGTGATTGTATTACACTTCTAGGTATTTCAATTACACCGTTATACTTTATGTGGGCATTGTTAATCTCGTAAATGAATTGAGAATTTTTATATTTTACTTTGGAATGTGAAATTAGTTCAATATTGTATTGCAAAACTATTTGTTTATTTTAACAAAGAAATAAAATATACTATTTTAACTATCAAGTGGTTAAACGAGTGTTTTTGTCACGAGATTGATTAACAGCAAACGTAGGAAGCATTTAATCAATCAAAAGTTCCACCCTGTGACTAAAACCCATTACTAAAGTACTTTACTCACAGCTTTCGCCGTCCGTGTTTAAATAACCACTTTTTGACTCTCAAAACCGTAAAAAATTAAAAAATAATTTGTTTATTTACGGAAAGAAATAAAAATATTAATAATGGTCTGTAAGTGACGTCAAATGAATAAAAATTATTGATATTTTGACTTGCGATTGTTTTTTAAGCAATATTGGCAACCTTAAACATTAAACGAATATTGAACTGTTTATTCCCGTCCACAAAAAATAAAACAAAATAAAAAAAAACATGAGTATTTCTTATTTTTTGAAATAAATTGTTTCATTGAGTGATGAAAAATGAAAAATATGTACATTAAAAGTACATATTTGATTAAAACATATACTAGTCTAGACATTACATAATTTCCAATTATTGCATTAGCCAAATGTGAATTTTAGATATTTGGCAATTTAACAATTACTTTATGTCAACGAGTTTCAACGAGTAATGCTTAATGTGTAATGTGTTTCTTTAGAAATTTGCCTCACACAAGAACTGGTAGCGGTGGCCTTGGTCACACATTTTCCAAACAAAAATGTTGCAATGCAATAAAATTAACGTTCAGCTCGAAATGTTTGCAGTTTGTACGCTGGAAAAGCATTAAATTTATCGTTCATTAGCTGAACCACGCGCAAGCCACCGAAAATATGCGGCTGCCATTTTGGATCTGCAGTATGTGACGAATGCGAAACGCGAGTAAAACGATTGTGCTTTATCGTCGAACGTTTTAACTGCTCCGAATGTATATTACTAGATAAAAAAAATACAACAAATTTAAATGAACCTTTTGATTATTTAAACGAAAACAAAAATAATACGCACAACGCCCACCAGACACGAAGTACTAGTACCAGTACTAAAATTATATTTTTTATTTTTTATCTCATAATAACGATTTTCTAACGTTTTTTGTTGAGTGTTGCCAGGCGGGTTTGCAACTTGAATTTTTTGCACTTGTAAATTTGGGGACCGGGTTATAACGAGTTCCCGAGTACCAACCGCTCCCCTTTTGACGTACAAACAATATGCAAATATGAATGCAGGAACACAAACACACGAATCTGTTCAAATCGCGATATCTGCATGTCGCAGACTGTAGATTAGTAGGTTGATGCAAAATTTACATTGCAATTCGTCATAATTTACAGAGAGCTTACACAAGTGACAAAGTTATACTAATAAAGCTCAAAAATGGGGAATCACACGAAAAAATAATTTTTTTATGATTTTACTTATTTTGAAGTAAAAATTGATTTTTTTTGCTTCTTTTTCTTGCTGCTTCTTGGTACTTTTGGTACTTTAACCCTAATCAGATGTAAATTCGCTGTGAAATGATTTAATTCAAACCCAGCATCGCACAGCCCAGCCAACCGTCAATTTGTGTGTACTGGAGTGGCTTCGCGAGAGTGGAAATTTTCCTCCTCGGATTCTCGTCTGGCACAATCCGCGCGCGCGATCCATACAAACCGCTTCCGCCGCGTCGGCTTGTCTCTCTCCAGGTGCGCAGCGACCACGTCGCCGTCGCGTCCACATCCAGCGCATTCCGCCTTCCACCGCATATAGCTGCCGGCCGCGCTCGCATTCACAACTCCGCCGCAAACTAAAGTGATCGTTACAATCAGTTTAAACCTACGAACAGTGCTAAACAACCAATCAATTTAAACCAAATAAAAATAAAATAAAAAATAAAATAAAAATGCGTGCAATGTATTCGTTTGCGTTTATCTTCGCCTTGTTGGTGGCTGCGTGCGCCCAAGACAGCACAACGGAAACGCCTAATTCCGCAAGCGTTGATGGTAGTAGCACAGCCGCGACCACCGACAAGATGCAAAACGATGACCCAGCGGCGGCATCACCCTCCGGAGCTGATACAAGCGCAGCGCCCGCAGCTTCCGATGCTACCACCACCGCTGGACCGCCGATTATCCACACATCGGTAACAGATGCCGTTCCTGATGAGGGCAGCAAGACACCAGCGGCGGATACCACCAAATCTGAAACAACCAACGCCACCACAAAAGCAACCGGTTCGAATACGACGGCTGCACCCGGAAACAAAGATAATAGCGCCGCCGGCATACACTCCAGTATCGCGTGTCTGCTTATCAGCGTGCTGCCCGCATTCTTCTTGTACCAAAGTTAATCAGTACGCTCGAAATTCGATTTTAAATCAAGTGATAACGAACTTTCAACAAAAACCAACCAACCACGAAAAATTTTATTTTTTAAAAAACGCGCAGATGAATTGAATCCTACTAAGTACGTCAAAGAGTAAATGTAAATAACTTAATTATTCTTAATTACTATTACTTGTAGCGCATTTGTTTAAATATTATTATTAAATTATGAATAAATAGTTGAGTAAGTATCAGGGAGGCAAAGAAAGCAACAATTCATATCGATCATTCACACTCTCACATTCACACACTGCGAACACTTTCATAATATGCTTTTTTAAATTGTTTTTATTACAACAATGGGCGCGATTGTTGGCTTATCACGCCACCTACCCGAAACATATCCACCGCGTGACCCACACATATCTCGTACAGATTATATTATTACCTTAAAATAATAAAAAAAAAAATAAAAATAACGAATGCATAATTTATGTATGAGTCATGCGATCCGAGTTGTGGACAATTGACACGTAGGAGACGCATTTGGTGAATGTATTTATTACCTGCGGATATTTTCGTTATTTGTGTTTTTTTTTTTGTTTCAAATGCGCAGTGAGTGCGAATTGCCACAACTGTTTAATGTCAATGCGATAGTTACCAAGTTATTCGATTTTTAATAAAACCTACGAAGTCAACTGTGAAATAAACTTTTTTATTACCTGGCTATTGTTAGTGTAAAATGATTTTCAGCTATTTTTTATAGAAAAAAAAGTTACCTTAACTGCGGTACATCAACTGTTGTAACTTACTTAAAACATGTTGGATGTCCAGTGAATTATCCTTGGAGAATTGTGTCCACTTACCATTTGCGGCCAACTTCTGCAACCGGCGTACTTCATCCTTCATGTTATCCAGTATATCCTGAACTTCATCCTCTGGACGTTCGGGTTGTGTAATTCTCAACGGTGGCATGTATTTTGCTCCGACTGGACGTACTTGTAGATTACGTTTTTGTAATTTTATTTTTTTATTTCTCGGTTCTTCTAATTCGCTCGAAGTTGGTGGTGGGGGTTTTTGTACATTCGCCAAGTTTTTCATCCACTCCGGCGAGCGTTCGAAAGCCACCCGAGCGTCATTTGCATATAAATTAACTATTTGATATTCGGCGTCCTGCGAGTTGGATGAAGTTGAAAAAGAAGCTTGGAGAGTGTTAATGTTAAGATGCCGCGCGATTGCTGCGAATACAAACGCGTTGTATTCGTTTGGAGAGGTTTTCGCGATCGCGGCGAGAATCACCGAGATAATCATTTTAGAAATTGGTGATTGTGCGTTTTCTTTTGTTTCATCCACGTTTAATATCTGAAATTTTTACATAAATAAATATTATCCACCGAAATATCAATCAATCATCAATGAAATAGACATTAAATAGCTTATCCCTACTAATATTACAAATGCGAAAGTCCTGATGTTTGTTACACTTTCACGCAAAAACTACTTAATCGATCATCAAGAAAATTTGTACACATATTCTTAGTGGTCCCCGAATGGTTATAGGCTACTTTTTATTTAATAAAAAAAATTATTTTTAAAATAAAATAAAGAAATTGTTTAGCCAATAATACCTCTGCATCTGGCTATTTGACTACTTTAACGCCATCTAGCATTCCAGCAATGAAGCTCAAACCTAAGTACTATAGTACCATCACACTGTATTATCACACTGTATTACCGACAGCTACGTCAACATCAAATCCAATTGACTACACTATGGAGACTGTACACTATACTTCCATAGACTGTACTTTCAGCCATTTTAAACTTCCCGCCATTCTACTTCATTGATACTTCTTCTGTGCCTACAGACGCGTACGGAAGCAACTTCATTATTTTAGATATTCGCGAGCGAAGCCGCGGGTTAAAGCTAGTATTCAATAAATAAATAAATATTATCAATGACCTTCAATGATATACTCCCAAAACACAATGGAAAATAGTTCAATTTTCCGTTTACCTTGTGACCGTGAAACATGAACATGAAAACCTCAACCTCAACCTCAACCTCCACCTACGTAAACATTTTTTCTGTTTCCAGCAACTCCCCGAAAGTTCGAGGATACGTGCGCCGCTTGTCGATGTGATTCGAATTCGGTTATGCCCTTGACATTAGCGCCGGAAAAGGTGACTGACTCAAATATTAATCACGAACGCCCTTAGATTCAGGCAGCCAAAGGGGGCCAGTAATGAAATGATATAAAGCGATGAGCATTCATCAATTAGCAAGAGCAGGGTCACACTGACATCCAACATGATTGCTAATGGCTTCCGCATGGTGCTAATGTCATTGGATGCGTAATCAGTTGATTAAAAACCTCACTAACTAGGTGCAGGTATATGGGCTGTTAGCGCTAATTATGTTGACAATTGATTTAATTCCCACACGTCACTCGCGTGTAAAGACAATAAAAAGATTTAAAGCGGCGTGAAGCAAGCGCACAATACTCGTAAACATGTCATTGTACAAATACACACGACGGTTGGGAAATATTTCAAGTGAAGATGTTGAAATGAGTTCAATTTGAAGATATACGCGAAGAGAGTGGAAAGTAAATGGTTTTGAAGCTTACAGATAGAATAATAAACGATTCTATGAGTAAATATCGCTAATTTTAGAAAACCTAACCTCTATTGTAAACATTTAGTGCAACTTGCTACGCCACTGCTTTTTTTTTAACTTTTTAAACATAATTGAGTCATATTTTCAAAACTAAGATGTTTTTCTTACTTTTTTCTTCGTCATACGAAAAAGAATGAATATATCTTTGTATTCTGTGAGCAAGAATCTTCAAAACCACCTAAAACTACTCAAAATCTGCTTCAAAAGTCGAAATTTCATCAGATTTCGATAAAAATTTAAGATTTTTTAAAATCAAAGCGTAAATATTTAACATCTGCAATGACACAGTCGATTCAAAAGCAATCACGTAACGCACAAAATGTTACACATCGTAATCGCGACGATAATTACATTCGACTCGGCAAATTATCACGAGGGCGTTAAATAAATTGGCAAATAAACATCGCGCCTAACATGATCGAATCAAATGAGACTTAACCCAATTTGTCCAATCGAAAATTCAACTGCAAACAAACAACTGCATGCAATTTATAAAACAACACAAATATTCCAACACTAATTAACTAATCAAATTAACAATATTAAGTATAATGCATCTAATGTGTTTGATGCTGTTATCACAACAGGCGAAAATCGTGATTAAAAAATTACACCCGTGTGTGCGGTGTGGAAGAAACCGCTCGCCGCTCGCGCTGACCGAGAGCAATCAAACTAATTTACGCGAGGTCAGGCACTTATACGTTGTTTTGCGCATACATCTCTATCGCGGCGGCACAGGATGCGCAATTTGGTCGCGCGCGAACCACACACTCAGCCATCAGCCATCAGCAAACATCAAACGAAAACAAAACATGTTTATCAGTTATTCAACTTCTTGATATCTCAATACTCACATAGAGAAGTTCTTTGTTGTGTTGTAAAATGCAGCTGCTGCATAGTTTTTAATCTAGATATCGTGATAATCGTCGCATTGTGCCATCGCTCGATATGCTACCCTTTTGCATGTCATTGCCGCCCACGTGCAGCGCCCCCGTCATACAATATTTAGATAGAAAATTATCATTAGTGTGTTAAAATATTCATCTGTGCGCGGCGACCCTGGGAAAAACGTTCGGCGCTTTTCGATAAGTGCGCAATTGGGTTAATTGTAATTAACGAATAATTGCTTTGCATTTGATATCTCAGTTTGTTATGACCTAGACATTATTCATCATTGCATGTGCATCGCAATTAAATATTTACTGGCGTTATGCAAATCGATTGTCATTATTTTGACAGTTGACATAACCTTACTTCTCAGCTTTTTATGTCAGTTTAGAAAGCGTGCATTTCCAATGCGGGTTTTAAATTATATGCTGATCCAAAATAAAATTTGTTTAATTGATATTTGACGATAATAGCAACCGACGTATTATCCTCGTTAGCACATTATCGCTAAAAAGCAATTAAGTTACGTAAGGCAGAGCCTACGCAAAAAGCGCGGTTTCTATTCAAATAATCCAACGAGTTCTCGTCTACCACGCGTGCATCATACAACACACATTACATTGTGTAACGTGTTAACAATCGAAAGATGATAAATTGATAAATCGTTACCTGAAGCAGATGCGCGCTGCCGACGCGAAGGTTGACAATCAGGCTGACGATGCAGGGCAGCAGCGAGTTCATCATGTAATCGATATAGATGCGACTTTCGAGCAGTGCGGCATCCGTGCGGAATAATTGCACCACGAGCGCATTGAATTTGTGTTGAATTTCGGCCGGCGTGTCCTTGGGCACGCACAATCCGGACAATACTTCCAAACCGTCCATCTGTGAATCATAAATGGCAAACATTATTAGGTTATTTAACTGTCAAGGTCAGACTGGTTGCATAAATACACGCTATAAGAAAGTGGGTTATATAATGCTTAAATATTTGTTGTGAGGGTTAGAAATGTTAAACAAAGTGTATTTGTGTTTGTTTGGTCAAGACCACCCCCAAAAAACCCGAAAAAATAACAAAACGCTGCACGCAAGCCAATTAAAGTCGAATTATAGGCGTAATTCATGTTTTATGAAGTTACAAACGAAATATTTTCATGATATTCCGAATACTTCAAAGGTTTTTCCACGTTTACTCAAAAAAAACACTATATGAATACTAAATCGACGGTAATTCGAAATGCAAACATAATAATCACGTTAATAACCGTAGTGAAAGTTTAACTCTTACCGCATATTGCAAATCGTCCGCATTGATTTGCTCCAGCCGATCGCACCGCCGACAGACATTCCGGACGATCACTTGAGCGAGGTATTCGCGGCGTGGCGGCGCCGCCTCCCCGACGCCGAAGAGCGCCCACAGATTGAGGTGCGTTTCCGCCGTGTACGCTGCGATCCACTTCGCCTGCAACGCGTCCGGCAGGCTGGCGAAGCATCGCCGCAGGAAGATACGCTGCTGATGGTGGCGGAACTCTCGGCTTGATCGCGCCTTGTATTTATCCGCCAGTGCCATCAGCGTGTTGAAACATAACGTGGGCGGTGTAAATCTGCGAATAAATTAAACATTGCTACAATATTCTTACAAATAATATGTTTAAGAATATATTTCTTGTATTTATTGTGCATTTCAAATAATAATTTGCGATTTATCTGCTTTTTAACTGTAAAAATATTTTATGGTTATAGTTATGTTGGTACAGGTTACGTAGGTTGCCTATGTCACGTGACTATGACATGTCCGATGTCAACCATCATTAGCGATAAATAAACCGTGTTAAAACCGGCAAATATTCAAATAATTTCGGTATGTTTTGCGCAACACCGTTATTATCAACCCGCAAATGATAACTATAAACATGCGCTGTTACTTCATTGACAAAAACAGCTAGACATTGCGCCAATTGTCGTAATATTACATTTGTTATTCTAAATGCAATGTTTTCCACATTTAAAAATATTGAACGCATTAAACACAACACAATAAGAAATACGGACACGCTATAATTTAAATTAATTGCTTTGTGTATACCGCACGCGGACCATTTACGACGAGAATGCTGTGACTCACCGAAATTTACATGCATAAACTACGTTTTTAGTTCAAATTATAGGCATTTGGAGATGAAGAGGGCGCTGTTGTTCAAAATCAAATATGGATGTGAAAGTAATCCGAAAGCAAACGAAAAAGTTTGATTATTTAACATAATGAAACAAAACTTTGCAAATACTTGAGTGCTCGGTGCAAACAAAGTTTGTTTATCAATCTGACATCATTAAAAATCTAAAACGCGACAATAATTTGTATTGTCCGATTCAAAAATGATTTTTAAACACGTTTTATCAACCCTCCTCAAACCCAAATGGTCATTATACAAAAACCTAGCAAGACGTGCATCCGACGTCGGCCATTGGAATAAAGACTACCAACCAGGGCCGTACCCGAAAACATTCGAGGAGCGCGTCCGCGCCGCAGCTAAATACAACCTAGACGTTGAAGATTACGAAACTTACTCGGAGAAGGATTACTACGGCGACTACCCGAAACTGCCGGACATATCCGACACTAGTAAAGACTCTTTCTACCCGTGGGATTTTCCCGAACGTAAGCGCAACTATTACGAGCCACTGCACGTCGAATCTGACATGTACAGTGAAGATCGCTTCGATGTAGATATCTACTATAACCTCCGGCCGCCATTTTGGGAACAAGTTGCGCAGTTCATCGGCGCAATTACTCTTGGCGCTGTTCTCCTCTTAGTATTTGAAACATGCAAAATGTTTCCTGCCGTTGCACCCAAACAATATCCGCATCAAGATGTTACACATTACACTTTCGAACGATGTACAGAATAAATAAATAAGTATTTTACTTACGACAGGATTAAAACCCATAAATCGCACGCAAACATTGATTGCAGTGATATTTCTCGACATGTGTTGATGAGTAAAACTTCCTCAATGTCTTTGTATTCTTCTCTAGACACTCCTAGAATTGTTGTTGTAAAATTGACCAAATGCAGCTGGTAATTTTCCTCTTTGTTGAAATCTTCTGTCTGTTTTTCTTTCTGTGTGTTTAAATAATCAAAGAATACTTTCAATATGTTGCAGACAGCGCCACGAGTATGAAATATTTTCGCCCTTGGCATGACATCCTTGACAATGCTCATGAATCCTGCACAATCGTCGCGCTCCCGCAAATCCTCAATTATTAACACGCTCGGGTCGATCAAAAAGTGCGCCAGGATCGTGTCGATTTGTGAATGGACGTGCATGTCGCATAGTTCTGCATTCGGCGAGTCGGGCTGGTTCTTGCCAGTCACACTAAATTATGCAAAACACATCTACATTAATTACTAAACACAAGAACTTAGAATGAAAAGCACACAATGATGACCTTGACATGACCTTGATAATGCATATATCTATATTCTTACTTGTATAGATTTGTTATTAGATCTAAAATTGCAGCGGAATTCTCTGATCGCGTGGATTCCTTTGGGAATGTGAAAATAATCGTCGAGGCAATGCGGAGAAGAAAGTTGCAGATTTTAAATGTTTGCACATCGCTGGATTTCTACAAAACAAAAGATAAGATTATTAAAAGTATTAAAATGTGTTTGTTGTTAGTTATTTACATTATTAGTTGCTCGTGTTATTGCCAAAGATATTTCACCAAATAAAATTCTTAAAGGTTTAAGAACGTCGTAGTGTGTAAGTCTGGTTGCATACAGTTTGATTAAATTCGCGTAACATTTCCATGTGCTAGCCATTAATTTTGAGTTTAATCCAAACAAAATGCTTCCTGTCTCACATAAACCATCAAATACTACAAAATATGCGTTTTTATAGTGAATATACATTGTTTTCAAGTAAATTACTTACATTCAAGCAACATGTCTCTATGTGCATCAATATTTAACTGAAAAACAAATTGTGATTCAATCATTGCCATCAGCTTCAGTTGAATGCTTTGTGTTGCTTGGAATAACTCCGGAAGAGGTTGTAATGTGTTGTAGTAGTGTTTGTATGTCTGCTCGCTGAAATTCATCATGTTTATCAATGTTTTAATAGTAGTTTTGTAAATACCTTGTTTTGCAGTGATAAAATGTTGCATATATTAGTTTATTGATGTTTATAGGAATATAGCAATGAGATTGTACATCTAGTTGTCCATTTGTGCTGATATTTGAGATAAAATCATCTATTACTTGTAGTAAATCAATGGATAACTGCAAGAATTATGAAATATTCAAAATAAATTATGATTTGTTGGTTAAATCCATCAAACCTTGAGATGTTCCTGCAGTTCTTTTAATATATCAGAGTTTATCTCATTTATTGAGCCCATGAGCTCCTCATTATGTTGAAAGATCTGTAATGGGATGATTTTACAAAGTCTTATTAAACAAGAGTGATGAAAACATACAGATTGTTGGATAAGTGTTACTTCTGGAAGAATTGTTGTCAAATGCTCATTGGAAAACGCCGCAAGTGCATCAGTGCTTTGCATCACAATGTAATTTTGAAGTAGAATTCTTGTACTGCTTACTTTTACTGCAAGGGAACTATCATTGATGATATCACTGTGCATTGAAGTTAAGGAAACATAAGTAGTCTAACTGTGATGATTGAATAAAAGGATATTACTAGTTGTTCCATTGTTGCACGTCGTTGTTGACTCATTATAACACAATTATTAATGTTTTTCAAGAGTAAAACTGCGGCCTTTCAGCTGTTCTCGTAGGTTATAAATTATGCCGCCAATTTGAAAAGATAATAGACCTTGGCGCAAGTGCAGAGGTGATTTACGATAGGCAACCAAACATACACATATGAAAGGTTGGTCATGTAGTGTCGTCGTTAATTTTCAACCGAAAAACTGTCAAACTACAATAAAATTAATTCCTGCGTGTTTTCAACAAGTTTTGAACACTTAAAGAGGTATTTATATAGTTTTGGATACATTTACAAGGTTTAGAGAGTAAGTAATCATCAAATACTTATTAATAATACATTTTTATTTATTAAAACATTGACTTTGTTTACAATCCGCCATTTTTACAAGGTATATCCTTCAACTTATCGACTTAAGTGTTTCAGTAATTAAGTTATCAAGCAAATGAATGCTTCTTATAATTTAAAACATTATAAAAATACAAGTTTTCAGTAGTCACCACTGCGCTGGCCATGCAGTACGTTTGATAAATGTATAAATAAAATAAAATAATCCAATATATTATAGGTATTCGCGTAAGATTTGACATTTGACGAAAAGACACGACCAATAAAACTAGCAACTAGTAATCCAACTCATATTACCGCGACTTTCCATCGAAAAATGTAAGAAGTATCATCAAATGCAAAAGAAAACGAATTGATTATTGCGGACGCCAGATGCGTCAACTAGTTGTCGGGCAAAGTAGGTAAACATGCATTCAGCAAGCAATTGTGTGGCGTGTGCGCGATCGGCGGCCATCTTGCCATCGGGTAACTTAAATCTCTCGCACGCCGGTACCGTAATTGGCACCGCTGGCTTTATTCAGCGACTCGGTGAAGAATGGCAGATCGAATTCCGACAACGTTTCCAGCTGCAGTTCAACTGCGAAATTCTAAAACGAATAAAAACGTGTATTTATTTTCTAGCTCAACATAAACTGGATACTGGGGTAATTATTATGATTGCAACTTACGGAAACGACGTTTTTGATGATGGCCTTGTCGATGGACATCTTGGCGCGCTTCAACACGCTCACACCAGGGCCGATCCATGTGACAAAGAGGAACTTGGAGCGTTTCGACAGTTCGTCGCCGGTTTGCAACCGGATGTAACCATACGCACGCTCGTCATCATCGAATAACTTCTTGAATTCATCGAAGGCAACACCTTTTGCTGCGCAGACAATTCTACTGGCTTCGTATTTAAATACGGCCCTGGAAATTAAGTAAAAATTAATCAATGTCTCTTAAAACTTAATTAATTGCTTTGGTTACCATGTGGTGTCTGTATTATTATCGCGAATCTCATTGTAAGCATCCCGGACGCTTTCGGTGTCCATACTGGTGGCAATGGCGCCCTAAAAAAAAAACCAATCAAATTAACCGACATTTTTTAAACTATAAAAATATGTCTAGGTGCTACACTTTCTTAACGACTAATTAATCAAGTTCACAGTGTTCACATAACAATCTAATTAAGTCGTTTTCTTTTGTGATTCCACGATTCCAATTCGTTTCTTTCGCTGGAACTCACTCAGGCGCGTCACTTCGGCGGGCAATCGCATTGTTAGCTTGTTACACTTATTAAATGAGACCAATTAGCTGAGTGAATGAGCGCAGAGTGGATTCTGCCGAATTTCACGACGGCTTTCGGTGCTGATTATATACATTTTGGGTTCTTTCACCGTAAGTCACCGTGCAAGTTCATTACAATTGCGAAATCAATAGCATACAGCGGTGGCAGTAGGTCAGCAGCCACATGAACACATTAAAAAAGAAACAAGAAAAAATGTTGTACAATGAATATAAGAACAGATGCGGATGGGAAACATGAACAACGCATGAAATTAATAGCGATGAACTTGAATGCGAGCCAAACACTTAACCCTGCATAACCTATAATTTAAAATCAACATTTTATTAAAAACTAGCTGTTGCCCGCGACTTCGTTCCGGCAGTGTTTAATAAAAATGTAATTCGATTTTACTCTCTTGTTCGAGACATACTCGTAGTAAGAGTCAATTCTATCAATAAGATTAGCAATTTTAATTTAAAGAAATTATGCATATAAAGTTTTGTCAATAATGCACTTCAGCGCGCCATCTCGAATTCAACTATTTAACTATAACTATGATTGAATCTCAATGTCAAATTTTATTCTATAGAAAAGAGCTGTTTTGAGGATTTTCCCGGCAATTATTCGAATTTTTCTCACCTTTTAAACCTTCCCTATACCTCCACGAATAATTCAAGACCAAGATAAGATAAATCCGTTCAGGCGTTCTCGAGTTTTAGCGAGACTAACGAACAGCAATTCATTTATATATATATATAGATTATAAATGAGGTTATTTTGAGGTAATTCAAGGATTAATAATAGTTTAATGTATTTTTAATAATAATCTTTCTTTTTGTTTGTCTATCAAGCGCTAGAATAAGTTATTCATTGAGATTTCTCATAATTCACATTTTGTGTCGATAAAGTAGGAATCTGCACCTTGAAACAAAGGTTTTACAAGTTTTCCTTGCCAATTTAATCATTTATCCGCTGACAAAATAGGAATTATTGTAATTATTACCATGATTCATAGCACTAAACATAAATAGATTTCAAGTTCGTATTTTTTATGCATTTTAATCAACTTTCGTTGGTTTTGAGTGTTATGAGTGAGAAATTTGCGCATGCGCATTGCGGATTGCATAGTTATTTATGGCGAGTGTCCCCAGCCCATAAAAGGGAAACTGGCACACGGCTGCCAGTTGCGGAGAAATTGATTACAAGACCGCGACATTGAGTCACACACGTATGGGAGTCATGCGACTTAAAACATTCGCAAAATGTAAACAGGAAAACACAAAACGTGCGAGAAACACGAAAAGGGAAACAAAACGCGTAACAAAACGCACTTCTGTTTAATGTTTAATGTTTAATGAATTTACTCGACGAAGAGTGCAAAGAGAAGAACGCGTGTTCGTATGTGTAGGTGTACAGCAGCCTCGGGGGGAAATTCGCATTAGTCATGAGGCGAAGCACGTTCCACGTCCGTCTGGCGCACGTCTGGCCCGGTTGGGCGGGTCCTGGTCGATGTCGATGGAATCGCGAGCTGCGCGCATGCCGAAAGAGTGTAGGAGTGCATCAGTAATGCATCAGCATGCAACGGCACATCGCAGGCAAGCAAACGCCCAAATCGAATCTCTGTGCAGAACAAGTTGAAAGTTGTGCACGGATTTCAATGAAAGCGAAAACGCCACGGCAACAACGCATTCAGAGACTAAATTAAATCAGTAAAATTATTTTTTAACCGTTTTTTAGGTATTTTATGAGTGAATTACGTGGAAAACCGAAGAAAAATCATTTTTTCTACTCGAAAATAAAATTAAATCAGTAAAATTAATATTTAAACGTTTTTCGGTATTTTATTAGTAAATTACATGGAAAATCGAAGAAAAAACATTTTTTTCTACTCAAAAACACAAAATTAAATCAGTAAAATTAATATTTAAACGTTTTTATATGTTTTATTTGTGAATTTCGTGGAAAACCGAAGAAAAACATTTTTTCTACTCAAAAATAAAAAAATTAAATCAGTAAAATTAATATTTTAACGTTTTTATGTATTTTATTAGTGAATTAAGTGGAAAACCGAAGAAAAAACATTTTTTTCTACTCAAAAACACAAAATTAAATCAGTAAAATTAATATTTAAACGTTTTTATAGATTTTATTGGTGAATTACGTGGAAAACCGAAGAAAAAACATTTTTTTCAACTCAAAACCACAAAATTAAATGAGTAAAATTAATATTTCAGCGTTTTTATGTGTTTTATTAGTAAATTACGTGGAAAACCGAAGAAAACACATTTTTTTCTACTCAAAAACACAAAATTAAATCAGTAAAATTTATTTTTAAGCGTTTTTATGTATTTTATTAGTATATTACGTGGAAAACCGAAGAAAAAACATTTTTTTCTACTCAAAAACACAAAATTAAAGCAGTAAAATTAATATTTAAACGTTTTTATGGATTTTATTAATGAATTACGTGGAAAACCGAAGAAAAAACATCAAAATATTTGATTTTTTGCTTGTTCTGTTCGAGAAATTAAATATTTACCTTAACAAAACGATAAATTATATAGCATAAAACATGTGTAGCGTAAAAATGCAAATGTAATGTATTTGTAGAAAGTTGTGGACGCTTTAATTTCTATTCTCTTCATTGCTTGATTATTCGCATTAAATTTGCAAACATTTGTTTGCCTGAATAAGAAACACGACTATCTAATTATTTTCTTATTTCTCGTGTTTTTATTTATTTTTTCGTATTTCTGGTGTCTGCCAATTATAATAATTATGATTTTTTGTTCTAATTGGTAGGTTCCCACAAGAACACACAAACAAAACATAAAAATATGTGAACAATACATTTTTGTGCATTAAAATCCGTTTCAATCAATTTCTTGAGGAATTTTTAATTAATTTCTGACTCAAACACGCAATGCGAATTAAATTATGCATTTAGAAATCGATTTTGTGTTGATTTTAATTTTACTAAGTAAATACAACAAGAAATTGTGATTTTTTCTTTCTATCCACGCGTAAAACTAAAATAAAACAAAATAAACAGTTATTTATTCCATGAAACTTTACTGTTTTAATAAAAATTGAAGTAATAACAAGTAACAGAATAAAATCTCTGCGCAATCAAAACGTCATGCGATTGTTAACAAACGTAACAAATTTTTTATGTTTTTCATTGACAGTGACATTAAATTTTCACTTGATTCTTTACTTAAATACAAGCTAAACTTAACACAAGTTAAATTTATGTTTACGCGGATTTCGGTTGAGCTTTTCAAGGCTTTGGCAAACATTAAACAAGTCTTAAGTTGTAGTTGTCTGCGACAGAAAGGAAACAAAAGCAAATTGTGGTTGGCAAAGTGAATAATATCGCAATTGCAAGTTGCAAGGCGCAAGAACACTGGAATTGTATTTCTGCGTGTTTCCTGTGCGCCGAACAAAGAACGCACTGATTGTAAATTATAATTGTAAACGCGCGCGTTTTATTATTGCATGCATCCGATGATCATGATCATTTAAACTGCGTATGGCGCTTGTGTTAGTCATTCAATATTAATATGGAAAGAATGCATAAGATAGAAAATTATTTAGATAAAATTAAATTAAAATCATTTTATGATTAAAATTTGCTGTTAAAAGAAGATATTTAGGTTAAAATTTGCAAAGGATACAAAACGGCAAATTTCAACAGCAGGTAAAATCTATTCTTAGATTTTGTGACCTGTCGGGACCCTTTTTAATTTTTAAACGTTCGGATCAATAAGTTTTGAAGCAGAAATTTTAAATTTTTATTTATTTTTTATTTACTGCGCAAAATTTCTATGATAAGCTATGATAAGTAATTAATCACACATTAGTAATTTAATCATGACTCAAACTATAGGCTTGGCAATAATTCTATTCGCGGTTAGTCAGGATATCTACTATATAAAAATACATTTTTGCGGTTTTCACCGCAAATTTCCTTGAATTCATTTAATTTCCTTCTTTTTCTTTAAACTACACTAAATAATTATTTAAAAAAAAAATCATATTAATGACCTAGTCAATGTCAAATAACTTTTACCCATTCAAAATGCATTTAAAGTGAATCACAAGACAAAACAAGCTCCCTAATCAATGCGCATTCACTGCATGCATTGTCTTATCACACATTCAAATATTTATTCAACGTGTGCGTCACGCTGTCACGCGAAGAACGCACACGTAACTGTTTACGCGATAAAAGTATAAAATGCTTTTACATGACCGTTGTTTTTTTATAATTTTATTTCAACATCCAACTAGTTACCCAGTTTAAGTTTATGAATTCCTAAAAATATCTGCGAGTAATCTTCACATGACCAGCGATTAAATGAAACAATAAATTCCATACGCCATGTGAACTGTAATATTTAGATCACAAGTTCACTTCGTAGACATAAACTCTAACTGTTGCTGTGAACGTTCCATACTCGCCAGATATTTAACAATTTAACAATAATTAGAAGGCAATCAGACGCACAACAATAAACCGATGAGTAGTTTTTAATTGCGTTAATCACGCGTTTATATTTGGATCCGTTTGAGTTTTTTAATTAATTACGCAGTGTTTTTTCATTTACCATCTACCATCCGCCATCTTGAAATATATATCACTAGCTTTAACCCGCGGCTTCGCTCGCGAATATCAAAAATAATGAAGTTGTTTCCGTACGCGTCTGTAGTCACAGAAGAAGTAACAATGAAGTAGAATGGCGGTAAGTTTAAAATGGCTGAAAGTATAGTCTATGGAAGTATAGTGTACAGTCTCCATAGTGTAGTCAATTGGATTTGATGTTGACGTAGCTGTCGGTAATACAGTGTGATAATACAGTGTGATGGTACTATAGTACTTAGGTTTGAGCTTCATTGCTGGAATGCTAGATGGCGTTAAAGTAGTCAAATAGCCAGATGCAGAGGTATTATTGGCTAAACTATTTCTTTATTTTATTGAAAAAATAATTTTTTTTATTAAATAAAAAGTAGCCTATAACCATTCGGGGACCACTAAGAATATGTGAACAAATTTTCATGATGATCGGTTAAGTAGTTTTTGCGTGAAAGTGTAACAAACATCAGGACTTTCGCATTTATAATATTAGTAGGGATTTTATAAGCTTTCTAATGTGTTAATCATTATTATTTTATTATTTTCAGTCGGTATTGATCCAATATCATCTTTTGGTTTGTTTACGCTGGTAATTATCCTTCAACACGACGTAATAATAAATAAAAAGGTGACCAGGGAATGTCACGACATGAATATGCAAGTTTTGTTTAGGTTGATATCGATTACAGAGGAATAAATGTTGTGTCGACCTAATTCTAGTGGCAAGTCGCAACATGTGTGAAAATGTCAACTTGTCTACTTGTCATTTTAATATTTTTAACATTTTTGACTGGTTTTTAACTGTAAAATGATTGCAATTATTTTTGTTTGAGTTTAAGTCGTTCAACCGTTGTTCTTGATAAGATATGTGCTAGACTAGTGCTGGGAACAATCGAACATCGTTTAACGACCGGCATTCAGCTATAAATAAGTGGATAACATCTTATCGAGACGATGCAGACGCTTTCGCATCCTGAGTTGATGATTAAAAGTGCATTAATGGAAAAATATTAAGTAGAGAATAAAAAATAATAATAATAGAAGAAAGCACGTTTTTTTAAGTTTTTTAGGTTAGTGAGTTAGGTTAGGTTAGGTTAGGTTAGGTTAGGTTAGGGTAAATGACGTTTGACGTTTGAATGACGAATGAATTTTGACAGCGCCATGAAAATTTTCAAAACTTTAATCGCGCGTAACTACAAAACTACACAAGATATTTTAAATTTTCTTGCATGAGAAGATTTATTATGAAATCTACTTTATGACAACATCTAAATTATCTCTGTGTCATAAAAATTAATAAAGATATGAGCGTTTGAAGTTGGCGTTCACAACAAATTAATTTTCTCAACTTATATCCAACTTTATTTGTTTATAACTCGTGTTATTATTACTAGATTGTCATAAAATTTTCTGTGTATAATTTCCCAAACGTCCTCTATAGATAAACCCAACCATAGCAATTTTTCCGCTCCAGGGAGTGGCAAAAAACGCAATTTTCCACAGCAAAGTAAAAAATGTGTATTTTTTAAATATTCACGTTTTACGAGTAAATGTCATTATATGACGTTTTTACACCTTAAGGAAACAACCGTAGGACGATTTTATCTCTTTTTCACGACGCGATAATCGACGGCCCCCGACGGCCATCGCTTACCTTATTTGCCAATGTCAACAATATAAAAAGTGAATTTACGCCGCGCACCATGTACACATACATGCAATAAACGTATGCATGCGAGTCATGTGGTTTTAAGACCTTATTTTTTATCAACACGATGACTCATCACGCGCAAGTCACACAGCGATAAATTTGCATTAATAATTACTAAAAACCAGCCCACAAAATATTAAATACGAGTACATCCTGTATAAGTGTAAAATGTCGTGAATATGTGTAACATATGTGGAAAGAAGTAAAAATGGCGCATCGAAATTTCAATGCGCTTGATTGTTGGTCACGACTGGTTAAGTTATATCGGATTGAATAATTTGAAAATATGGCACCGCGAACGGTTTGCCGGCTCATCGCCGCCGACAACAGTTCGCTCGTTATATTCATTTATTGGCCGTATGTCTGGCAGCTGTTTAATGCCTTTCTAGCGGACGAAGACATCGCAGACACAACGCAAAAAAGTGTAACGCCACAAAATATCTTCTTTTTTATTTTCTTTTTCTTATTTTTTAATATAGTTGAACTAACAAGATAAAACGCTTTGTTAGTTTAGTTTACGAGTAAACTCACAAGTTTATAACTTGCAAAACAAACAAAACAAGCAATTATAACACGTTTTATCACCGTGCGTTATCAAATTACCATGGCGCACATGAAAAAAGAGAAAATGGCGACATTTGTGTGTAATTACCTTGCGTGGTCCATTGGGTACGCTCTCCTTGGGCGCTTTCATTTCGTCCTCGATGACACGCGGCATATCGTTGACCATTTCTTTGACACTTATTCCGAAATTCTCGATTTTCTCGGGTTGGTAATGACTTTTCACCGGTTCATCATCGATTTTGATTTCTTCTTTTTCCTCCTCTTGTTTCTCTTCTTCTTTGTTATCATTATCATTATCATTATCACCATTTTGAATTTTTACCTCGTCTGTTTCATTTCTGTGAATGTTAATATCATCAACATCTGCAACTTCCGGTTGGTGTTTTTCTTCAATAACGACTTTTGGTTCTTCGATTTCTTCATGAATTTCAACTTCCGGTTGTGTTTTCTCCAAGGTTTCGATAATTTCAACTTTGGATTCATTGTTATCGACATTGATCACATTTAAACTATCCTCCTCGGGCTCCTCATGGTGATTACCGTTTTGCAGCGCAGATTCAACACCATTTCCGTTCGTCACATGCTCAACCGGCGAGTCATCTTTTTCTTCTGCTTCTGCTTCTGCTGGTTTGGATTGTACAAGTGGTTCAGCCTCGTTGATGACATCCGAATCGTTGAACTTCTTATCGCACTCGGCTTGGATCTTCTGCGCCACATTCCCGTCTTCCTTCTCCTGTTGCATCTTATCGGAAATGATCAGCGAGTCGCCGCAGAGGATTTCGCTCTCCATGGTTGGTTCTACGCGGTTGGAATCGTTGCGAAAGCCAACTCGTGACTGTGATAAGCGACAAAACGCGACACGCCGTTGTTGTGTATGTATAGTTGGTAGATATTTATGCTTTGCTTGCTCAACGAACGCGATAAATTAAATATTTCGCGCACCGGTTTAAAAACTTCACCTTGTGTGTGTATGAATGTGTGTAGGTATTGGAGAGCTGCAGGAGTAGGTCGTATCGCGCCGGCGGTTCAACTGCGAGTGCGAAGCGCGCGGCGACGAGCCGGCTTTTCAAATTCGAAGCGTTGGAAGCGCGCTGGAAGTCTTCGATGCACGTAGACTCGTAGAGAATCGATATTGTACGAGGCGTGCAGTGTGCACACGCGGTGCACAGACAAATTCCTGCGAAATTTCTGACTTGCCAGAGAAGTGTGAAAGGCAGCAGAGAGAATTTTGAATTGTTACGAATTTCTGCACGTTTTTTGACTAAATTTGACAGCTGTGGATAATTTCTAATTGTTTGAATGACGAACTTTGACGAATTTTGACAGCGCCATGAAAATTTTCGAAACTTTAATCGCGCGTAACTCCCAAACTACACAAGATATTTTAAATTTTATTGCATGAGAAAATTTGTTATGAAATCTACTTTATGACAATACTTAAATTATCTCTGTGACATAAAAATTAATAAAGATATGAGTGTTTGAAGTTGGCGTTCACAACAAATTCATTTTCTCAACTTATACCAACTTTATTTGTTTATATCTCGTGTTATTATTACTAGATTGACATAAAATTTTCTGTGTGTTATTTCCCAAATGTCCTCTATAGATAAACCCAACCATCGCTGTTTTTCCTCTTTTGGGAGTGGCAGAAAACGCAATTTTTCACAACAACGTCAAAAATGTGTATTTTTTAATATTCGCGTGTTAAATGTTATTAAATGACGTTGAAAAATTAATAATAGAAGAAAGCAATGTTAAAGTTTTTTTGAGGTTAGTGAGTTAGGTTAGGGTGAATAATTATTAATTTCTAATTGTTTGAGTGTTTTAGCGAAAGCAGAAAGAGTTAATACATCAACAAGACTATAAATCAATAATATTTACGTGTTTTTATTAATTAAACACTAAAAAATACTAAAAATACCAAAATAACGAAAATTTTGGTTTAAATTTTTGGAAAGCAAAGAAAAAACCTAAAAACACAATAGATATTATTCTTTAAGTGTAAATGTGACCAATTTATTGATCAGCATGCAAAATTCTTCTCCAATGATTCGTTCCAAATTACAATGAATGATTCTCACATTCTGTTTGCTTAATATCATCAAAAAAAAAACACAAAGAAATAATCCGTGTTTATGTAGACAGCGAATAAAATATGTAAAATGTAAATAAGAGAAATTCGGCTTCATGGAAAAGTAGGAATTATCGAAATTACACATGCTTCGTAAACTTTAGAATGCCAACCATGACAACCAAAAACCCAACTGTTTGATCGATTTTGTTTTCACTTCACAACCGAAACTTCACTTTCTTCAACTCCACTCACGTCAAGATTCATAGCAGAAATAATGTTTTGGGGCATTACACCTGCTTTAAACTTCTTCGATGAATTACCACCTGAAAAAAGCAATAAAACAATTAATATTTTAATTGTTGGTGGTGCAGATGCCCGCCACGTGTTGAAAACCATCTCTAAAAAGTATCAACATCAAGAAATCATCAAAATCAACTTTTATATCATGGAACTTATCCCGGAAGTCTACGCCAAGCAGATTTTATTGTTAAATCTTGCATTTCAGCCGTTGAAAACGCTTGGACTCATACAAAAAACACGCCTGTTCATGGAGATCTACGGGAATATGTTGATGCGTCCATCATCAGCAAGATATTTAACATTTATGGCCCATAATTTAATAGAAATGATCACTAACTTAGATCATATGAAACAGGTATTACCAATGGTAAACATTGACTTGAAATATAAAGAACGTGATTATATCGAGAACGTGTTTAAATTCTGGATGTCCAGTGACAAATTTGATGTGCTTGAATGTTGGGACAAAAGATTGAGAAAGACATTAGGTGTAAGGTATGATACACGCAATGCAGCCTTCGATTGGGATTTACACATGAACCTGCATCAATCCGGAGCGAAAAATCTCAACACACAAGAGTATCAGTCATTCAGACGCAATGGCGTTGCTTTCGCATGGTTGGAAAGTGAAGTTACAAGAACAAATCGATCTATGGTCACTGGCGTCATTACAAATGGCGACCATTTTGGACATTATGGATATTTGGGTGATATGCAAACAGGACCGTTTATTTCCTACTGTGTGGAATGTCCTGATGAAGAATTCACCAAGAAATCCAACAATGTTTATAAATATCGCTCAACTGATATATCAGAGCGGAATTTACGTGAAATTTTCCACGAAATTGAATTTGGTACAGAATATACGCATCAGACAACTGGTTCTGTCACTTTGGGTTCCACTATTATGAAAATCTCCGATTGTAATGTGGTTGAATCCGGAAATATTACAGATATTAAAGATATGCAACGTAAATACAGTGATGAATGTCTGGTAATACCCGACGTGACACTCAACTTCGTCTCAAAGAAAAATTTATCTTCGTGGAAATACAATGAGAAATTTCGAGATTATTTCGATGTTATTTACTTTGCTAACTTGTTTGCGATCAAACACATTGATAAGGAGGTGGTGAATCATGTCTCCGCTGAGAAATGTGTTCTGATCATAGAGAATCCTTTATTTGGTGTGAATTATCGCGAAAAAGACCTGGAGGATCACTTGAAACAAGTTGAAACCATGTTGGATGGTGTTGACAAGTACCAGTGTCCGTTTAACTTGAAAAAGATTCGTATATTAAGTATATCTTAAAGTAACACCAGAAATTTTGATGTTTTTTGGTGTATAATTCTTGATTAATGTGTAAATTTGTTAGTAAATCATTAAAATCAATCCCAATAGGGATTCAAAGCAATTATTTGTTAGGTTATAAGGCATCATGTAGAAATTCACCGCCATTTTGCGTTGCGGTGTAATTTTAGGTTAAAGCGTGAAACATCAAAAGTCCGTCGATTTTATTCCGCCGCCGCACATCCGCAGCGCATTTAGCGACTTGTTCAAATTCGCACACCACTCAATCCTCTCGTCCTTCGTATCCGCAGAGAGCAAATGCCTGTGAAAACACACAGCACGTATGAAAATAACATGTCTTTCGCCAACCTTGAAAGATATTAATAACTTACTTAATAATAGTTTTATGTCCGTGGCAGCTCACAGTGAGCGTCTCTTTGTCGTTGGCTTGAGTTGGACGCTCGCGTTCCAACAGGAATGTGTGTAATCTGGCGCAGATATCGCGACTGACTGGACCCACAGTCTTCGTCAGACAAGATCTTAAATCTATGGTGTCAATTGGGGCTTTCTTACGCTCATCCTCTGGGTATTTCCAATAACTAATCAGATTTCCCTTGAGTAAACACCATCTGCGATGCCATGCGCCTAAACCTGAGACATCTTCGAACATATTTAGAAATCCGCGATGTTCAACGGAGACATTAAGCTCGCAGTGAACGCGCATGCTCACCGAACCCTCCAGCGGGCTGATTGGTGGCATTTGATTCAGCGTCCATTGCGTTTTGTTAATCGCTTGAATAGAAAAGATTATGTAACCATTCAGAGCGAAAGAAGACGAGCGCACTGCTTGTGGACCAGCTGGGGACTCTTTCGGTGGTCGCAACATTCGATTCTCTGCTTTATTCTTACGCGGTGTTATTTTACTACTTCCCTTCTTACCAATGTGATATTTTACTTCATGTGACAAAATCTCTTCCTGTGCTTGCAGGCAATAAACCTCTAAAGTCATCGTGAAGTCACTGTAAACATTAGTGAGTTTCACTTGTCCAGGAATAACCAATTCAACGTCTAAATTCTTCGATGATCCGGCAACTGTGGACACAAGTTGTGTCTCAGCGATTTGTTCACCGCATTTTACCAGACACACAACATGATGTCCTCTGCCACCAGCAGCAGCTAGAGCTTTAGTGTATTCTTTCTTCAGTGGAAGGCTTATGTTACTTATAACAAGCGTGCCTTTCTCAATTGGAAGGTTCTGCGAGTGTTGCGCTAGAGGGCGCAAAGATTTCTCAATTTTCAGCCGTTGAATTTCCATGTTTGCAGCTTGTCTTCGATGTGCTACATAATAACACATATTAATAGAATAAAAACATAAAAATATGAAGAAAAACTTACATGCAAGCAGTAAAAGTCGTTCAGCTTCAACTTGTTCAGTGGATCCGGTGAATTCCGGCGTGGAAATGCACAAATTCAGCGCACTACTCGCCTGGGAAATGACCAATTGTTGTTTGTTGACTTCCCGGGTAAGTTGTTCGATTTTCTCGGCAACTTCCATGCTTTTATCACTATCCTCTTCTTGGATAGCACCTTCATCTTCTTGGAAACGTCGTATTTGTTTCACAGGAGTAGAACCCTAGAAATAAATAAATAAATTTTAAAAAATGTAAAAAACTCTTCAAAACGTGATAAAACGTTGATAAAATCTATACAACTTACTTGTGTTTGTTGTTTCCGGTAGAAACTAACAGTGTATGTTAGTGGTAACACATCCGAACCATCAACAACATGCGTTGGAAGATTTGAGCCAGAATCACGCCTCGGAGAAGTGACAATTTTGCATGGCGATCGGAATTTACTCGGCGATTTTTGTGGAGAGGAGAACTTTTTATAACAAAACGATTGAGATGGTTGTGTTTTCTACAAAAAATTCAATGATAAAAACTAAATTAATATAAAATGATTATTTTAGGTATTTACTTGTGGTGATTGAAGTTTGCCATGTTTGGACGGTGTTGGTCCATTGCTATCTTCAGAATCAATATCATTCAAATACTCATTCATGTCAGCCAGGACATCAGACACATTACTCTCAGTGCTACAATCGCTGACCTACATAAACCACACAATAATTTATAATGTTTTGATTAAATATTAATGTTTTTAAATATTTACCCGTTTATGGCTGTCATTTTGTTGATGTCGTGTGTACATGGCTTTCAAAACTTCGCGCCCGAGGCTGGTATTGGCGCCACTCTCCGACTCGTAGCTCTCATTCAGCGAACTGCAACACAAACACCATTAACACACTATTAGATCGGAACACTGGGAAGCAAAATCAACAAGCTCTCATTTCACTTTTACACTTTATTCAAAAGCAACCACAACAGCCACAATCAAACCGATTGTTTAAGTTTAAGTCTAAATCAATGAAAAATAATACTAAATCTCTTCTATCACAGGCTAAGCACAATCAAATCAGCGCAATCAGCATAATACTTAAATATTAAATTGTTTATTAAGTACGACAGGTACTCAAATGGCGCATTACGCTAAGCAAAACAGGAATAGTATCCAATCAGTGATTTTATCGCACCTGTTTGATGGTGATGCCGACGCTTCCGGCTCCGTCTCCGTGTTGGTCTCGATGTCCGACAGGCACGGGTATAATTTCCCGTCCTTTGGTTGTGTTACCTTGATCCGCTTTACTTCTCCCAACACGGCTTGCACTTGCAGACTGTCACCGGACTCTGCAAACAAAATAAATATTCAAATTGTTTTTGATGTAAAATATTGGAGTGGAAATCATACTCGGACGTTTTTCACCACTTTTTCGGTTGTCTGTAGGTGGAGGCGGCGGCGGTGGCATGTCACTAGACTTCCGTAGTACTTTCGCCACTGATTTTGAACTGATCATTGCTGTTGTTTCGCTTGTTTCGTCTTCGTCAACCGAATCATCTGATTCGTCGGTTAAAATGGCGTCGACTGGTTGCATACCCACCTAAATATCATATAATAATTTATTATTTGTATAATCTGTATGATTATGTTTAACATACCTGTTTGTTTTTGTTGAATCTATTCAACAGGACATCCATTTCCTTCTGGCGGTCTTCTTTGACTTTATCTTCGATTTGTTTCTGAGATATCGTCGCATTACTCGCGCCTTTGTTCAACAATGCAATCTTCTCTGCAATGCTACCAGATTCTTTGAGTTTTTTCGCTGGTACAGGCGACTCTACCTTTTTATTTAAATCATTATTAATGCTTGGTGATGGCTGGATTTTTGATATCGGCGCTGCCATACCAAACGCAGCTTTCGGCACCAGTGCTTCACCGGCGTTCTTTTCAAAAAGTGCTTTGCGTTGTGATACACTTAATAACGCCGGGTCTTTTTCTTTTTTCACCGGACTAGCCGGTGCGTTTTGTTCAAACATCGCCGCACGGCTTGCAATGCCGCGATTTTTCGCTGGCGAACGCGGTGTTACTAAGTTTTCTTCTTTACGCGCTGGAAGTTTCTCCAATTTCTTTGTTATTTTCGGTTTGGGAATAGGTTCTTCAACGACTACTTCATGCTCAGTTGAATTTTCTTCTTCAGTTTGCTCGGTTATCGCGTCTTTTGTGTCTTTGTCCTGTGAATTTTTAAATTTGTAAACTAACCGAGAATTTGATTCGGTGCGAGTAAAGCCTTGTGATTCCTAGAATCCAGAGTGTACACTGATCATAATATAATATGGAAGGACAAAACTTTACGCCCAACCACCAGACACCTTAATCCAAGCTTTAATCTAATAAATATTACTAAATAACAATAAATATTTTATTATTGACTTACCAAAGTGTCCAAAACTGATTTATCCCACTTCAATTGTTTACCAGCACTCTTCTCACTTTTATCCACATCATTCTCCTTCTTGGAAACAGCTGTTACAACTGGTGGTTTCGGTGCTTGTGGTTTTCCATGCGTTTTCTTCGGACTCTGATTATTTGGAGGTTGTGGCGCCGGTGGTTTCCATTTCTTGGGTGTTGTCACTTTACGTTCTTGCATATTTTTCCTTGACTATTAAAAACATTCAATTTATACTCATAAAAATTAAAAATTACAAATTACTTACAGAAGTAATGTCATCTTCCCATTGATTAATATCATTTGCAAGCTCTGCAAGTTTACCCAGACCTTTCTTAGGTCTACAACTTTGTGTAGCCACATTTTCCTTGTGCTCTTCAATCTGGAATTTCCCTTCGGTTCTACTAATAGGCGAAGACAAATCTTCATCACCTGTGAACATTTGTGCACAAACAAAGAAAGTTTTATTACACCCAGCTTATCTTAATCCTCTGCAGGTAATAAATGTTGATTGACCTGTTTTCATGGAATAATTTAACAATTTCTTTACCTGAATATAATTTGCCAAGTCTCTGAAGTCTAGTTTTGGCTTCTTCTCTTAAAGCAGGCATGTTTTCTTCATTTTCACCTTCTGGATCATCTGCAGGTGTTGGTGTTGATGTATTTTCTGTAACTTCATGTACAATTGCCCTTGGTGTGCCTGTTTCATCATCACTCTGAATCTCAACCTCTACTCTAACATTCTCAGCTGATGAAAACCGAATCTCCATGTTCAAGCTATCCTTCTGTATATTCAGAGTGTTGAATTCCTGTGAGGGACTTGAACTTATATTCGAAGAAATCTTTGTCTTGGAGTTGCTCTTTGTCATCTTGGGTGTAGTCAATAGAATAGAATCAGAAACAACTTCTTTTCTTGTACGCACTAGTTCCGAATGTGTAATATTCGGTGAAGACGTCGATACGTTTGCTTCACGCAACGGCCCGAGCTTCTTCTGGCGTTGACGCGCACGTTCGAGAACGTGCTGAACACAAAATAAACAAAATCATCAAATTACATTCATTTAGGAATAAAAAAAAAAAAAAAAATAACCGTTATTTTAAAACGTACCTCTGTGAATGAATTGTCCATGATTTATTTGTAATCAGACGCACATCAGCCGGATGATTGTTGGTGTTAACGGTTAGCAGTTGCTGCTAACATAGGTATAGGTAAGAAGTGCAGCAGGCGAGTGCAATTATCGATGTTGCAATGGAAAGCAAACTTGATGCCGTGCCGGTGAGAATGCGGTGAGACGCGTTCGTTGCCCGTTCTTGCTCTTTACTGGCCGAGGCCGAGCTGAACCGTTGAGCGCGTGCCCACGGTTGCGGATTTTAAAACGCAACGGATTTGGTTCCAACTACTCCGGCAGAGTGCGCGTTGCAGTAAACAAGTTTTGTGGTTTGAACGAGCGTCGTCCGAGAAAAGAGTAACCGTTTGCAAATCGTGAGTAATACATATTTAAATATCACACCTTTATTTATTTCTACCTGGTATTATCCTAATAATAATTTTGGTATATAAAGATTAAAGTTTACACAAAGATTTTAATTTAAAATCGTAGATTTTATGGTTAGGTTTGTCGGCCATTGTTTTATAGATACATTGGCATTTCTAAAGTATAAAACACTATTTTATATCTGTTTGATTCCACTTCACGGTAATCCAGCATCTCGATGTTGGCATGGTCCTTCCACAGAGTTCTTTCAATCGTCGGCATGTTTTGTTTCCAAGCCTAAATTTATTTTATTAGATAATATTATAAATGTCATGACAGTTTTTTGTGCGCATGCGCAAAGAAAAGTGTCATGAAAGTAGCCTATATTAACACGTACGCGTTCCGAATGTCGTGCCCAGCCAGCATCGAATAAATTCCCCATATTCTGCGCTAGTTTAATCGCTTTATCCAGAGTTTCAAAGCCTTTATACTCATCCATATTACACATATGATAATAAGCTTTCAAATGATACAACCTAGGCGCTATAATTTTCACCTTGGACGCTTGTTCCTCCATTTTTCGCAACAAAGTACGAATTTTCGTATTCATCTCTTCATTTATAAACATCATCTTCCGATCCATATTGTGCGTAAGTCTAATAATCATTCCTTCGATATACATTAATGTTGTAATAAGATTACTTATAGATTCCTGCGGATCCACTGTCCATGTCTCCGGTAGTTTCCTCTGCCATATATCAGCAATATCATAATTATCAGTTCGAAGATACCACAACCAAATAGCGACGAAATATCGCCGTTCAGCTTCCGGTTCCTTTAAATTAATCATTCGCTTGTTCTGCGTGTAATAATAATCCTCACACAGCTTGATATCCACTAACAAACAACCAGTTTGCAAGTGGAAGTAGATAGCAAGCGAGTGAAACCATAAATCACCGATGTAATCACCTCGTATACCAGTGACCTGTTCAAACGTAGTCATTGCATTGAGGACTTCATTAACATCCGATCGGAGGAGAATCATCTCGATGAAAAGCGGAAAGAGTTTGATAAGCAACGCGCGGAATTGCAACATGTCCGCCATGGGATCCACACAGATGGCGATGTTGAATGCATCCTCAAAACGTGCTCGTTGTATTCTAAAACATTAAGAATTTCATTCATAGGTGGCGCTGGTTTGCATCAAAAACTAACCTGATGTAAAAGATGGCCGCGTATAATTTTGTAACACTACGAATGTCATTCACATCAATGTGACACTTGTATCTTCTGCAATAATCCAACGCCATGATTTCCAACCTCTCCACAACGCCGTACTTCCTCTTCCTCGCTGATATAAAAATAATATTCGTGAAGGCGTTGATCAACGTCACGAAATTCTTCTCTGATTGTAGAGATTTTTTCAAACTCCACAATGCAGCTATATAAGCATTATCCCACATTTCCAAGTGTATGAACAGTTTGGCCATCATGCTAAGACAATTTGATACATTATCGTAAAACTCGGCAACATAACCGAATTTTGTCCCGATTCCTCGCCGCGATTTGGTCGCCATTAGGATATACTGCCAGGAATCCATGATTTTATAACGCAGACTTGATGGTTTTGGTAGTGTGTAACCGTAGTGATAGAGGGCTTTCTCATACGCTTGGTATGCAAGACGTGTTTGGCCGATTCGTGAACGAGCCCGGCCGATTTCTGTCAAAACACGCGCTTTCATCACGTTGTATTTCCATGCTTCGCCTGGGTTCGCTATTGCTTTATAAGGTCCCTAAAATAGGTTATGTATGTGAGCTAGGTTAGGTTAGTTTAGGTTAAGTTTGGTTAGGTTAGGTTAAGTTAGGTTAGGTTAAGTTAGGTTAGGTTAAGTTAGTTGAGGTTAGGTTTGGTTAGGTTAGGTTAAGTTAGGTTAGGTTAGGTTAAGTTAGTTGAGGTTAGTTTAGGTTAGGTTAGGTTATGTGTATAATTGGTTGCATACTTTGATAATCTCCAAAGCGTGGTTCAGAAATTTTATCGCCAAAGCAACATTTGCATTCTTTGTGCATAATGTTGAATATTCCAAAGTGGCATTTAACCATCTGTCATATCTCTCGGTGACTTCGTAGTGTTTACGTATGTGATGATACATACATGCTAGGATTCTATCACACTCACAGCATGAAAAGTCCGAGCTTTCAAATGGCGGTGGAATTTTTGCTTTTTCTCCTGTCACACCAGCTTTTGTATAAGCTTGGAATATTATACCGTCTTGTTTATTATTTGCTCGATCCACTTAAATAAATATTAATTAATTTTTTAATATTTTTTTTAATAAAAATTACTCCGTTCGTAATGTTTCATTGAACTATTCCGAATGCTGGACGTTGTGGAATTTAACGGTGCGACATCCCAGGTTTCCAGAAGACTAGCTGATGATTTCCCAATGCTTTCCCCTCGTACAGTCTGGCGGCGTTTCTTCTTCACAGCTAAAACACCCTCCTCGTAAAAATTACCCAAGATTTTCGTAAAGACGCCATTTCCACAACTGACGCATTTACGCGTGCTCATTTCAAGAAAACTCATTGCTTTCGTGTGTAAATCATGCAGTTGTGTGGCTGTGAGTAGATTATACGCAGCGTTTCGAAAGTCGTGGTTGATGAATCGCATGTAACCGCAGTTGGCGTATTTGGAGAACTTTTGACAGGATTCCGAGATGAGGAAACCGTCACAATTGCACGCGACTATTGTATCGTCATAGGTGGTGTAACGATCAGTCACAATCGGTGCGTAGTTCATCAGAGAACGCCGGAAATCACCTTCGGCACAGCCGATTATCCGAAGGTCAAAAAGGTGTTCACATGCTAGGAAAATTTAAAAAAATTTAAAAAATTGAAAATTAGGTTAAAATTGTAGGTTATGTAATATATGGCTACCTATTGCCAGTTCACTTTCATTTGTGCATGATATAACAAACATAAGCATATCACGCAGGAAGAAATCGCCGATGACAGAAGCTCCTTTCAGGAAAGTCATCTCATAGGATGTCAAACCATCCATTATCTTTCTAGTATCCACTAGAAATTAAAAATTTTATTAAAAAATTAATTTTCTTAGATTTTCTTTTAAAAATATTAATATTTACACGCTGAGATTGAATCAAGGTCCATTTGAGCAAGCAGCGCCTCACCATTCGGCTGCATCACGCAAATATTAAACAGATTTATTTGGCTAGCTCTTCCACTCACATAGTCATTCGACGGGATTGTCGTTAGCTCTTTTGTCTGCCTGCGACTGATGCTATCCTTACTGGATGAGCGCCGGTGTCGTGGGCCGATATTCGTCGACGTTTGACTGATTGGTAATTGTTTACTGCCGGTGTCTACGAGTGATACATCGATATCTTCACTCAGGCGGATTGTATCAGTCTACAAACACATTAAAATTAATTTGGAGGTTATGTAGGGTTATATGATGGTTATGTTAGGTTATGTTTTGTTTTATTTTGGTATACCGCGGCGACAGTTTCAAATATCTCCCATTTTTTACGATGTAGAAGAATAGCGGAGTGAATCGTAGATTGTGTGGGTTTCCATTTAATAGCTTGGGTTAATTTGAGGCAATCACGTGACATGAGCTCCTTTGAAGGGAAAACAAGGTCCTGTGCCGCGTCTCCCAGCAATTCGGTCTTTTTCAGTGCAATTATGTTACTGTGAATTAAACAGGTGAGGAATTTTTCTATCCAACCGGCGTTTCCGTTGCTTTTATCCTGTATAACTCTAAAAATAATTTAATCAAACAAAAATCTTTTATTTTTTTTTGAGATTTTAGAGTTAAGTATACTTTTCTAATTGTACTGGTATGGCTGAACAGGTTAATATTTGACAAGCCAGTGTAACATGAAAGAGTTTATCCAGTGGTAAAAGTTGTAAAGTTTTACACTTTGTTAAACTAAGCACATCTTGTACATTCTGTGGTAATTCAAGTCTGACTCCTCCTATACCAACCACAAGTAAAACCAAATGAGTCTCCAGGATAGAATAAATCAAATCCCAGGATTCTGCATCGATGTGTTCACCACAATCGATTAAAATCACCCAGGGACGTGTGAAACAAATACGACACAGAAATTTGATCATATTATTCAGGATGGTTTTCACTTCTTCCGGACGCAGTGTGTCTATCACAGGCATCTTCGGGAAATTCACTCGGAAGATCACATTCAACACACATTCCAAACCATCTAGAGGTAGGTGTTTTAGTTTTGAGGATAGTTTTGCTTCCCTGTCAGCGATTGTGGAATTATGTGCGATTCCAAGCGGGATTCCGAACAGGTAGTAAATCATTTGGTAAGGCACGAATTTGTCGAGGTAGTTTAACCGTAGGCGAAACATTGGGAATTCGGTGGATACAGTATAGGCTAGTTCTTCAATGAGGCGGGTTTTCCCTGAGCGTGGTTCACCGATGAGGAACAATCCGGATGGTTCGTAGCGAAAGCGATATCGTTGCAATTCGGGGTTTTATTCACTTTGCTGATGGTGTGCATCATGCGCTTGAATGTTTCGATTTCGTAATCACGATCGAGGATAGGGTACTGGCTGATTGCAAAGCGCGGCAGGCGATTTGACCTTTAAATTAAATAAATGTTTTTATAGTGTGAATAGGTGATAATTGAGGTTAGGTTACAAGTCACGTTCGACGTATTCATAGATACATTCATGATCGGTTCGCTCGGTGTTGGTGTTGGTGTTACCCTCGGGTTTCTTGCGGTCTTGTAGCGTGAAATGTCGTGCGTCTAGTTTACTCTTGAGGAAAGTGTCCAGGTCACAGGTGACTTTGTTGGGGAATTCGTCGAGGAAGCGGCGGGCTTTGTTTATATGCGAGCCGATTATTATGTTTTCGCGACGCATGTGATGACCAACCGGACCACAAAATACCCAGCCTAAACCAAGAAGATTAGGTGATAGGTGATAATAATGTGATTGGTAGTTTAATAAGAGGTTTAAGTGTTTTTGTTTGCTGACCTGAAACAACGCACATGGATAATTGTGAGAGGGTTGTTGAATTTTCTGATCCTTTGAAACATTTCATTGCTGCTTTGAGCGCGTTTGAACTATCGACGTTTTGGTTGTCTCCGTGAATGCCAAAAAGGATGTAGAATAGGAGCTCGTTTTCGTTGTAGGTTACGCGGTGTACATAACCATGATATGGTTCTATTATGCTAAGAAATGAGGTTATGTTAGGTAAAAATTATGTTTTTTTTATTAATCGTGTTTTGAAGTGTCAATAGTGACCAGAAAAATGTTGCAGTTTTAAAAATTTAAGAGTTTTTAATCTTTTAAACTTTAAATGATAAAAACTTAGAAATCTATGCAAAAACAATTATTTTGGCATTACAAGTGTTTTATGCTTACTTATTTATCATTTTGTAGTAAAAATCGGTCAGTTTAATCATCTCGTGATAGCTTTGCGCCTCAAACGAGAAACTGGTAACCAATACGACCATATACCGCATTTCTATAAGTGTTTCGATGGGTTCATTCGCTTCCACTGTGGTAATGAACGGTGGAAATATAAAACATTTCAACGACGGGTATATTTTCATGTTTACTGCGTCTCCGATGCTTGGCCGCACTAAAACAAATCAAATTTAAAATTCTCTTTTAAAATATTTTCACTTACATTTATAAATATCATGAAATTCTCTTCGTATTGTGACTTGTGTGATCGATGAGTAGGAACCAGCCATTAATGTATCAGTGAGACTATTTTCTCCTAAAAATGTATTTAAATTTTAACGTTTTATATGTATTATTGATTAATTAGACTTTCCTGAGAGTGTTGTATCATTCGCAACATGAATACTCCTCCATGCCGATGAGAAATCCGAAACAATATACAAATTATACTCTTCATCGTATGCCTTGGCGAAATACTCGATACTATTGAGGTTATCCCAGGCATCCTGGTCGACCATCACTTGATTATAGGACATTTTACCAAGCATATCCTTCGCGTCTTCTAGGGGATCACCTGTCAGTACATATGTCGCGCGTTTTTTCGAACCTATCGCACAGAATGATGCTGTGCCACATGAAATTCCAATATTTACTAAAGAAAATTTATTTTAATAATTTTTTAATTTTTATGTTTTAATTAAATTTTACCCGCGACTTGTACTCCTACATCATTCTCAAAATTCGTAAAGTTTTTCACGATGCTTAGACCACAATCGACTGCTTGATGCACACAATCGGCCATCTTGCGACTTCCCTGCTTCCACATGATGGTGAAATTCTGCCCGTCGCATTTTATCACATCGCCATGATACAAAAATGCCTCTTGCATCACATTGCCCAGATAAGAGTTGAGCGCTTGTGCCATGCGCAGTGGCCCTCCTTTTCCGATAATTCGATATTTGTCCCATAGTTTTTGTAAGCCTATAACACGTCCACGTGCAATAGCAACATCGTAGATTCTTTCGTTGAAATTTTCGGGATCGGAAATTAATTCGTCGGGAAGTAGAGTGGAGATTTCTTTGGTGCTGTTTTCGACTGCTTGATTGCGGAAGAGTTCTGGTTTGAGACTGTTCATTAATTCCGACATTCGGGGTGTGGACGTTAGGCGGCGGTCACGCCACAAGGCGTCTTCACCGTCGTTGTCATAAGTTGTACGGGATTGCATCGCCCAGATAAATTCCTCTTGACCAGGACGATCGACTGTAGTATTTTAGTAAATAACATTATTTTATTATTCAAGAGTATATGAGTATTAGGAGATGAACCTTGTTCCAGGGAAAACATTTTGAGGCTTTTTTATGTATTTTTTGTAAAATTGGGTAAAAATAGTAAAAAGTATCGTTTTTATATTTTGACATTTGACGTTATTGATATTTTACATTTACATAGTATTCAAAGCATTCTGGAAATTTCTAGAACATGCAGAAACAAAAAAGAAACGTTTAAAGTTAATAAACATTTCCGTTTTGGATGGAATATCTTCTCTATAATATAAAAATGAATCGCAAAAGTCTGTTGGTAAGAGCATAACTCATCAACGCCTAGACCAATTTGACCAAATCTTTTTTTAAATGTTTGTTGAAGTCCACGGATGGTTTTTACGGCGAGAAAAATTCGAATAATTGCCGGGAAAACCCTAAAAACAGCCTTTTTCTATAGGATAAAAGTTTGCATTGAGATTCAATCATAGTTATAGTTAAATAATTGAATCCGAGATGGCGCGCTGAAGTGCATTATTAGCTATTCTTTATATAATTAATTTCTTTAAAATAAAATTACGAATCTTATAGATAGAATTGACACATATTATGTCTAGAACATGAGAGTAGAAACAAATTACATTCTATTAAACACTCCCGGGACGAATAAATTCAATAAATCATTTATAAATAGAGTAATTGCACTAATTACATAAATATACTGTAAACTGTATCACCTGTTACCAATAACATAATAACATGACAACATATATTAACTTATTTTGCTTTCAATCGGATTCACTTAACAATAATTCGTTTTATTTATTTTCTAACTGATTCCACACCATGCAAGTCACAAATATTCCGCAAAATCAAAAAAGCAAAGAAAATGTTTTATTAAACCTCATAACATGGATGCTCAAATTATACGGCCTGCACCCTGATCAAAAAGGCCCACTTCAAGTGTTTCTTATCATTGTACCAGTGATATCCGCATCAGTAAACATTATTCTCATGATAATGGAGATTCTCTTCCGATGGAATGGTATCGCAACACTGAAACGCATTGATTTGTTTCCTGCAAGTGTTATGGTTGATATCTATCCCTAAAATAATTTAATTGACTCTATTCTCTGATTAGTTTTTAGTTAAATCACTTGCAATGTGGTTATACCGACCTAAACTGCGTCAATTATTAAATACAATGCAGTTACTTTGGCCCACCGATAAGTTTGATCACCAAACACAAAATGCAACAGAAAAAGTGTTTTTATTAGTAAAAAGACTTATGATTACGTTCTGGGTGATTGTTAATTGTAATGGTTTGTTGGTTCTTTGCATTGTTTTCCTCAGCAATGATCGATTTTTGCCTTATAAAGGATATGACGTCTGTGATTACAATGAAAACTTCATCTGTTGGGGATTAATGATGGTGTGGCAGATTATTCTGATGTTATTTCAAGCAATCCCATTGCTTTTAGCGTTTGATTATATTTTTCTCGGCGTTATTACTTATATGTATGTGGCTGCGATACTTCTACGCGTTGCTTTTCGTCAGTGTTTTAACGAAACGTCAATTTCTGCGATTAGGTGTAATTTGAAGGAAATTGTAGAGCAACATAATGTTGTTTTGAGGTAAATACTTGAGAATTATTAAAGTACGAGTAAAAATGTTTATTTTGGGAGATATTTTAGATGCTTGAAAGAACTGGATGAATATTGTTCAATTGTTTTATCTGTACAATTCTGCAGCTCATTGGGAAGTTTAATTTTCTGTTTGTATGCGCTTACTGCTAATGGTATACCACCGGAGACAAATGATATGAAATATTTATTTCTTTATTTAATGTTTGCCATGCAATTGCTTATGTTTTCATTTGCAAGCAATATATTTCATGATAAAGTAAGTAAAATTAACAATAGAAGACAATTAGAGGTCTTTTATGTCATTTATGTCGGTAAAATAGAGCTCTACCTCTAATGTGTTAAAAATTCAAGCCAAAATAACAATTTTCTAGTTTATTTTTTAACTAAAAACATTTTTAGTTATACAATTTGGTAAATGAAGCTTATGATGTCCCATGGCACATCAACACCGACATTAATTTACGTGGTGATTTATCTTTAATCATATTACGAATACAAACTATGCCTGCAATCCGTCTGGGGAAAGTGATTGATTTGAATTTGGTACTTTTCGTTAGTGTTATCAGAACTTCTGTGTCAATTTACACTCTTCTCAAAAAATATCCTAATCAAATCCACTTAAAACATATTTAATCTTTTATTATACACTATCTACAATAAAACAACGATTTCTTATAATTTTAAACAAAATATTGCGCTAGTTCACTTTCCAACTCATCAATTTCCGCAGAAACAACAAGTTCTCCACTTGTAATTTTCTTGTACAATTCTTTCTTTAAAATATTTAACTCCCTGGCTCGCGTTTTATCTTCTAGAATTTTTCTATGTACAATTTTCCTCATAGTCAAATCAACCTTTTGTAGCAAAGATGGCGGCATTGGAACTGAAATAACTGGTTCAACTTGATATAGAGGAGTTTTCGACGTGTTTAGAATCTTGTTTCTAATGAAATCAAAATCAAAATCACAAAAATCTTGTTGAATATTAATGTGAACAACATGTTCACCTGTTGGTACTTCTAATTTACCAAACATCTCTTTGATAATGTCATTGGGAACCTTTTCTTTTACATTTCTACGTGCATTGCGCTCCAATGCATCCTCCAACGACATTTTAAAATATACAACTATGAATCCTAAATTTAATTTTCTACAGAGTTTCATATATGCAAAACGCATGCTTTTGTAATAATTATTATCATCAATAATTAACACATTTGTTGTTTTACTGTGTAAAATATAATTCTCTGCTTGATTCAAGATGGATTTTCGTTCATCTGTAGAAAAAGTCACACACAAGTCATCATAATGCAACACTTCAACATGATATTCTGTTAAATGTGTTTTACACAACTTGGAAAATGTACTCTTTCCAGCTCCTGGTAAACCAACTAAAACTATGATAACACTAGCTTGCATTTTTTGGTTTATTACAAGCAATAACTATGAATTGGTTTTTAAAACTTCATTTTGTGTATCTGGTGTTGAGGATTGTTCTACTGCATCAGTTGTTGCAACTTTGGTGGCTTCTGCATCCAGTTTGGCTTGGGCAGTCAGTGCTTCTTTTTCAGCTTCCGCCATACGTTTTTCCATCAATTGCTGTTGCAGTTCTGCATATACTCCTATAGAACGATTATTGAAGCGTATCAGTTTTGTAGCACAGCGTTCCACGCACGCAACTTCATCCTGCTCGATTTCGTAGCGTTTGAAAGTGTTCACACAGTGGCTGAAGCAGGTCTGTGACATTTGATTGTAAAATTCGAGGAAATCTTTGAACTGCAAACGAAAATGTTATTGTTATGAATTAAAACATGGAGAGTAGATACTTACAGTGCGTATATTTTGTTCCATTGACATGTTTTATAAGTATTTGAAGGTATTTTTGAAAGTTTATTAGTTTTTTGCTGAAATAACCTATAATATTGCTTATACGCAAGTTGCATGGATGTAGAAGTTGTAGTCTGTAATGTGGGTTGCCTATGTCAAAATATAGAAAATAATTTTATTCTAATTTATGTTGCATGACGAAATATCGCTTACTAAACGAAGTATAAGAAGAATAATGTTCAATAATGACTAGTTTATGTTATAATTTATGCAGTTCTTTGTTGGTTTCGATTCAAATCGTTCAGAAACAAGATTAAAAGTGCTTATGTAGGGTCGTTAAGTTTAATATTACATTAAAATATGAAGAGAACGGTAGCCAGTTATTCGTTATTGGAATTTTTCAATATCCCGTTAGCTACTTTTACAAACTATGCCAAATATAATTACACAATAGCAAGAGAAAGCATCGTATCACGCTGTTTGTATCAATATGTTCAACCAAGGTCCGGCTGTTTTGTTTCGTACACAAAAGTTGTTGAACTCTGCGCATGGAAAACCAAGATGGCCGCTCTGGAATTCTATTTTTATTCGTGTGCCGTAATAAATAGCAACACAAAAGGAATGAGGCAGAACGTGGCGAATTCAATGCACAGCTGCCGCTTCAATAATTGAAGAAAGGTAGGAAAAACATAGGCAGCATGCACTCGGATGTTGTGATGGTTGTGATATTGCAGCCGCACATCTCTCCCACTCTCCACTGCGTCTGCGCGTGCTGAAATAGGGGGCGCGCGCGGTGCGGCGAAGGTTAGGTACTTGTCAAACAAGTCCGACGTCATGTCAGCTGTTTAGTCGCATAGAAGCGTGGCGACTGGCATTCTGGTCAGCTGTTCTGTGTTTTGATCCGTGCGTCCGCTGCGCTCACGTTGTACGTGCGTTGATCGCCGCCGCCGCCGTCGTCGTCGTCGTAAGTTAGTGATTGCGTTTTTGTCGGCCGGATCGAGGCAGGCAGAGGTAGTCGTGCGGGATTATGTCAGAGGCGGACGCGGCTACGTCGAGCAGCGAGGCCGTAATGGCCGAGCCCGTGACCGAGTCGACCGATGTCGACGTGAAGCGCGACTCCGGCAGCGATTTCGCCGAGCCGGACAACAAGCGGCGCAAGATCTCCACCGCGGAGAAGGGTCTCGCCGACAAGCGGCACAAGCTGGAGGAGCGTCTCGGTGGGATTCTCTGCTGCGCAGTTTGTCTTGATCTGCCACGCGCGGCCGTCTATCAGGTAAACAAAACAAATAAAACTATTCAAAATTAAATTAAAAAAACAAAAAATTGAATTTTAATAAATCCGCCATTAAAAACAAACGAAAATACCCTCAAATTTAATGATAGAAAGCGCTATTATGCATTTTGTGCGTAATATTGTGTTATTTTGGTTGTTGGTTCTATTTTTATTCCGAGACACCAACACCCAAAAAATGACACGTCCCCGCGTCTAGCCGAGAGATGCATCGTGGCCTAGCCCAGAAGTCATCTCATGTTTACACACACACACACACTAATACACATGTATGTGTGTTACGTAACGCCGCGAGACTTTTCTTTGTCCCAGCTGCACTCCGGCTGCACACGCCACGGACTATTACGTCGTAGGAAATGGTGTGCGCGGCGGCGGTCGCGGCCTCCACTATTGATTTATATTTGATGCTCGCGCCCGAGTTAAATTCGCTTCCATGTCGCTTCAAAATGGGCGCCGTTCATCGCATGCACCACATGGTCGATATTGTTGTGTGTGGGACAAAATGGCGCACACCTAACACGTAACACGCCATTTTTTATTTTGCACGATCGCGAGATTATTTTTGCGCAGTATTACCGCAGTGGCACGCGAAAACTTCCACTCCGCCAGGGCAGGGTAAACGCGTTGTTATCAATGGCGTGTCATCGGCCATTAATCGCGTCATTATGTTGTGCACAAACAACACAATATTTATTTTTTTCATAAAAATATTCATTTTAATATAATCATATATCAAATATCATTAACTGTAGTTTAATACTAACCAAAGAAAACAAAGAATGAAATATTCGATGAAATTATGCATCTTGTCTGGCGATGCAAACAAAGGAAATTGCGTTGTTTATTTGTACGTTCCGCTTACTACGCAATTATCTGCATCTACATTACAAAACATTATTGCGCACATAGAAAACTAACAAAAGACGAGACCGGTTGTTGAAAAGTATCCGAAAATAACCTGAACCCTCTCACCTGTATTTATTTTCTACCCCAAAATTAACCACTTCCTTTGTTCCTTTCCTTTTTAGTCTAGTTTAATGTATTGCTGATTTTCTTATTGTAGCATATCGAAAGTGTACTGTACGATAATGATACTTGTTGTTGCTCTGTTGTGTTCTCTAATGATGTTTGACAGTTGCAGTTGCGTAAATGTTTAAACAAAGAACAACTTATTATGATTTTACTTGAACTTGAATAAATCAATGCAAAACTATTTGCCATGTGTTCATTCATATTATAAATGTCTACAGCAGGACCTCAAATATCTTGATCCTTTTATTATATTATATATTATCTTAAATAATAAATCTAGTTGAGAGAGGCGTCAAGGTAAGCGGCGACATTTCGGTCGCATTCAGAGTTCTATAAAGTAGGTCGATATAAAATGGCGTAAATACGAATTGTCTACTTGGATTTGTAAACAAATTTTATTTACGACTGTGTTCAGTTACAGGGCATTAACGCGTCCTCGGTGAGTAAAAAAAAAGTCAACACATTAAATAACCAAAAATGATTCATTTTCGTTTCACCACACAAAAAACAAATCGAGTTGATATTTATGTTTATAATTGTAATTTTTTCCAGCGGCGTGGAATGTAATAAATTTTAGTTGCAGGAATTTATAGATGTGATTTTTTATTGATTGATGTGATTTGTTTGTTTTAGGCTGTGTGTGTGTGCGAGTTGCGTGTTGATGCTGAATTGTAAAAACTGTTTCAGTGTCTCAATGGGCATTTGATGTGCGCTGGTTGTTTCACGCACCTGCTGGCGGACGCGCGCCTCCGCGACGAGACCGCCACCTGCCCGAATTGCCGCGTGGAGATCTCGAAGACGTCGGCGACGAGGAATCTCGCCGTGGAGAATGCCGTCTCGGAGCTGCCCTCCGAGTGCCAGTACTGCAACAAGCAGTTTCCGAGGAACTCGCTGGACCGACACGAGGATACACAGTGCGAAGAAAGGTTCCATAATCATTTGTTATTGTTTATTTGTAGTTTATGATGAATTAATTTTTTGTTTGTTTTTGTGTTTGTAGATTGGCGGTGTGCAGATTCAGTCGCATTGGGTGTCCATGGCGTGGGCCGCTGCATGAGAGTCGTCAGCATGAGAAGGAGTGTGTGCATCCGAACAAAAATGGCGCCGAGGTGATGGAGGCTCTGCAGATCATGGATCAGAAACTGGCGGATGAGCGCGTTTTATATGAGAGCATCTTTGATTTACTCACATATGAGAAAATCACTTTTAATGGTAAGATTTTGTTTATTTCTTGTGGTTTTTTTAAATTTTGGTGTGATTTTTGTGTTTTAGATTTACAATTGAAACCGTATCGCACCGATGAGTTTGTGCACCGATTGTTTTACGAAACGTCGCGTTTTTCGGCGTTCAATAATCAGTGGGTTGTGAAGGCACGCATCAACAACAGCCAGAAGGATCCCACGCAGAGTTCCGAACGTGATATGACATACCAGGTAATATATTTTCTACTAGCTTTAATCCGCGACTTCGCTCGCGAATATCTAAAATAATGAAGTTGCTTCCGTACGCGTCTGTAGTCACAGAAGAAGTAACAATGAAGTAGAATGGCGGGAAGTTTAAAATGGCTGAAAGTATAGTCTATGGAAGTATAGTGTACAGTCTCCATAGTGTAGTCAATTGGATTTGATGTTGACGTAGCTGTCGGTAATACAGTGTGATAATACAGTGTGATGGTACTATAGTACTTAGGTTTGAGCTTCATTGCTGGAATGCTAGATGGCGTTAAAGTAGTCAAATAGCCAGATGCAGAGGTATTATTGGCTAAACAATTTCTTTATTTTATTTAAAAAATAATTTTTTATTAAATATAAAGTAGCCTATAACCATTCGGGGACCACTAAGAATATGTGTACAAATTTTCATGATGATCGGTTAAGTAGCTTTTGCGTGAAAGTGTAACAAACATCAGGACTTTCGCATTTATAATATTAGTAGGGATTTTAAATTGAAATGTTATATTTTTTGGGTTATTGCAGCTTATAATGAAGACAAAAGCAACGACAACGCTGAGCATTTATTATATAGTGCTTAAAGGACCTTTTGGTGATATGAAAATAAATCCGCGCATCTACAAGCATGATTTCACCGAGTTGGAGAATGAAGGGCCCTATATGCCTTTGTCGCTCCCCGACACCGGTGAATGCAATCGCCTTTTGGCAGCGAAAACAATAAACTTTAGGTAAATTATTATATTTGTTTATGGTATTTATTTCTGCTTGTTGATGCTTTTAGATTGATCATGTTCTTGTCATCGAAGTAAACGTCGCATCTTTCTCAAACCAAAGTGGATTGTTTGCAACTGTTGGTGACCAAATAACAGGTTGATTGGTGTGCGCGAAAATCGGGGAATAATCATCTATAGAATTCATTATTTTATATTTATAGACTACGAGAGTGTCATATTCATTTCTTTCATATTGGGATTTCTACCGAATAGAATTTATTTTTTAATTTTTGATCATTTTTAGCATTAGCTTTTGACTTTTTCGTTTTTTTTTATATTTTGATTAATTGGCCATTTTAAATCTCAATTTGGAATTAATTACGTGTTTGTTGTGAATGTCTAAAAGCAGCGATTAAGTAATAATGGTATTTGTGTTGGTTTTTAGATAATACGCGTACTCTCATGCCACAACCGATCTCGAAATAGTTTGTTTGCCGGATAAATAGTTTGCAATATTTATTATTTTCACCGCTCCGAAATTTTGATTTGTGTTAGGCGTACAATTTAATTCGAATTAACTGTACCTTTAGCTGATAACGAACAGATTAAGTACTACTAAATATGCAAGAGATATTTACATATAAATATTATATTGATAAAAATATATATTATATAAATTAAAAATTAATCAGATTAAATTATAGATACTAATTAAGCAAAGAGGTATATTGATAAATATTATGCTCGCCGCCGTGGAGGCGCAGCGACAACAAAACAAACTGGAAACGAGTACAAGTTTCAGCAAGTTGTTACCACTTTAACTTGTGTATTGTGTATAAAGAAGTAATTTCTCTTTGTTAGCAACTTCACGATTTACAAACTATTATTATGCTAATGAATCTTGAATTTAATTATAATACACTTTTAAAATTGATTTCAGTGACTATATATCAACCTATCTTGTAGAGAATTTTCCGTAGATTAAGAATTTTCAATCCGCACCTTTTTATCTCTTTTAGTTTACGAGATATTCGCAATCGAAAGAAACTCGAAAAATGAAAATGTCATTTTACACTTTTAAACACGCTTTCAGAACTTTTACAGCACGAATTTTAATTTATTTCTTGTCTTATCTTATAGAGAATTTTCCGTAGATTAAGAATTTTCAATCCGCACCTTTCTATCACTTTTAGTTTACGAGATATTCGCAATCGAAAGAAACTCAAAAATTGAAAATGTCAATTTTTATTACTTTGAACACGATTTCAGAACTTTTACAGCACGAATTTTAATTTATTTCTTGTCTTATCTTATAGAGAATTTTCCGTTGATTAAGAATCTTCAATCCGTTCCTTTCTATCACTTTTAGTTTACGAGATATTCGCAATCGAAGGAAACTCGAAAAATGAAAATGTCATTTTACACTTTTAAACACGATTTCAGAACTTTTACAGCACGAATTTTAATTTATTTCTTGTCTTATCTTATAGAGAATTTTCCGTTGATTAAGAATCTTCAATCCGTTCCTTTCTATCACTTTTAGTTTACGAGATATTCGCAATCGAAAGAAACTCGAAAAATGAAAATGTCATTTTACACTTTTAAACACGATTTCAGAACTTTTACAGCACGAATTTTAATTTATTTCTTGTCTTATCTTATAGAGAATTTTCCGTAGATTAAGAATCTTCAATCCGTTCCTTTCTATCGCTTTTAGTTTACAAGATAATTGCAAAAACTTAATTTAAACAACTTTTATTTCAGTTAAAAATCAATGAACACATAACACATTCCTTAAATTGTATTCTTAGCTTATACAATCCAACTTCCACACGTCAATGATACCCTTCTCGCCACCAGTCATCAATATCCTACTTTGAGGATCAAAACGTGCGCTCCTAACTCTCTGCGAGTTTCCTCTACAGTCAAACAAAGGTCGTAATTGTTTCCCATCCACTGCCAATGCTCTCAAACATTCGCCATCCTTAAAATTCGAACCAAACAAAATAACAGGCTGTTCCTTGTCAACAAAACACCCAGCCACATAGTTATAATCATCGCATTTCCTCTAAAAACAGATAAAAATTAATACTTTGCAATAATATCACTAGTTAATTGAATTACTTTAATATGTTGACTTAGAATCTCCCGCTTGAAGTCGCCATACGGCGTCGCATCTTCCAACCGCCACATCTGTACATTATGCGTATGTGTAGCACAAAATACTTCTTCATTACACCACGCAATCTGCTCCACTGATGATTCAGTATTCAAACACTCCGTGAGCGCATCATCTTCGCTCGCCTCCTTTAAGTTGTACATGTTAATCAGTCCATCTGTTGATGCTGATAACAGCTTGTTTCTGTCTTCAGCATGGAACTTAACTTGCATTACATCATCAGTGTGACTCTCCCAATAGGCTCCCAGAAGATTCGCATTTCGCACGTCCCAGAAGAGAACGAACGCGTCCGCGTCGAATAATTCAGTGCCAGCAGTTACCAATTTGTTATCTGGTGAAACATCAAAACTTAGAAATGTTTTGTTTCATTTTTATCATTCACAGTTGAGTCAATGAATTCACTCACTGGTTTCTCAGGTGTCCTCAAATCATATAATTTAATATTTGCTTTAGAACAAGCAATGTATACCAAATTACTGTCCATTGGTGCAAATTTTGTGCCTACACATTCTTCTTCAGCAGCTAAATTTAATTCATTTGTTTTAGCAAGCTGTGATCCAGACAATTTTAAGATATCTACTGATGTATTTGATGCAATTACAATTGAAGGATCTGTTTCCCTGTAAAAATGCAATATTGAGGTATTTATGAGCTTTTAAATAAAAATAAAGTTTTGTTACCTTGTTGCATCCAAGTGTAAGATATACTTTTTGTCAGAAAATATCTTTTTGGACGTCAACAATGTGCATGGCTTATTAAAAACGGATTGCAGTTCTTCATACGTGCATGTATCTCCATCAAAAGTCCAATCTTCATCATAATTATCGCCGTTTGTAATATTTATTTTCAATGCTTTGGAGGTTTTGGATGTCATGATTGTTGCTCTAACCTACGTTTCAACAAAATAAATCAAATTATTTGAAAGAAAGGCAATGGAAGAAGGCAAATGAATTGCAATGATCGTACCTGAGACCTGTTTTGTGAAATATGTAGTACTCTACCAAACCTCACATGAAACACGAGGTATTTTAAGTATTAATTAAACGAGACTTGTCGGTTAATATCAAAACACGTGCTGCAAATGCAAACAATTTCAAGGTCAACCCACTTGTGGTATAATTTGAATATTTAAATCATAAGTCTACAATGGGTCTGTTGGTGTACTTCGCAGACTCAATTAATGAAATGTTAATTGACAATATGTACTGCATACAAAAGTGGAAACACGTGGAAACATTAATTATTGATTATTATAGTTTAAATTGTGGGAGTTGTATCTGTCGCATTCATAGATGGCACTGGGATGCCAGTTATACGGCTTATTTTTATATTTATCGACAAACGTGGGCACGAGAATAGTTTTGTATACAATGCTGTTATCTGCATTCGGTGTAAATTCGGTGTAAACAACGTTTTTAACGCATGTGTCCCGCGCGCTGTCTCCTAGCATCGCATCAACTTGCTGCATGCAGTGAAGTTTCGCACAAGGTCGTGTGTATTCGACGCCGTCTTTGCGCACCTCTTGTTTTCTTATCATATACTGTTCCGTCGTTGTTTACGCAGTTTCGGCATGCACTATCGGTGGAATGCAGCCAGTTTCGTGCCGGTCGCTGATTAATCGAGTCGTGTTTTGAGAGACTTATATCGGTTATTCGGACTTCAATATTCTAAATTTGTGTTATACTCGAAGATCAATCGACTATTTATTTGTACTTTGCGACTATAGTAATTTGTTTAATGTTTGGAAATGCCGGTTTTTGATCGCGTTTGTTGTGTACATTACAAGTCACGTGATAGTGGATTTGATAACATTCTTCACTCGGCGTTGTGTTTGGTGTCGGTAACTAAATTAAACGCATATATATCGCCGCCATGTTGATTCTCATCATTAAGATCTGTCTTATCCGGCTCGTGTAAGTATTTTTTAACTAAACAGCACTGATTGTTTATTTTGTGTTGATTATTAATTATAACATAATTCGTTTAGTTACAGCACTCGTTGTGCCTGGCAGTCCGATAAGCTGTAGGCTGGTAAGTTTATAATTCAATTATATTATCTGGTCAAATTTAAATTTGTTGTTTATAAACAAGTTTTCTATTTATCACGTACTACCTACCTGCAGGGCAAGGTGAGGGGGTCAACTGGGATTAATTCCCCGGGACCCGGCTGATCGCTCTTAAATCGCAAACACAATGAGCAAAAAATTAACGATTGTCGGGGCCAGCGGACTTTCCCCGGGGCCCGCACTTGCTCTCGACGGCCCTGCCTGCCTGTGACACAAATTTGACGACAGACACGGTCGGACACAATTAGGAGATATTCACACTAAAAAAAAAAAAAAAAAAATTACACATATAGTCACGTTTTTGGTCCTTTTCTTCCACGTAATTAAATTATTTTAAATTCTTATCTAATGCAGAATTTTCAAATCATTTATAACTTTTAATCCGTTGGTCGCTATCGGTTTTAGTTTAAAAGATATGCACTATTATCGTTTATTGACTCCAATATGTCAAGAACGTTGATTTTTCCTTGTTTATTTAGTTATATTGCAAATAATTGCCATTGTATAGTTGAGTTTCATTTGGTTTACCGTAGCAGGGAGTTGATAGAAGTGACTCGTGTTCAAGGTATCGTATGAGGGTAGCGGTAGAAGAGACTCGTGTTCAGGGCACCGTATGAAGGTAGCGGTAGAAGTGACTCGTGTTCAGGGCACCGTACGCGGATAATTTGCTCATTTTTTATGAATTAAAATTTTATGTCTTGGATTTTGAATCCAAGCTTATCTGATAAAGAATTGTTCATAGATTAAGACGCTGCGATCAGATCCTATTTATCTCTTTTAGTTTACGAGATATTCGCGATTGAATAAAATGGGCAAAAATTGCAAAATGTCACTTTTTAGCACTTTTAGTCGCGTTTTTCGACCTTTTACTGTAGGAAATATAATTATTTTATATTTTTATCTGATAGACAATTTTCCAATCTTTCATAATCAACAATTCGTGGGTTGCTATCTCTTTTAGTTTAAGAGATATGAATTTTTGAAAATCGTCGAAAAAAAGTATCAAGCACCCCCCCTTGGCAATTTTTTTCTTAAGATTGAAAATTTCATCTCTCAGATTTCTGTTTTAACTATCCTATCTGATAGAGATTGGTCCGTAGATTAAGACGCTGCGATCAGATCTTATTTATCTCTTTTAGTTTACGAAATATTCGCGATTGGATAAAATGGCCAAAACTTGCGTTTTACGACCTTATACTGTAGGAAATATAATTATTTTATATTTTTATCTGATAGACAATTTTCCAATCTTTCATAATCAACAATTCGTGGGTAGCTATCTCTTTTAGTTTAAGAGATATGAATTTTTGAAAATCGTCGAAAAAAAGTATCAAGCACCCCCCCTTGGCAATTTTTTCTTAAGACTTAAAATTTCATCTCTCAGATTTCCCTTTTAACTATCCTATCTGATAGAGATTGGTCCGTAGATTAAGACGCTGCGATCAGATCTTATTTATCTCTTTTAGTTTACGAGATATTCGCGATTGAATAAAATGGGCAAAACTTGCAAAATGTCACTTTTTAGCACTTTTAGTCGCGTTTTTCGACCTTTTACTGTAGGAAATATAATTATTTTATATTTTTATCTGATAGACAATTTTCCAATCTTTCATAATCAACAATTCGTGGGTTGCTATCTGTTTTAGTTAAAGAGATATGAATTTTCAAAAATCGTCGAAAAAAAGTATCAAGCACCCCCCCCCTTGGCAATTTTTTTCTTAAGAATTAAAATATCATCTCTCAGATTTCCGTTTTAACTAGCTTATATTATAGAGAATAGTCCGTAGATTAAGACGCTGCGATCGGATCTTAATTATCTCTTTTAGTTTACGAGATATTCGCGATTGAATAAAATGGGCAAAAATGGAAAAATGTCACTTTTTAGCACTTTTAGTCGTGTTTTTCGACCTTTTACTCTAGGAAATATAATTATTTTATATTTTTATCTGATATAGAATTTTCCAATATTTTATAATCAACAAATCGCTGGTAGCTATCGTTTTTAGTTTAAGAGATATTAATTATCAAAAATCGTCGAAAAAAAGTATCAAGCACCCCCCCCCCTTGGCAATTTTTTTCTTAAGAATTAAAATTTCATCTCTCAGATTTCCGTTTTAACTATCCTATTTTGTTGAGAATAGTCCGTATCAAATTGCTGATTGCAGCGAAATCTAGATTAGTTTAGATCACAGGTGATGTGCCAATTGCAAATTCGCGCAGAAGGTCGCGTGCTTTCGACGCACCCTCTTTGCGCACCGCTTATTTTCTTATCATATACTGTCCCGTCATTGTATACACGGCAAGCACTGTCGGTGGATTGCAGCCAGTTTTGTGCCAGTCGCTGATTAATCCAGTCGTGTTTTGAGATACTTATATCGTTTATTCGGACATCAATATTCTAAATTTGTGTTATACTCGAAGATCAATCGACTATTGATTTGTACTTTGCGACTAAAGTAATTTGTTTACTGTTTGGAAATGCCGGTTTCTGATCGTGTTTGTTATGTATATTACAAGTCACGTGATAGTGGATTTGATAACTTTCTTCACTCGGCGTTGTGTTTGGTGTTACTAAATTAATCGGATGTATATCGCCCCCATGTTGATTCTCATCATTAAGATAGATCTATCAGGCTCGTGTCAGTTTTTTTTATCTAAGGAGCACATAATTTACGTTGTGTTGATTGTTAATTGGAACATAATTCAATTTTATGAAGTATTTTTGTTTTAATTTATGTTTTCGTTTAGTTACAGCACTCGTTGTGCCTCACAGTAGGATAGGCTGTACACTGGTAAGTTTATAATTAAATTATATTTTTCAGTCAAATTTGCATTAGCTGTATATAGCAGGAATTGTAGTGTTTTTAGTATAACATGCGAACCCGGCGTCATAATACGTTCAGAACCATTTTCTTAGATTCGGAATTTAATTTTGTATCACCCTGTATTTGAATTTATTTCAACAAAATGCCGTAGTGCGAGGAATATTGAAAGTTGTGTGTATGCGCAGTAGTACTCGTTGCTTTAGGTATTGTAGTTTTTTCCGAATAACACGCGAACGGGGTGCCATAATAACTTCGGAATAATTTTCCCTGATGCGGAATTTAATTATGTATCTCCCTGTATTAAACTTTATTGCGAGAAAATTCTGTAACGCGAGTTATATCGAAAGTTGTGCGTGTGCGCAGTAGTACTCGTTGCTTTAGGTATTGTAGTTTTTTCCGAATAACACGCGAACGGGGTGCCATAATAACTTCGGAATAATTTTCTCTGATGCGGAATTTAATTATGTATCTCCCTGTATTAAACTTTATTGCGTGAAAATTCTGTAACGCGAGTTATATCGAAAGTTGTGCGTGTGCGCAGTAGTACTCGTTGCTTTAGGTATTGTAGTTTTTTCCGAATAACACGCGAACGGGGTGCCATAATAACTTCGGAATAATTTTCCCTGATGCGGAATTTAATTATGTATCTCCCTGTATTAAACTTTATTGCGAGAAAATTCTGTAACGCGAGTTATATCGAAAGTTGTGCGTGTGCGCAGTAGTACTCGTTGCTTTAGGTATTGTAGTTTTTTCCGAATAACACGCGAACGGGGTGCCATAATAACTTCAGAATAATTTTCCTGATGCGGAATTTAATTATGTATCTCCCTGTATTAAACTTTATTGCGAGAAAATTCTGTAACGCGAGTTATATCGAAAGTTGTGCGTGTGCGCAGTAGTACTCGTTGCTTTAGGTATTGTAATTTTTTCCGAATAACACGCGAACGGGGTGCCATAATAACTTCGGAATAATTTTCCCTGATGCGGAATTTAATTATGTATCTCCCTGTATTAAACTTTATTGCGTGAAAATTCTGTAACGCGAGTTATATCGAAAGTTGTGCGTGTGCGCAGTAGTACTCGTTGCTTTAGGTATTGTAGTTTTTTCCGAATAACACGCGAACGGGGTGCCATAATAACTTCGGAATAATTTTCCCTGATGCGGAATTTAATTATGTATCTCCCTGTATTAAACTTTATTGCGAGAAAATTCCGTAACGCGAGTTATGTTGAAAGTTGTGTGTGTGCGGCGTAGTACTCGTTGCGCTTGCAACTGTAGTTTTTTTATTATTACACGCAAATGCGGTGTCACAATAACTTCGGAATAATTTTGCCTGATGCGGAATTTAATTATGTATCTCCCTGTATTAAACTTTATTGCGAGAAAATTTTGTAACGCGAGTTATATCGTAAGTTGTGCGTGTGCGCTGTAGTACTCGTTGCGTTGGGTATTGTAGTTTTTTCCGAATAACACGCGAAAGCGGTCTCACAGTGAGTTCGGATGAATTTTCTCCGCTGCAGAATTTAATTCCGTATCTCGCTATTGATGATGATTCCATATACGATTAAATGAATTTAGAACATTTTGAAGCTGTTATTTATATCATTTTTGGTAATTTTATTAAAAGTTATGAAAAGACCATTATATAATTGCATATCATTATCCTGTTTTTTTGTTTATATGTAGATTTTAATGTTTCTAATAAAACCTATTGTAATATCATATACTTCTTCATATTTCTTTCTGGTTTCCCCTTTCCCGTTTGCAGGTTTGATGTCTTGAATCATGTTCCATATAAATCTTAAGTGCGTCGAGCGTGTACAATATATAGCTGTTGTTTGTGTTGTGTTGTTGTTATTAAAAAGTTGAATAAAGTAGAAACATAAATAGAAGAATCAAATAACAATGATAAAATCACTCGGTGGTCGGGTGGATACGAACACCTGCTAGCATGCTAGTAGGCACGGATCGAACCCCAGGTACAGAAGGCATTTTTCTCAAATATAAAATAACAGGTGTAATTTGGGTTGCATATGTGAATTGCAACGAAATATAAGAGAAGATGCAATACATGTGAAGGCAATAAGAGAAGTAAGAAAGTAAGTAAGTGGAGAAACAGAGAAATAGAAGAAGGAGTATCAGAGAAGAGAAGAGTAGAAGACAGAAGGAAGAGAACAGAGTAGAGAAGAGAGGAGATGGAAGAAAGAGAGCAGGAGAGGATCAGATTTTTAAATTTTTTGGCACGTGTCGTTATAAGACAGTCACAGGTCGATCTCCCAGAGCGCCTTCGGCGCTCTGGTCGATCGCCCACTGCTTCGATGCGTCCATTGCTCCCGGCCCAACCTACAGCTACGAAGTCTCTGCGCTTCATCCCCGAAATTATCAGGCATATCAACAATTTTTATGGTGGGGGATCACCCCCAGAGAGAGGGAACTCCTTATAAGGACAATCCTTATAAGGTCTTGTAAAAATATTTCTAAGTTTTAAGTCGCCTCAAGAGAGGTGACACTTAAAAATATTCTTACAAGTTCTGACCTGTAGCTGAAATGAAAGAAGGAGTACACAAATCATACAGGTTACCTTAACAATTTTTATAGAGGGGATCATCCCCTGAGAGAGGGAACTCTCTTAGAGACCTGTTCCTGAAATGATAGAAGAGGTTCACAAATCAATATATCTTACTATTCTTTATTAACAATAGAATACAAGTTTATATTTTACAAGTCAACAGAATACATGTCTCCATATTGAAATAGGAGTTATGACCTGCATAGCCGCGCTCATGCCAGCAAGTACTACTTCATAAAGTAGTACGGAATAATGAAATTAGTAAATAGCCAATTTTCTATCCGCACTAATACAAAAATTTCACGGTAAATGGTGACAAAATCACCTTTAAATGCATATTTTCGCGGGTTGCAGGTCGAATTCCTGCAACAAACAAATACCACCCGACGGAGAATTTAATTCCGCATCTTTTGACGTCGCGCTGAAGTTAATGAGCCGTCTAGATTGCGTGCAAACCCGAAATAATACAAAAATTTCACTGTAAATGGTGACAAAATCACCTTTGAATGCATATTTTCGCAGGTTGCAGGTCGAATTCCTGCAACAAACAAATACCACCCGACGGAGAATTTAATTCCGCATCTTTTGACGTCGCGCTGAAGTTAATGAGCCGCCTAGATTGCGTGCAAACCCGAAAAATACAAAAATTTCACGGTAAATGGTGACAAAATCACCTTTAAATGCATATTTTCGCGGGTTACAAGTCGAATTCCTCCTATAAACAAAGACCACCCGACGGAGAATTTAATTCCGCATCTTTTGACGTCGCGCTGAAGTTAAGGAGCAGCATAAGTCGCGTGCAAACCCGAAATAATACAAACATTTCACGGTTAAAGGTGACACACTTTTGAATGCAAATTTTCGCAAGTTGCAGGTTGAAGTCCTGCCACAAACAAAAAGCACCCAACGGAGAATTTAATTCCGCATCTTTCGACGCCGCGATGAAGTTAATGAGCAGCAAAGATCGCGTGCAAACCCGAAATAATACAAACATTTCACGGTTAAAGGTGACACACTTTTGAATGCAAATTTTCGCAAGTTGCAGGTTGAAGTCTTGCAACAAACAAATACCACCCGACGGAGTGCACACCCGAAATAATACAAACATTTCACGGTTAAAGGTGACAAAATCACCTTTGAATTCAAATTTTCGCGAGTTGCAGGTTGAAGTCCTGCAACAAACAATCAGTAACCAACGGAGAATTTAATTCTGCATCTTTTGATGCTGCGCTGAAGTTCATGAGCTAACAAGGTCGCGTGCTAACCCGACAAAAGGTGAAAAAATCACCCTTTTCTGCAAGTTTTTGCGGGTTCATACGGTGCCCTGAATCGCGTCACCTCTACCGCTAGCCTCGTAAGGTGCCCCGAATCGAGTCACTTCTACCACTTGCCTCGTAAGGTGCCCCGAATCGAGACACTTCAACCGCTAGCCTCGTAAGGTGTCTCGAATCGAGTCTCCTCTACCGCTAGCCTCGTAAGGTGCCCTGAATCGAGTCACTTCTACCGCTAGTCTTGTAAGGTACCCTGAATCGAGTCACTTCTACCGCTAACAAATACAACCCGACGAAGAATTTAATTATGCATATTTTAATGCAGCGCTAAAGTTACCGGGCCGCCAAGATCGCGTGCAAATCTGAAAAAGTACAAACATTTCACGGAAAATGCTGAAATACCGATAAATCGCCCATTAATGCTAAATTTCGCGGGTTGCAGGTCGAATTCCTGCAACAAAAAATACAACCCGACGGAGAATTCAATTCTACATCTCTAGATATCACGCGCAAAATGATTAAGAAAATGTATGTATTACAAACACGAGTGTATAAAAAAAGCAAGTAAAGATACCATACCAGTATTTTATGCGTTGCAACACTTCGGCAAGGGCTGACGATGATAATAATCTGCGAAATAAATTACATTGTTAAGGGGAAGTGCGGGAAGGGGTGTTAACATTTATTTAATTTTAAATCGGAGGTCGATCGACGAAGCGAATCAAATTCGCATTCTAATTTAGCTCGTGATTCGGTATTGGAACGCGAAGGCGATTGCTAAAACAGAGAGGAGAACGATAATTAGAACATTGCGTATAAGTCGAGATAAAATAATACAGAGACTAAACATACAATAAAACTGCGAAGTATAAAATATGATATAAATGCGACTGGAAAACTTGTTTATACACAAACAAATACTAATACTAAAAGAGATAGAGAGAAACGGGCGTATTGCAAGGATCAGTGAAACGCAAGTCGGCGTGAGATGCAGCGCGATATATACGAATCATCAAAGCCGACGGAACAGTTTTCGACCGCAAGCAAGCATGTATCACACCGACCGTACAAGGTCGAAACACGGGATGAGATATCGACACAGTGAAGATACAAACAATTCCAATATTCTAAATATTAATTAAATCGCAAAATACTAAAAATGTGCGAAATATTGCCGAAATATTGCTTTGGGGTTTTTTTTTTGAGTACATAGCTTATTGTAGTATTTTTTATGTACATCCTCAAAGACTCACTTAATACAAACACTTTTGTAAAGATTATTTTACACTTACGGGTGTAGGACAGTTAATTTAGTTAGTTAATTTAATTATTAATAAGTAATTATAATAAATAATTAATAAATAATTACTTATTAATAATTAAATTAACTAACTAAAAACAAAAGTAAAAATGAATTACTATAAATTAATACTATATTCATACAGCGAAGAAAAACAAACAACATGTGATGTTGAGTTACTTACACCAGCAATTCACACTCGCGATCACAATAAACAATAAACACCCAAATGAAATAACATTACTACAGTCGCAGTTCAAAATAAAACAGTCGATTGATGATTAAATATAATGTTAATTAAGAAAGTAGAAGACCGAACACACGATACGCGTCGCGAGAAATACGCCTGGGCCAACCAGACACCGGCACGAAACTGGCCGCGAACTGCACACACAAGGACGCGACAGTTTATGATAAGAAAGCAAGAGGTGCGCAAAGCCGGCGCGTCGATGTAACGCGACTTTGTGTGCGAATTGCAATTGGCACGGTACCTGCGATCAAAACTAAACTACGATGCAGCACCATGCGGCGTGAGCGGACGGCAACGACTCATGGGATTGCGATAAGAAAGTGTAAATTGTGTTCAAAACAAACACAATTCTCGTTTCGGATGCTCACGTTTGCCGATAAATACAGAAATAAATAATACAAGTCTGTTTTAGGATTTTTCGTTTATGCTAGTGTCATCTATGAATGATACAGATAATAGTCCCGGAATTTAGATTAAGTACAAAAATTAATGAAAATTAAAAATCAATTTACGCCATTCTGATTTCTTATGCTGACAGATTGTCAGATTTTACATTAAATATTTATGTGATATTTAATTCGAGAATGCATCATTTCTCTTTGGCAAACTACTAAAGCAAATTTTAACAAAATAAAAAGATGAGAATGATGACTGAAACTTCTCCAAATAAAACATCAAAATTTCATTCTTAATTTTCATTTACAAAGCCGAAAATAGTTCTTAAGTTAGTTCGTAGCATGTTGAAATGAATCTGAGTTCCATCGGAACCCAGATTTTATTTAAGATTCCTGTTATTCGCAATAATTATAGGAATGACAATATTTACCTGGTAGCACATTATTCCATAATCATCTCCTGATGATAAAAATAATTTACACAAGTCAATTATTTATTTATTGGCGTTCACAAAATATCACCGGCCGTCGCCCGACGGCAACGGACTCACAAGCACGTGAATAAACTAAACACACAAAAATAAGAATTACGAAGATTACACATGCGATAAATAATTAATAGAAGCCCAAACACGTTTATTAATATTAATTATCGCCTGTGATCACGAAATATAACGCGATTTACCGAATTTACAACAAACAATAACACAAGCCGAAAGTGTGAAACGTGCTCGTCGTTATCGCACCGACTGAACAAAACAAAATTCACTCGCTGGAATATTTCGAATTGAACCAGCATCGTCGCGCCATCTGAGGACGCTTTAAGATATCTCAAGTTTATACAAAGTGCTTGAAACAATGTGACGCGCATGTGAGTCAGTGCAAAATTGTCTATGAGGTAGTGAGTGGTCACGCAGTTAGATAGCAGCGTCCGTGTGACACACGTACACCAAAGTATGCATGCACGACCCAATATAAATGAATAGCAATTTTATGCCGCAATTCAATAAGTCAAACCTAGGTAACGCGTGATATTCTATTTTAAAGCAGCATTTTACATGTTTAATTTCCTTATCTATCTTCTATCTATCTATATATATAAAATTTGCGTGTCACAGTGTTTGTTTCCATACTCCTCCGAAACGGCTTTACCGATTTTTACCAAATTTTATATGCGTATTCAGTAGGTCTGAGAATCGGCTAACATCTATTTTTCATACCCCTAAGTGATAAGGGTTGTTCACCCTTAACTTTTTTTTAAATTTTTGGACAAATTCTTTTGTTTTTATTTTTTTTATAATGTGGAATTAAAAAATACATACAACCCTAAATTTTTAGTTTTTTATCACCAACCCCTATTTCTTTATAGCCATTTTAGTAATTTAATCATTTTTCATCCCGCTCAGAGAAAATTTTTATGTGCGTATTCAGTAGGTCTGAGAATCGGTAACTTCATATCTCTAAGTGATAAGGGTTGTTCACCCTTAATTTTTTTTAAATTTTGGGCGAAATTTTTTGTTTTTATTTTTTTAATGTGGCATTAAAATATACATACAACCCTAAATTTTTGGTTTCTTATCACCAACCCCTATTTTTTATAATAAGTAAGTTACTTTTTGTCTACACTAAAATTTATCTAGAAACTAGAAATAATTTATATGGCAAAACAACGTTTGCCCGGTTAACTAGTATACAATAACATTATATTAGCGTATCTACTGCAACAAATCGAATGCAACCCGGTGCAGAATTTAATTGTGCATCTATTGATAACGTGCTGAAATTTGTATAGCGTCGAGTTTGCTTATAATAACGAAAAAGAGGCAACAAATTAAAACAAAAATGCAAAAACAAATTAAAAATAATAATATATTATATTACAGCATATTTTACATATGCTTAAAAAGAAAAACGCACTTCTGATCGAACTTGTATGACAAAATAAACATTTTCAACCCCATATATACACAAACATTGCAGTCATCACAAACAGAATTTGACAAACACAAATTGATATCAATCAAACAAAAAACTAAACAACACCACATACCATTCTATCGTCGCTTCAAAACCCTGCGAGAATGTATCATCTCCACGATAGAAATCAACTAAAAAAAAAACGTCCATAATAGTTTGTGTATATTTTATGCCCGAATACTATACACAATATTCGTTCACTGTGTGACTAGTCGATTAAATGAACTTGAGGAATATGAGATTGCCAACGCATGGGGCGTTTGAAACTATCACTTGATATGAATGAAGTCTACCCGGATTACCAAGCTCCTATGTGTATTTAATCACTAACACAATATTAAACACGATGTTAACAGTAAATCCGTCAATTACCGATCGAATACAAAGCAAGCAACCGACACAAACACCACGAGACGCGAGCAGGTACTAACTGAAATTTTAAGATAAAGCAGCTGAACCGTGCGCAAAGTGGTGCGCAGAGGAATCTAAGTCAGCTATGCGCAATAATACGCACCTAGTAAAGTTTTCTCTTCCTTGCAAAATTGTACAAAGAATGTAATCCGCTTATTTTATATCAATTTCCTATATCCTTAATTTCTTCCTTCTTAATTTTGGTGCAGAATAACGCAAGCGTACGTTTAAATCACAAAATTTAACTCTATTAGCACTATCCGTGCTAATAACTTTAATAATATTTACGCGGCATGTAAAACAACTCAACACGCAAAACATAAATTATAAACAAGATATAACCTTCGTCAAATAAACATTACAGCATGCTATTGAATTAAATAAAGTGTGAAGATCACAAACATTTGAAAATTACAATAATCAAAAAAAAAACTTCCATATTGCTACAGATTAAATAATGTTTCAATAACAAACCCAATCGCACATTACGTATTTTAAATATCATCAGCTTCAATTATCCGGCGCGATCAAGTACTGCATTCCTGCTAGCTCGCCGATAGTACAAAACATACACGTTTATGTAACGCAGAGACCCGTCGAATGCCATTATAATTACAATCCGGACGAATAGAATGAATCGCCATCGCGCAATGCCGCGTGCCGGGTATTCATCACGTACCGCACATATTTATTACAATGCGACCGGTACACAGCGAAAAAAATGTAATTGAATCTGATGGGCGTACGGCGCACACAAAAAGCTGAACGCGGAACGCGACGAACTTTTCGAAACTCTTCGATTTGATTCAGTCGCATTCGCAGATTCGTGTCGTTGCAATACATTTGGTTCCGTGAAATTATATGCATGAGCATGTTTAGTCAGTTGAGTTTTTGGAGTTTGGCTTTATTGTGTTTCACATTCACTGATAATGTCCACAGCGAATGTGAAAAGAAGACGCAGAAAAGGTACAACTTCGAGACGAAGTTTTCTGTAATTATGACAGTTTAGAACGGCCCGTCGAGGACCACAAGGAAGTCATCAATGTGACGATTCAATTATTGCTGAAAAGCACTGATTACGTGAGTTGAATTTATAAATAAACAAATTTTAAAATAATCATAGAAATATGTCAATGAAGGATGAACATTCAGCCGGGCTTACATTAAATTATTGGACAACATTGACGTGGATCGATGGCATCTTGAATTGGAAACCGGAAGAGCATGACAACATTCAAACTCTCATCGTACATAGCGATTATCTCTGGAAGCCGGATTTATCCGTCTACAATCGGTAAAACTAGAACAAAACAACAAATTAAAATGATTTACAAACATTTTATTCCATGAGTTTAGAGTAGAGCAATCCGGAAGTGCCGCCATACTTGATTCGGACCATTGCATTGTCAAATACACCGGACAAATCTCCTGCGTCTCTCCGAGTAATCATGAAATCCTGTGCCAGCCAAACTTGAAATATTTCCCATTCGATACCCAAATCTGCACGATGGTTATTGGCTCGTGGATCCACGAAGGAGAAGAAGTCAATATTCACACGCCGAAGGTCCCAGTCAGTTTGTCAGATTACAGTGAAACAGGCGAGTGGAAACTGAATACTGTAAACATCACGTACACATCCGGAAAGTACGACTGCTGTCCGAACTCGACTTTCCCCTATGTGGAGTACACTTTCTCAATTGAGAGACAGTCTGGCATTCATGTTTGCGTTGCGATTGTTCCGGCAATTTGTGAGTTACGTAATAATTTCAATAATATTTTATACATAATGATTTCCATAGCCATGTTTGTGATGTCAATCATATCATTCTTCATGGACATCAAAGGACAGGAACGGAATATGATCACAGTGGCCAATATTATAGTCCACCTGTTATTCATCCAGTTCTATGCATGGAGCCTTCCGGTTTCGGGCCCAGACCCGCCATTACTGAGTACAAACCAAATGATTGTAACATGAGTTGAGTAAATAATTGATGCTTGTTTTTGCAGTGACATACTCTAGGGACTCGTTGATAATGGCAACGTTTATGCTTATTTTGACAACAATCCTGCGAAAATTGATACTTTGTAGGATGGATAGTCCCAAGTGGATTGGCACGGCGACCGGATACGCCATGAACAGTCGTGCGGTGCAATTGGTGTTCATGTTTGATGGCAGCCTCAAGGTAAAACAATATTTTCTGATAATCAGTTGCCCAAATATCATAAAAACAAGCCAATCAAAACTGATTGATGAGTTTAACGATTTGTGAAAAGAATTAAATTAGCATTCATTACATCTAAATTGCTTGATGATGTCACTTCGTAGAAAACCGGCTTTTGTTTAGCTTCAATCGATCAATTTCCAGTGTTGACACAAAAGCGCAACAAATTAAACATTGCCCATTTTCCAGGATGTCGCTGAACGTTTGGGTGACGACGATGGCCGCAATATCATCGAAAACGTCCAATCAGCGTCGTCTTCGACCAACAACGATTGGCTCGTCCTGGCGAAATTGTTGGACCGCGTAGCGCTAATCGCATACTTCATTGTGTATTTCATCATGTGCATTGCATTCATACCTTAAAATTACCCAGTAATCGTGTGATATCCAGCAAACCGTTTCGTTTTTGCCACTCACTCGACTGTATGCAATTCCAAGCGACTATCGACGGCTAGAAATTGATTAAATACATTTGGTCTGCTTCATATTATTGGACTTTGATTACTTTTATTAAGCAATTTTACATTAAAGCTGTTTGGAGCCTGTACAATAATGTTTTATTCGTAATTTGTAGAGTTTCAATTTGTTTTATTCGTTCTTCATGTTAAGAGTGTGAGTATGTGTATCTGTGTATGCATTTTGTTCAATAAATCCATGTCATAATAATAAATATCGTTTCAGCCACTCTCTGCTCGGTTTTGTTTCTATTGCGTTCGGATTTTTATGGGGGTATATAATTTAAAATTGCACGGAACGCGTTTCGTTCTTGTACAGACTGCAATAATAAGTTTTAAGTAAAAACATCATCATCATCTCGTTATCGATTTACAACACTCTCATCATCATCATCTCCTGCTTTGTTTTAATTAAGAATAATTATACAAATATACTATCGTCAGACACGTCCCACTAAAACTGAGACAAGTTGGAACGAGTTGCGTTTTACTCCTGTTTGTATTAAAACGAATCGTGTACACGATCGCGACGCTAATGAACAACATTAACGGCGAGAGAGAAAAAAACAAAAAAAAAAAAAATAATATAGAAACGTATCGTGCTTTAAAATCCATCGGACGTAACTAATTTATATATGTATAATATATATATAGCATCTTATTAAAAAAAGAAATTAAAAATAGACATCAAACTGAACGTGTTTGTTTTTTGCGTTCGCGTTTTAAAAATACACTAATAATGTTCCGTCCGCTGTTTTGTTGCATTTTGCATTTTCTCCAAGTTTAGTTTCATATTTATTACAATATCTTCAGTCTACAATACGAATCATCATCTAAAAAGACACTCTCGTCTTTACACTATATACATTAAAAAATTATACAGCGCGTTACTGGAGAATTGGGAAGAGGGGTGGTTTGGGGGGCCCGGGGAGCATTGCAACAACCTATGAACAAATAAAATCGAGTGCCTGTTGCGTTTTTACCATCTGCGGTGTTTGTATATGCTCGCGCGTTTGTTGAACACACACACACCTTCAATCCCGTTTTTCGTCCTTGCGTTCTCATTTCACTAGCGCTGCGATTACGAACGTTAACAGTTAGATTATAACAAGATAGAGAGAGAAAGAGACAAAGAAGCGCTTTAAGTCCCATCCGTCATCAATCGCACTCGTCACTCCACTCCACTTTGTGTCAGTCTGATTACTTTTTTTCACTTTGTCCTCTCCGGTGCGCACTATTTAAACACACATACTTATTGGAATGCTTGTTACAGAGTCTTTGTCGCGTCGCTCCTGCGCTGCGTCCCGACCTCGTCCTTGCCGGCTGGACGCCGGCTGCGTTTGCTCGTTTGCTTGCGCGGGGTCGGGGGCGGAGGCGGCTTACCGCCCCCTCACTTTACGTCTCATTTCGGCGGGTAGGAGTTGATCATCGTGACGGCCGCTTGTTGGCTTGCTAAAACAGCAGCTGGAAATTAAAAAGAAAACACCGAAATTGAATGCACAACGTTCACGTTTTTGGTGGGGTCATGATTCGATTTCGCAGCGCATTCGGCACTCTACTCACCGCCATAGGGAGCAGGATACATCGGATAGCCGAGTCCGACGTGCGTGTGATGATGTGTATGCACATGTCGCTGTGGCGGCGGACTGCGACTATCTTTTCCACCGTCAGCGGGCGTTTGTTTCCCACCAGGGGTTTGATTCTGTGGACCTCCAGGCGGCATACCCGCTTGTGTCGTCAAGGGTTGCGGCACGATCTGGTTAGGTGGTGCGCTGCTTAACGGCGCCGCAGATGGACTACTGGACGCCACTGAAGTCTTCGGCGTGGGGGATTTAATGGCGCGCTCCTGCAGCTCGTGGATTTTGTGTGAGGAATAGTACTGCGCATGATGCTGCAGCATGTCCAGAGCTTTCGTTGGCGGCTGCGCTCGCGACAGGTCCTCGGGGCCATGGTACCTTGGCATTTGCGGGTTGAAATAGGGACTCCCGCTGTAGGGACCAGGTACCATTATGCCACGGTACATAGGGTGGTTGGGGTCAAAATGCAGCGCGCCATAATGTGGCGATTGCATATAACTGGGGTGGATATAGTATTGCTGCGACGTTGGAGGTGGTGGCGGACCTAAAATCAAATAAAAATTAGCTAAACCCAAACCAAAAAGTGTGTTTAAAACATACCCTGTGTCTCCATTGTAGGTTTAACACCTTCCTGTTTAACCTCCTTTTCTTTCTTCTCCTCCTTATTGCTGTCCTTCGAGGAATGTTTCAGACTTGGACTCTGTGGTGGTGGCGCCTTGTTCGGTGTGCCTGTCGTGCTGGTTTTCTCCGGCGGTGGTTCTTTCCGATGCTGGTCAAACACATAATACCGCCGCATATCCTGCTCACGCTGATTGTGATGCTGCGGGTTGGGCCGCGAATAACCATACGAAGACATCTGATTCTTCATCTCGATACTCTCCTTCAGTATTTGATGATTTTCGTTCTTTTGATGATCCGAATCAATAAACACTTGGTTATTCTGCGGCCGTAGATGGTTGGTCTGATGTGGTGACGGCGGTGGTTGCTGTTGTGCGTGGTTAGCCTTGTTCGCTTGATCGTTGTTGTTCTTGACTTTACCGGGCGTCGGAACTTGAATCGGATTCGGGATCGGCGGGTTTCCGGGCTTAGAGGACTGATCGATCGGACTCTGGTTCTCTTTAACGCGCTCCTCTTTGATCTTTTCCTCGGGCATGACAGGCACTGGACCAAACTGTGGGTCCATGTTGTACGCATAGCCCTGTTGCGGCATATAACCGTATGGCGGGTAGTAGTGTTGAGGCATCACTTTTTGCTGATATTCAGTTGGCAGGCTCTCCTTTTTAATTTCCTTCTCTGGTGGTTTCTCACCGATTTTATCCAACTCCTTGGACTTGCTTACATCTTGAGGTTGCTGCTGCGGTTGGACCGACGGCACTAAGTAAGATGGCTGTCCATAGAGATGATACATATCTAAAACAACAATAAAACCAGTAGAAACAAATCTAAACAAAATTTGTGGCGAAAAACTTACTAGCATAAGCCTGTTGCATGTGTTGCATTGGCGGTGCATTATCAGTCTTCTTATCCGACTTGCTCTTATCCTCAGCATCGAGCACAGGCGCCCCATCATCAGAAATATCCGAATAAGCAGGGCTCTGCACCTCGTCCCTTCCGGTCTGAGGTTGCTCCATGCCAAACACAGGCGTTTCATTCTGCGTAGGCGGGTCAGGACTACCAGCCGGCGACTTCCTGTTCTTCTTCTTAAACGATGCAGGTAATGAAGGCTTCACCGGTGTTTTGTTCTTGTCCTCAGGCATAAGCGCCGCGGTGGGTTTAACTTTGAACTGACCCAACGGACTCGGCTTGGGACTCTGTGATGGTGAAGGTATCGACGTTCCATTATTGGCATTCTGTGTTGGAATGAGTAACGTCGGCGGTTGTGAAAACGTCGGCTGTTGCGCCTGCAGCTGATTCGCAAACGACGACTGCGAGGTGGTTATTTGCTCCTGCGGTTTAAACAGCTGCGATGTATTCGCTGGCGGTGGTGGCGCGGGTTCCTCCGTCTTTATCGACGGAATACTCGCATTCGAGTTCTGCGTCTTCCCGGAGAACACGCCGACCGGAAACTCTTCGTTGGCAGTATATCTGAGCACGCCCGGCTTGACTACGTTTTTCGTCTCGGGGACGGGTACGACGCTGGGCGAAACCGCAGGCGCGAGGTCGGTTTGTGGTATAATCGGTGAGGGTGGCGTGTTTGGCTGGCTGGGCACGTCCAAGCCACGCAAAAGAGAAGGTAACTCAACCGTCTCTTTCTTCTGCGGTGTCAGCGGGCTATCCTGGCTCTTTTCCGGTGACTTCACAGGGGTGGCGGGGCTCGGCGCTTCGATGTTACTCTCATCATTTTCCGACATCGATGTCACATCCTTTGTATCTTCATCATCACCAGCATTATGTGCATGCGACTGATGATACTTCAACCCGTTGATGTGCTTGTACTTCTTGGAGCAATTGGGTTCGGGACATTCGAGGAGAACAGGTGATGGTGGCGGCGAAGAGCAAGCACCCGCTGGCGGCGTAGCCGGAACAGCATTCGCAGTCGCCGGATTCACCTTACTCTTCTTACCAGTGGGAATTGCAGGTGGTTCCTCTTCACCCGCACGACTTTTACGCTTGTTCGATGGCTCCGGACGCGGTGGGATAAAGGGCGTCGGCGAGGAAGGTGCCGTCGGAGGTGCTGACCCATTCGCAGCCCCTCGCCGCCCTTTCACAGTACCACCATTCCTCAGTTTACTATGCACTGAAGACCGCGTCTCGGTGAAGTTGCTCAGATCCGTGCTGGGCGTCGCGCCTGCCGCCGACCGGCCGCGCTTTCCTCGCCCTTTGGGGGTTCGTGTGTCTAAGTCACTTGTGGGTGAATCACAGAATCTGCGCAAATATTTACACGTTAGCCCGCTGGGCGTCGAGCGACAACAAAAGTAAAACAACAACAACAAAAAAGGTAAACAAACGTACCTTGGGGGAGCCCAGTCATGGCGGGTGCAGTCAAGCAGGGTGCCGACGTAGGTCTTGCCGCGCCACGTCACATTGACGACGAGCACGCCGCCTTCTGTCTCGTGCCACACGATGCCTTCGAGGGTAACACTCGTGCCGGGTTCGCACGGGCCCAGACAATCCGGCTCGGTGATGGTACCCACACTTGTTCCCACACAAACATCATTTGTGTCCTGCAAAACGGAAATTTCAATAAAATCAATTATAATATTTATTTTATTGAGTGGTCGAGGGACAAAAGTAGATTATTGGTCGCTTATTATATAGGCATTTGTTGGCGAGTTGATGGCGTTAAATTGAGTATTCATGTTATTCAAAACGTAACTAATATGTTCGCGTTGGTCTATCATTTAATTTAAAACCGGCGCGCAGCATTCCGCACGTGTTGGTGTCGTTTGTAATCCGCAATTTTCCCAGCTTCGCTTTTTCTGCGCGCTGTGCAAATCGATTTCTCGCTACACTCGCCAACAACCCTACCGTAAACAAACCCAAAACACGGAAAACAAAAAAATCAGCGCGCATGAAATATTTAGCGTTTCATTGGCGACGCATTAAAAAATAATTCGCCATCACGCAGAGCGACAGACAAAAGCGTTTTGTTGCCATTGTTTCCCGCCCACGCCATGCAAATGTAAAGAATAATTAAATAAACCCAGCGCGCACCAGTGCCGCTTTTATGCACTTTGGACTTTTATTCTTTTTATTAGAGTCTGCGGGCAAACACGGAAACACAAGTGGGTGTCGTCTTGAAGTAATTGCCGTACTTCGAAACAAAACAGAAATAAAAAAAAAACTGTAACCGCAACCCTGGCGTTTGTTTCGACAGTGTTAAATACGACAACACCGGCGGGACTATTAAGGCGCTAATACTCGATAATGATGCGACCATTCAGGTGTGTTAATTAACCCGGCGGCGCGCGGCTTGTTCCTGGCGTTTGGCGTAGAGAGCATCCGGCGTTTCCTTTTACAATTTACACATACTTGCTCGTCGTCCTGCCGCCGCCGCCACCGGCGTTCCAACCCTCCTCCTCCTCCTCTACTCCACCATCTTCTTCTATGGATAGAGATAGAGGTAGTGGGGTTGGGTCGTCGAAAACTCGAACATCTGTGGTTCTTTAATGCCGGCTTTGTACTTGAGCCGACCGCAGTATTGATCGTTGGCGCGTTCTGCCGCCTCTCTCTCTCAGAGCATATACACATGCGTGCGCAGAGCGGGGGCGGTGGCGGCAAATACCGTGGCTAGCCTCCGAGCAGATGTGTCGGAGCGGCACGCAATCTCTTTCGGCGCGCTTCCTGTTTCCACCGCGCGCGCGATCAATCAAACACCCCCGGAATGCCGCCCCGGCGGGCTCATTAATAATCAATTGCCTTACGTGTGCAGCGTCGACCTCTTTCGCAACCCCACCGACTGGCAAAATGCTGGTAAAAACTTGAAAACGACGACATAATAAAATGTTCCTTCCAGTGCGACACCCCCCCGCACGAACTATACATTACCGGAAATTACGTTTTCAGTTTTTCACCCTCACCGCTGCGGGCTGAACACTAGCTGCTTTTTCATTATATAATTATCACAATCACCCTGGGTAAATTACAGGTTTCGTGTTGGGCGAAAGTTTTAATGCACGAAAACTAAATCCGAGCGGGACCGAAATGACTGTAATTGAAAGCGAAACACACAGCACACACAAAGTGAACAACTCCGGACGTCATAATCACCACCCTGAACTTTTTCATTTTCTAATTAAAAAGTATGTTTTGCGCGCGGAGAAAATCTAAAACCGATATGCTTGGGTATCACCCGAAGGAGGAAATATGTAAGGCGGAATTTTACGCCCCGACTCTCGTTTGAATTTAATATAAATGCAAATTTCACCCATCAGTCGGCGAGATCATCCGCACAGCCGCCCCCGCGGCGTCTTAATTACACTCAGCTTTCACTATTATCTCTTCTCCTGCGTTTGTAACTGCACCAGCAAAAATTTCAAGCAAAAAATCAACAAAAAGAACAAAATATCTGAATGCCGAGGGTTGTGCTCAACTTTACCCTCATGTTTCATTTCTCCTCGTCCGCACTTGGCAGAGTAGAATCGAAAATAATGAATTTGTTGGAATGCTGCCAAATAAATGATGGCCGGGGTCACAATAAACCAGCTGTCGACGCGGAGGGAAAAATGCGCCTCGAAACTCTTCGTGCGCATCGCTTCGATGCCATAATAATGCGGCAAACGAGCGCGTAGCAATTGAAAAGCTCGCCGATATAAACGATTCGTAACGAATCGGATCGAATCGAATGGAATGGAGAATAACACCGGTTGCGATACATCGAGTTCGACCCGCCGCCGGAGCAGCAAACGAGAAACGACCTGAAATCCAATATGAGCGCGCCGAGCGAATTGCCCGTTGACACAGACCGCACATTTTATTTTTGCCCACTTTACGGCGACGTTTATGTGCTCCAGCCAACCAACGCCAATACCCTAACCAACTCACGGGCAGCAATAAGTTATTTGTCAATTTTTTTCTTCCTTTTTTCTAGTTTTTCATGGATTAAGACACGAAAAGTGGTATTTTAACCACGGGCATGACTAAAGTACTTTAGTCACGAGTTTGAGTTCGCGCATGCTCAGTTGTTTACTTGTACTACAATTGCTAAACGTTTTAAAATGTTGTTTTGATACTTAATATACTATTAAACACAAATTTCTTACTGTTAAAATTAATTGTTAACTTTACGGTTTGTTTCTTTTCATTTACGCTTGACTGGGAACATGTGTACCTGAAGAGACTACTCGTGTAAATAATGTGCGCCTTTCGCAAAACACAAACAAAGTGCCAACAGAAAGGTTTTAATTTTTTCCGCTATGTTTCAAATCATGATTAATTAAAACAAACATATAGACTTTTCCTGCTCGTTTGCATTTATTTGCCAGCATACAAACGTGAAACCAATTAAGACATCTTGTCTCTTTAGCGTGAGCGCGCGCGCCAAGATTTCTTTCTGCATCGTCTCGAAAACTCAAACAAATAAAACAAAGCGAGTGCGAATAATTCACAAGCAACGCGCGCAGCGGCACAAAGTGCAAATTCAAAAGCTTGCGCCGAGGCGAAATTAGAATTAAAATTAAAAGTACATAAAAGGCAAAAAGAAAATTAATTAAAGCATCCCGCGCGCAGCAAATTTCACCGTACAGCATTCGCTTTTTTATTTTCTGTTTTTTTTTGTGCAAAGAAAAAAACATCGGCGTTTGAAGAGAGTGTATGCATGAGCGACGGAGCAGGCAAAGCGGTTGAAAAGCATTCCGGGAAAGGAATAAAATAAAACAAACAAAAAATCTCGCACGCGTAAAGCGCGACGGGGAAAACCGTGCGATGGCAAAAAGCGAGAGGAAGCAAAAAAACACTCTGTGCGAAAAAACTTCGGTAGCTTGAAAAGCTCCCCGAACAACGTGGCATTCCTGGCTTGGCTGGTGCGCGTTTTGCACGTTATAAAAGAGCGCGCCCGGCTGTAATCTTCTCTTTGGCGCGTCGGACTGGCTGCCGTAGGGAAAAAGCAAAAGCAAATGCACACCGAGCGGGAAAAGCGCATAATGCGAACGCGTGAAACAGAGCGCGCGAATACACGACGAGTACTACATCGAGGTACAAGTATAAGCACAAAGCGCGAATGTTGCGCCAACGCCAAAGAAGAGGAGGAGAGAGAAGTGATCTTATTTTATTGCGCTGCGAGCATTATGAAAATCCCATTTGGAATTATGTTCGGCTTTTGTGCGCCGCGCCGTGCATTAATCATCGACTTGTATGGCGGCGGCGGCAGCGGCGTCGAGTCATCCCCGATCGTCCGGAAGTAATTTCCCGTATGCGATGAAATTTAATTACCTTCCAATTGGTGGTCGCGCCCAACATCTACACACATATGTAAGTGTAAGTATAATGGTGTCGTGTGTCGCGTGTGCGCACGTGGCATAACGATAGCGTCCGGATAAAGCGTTTTGGTGGATGCGCCGGTTGATTAATATTGTAAACGAAAGTTTCAGCGTTTCAGTTACTAATTATCAGCGCCACGCGGAGGGAGCGCACCCTAATAACGGTAGGGTGTAATGCGCGTGTCGTAAAATAAACATCAGCGTCTGTTCGCCGCTGACGAGGGTGAAACAACCAAAAAATCGGAGTAGGGGAGATGAAAAGCTTTACTTGACTTACCTTCGGCTCGGTTTTAAGCTTTTTGGACGGTGGCGGCGACGAGCTGCCATCATCCAGATTCGAGGCAAGCTGCTGCTGCTGCCCGGGTAGGAGAAGAGAAGCAGCAGCAGCAGCAGCGGCGGCGGCTGCAGCCGTCGCTTGTGTCCCCGCCGGCGGCGCGCCAACCGCGATACCCGGCTGTGCAGCAGCGCTATTCGCCGTCACTTTCGCCTGCTCCGGCTTGGCCGCGGCGCCTGTGGCTGCCGCCGGACTCGCAGGCGGCCCCTGTGCACCCCCGCCCCCACTCGCGGGCCCCTGAGGTGGTCCCGGCCCACCGCCGCTCGCCGGAAACACCGGCCGCTGAGTCACTGGCGCTGTCACGCGCAACACACCGTTCACCTCCTGCGCACTGCTATTGTTCACTGGCACTTTGGGGCTCGGCTTCTCGGAGGAATGCTTCTTGTCCCGGCGGTGGCCGCTCGAGCCCCGTTTACTGCTGCCGCCACTGCCACAGCCACCACCACCGCCGCCGCTCGAGCTGCCTCCGTTGGGGTTGTTACTCGACCCGCCGCCACTACCGCTCGAAGATGATGATGACGACGATGACGACGACGACGATGAGGATGAGTTCCCACTGCTGGCGTTCGTCGAAGACGCGTTGGCATTAGCCGCACCGCCACCGGTTGACGGATGTTTACTAGATTTACCACCGCCGCCGCCGTCACCCGGCGTCGTCGTATCGGTGCCGCCATTCTGCTCGTTGCTCTTGACGATTTCGTGCTTCGCCTCCGAGCTCTTGGTGCCCGGCTTCGTGCGCTTGATTTTCATTTTCAGTCCCTTGTCGACGGTCGCCGAATGCTCGACGGCCATTTTGGCGGCTGCGGCCGCCTTCGCCGAGGGGCTCGCATTGGAGGCCATGCCCCCCTCGTCCGTCTTTTCTATGTCCGCATCCAAGTCAATTATTAGATCGCCGATGCCGATGTCCCACTCGTTGTCATCGTACTCGAAGTTGGAGTCCGCCACCCTGGGTCGGTGGCCGGGGTCCTGCGATGAGGTGGGCCTCATTGGGGCCGCCATGGCACCGGGGGCGCTGAGTAGCCGCCGAGACTCTGCCCCGCGGCCACACACCCCTCTCTCCCTACGCACATCTTACACCTCTGTAACAAAAAAAAAAAATGAATCAATCACTAAACATTCATCGACATAATTTAATTTATTTTTTTTTTTCAAATCGTTTTTCCACTTCTCCGCCGGCGTTCGCACGTCAAAAAACAAACGCAATCAATACACCAAAGCGGGAACGATTTTTTAATTGCCTTTTCCGCTTTATTCGCGTTGTGTTGCGCCATTCACAACCACACGCAGCAGCAACCAAGCATCATCGTAAAAGCAAACGAGCGCTACGCTTTCGCGCTTTTAATATTATTTTCATCTCCGTTTTACGAGCGTAATTCGCGATTCGTTTTCATAAATTTATTCGGGGCCGTCATTCGCCGGCGCATCGCTTTTTTCGAAACCTATACGCAGCGATGGCATTTTAATGGACTGCCATAACCAAGCTATAAACGGCGTAAATATAAAATGTGCCCACATACACACACAGAGAAACAGACACACATCGAAATTGCTCGCGCGCTGAAATATTAAATCGAGTCAGCGACGAGCGCGGGGCAAGCCGGGAGGAAAAACAATGAAAACGCGCGTGGAATATCGAGCGCGTCGCTTCAATCGAGAGCTTTTTAATTAATCGCAATATAAATAACTCGTCACGCGCGCGCACACTGCATATTAACAATTGCATCGTGGACCCTGGATGCCACCACCACCACATTTACAATTTGTGTGCATTTATGCATTTATTCAAACGCAATCAAAGCTCATCGGCGCCGCGCAACGTGCAAACAACGCAATTAAAAATAATTAACAATCATTAAAACCGCACCAAAAGCAAACAAAAAATCATACTATCACCGACTGATTCTTAAAACATGTAATGTCAAATCGGTTATCGGATTTTATTACAACCGTTATATAACTAAAACGGATGTCACGGCCAATTAATTAGCATAATAATTACATCAATACAAGTTTATTTCTTTATTCTACAAGACCAGCATTAAATTTTTTTTTAAATTTTTATTTTTAAATTTTTTAGTTAATTCTCAATGAGACAGACGTCTACATGTATAAGTATATGTGCCTATGAGGAATCGGCCTTGATTTAATGCCACATCCGTTCGTTAACACGACGCCATGCATCGCGAGACGAAGGAGGCGAGCACCAGCATTCCACGAGTGTGTTCGACAACGCCACATACGAACCGAACACAGCTCGTATATAATACACAAAGCAAGAAGAACAGAAAACCCTCTCCAGAGGAGGAGGAGAGGAAAAAATATTATCCGAAGCGAAGATGTAGAAGATGTAAAGATGGAAATCTTGTAAGCAGCCGCAGCCAGCGCATAAATATCGAAAATGTCTAAACTTCTACGAAGCCATTCGGAGTGAAAGAGATTGGATGGGAACACGACAAGCCGCAATGAAATCGAAGATATATTCATAATATAAAACGTTTTGTTTCGGCTGGTGGAACAAGCTCCTACGTAATCATATTCTGTAGTTGTGGACGATGACAGACAGCGACACGAAAGCCCCGAATGTAATTTATTACCGAATATTACACGCGATTAAATATTTAATTTATAAAACCACAAACATGAATTTAATTTTTTAAATTTTTGTATAAAACGTGCGAATTTAAACGATTTTTTTTTGGTTTAAGTTCTCTGACGACAGATGTTATTCCATTTTATTAATCGCCCGAGTTGACTTGACTGCGTGCATGAAATGTTCCAACTTGCACTGCTGGCTGCAGCAAGAAGCCAGGGCATACAAAGTCGACGCTACCGAGCGATGCGATGCGCAAGGAGCGATACCGAGCAGCAAGCTATATAAGGAGGGCACGACTCACTCCATATAGCATTGAACATGAATAAGAGATGCCTACATGCACAACATAAATATCTACATTTATATATATACGGGCGGGCCGCGGCCTCCGCCTGCTCGCGCGCATAACATAATCAGATGTATTTAATTCGAGTCCATTCTTTCGCTCCTCGCCGTCGCCATTAGCTCTAGGTGCTTGCGCGCTGTGGCGCGACGCGCAATAGCCAATAAAGATAGTCTTTTATTTGTCGCGCCGGCGGGTTGTCATCGGGCAGATAAATTCCAGTTTCAGGCAAAACTCACCAGCATACCAACATGCAACGCTAAGCGGTTAAGAATGGTCAATTAATACTCTCACAGAGGAATTAAACTTGTTTTTTAACGTTTAAAACCATCCCTATTTTGTATATAACAAATTTAGAGAAAAATAATTCAAATTGGTTGAGTGGTTTTTTAGTTATTGCGTTACAAACATACAAAAATTGATTTTATGTGGTTTTTGAAGGTAGAAAAGAGGTAAGAAGTACTTAAAACGTGATTTTTACTAAATAATTTGAGTTTTTATGCAAAATATTATGAAAAAAACACGCAAAAACACCGAAAAACAGCGTTAAACAATGAAAAATGATCATTTAATGCCCGTGGAGCAGAGTTTTGTCTGCTTTTTTAACTTTTAAACCATCCCTATTTTACTAGCAACAAATTAAAACCAAAATTATTCAAATCCCATCAGCAAAACTTTAGCTATAATGTTACAAACGCAAAAAATACATTTCCACGGTTTTGAGACACGAAAAGTGATTATTTAATCACGTATGGCTAAAGTCGTGACTAAGTACTTTAGTCACGAGGCAGAACATGCGCCTGCGCATATCCCTACTATATTTATACAATTTTAAATGTATTTAAAGCAAATATTAATGTAAAAATGACTAAATACATAATTATTGAATAATAAAATTCAATTTTTAAGCAAAATATCATCGTAACAAAGCCAATAAAGCCTAAAAACCACTTAAATAACTGTTCTCCACAATTGTACACTCCCAAGAACTAATTTCATGATGTCTCTTTATGGTCGTGCAATGATGATCACCAAAAACGGCGTGCGCGCTGAAGCAGAAACGAACAAATCGCTGCAATTGCGCGAGCAAATCGAAACCGACTAAATTGTCCCAAGAGTGCACTCACATAACTCACTCACGCGACTATTATACACATTATCATAACGCCTTAAAAAATATTATACCTTAAATCTTTATAAGCGTCTTCAGAACAGGTTTTCGCTCAGACCGCATTAATTTTTTCCTCATTCAATTAATTACCAAACGTGTTATCACGTCGATTATATTCACAGCGATCGAGGAGTTTATTGGATGCAAATTAGTTAGCTTATAAGTTAATCTAGCTAATAGTAAACTACTTAATGTGGAAATGATCGAAAAAATCGAAATAAAAAGCGCCGTCTGTGCATAATTACGTTGTTTGTATAACAGCCAGCGTGGAATAAATCACATGCTAAACGGCAGCGTGTCTAATTAATACAATTTAACATTTGTTTATTAATCACCTCTATTCACATACACGTACGCGGCGTACAGAAACAGTGAAACAGCGTTCGATTGCGACATGTACGAGTGTACAGCGCACAATGACGGCTGTCGACGATGGTAAAAACTAATGACTGCATAATTAATCGCAATGAATTGAAATACATATGGTTTTCATCGCGAGCGTCGCAATAGCTAATTATCCAGCTATAAACTTAATAATTGTTTACCATTTATCATTTCGTAATTATTTAATATTATGAATTTTTTAAATAATCACCTGTACAACACGTCAGTTATTTTTGTCATGTAATATGACAAGTAGAAATAGGTGAAACTTAATTTAACGACGTAATTTGAACAATTTATTTGGTTTATATTAATTTTTTTCTGGGTAATGACAAAACATATTTTAATTTCTCGCAATTATGAGTTAGAATATTTTTTTAAAGACATGACATCGATGGTAACATTTGAAATATTGTTGGAATTATGATCCCAACATCCCGGCAAATTGCAATGCTAACTTTTATAACTTAAGCACGATTTTCAGCTAATTTGTTGAGGTGCACAAGCAGTTACAACAAAATCATTTGAACATAACTCAAGTGAATACAACAGAGCGGCGCGGAATTCATATTTAGACTTCAGGAAATATTTACCGGCATTTTTACTAAAGTAATTGAGTTTATAATCAGCTTACAAAGATTAAACAGGTGCCAATTCACGTAAAATTTTAATATTTGGTCATATTTTTATTCCTCGATGAAAAGTCACCTTTTTAAACCTCACTATAAAGAGACTACACGGTATTTTGCAATAATTTTGCTAGTAAAACTTGTTAAAAGTTCTTTTACCTACAATAAATAATGAAAAAGTCAAATTTTCATCATTTCTTCAAAAGATGCAGCAGATTTTGTACAAAAAGTGAAATTTAGAAAAGAAAACAATATTTTTCTACGTACTTTATGCATTTTCTAGTCAAAATTCATTTGAATTGTATTTATAATTTAAAAAAATAATCACCTGTCTAATAGTTATTTTTGTCATGTAATGTGACAACTAAAAAAGTGGAACACAATGCAACTCAAACATTACTGACTCGCATTGCCTGGGCTGCTCTGTTAGTACTCGAACGTGTCACGACGTTTAACGTTTTAAGTTTTCTGCTCGGACGTTTACAACTTCAAAGTTGTAATCCAATTTGCCGCACGTTTGTGTGACTTTCTAAATCATCGACTTCGTGCGGTTTCACAAACACATTCATGCACATTACACTCACTTCACACAAAACGTAGTAAAACTCAGCAAAATAAAAGTACGTCTTACTAAACTCAGCGTAATATCGGTAGCTGCTTTGGTTGTTTCAAGCAGTAAAAATAAGAAATACTCGTACATAGTTGATTAGTTGTTACGTTATTGAACAGTTTTTTTTTTGTTTTGTGTTTGTATGTGGTGTGGCGTGTTTAGTTCTCAGCGTTTATTTCTTCATCGGTATGCAGCGCGCGTTTCAATCACGCGCGAGCATAAATTCCCCGGCGATTCCTTGAACTTATTTCCAATCGACGGCGATGATAAATTCTGCCAACAGCTGTTTGCGATTCAATTAACGCGAATGGCAAAATGGCAATCGGCGCAAAAACTTGCGCATGGACGT